TTTATATTGTATATTATTGCTGTTGACTATGAAAGCACCTATAAGATAGTATTCAGAACTTCTCTCCAGAGGGTGGTAAAGTGAGGAATTTTGTCTGATAGGACACCTGGCAAGCATGCCCTGTTAAACTTCACACTGAGCATGTTAAAAATTCATATTGTATTCATGGCTGCCATTAGAATGCATGCAGTATTTGTAATTAGGAATATTGTTGAAAAAGAGCAAAGTGTGAAACTAATAGAACTTTTTGCATAACATGTCTTCTCATCATTAACCCTCTTATAAGCCCTGCTGCTGTATCCTAATTTAATTTACTTTTTAATAATAGGAAAACACTCTTCTCATTTATTTGAATTTTATATGGTATTTCTGTTTGAATGCTTCACTGAATTTCTTCTCTGCGCCTTCATTAATTACTGCAGGCAGCTAGTATCTTTCATTACATGAACATTGCCATGTGCATAGGAAAACAAGCCCCATCAGATAGTTCAAGTGTGAAAAGCACTACTTCATCATGAAATTAGTCATTTCGCACAAACCGCCGGAAAGTGAGGACTCTTGATAGCTTATAGGTAGATACAGTTTGAAGTGCCCTGCTTAAGGGAGAAATCAACAAAACAACCACGAAGGCAGAGAAGGTTCAAAAATTAATCTCATCAATCTTTCACTGTACAGCTTGTGACTGCATAGCGCTGTCTAGCGGCATAGCTCTACATGCTTGGTCAGTCTTTGGTGTATTCTAGATGCATCTCAAGTGCTGGCTGAATTGCTTTTGATATAGTGGCAGCTGTATTCCTGTCAGCCATGAGTTTCTGTATTTCAGAGAACACAGGGAGTGGGGTGGCGGTGAGGAGCAGTAGCATAGCAGTATATTTTGAAGTACACATAGGCATCTGTTTTGATCCAGGTGTGTGTGTCCATGTGTGTGTGTGCATGCGCGCGCGCACACACACCCACACACACACACTAAAGAGCAGGAGTATGTAGCGATATCTGAGCTATTAGGATCAGTAGATGGTCACTGTATATAGTGAGCAGGCAAAGGGGTAGTGTACTGGTTAATATGTTGGACTTTAGTTGGAGACCACTGCTGATCGGCCACGGAGTCTTCTTCCTTTGTAATTTCAACTTGTAAAGCACACTGAGCTTTAACAAAAGATCATCACCATTGGGCTGAAACAATGCAACCTTTAGCTTTAATTAGCAAGGCAAACAATCTAAATTAGTCCATTTTTAGAACATCTCCCGTTGTTTTTTTATAACAGATAGTTGGCTTCAGTCGAGGATGTTGGTTAAATTCCACATCTGTCCATTGAACTCCCAGCTAGGGATGTAGGAGGTTGCCTTATACACAGGCAGACCAATGGTCTATCTAACTCACTGCTTGCACTGACTTAGCAGCGGTGCTCTCTCCTCTGCTGGCCCCTTTCAGAGCTGCAAATAATACAGCTGCAAACATAGCAAGAGGAACATTCTGCACCATTGTAGGGATTTGGACTTAGTGGCACCAATGGCAACCTTGTCCACTATTCCTGCGGCAAGGCAGCAGCTCATAGAAGAGCCTTCGGTGGGCATCTGTATTCTTTTCACTCCCATTGGCTCAGCAATGCCTATTTAGCTGATTCTGCCATTCTAATTCTAATGTTTATTTCCAGGATCAAAAGCACAGATAATAATAAGTGCAATCAAACACTGCATGCAGAGAACCTTCTGCTGTTTTCTTTTATGCTCTGCAGGCAAATATATCTTCACAAGATACCGTGGAAGTAATAAGTTGAATCCAGAATATCTATTCTGTGAATGGAAGGACTCCTTCCATTTATGCAAGGGAATGAGATCCAGCAGAAACTCTCTACCAGATGAATGGTTGGGATGTGTGTGTGTGTGAAGGCAATTTTTGGAGAGTCCCTCTGTCTCCTTCTGTGCTGTTCCTCATGTTATTCTGGAGGATTCCCTGCCCCCCACAGCATATTTTCAGGTGGTGCTGGGGCTGTAGGGTGAATGATCAAAAATCATCTTCCTCAAGCACAGACTGTGAACTTTGGATCCAAGCCATGATCACTAGTAGATTACTTAACTCTAGAATTTGATCCATAGGGAAGATGCTCTGACTGGAAAGTTTTTACTGACCATGTTTTCAGAATTTGCAACAACTATTAAAAAAATCCACCCTTTCCTCCCTTTTTTGATAGGCAGTTGGCCTAATCCAGTATGCAAATTGTTTTACTTTGAAAAGGGATGCAGCTTTTTAAAGAAGAATATAGCTAGAATTCAAAGAAACTTAATGCCAAATGGAGAAACTTTTACAGCCTTGCAAAAAGAAGAAATACTAGCCTTCAAATGGTTCCGTGCCTGACTGCCCATACCAAGAGTGTAGGGGAAAGATGGTTGGGAGGTCTTGTACAATCTCATGGATGGCTTTAGGCATTTTGGCACCCTATTGGGCAGAATCCTTTGGAAACCACTTTAAAGGCTTATAGCTGCTCCCCCTATCTATAAGGCAGGAGTTTGACTCTTGCTTGATTCTGCAGGCAACACCGATTAGGAAACTGATCTGTAGGCTCCAATGATATAAGATTAAACCAGAGTTACTTGCCCTCTGGAATATTGCCTTGTTCTGCTCAGCCCTAATTACTAATTCTCATCTGTTATACTAGACTGGATTTGATGGCAGCCCAAAGATGTTTTGTTGGGACTTCACTCCACTTGTGTGCTGGGAAAAGGGACAGTGACTTTGTCTGTATTCAGAATGTCAACAGTAATTTAATCTCCATGAGAGTAAGGAATAAATGGACTTGGTAGCTAAAGAGGGAAGTGTGTGTGCATTAGGTGTGTGGCAACTCACAGCTTGAGTTAAAACGTGGATTTCCTGCTAACTGCCATTATGTGGACATTTAGTACAGTATTACATCTACTTTATCTAAATTAAGATCTCAGCTAGACACAAGAATATTGGCCTCTCTGGACCTTGGCTGTAACCCATTGTAACAGGTTGAGCAGCATCCTCTGACTTGATCAGAATAAGACCTGCATTACTTTGAAGATTTATCAGATGGATGCAACAGAATATTATAAATGCTGCCCCTAAAATTAGTTTCCCCTTTCCCCCATCTCCATTCCACTTCAGCCCACTTCTCCTATACCAGGAAGCTATACTAATTTCTCCTTAAGCCTTTCCTGATCCACCATGGACATGTCTGTTCTAGGGTCAGTTAACAGTTGTCTTTCCTTACTCTGGTATTAAATGATATTTGTCTTAATAGCAGACAGCCTTAGTTGCTTTCTCTCACCACCTCTGTTATCACAGCTGTCCTTCCTTAAGAAGCTTTTACAGAATGATAATAACTTTATATTCAGTTGATTAGAAAATATTAATCCTGGGGAATGTTTACCGCACGGTAAAATGTCTAGAAGTCTAAAACAGCTTGTATTTGTGGCAGCATCCTACATATGTAATCTTCCAAAATATATTGGCTTTGAGCTGAGTGAATTATATCTCCTAACAAAAATTGCAAAGTGCTGTAGTCTACTCACTGCAGCTTGTTATTTTGAAGTATAGTTAAAATAAGTGTTTTATTAATATGCATTGCAAAGGCTCTGCTACCAAACCTGGTCATTAAGCAACCACAAATGTGCTTCTTTCAGCACTGCAGAGTTTTATTAAGAGACCATCCAATACATCATACAGGCAGTTGAACACTGTTGGGGGCCTAATGGAAAACATTACTCTTCACTGCAGTAGTGAGGACGTTATGGCCCTACTGATGTTGTTGGACTACAACTCCCATCATTCCTGATGGGCTGAGCTGATGGGAATCTTAATATACGTAGGGCCACAGCTTCCTTACCCCTGCATTTTTGGGTCTGAATTCCTAACTGCTTGATTCAAAATCTTTAGGATAGTTAAGCAAGTTAACTGATTTGGTTCCAGAATACCTTTTAGACAATGGGGCACCTGGCATTCAAATCTCAGGGCTTTTGCGGAAGATAGGTCCCCTCCCCAAATCCTTACTTTCAGATATGCAGGAGAGGGGCAAAGGAAAACGGCCTCTGAACATACTCTTTGCTTGGCAGTTGCTTCCTGCATCCCACAGCTGAGCTGTAGAAGGTTGTAAAGTCCTGCCTCAGGTAAAAATGCCGCTAAAGGCCTTTTGTCCCAATCTTGATTGCGCACCGTGGAATGATGTAGATCAAATACTTCTTTAAACAAAAGCAGTGGATTCCAAATTGAACTTACAGAAAAAAATGTTGGCAAGCGTCTTGTTGTACAACAGATTTGCAAAACCCTCATGAATCTTTTTCTTGTGCAAGGATCTTTTTTTTGCTGCCGGAATAAGCCCTTTCAAACATGGAAAGATCTTCGACTTCTGGAAGAGCACTTCTGGGCTAACCCCTTAAAATGAGAACTGCACGTGTACAAAGTATTCAGGAAGGCACACTAGCTGCCTTTACGACTTCCTAAGATCATAAGTAGCAGTTAAAGTCTCTTGACAGATTTTTGGTACTCTGAGGAGGGAATAGGGAGAAAATGTCTGAAGGGTAGTACATTACCATGCTTCCCTGTTTAAATCAATTGTTGAGTGCACAGGAGGCCTACTAGTATATTTAGATGTATGCAATAGCCATTTCGTATCACAAATTAAAAGCTAAACTGAAAATTGAATCACCCAGTTTCTGCATTCAGTGGGCTCAATTGTGACAATTGGCCTAATTTCATATATATGAGAGAAATGAATGATACAAGCAGCAGCAAGTATTCTAGTTTTAGGAAGTCTTGCTATATGCTAGAAATTATGTCACCAGTAATAGCAGTCCTTTGACATCCACACCTCCACAGTAAGGGTTCACTAAATGGTGTACTACGTAAGGATTTGTTTTTCTACCACTTTCTCTTCAGATCTTTTTTTAAAATGGTGATTATGACTGCATTAGTATAGGTGTTACTACCAGAAGTGATATCCATTCATGATGAGTGTATCAATGACATACTAATTTGCATGTGAAATTCACTAAGCCAATTTTATTTTGCCTTCTCGTTAACAACTACATTCACTTCAGAATTTAATTTTCAACTAGTTACAAATGTGCTGTCTGTTGCTTTTAAATCTCATTTTTCACACCAGGCAGGCTTTTCATCACTTGTAAATTCCAATAACTTGCATTAAAGGTCACTGTTCACATTCAGAGAAAAAGTATAAACAGATACAGAGAAGCAGAGCTACTTTTCCAAATGAGAAAAAGCAGCTTATAGCCTGAGATATATGCTGCATAAATTGTGATGCAACCACAGGAGTGAAATTATATCCTGCCACATGATGCGGTGTAACACCCTTAGGTTGTTTACAAAATACAGGTTAGCAAGAAGAAAAAGGGAAAAAATATTTTTTAAAGGTAAATGAAAGAGGTATGAAATGTTTATAACTTTGGTTTTAATGATTTAACAATATCTTGATTTATGAAGGGTTTGCTGTGAGCCTTCAGGTGATCTTATCCAACCCTAAAGCGATATTCAGACGCCATGGATCCCAACCAGGAATGCAGGAATCTGATTTTCTCAGACAGATCACCACAGTGGAAGAGCTGGAACCAAAAGCCAACAACTGCACAAAGGTATTAGTTTTGCTGTTTTAATACAGGAACCTGTCATATAGGGGATTATCCAGAACTAATTGTTGATCCTGAACTTTTTTTCAGGTTCTTGTATGGCACACGAGAACTGAAAAGGTAAATCTATCTAATGAGCCAAAGTATCACCTGGACAGTGTCAAAATTGAAGTATGATACGTAAGCATAAAATGGGACATAACAAAATTAATGGTTGCATCCTTGAAACAGCTAAACATTCAAACAGCAGTTTGCTTTTGTGCAACAACTTACTTTACCGGTATCAGTTAAGACTCATCAGATGGCTGTGATTTGTCTTCACTTGTTTTGCATGTGTTTGGATTTTTTAAAATCTGTTTTAGTACTTTATCCAGATCTTAGATTGTTCTTACACAAGACGTTCAATGAAATGCAGCGGAAGATAAAAGAGTGACTGATCTAAACAAATGCAAAATTTCCAATTCATTTATAAATAGCTTCCAGATTATTATGTTCAAAGTTTATTGTTCCTGAATTAAACAGCTTTGCTTTTGAAGAACAGTAGATAAAAGAGGTCTTTATAGAATGAAAAAAAATCACATGTTGTTTATGGATTTCTTTAATCGAGGGAAGCAACAGCTTATTGATACGAGGCACCATAAAATGTAAACACAGTTACTGGCATAAACCTGGATACAGCTGTAGAAAATAAAAGTAAATGTACAATTGAGGAGTGAGTTACCCTGTATATATGCTGTGCAATATACTTTAGATTAGCCCTCTGTACATACGTTTTAAGCCAAATTTACTCATTTTGTCACAGGCAACTCTTAAGAAAACTGATGAGGCGACAGTGACATCCAGGTTTATCTCTCTTTCACTAACCATCTTATCTGTTCAGCACGTCGCAGCAAAATATCACAGTGGCATGAATAATGGGACAAAATCAATTTTACACAAGGAAAAAAGTTTCAGTGATACATGTACACTTATTTATATGATTTAACATTTGTTCATACAGTACCTTCTACAGGATTACTGGGCAATTTGTGGGGTGGGGTTTACATATTAGAGATAGTACTTACATGATATCTATTTCCCTTATATGCAAACATTGGTTCTAGAACTGATAAAATAATTTGAGTATGTAGTTGGTCACGAAGCTCTTTTGAAAATGTATCATTCATGAAATCAAATGTACTGTGGAATGAAAAAGCTGCTAATGAGAGGTGTTCCCAACCTGCTTTTCACTACATCAAAATTTAAGTCAATACAGACCACAACACGGTTGGTTAAGATTATGTCTTAATATGAAGAACTGTGCGATTGAAGGGGGTGAGGGTGGGCAATGTATGTGGGCAGACCAAGAAAACTAGATGTATTTGAGCATGGAATGTCAAGTCTCTGATCTAGATGAAACTTCTATTGCAGTGTTCATTTCCAGAGTTGTGTGCTGAGAGTCTGGCCTGAGGAAGTTCCAGTCCATCCTGCCACTGTATTTGGGGGCTGGCCAGCAAAGCCCATCACATTGCTGGAACTAGACAGATTCATTCCAGCCATTTGCTGATTCATCTGTGAAATGCAAACATGGTTCTAAGTTAGTATACAGGGATTCAGATACTGTTTGTTTGCTCAAATTTCATGCTGAAAGTTCAGACTCAAGCTTTATTTGAAAACGCAGACACCACCTTGTCTCAGGGAGGGTCATTTGTATACCTGCACCTCTGTTACATAAACAGGTATCTTTCAATATGTCCTTTTCAACAGTAAGTTTAGTTTTATTTTATCACTGTCCTATGACTGGTCTTATTGCTGTTTTAACATGAATACTGTAAACCACCCAGGTAGCCTGGTGGATGAACGGTAATGTAGAGATATGGCAAATAAATAAATAGTATACCGTTTCCGACTTTTAGATAATATACATGAAGCATATTTGCAAATCAGTAGTTATAGCGCTGTAGAGAATTTTAAAGGGTGCATTTTCTACAAAGAAGTCTTATCAAGGAGAATAAAGATCAATTGCAGTGGTTACCAGAATGGTGTGAAAGCTGCTTCTATTTGACCTGATGCATTGTTAGTCCAGTAAAACAAAAAGCAGCACTGTGGTTGGATAGTTTAAACATGGCAACTTTCCATGCTGACAGCAGCAATGGGCATGAAAAACAACCCTACCCAGAGTAGAAGCTGCTCTCACACCATTCTCACAACAAATCTACATTCCAATTTTAGAGATTAGAAGCATCCGGAAACGGCTCCACCCTGTCCAGCCCTCTTCCACCTTGTGAAGGCTACTGTCTTCAGCGGGAAGCCTTTTGCATCTATGGAAGCTCTGACCCCACAGTTGCTTTCTTCAAGTTGGAAGTTGACAAGAGACTGAGGTGGGGACAGCTAGTCACCCTTCCTCACTGCATGTTTATTTCCCCAGGATTTCCAACACCTGAATAAAGGTTAGATGGTTATACTGCGTCATTGACAGGATATTTAGAAAGAACAGTACTTTTAAAACGTTAGCTAATATATTGTACCATTCATGCACACATACAAAGTACAGTGACACCATGGGCTCATTCATACACGCCAGTGAAACCTTGGCTAGAGCAGGTTCAAATGATGCACTAAGCCAGGGGCTGGACGACCTGCTATGCCTGCAGCTTTCAGGGCATTGGGAAAGTGTTGCGCTTCTCAAATTGTAAGCATAGGGCTTGCAAAAGCCCTTTGTCCGGTACTTCCAAATTTCCCAACCACCACCTGGTTGGGAAACACAGTACCTTTTGAATGTTGACAGGCAGGGAGACTTCCCACCTGCCAAAGTTGGCCTGATGGGGTATAAAGATTAGCCTGTTGGGCCACAGAATTTCCCCACGCCTGTGCTAAGCTACAGCTTGGATAGTTCAGTTATCCAACGGGAATAAAAAACAGCAGGGTGGAGCCAAGAGCAAAGCAGCCAAGAGCTGCTCCCTGGGAGCCTGCACATTGGCACCATCCTGCTCAGCCACAACACACCCATAGTTTTGCTGAACACGATACGCAAAGTTGTCTAGTGTCTAGTATACTGAATTAAGGAGTAATGCACCAAAATTACCAAGCCATTCTTGTACTAGCACCCTTCTAACAAATTGTTTAAAGTGGATGATCATGCCAAAAGGCAATCTTGAAAACAAATACAATATGGCAGGATTTACAGTCCTGCTGGTGTATTAATTCCTCCTAACTGCAGCAATAGCTTCCTAGCAATCAGCATCACGGCACCTCCTGCATAACTGGTTTTACTATTATTATTATTTTAAATTCTATTGACATTATATGCATAATCAGGTTTTAATCCTAAGAAGTTGCTCCTCTCTGTAGCACCCTCCCCCGCCCCACAAGGAGAAAATGTATATTCATTCTCACCTGAGAAAGGTTCCACTGGGCTTGCTGATTTTGCTGTATACCATATTTCTGTGGTGGGGCTATGTGCCCCACCATTGGTCCTTGGGGTCCAACGTTTTGAGGAAGTCCCAAACCAGCAGTTTGTGTAGTGACAGAAAAACCATTAGGTATTCCCATGCCCACCATCATGCCTGTGTTCTGTCCTATGACAGGCACCGATTGCCCCATCATGGTTCCCATCATTGCAGGGGCTGCAGGTACAGATACAGGTACAGGCACTCCCATGGCTGGAAAACCTTGAAAATGAGCTGGTGGTTGTGCAGTAAAGGGAATAGGTTGTGGTCCCATGAATACACCTGTATTAGGCAAAATGGAAGAGGAAAGGAGTAAATTCCATTATGTCAGCAAAGTTTTAAGTTCTAAAAACAAAACCTGCTTTTGCTAAATTTGCCAACCAAACTTCTGTTACATCAGGCAAAAAACAAAACTGATATCTAGAGGAGTGGGAAGTAGCTGCTTTACTTAAATCATTCTTAATTTCATTTCCTGATTTGTAGACTACCTTTGAGGGCTCAATTATCCCTTCAAGACAGTGTACAAATAGTGTTAAGATCTACATGTGGCTCAATGAATGTTGGCAAGGAATCTATTTAATGACAAACCCACAGTCAGACATTTAAGGTGGCTGGGGTTTATAACAAGAAGCATGGGTGCAAAAATCCAAGCACCTAGTTGTCAGTAGTACCTAAAGTTAGGCCTGGTGATCTTGTGGCTGTATCGCTGAAGGAGATAGGAAGCAGGCTTTCCCTGAAGCTGCTGCCACCGTTTGCTCCTTCTCTGTTCCCTTACAAGCTAGGATAGCTCCCTCACCCCACAACACTCTGGGCTACCTGCAGAGGCAAGGCACTGGCAAGCTACTCCTTTTGCTCCCGCTCCACCTGCGTGGCTTTACCGCATGAACAGCAGCTCCTAAGGAGAAACCAAGAACTGGGCAATGACAGAATCTGATGACTGCCACTCTCCTGAGACGTGGGAAAGAGCCTAAAGTGGATTATGGGATTTGTTATGGTTTCTGGTTTAGGATTACAGCAGGAGTGGGGAAACTCCAGTCTGCAGGCTGACTTGTGCAGAAAGCAGGCGTGAAGTCACTGCCCATCAACAAATAGGTGGTGACCAAGCCTGCTGATCACTTGGACAAGAGGGTGGCTCTGTCCACAAGGGTAAGGGGGGATAAGAATTTGGCTCTCTGGCCAGATCAGGTTCCCCACCTCTGGGTTTAGAGGGTCATTTTCTCTTCCACCTTTCCTTCTTATTTTTGCCCTCAAATCCAACTTTACACACCCCTCCACAGTCTTTTACTTTCCCACTCAAGCTATTTACTTCTTATACTCATCCCTCCCCCCCCCTCCCCGTTTCCAACAGCATTTCAGGGAAGGAGACCTTAAATTGCAGTCAAAGCTTCCTGGAATGCAGCCCCAGAGCCTTTTCAATAGCAGAGACCAGCTCTGGCAGATATGTTTCTATAACAGTAATAACAATAATAGTAACCCTGATAAAACCATTAATGATTGTGAGCATACTGAAGATCATGAGGAGTAGCTACTCAGGGGCAAAGAAGTACAAAGGAAGCAGCGAGAAGAACAGCGCCAAGAAGATCCCTCCTCTGAATAGAAGCCTCCTCTTCTCAAAATGGACTCCTAACCTTTTCTGTGAATAGCTGTAGCCTTCAAATTACAATGCTCAGTTTTGAATAATTTCCTTCTTTAGGCCTCCTGCTTGATGTTAGTTTTTTAATGATAAAAAGGGGGAAATAAATCCCACTTATCACTAATACACACTTTTTGCTGCAGGGAGAGAGCGCAAGAGCCCCAACCATGTGTTCTAGGCCCAACTTTTAATTAAGACATTTAGAAATAAATTTGAAAACCAATTACCTGGAGCATTTTGCTGTGGAATAGTACCTGTGCCATACAATGACAGGATGGAGTCTTTGGAGAGCAGTTTCTTTGCTGACTCTTCTGATTTTGTTTGTTCAGTGAACAGATCAAGATCTCCAGATGCAGCAGATAAGGTGGCAGCTGCAGTGTTAGTGGAAGCAGTCTGGGAAGAAAGTCAAATGAGATTACTGAAAACCATTATCACCAAATACATTAGCTAAAGGGCCATGTGTTTTCAAACAGAATGCAAAGATTTAGTTAATTGTATTAGTAACCAAACTTTCCAATTACAGGCATCTCCAAAATTTGTAAGTATTGTAAAGGAAAATGTCCGAACGTTGCAAAAAACCCCACTAACAAACAAATGCTTGCATATGTATAACACAATACTAATTATTTACCAATGTTTCCTTTGTGCAAGTTACAATGACATATATTATGACAAATAATCCAGAAGTTTACGCAATATGAACAAAAGTACAACAGCTACACGTTTTTAAACAGCAAATTTATTACCTACGCATAGCATGTAAAATTTATGTCTTCCACATGTATATATGCACATCTGGGAACCTTGACTGGCCCAGGATCATCAGATGTGTACACACAGTTGTTTGAAGATGCACATACATGCTTCTGTTTCATAGTTTATGCGGTGCAACACCACTGTATACATAGCAAATATGCCAACATAAACACAGTATTGAAGATTTCATTATCTGTCCATCTGTTTTTAAATAAAAAGCTTACAAAAAAATAGCACAAAGATTGTCTCTTGCAGAATTTGTTCTACTTGTGATGCATACATACACCCATTACAACTGTTCATCATCTCTATTCTAGTCCCAGATTCTTGGTGGGTTTATTCTCCTTTACTTCTTAGTTGCTTCCATGTAACATTGTACAAACTGCAAGTAAGGTATTCGCTTGGCTGCATTACATGCAAACACTTTTCCAGGAGAAAACACCATCAGATAAACTTCATTTTGGTTTGCTTATAATTTTTCTCAAGTAATCTAAAGAAAGTAGTGATCAGATGAAGTAATTTCATATGATAAGAAATACTGAGCAGAACTACTGTCATAGATCTATTACTTTCAACTAATTCAAGGCAAGGTTACGAGAACTGCATAAGTTAAGTTTTGGAAGCTGCCAGTTTTAATTTTAGGGTCACTGCTTAAGAACAAGATTTTTGAAAAAGATCTCAGGTGGTTTGTGAAGCTTAGATTCTTAAAGGCTTCAACTGTGTTTTAAAAGCAGAACCACAAAAGGATAAATTTTGTATTGCCCCGTGTTCCGCACAGTGCATAAAGGTCACAGCTTGAATGGTTCAATAGTCTTTGTAAGGAAGAACTGCACCTTTAGAAACTAGAAATTCTCACATTTTTTATGACCTCAGTGAAGCATGAAGAAAAGCATCTCTTCCATAAATCTTAGTATGTCTGTAAGAATGGCACCTCTGAAAAGAAATGCAAGTAACTAATCAACCAGAAACAGGAGGTAGCGTGGTTAATGTGTCAACCTAGGACCCAGGAGACCCAGGTTCAAATCTCCTAGTGATGTTGGCCCAGCTGCTATCCCAAGCCTGTGGGGAAATCGTGTATGCTACTTTGCTCATTTATCTATTTATTTTTGAACATTTCTTACTGACTTTTCATTATACAGTGATTTCAGAGCTGTAGCTTAAGTAAGTTCCAAATTCACAATACACTTGCTAAAATCAAGGTATGCAGGTCAGAACCAGCCAACTGAAAATTCAATACTGGGATCAGATTCCAATAAAAGTTTGGACGAATAACAAGGTCATCAGCTGGCAACTACCACTTTCTTTAAAAAAGTAGGTGCCCACCATATCACAGAGGGGATGGAGTTCCAAAATGCTTTCCCCCTAGGGCTCAGCACATAGAAAGCCTGGAACAACAGCCATGGGTGGCATGCATGGGTAACAGGTGGTGGGATGAATGCTCACCCTCTACCCAATTTGGGCCCTCATACAGAAAAGAGCTATTCATATCCAGTTTCATTGGAAGGGGAAAAGACTATTGCTATGGGTGGACTCAGGACTAGTATAATGTAACTGAAAAACTCCTACTGCTGGAAAGCTCTCTCCAGACAAATTTCTAAAGTCTCACCACTCACAACTGGAAAATTATGATTGTGCAGTGATTCAAAATATACAAAAGTGCTCTTGTCTGAAGTGGTTTCACACCTTCAAGTCATCTGATATATATTAATATTTGAGGAAGCAGTCTACAGTCCACAAAAGTTTATGCCATAATAAAAGATGTTAACCTTTCATGTGCCACAAGAGTCTGCTCTAGTACTGGAACAAGTTCAAATTTTTCACTTGTCAAATGTAAGAGTATCTAAAATAACCAGAGCACTACACAGCAAAAGGAGAAAGAGAAGTCCATGCTTGAAGGGCTACAATTTACCCATCTGCAAGAGAACGGGGCACAGGAAGAACAGAAAAGGAGAAGAGAACAAGCCAAGGTCGTATATCACTTAGATAGCACTTCACCTTTCTAAAAATGGGAAGTAGTTGATGGAAAAAATTACTTTAAAAAAATGTCATGGGGCTGGATTTAACTAACTTGTTCTGCTAGTGGAAGGACTCCTGTTAATGCAATGGGGCTCCCCCCCCCCTTTGCCCTGCCTCCCTAAATTCAACTTTGGAGGGTCAGGAGAAACCTCAGTGTCTAGGGCAAGGAGAGGGGAGGTAGTTCCATCAGCAAGAGCATTTCTCCTTGCCTGATGGAAAAATCTTAGTACTTTGCTGTATTCCACTCAAAGTGTTTTGTTCTGTTCTTTGTAAAGATAAGGTAAGGAGCTTAAGCCTCAGAGCACAGTAACAGAAAGCATTACATGCACAAAATGAGTTAGCATAAGAAAGAGCAAGCAGTGAACAGGAAGACCATGAATATCACGGAAAAAGGAATTAAGCTGTTACCCTGAAGAGCTTTCAGTTTTTAATGAGACAACATCAAGAAGACAGAACAACAGTAATGCATGGTTAGTGTGTTGGACTAGGGCAGGGATGTCCAAAGTCTGTTTTAGGGACCTAATCTGGCCCGCCAGTCGATTTAATCTGGCGCCCTTGGCAGTATATGTCCTGGGGTGAAATCCTAAAAAAAAAAAAGCTCAACAACTTTGGTTGGCTCTCACGCATGTTCACTTCATCAAATCTGGCCCTCTTTGAAAAAAGTTTGGGCACCCCTAGACTAGGGCCTGGGTTCAAATCCCCACTCATCTTTGAAGCTCACTGGGTGACCCTGGGCTAGCCACTGTCTCTCAAACTACTTATCTCTACTTCACAAGGCTCTTGTGAGAATAAAATAGGAAGTGTGAGAACGATGTATGAGATGCTTGGGAGGAAATGTGGGCTAAAGATGTGATAATATCACAAAAGGAAAATAAACACCCTTAATCAAATAAAAAAAAGGAGACATGGGCAGCACACCTGACCACTCCCACTTTTCAGTTCACTAATCACAAACAATTAAAAATGCACATTAGAACCATGCCAGAGTCATAGATCAATAAATCATTAAGAGATCAGCTGGACTAACTAGGCCTCTGCACACTTTAAAGGGAAAGAATTTTCATTGCCAAAATGTGCCACTAAACCTTAATGAGCCTCATAATAGTGAGCCTCTGTTGAAACCATCTAGTTATCACTAGTCTGGAAGCTACTGAGAGAGTTAACACCAAGTCTTAATAGATGATATATTGTGCCTTTATACTATTATGCATATTACTAATCAGGTCACTGGACTCCACTCAGCATTGTGCTCCAGGCAAAGCCTTGTTAAATCCCCCAGGGATGTTCATAAACATGAAAGGTTGGTTATTTATATCGATGATGCTCATCCCAGAGCTATGGAAGTCTGAAGCATAATATCTCTAAACATAAAAGATGAATGATAGCTGTAATGGTTGAACAGCCCAGACAGACCGAACATCTAGAAAATGTATCTAAACCTTTTTTTAAAAAAACCACCCTAAGACTAAATATTAGCTTCCCTCTCCACAGAGATATTATAGCACTTAGTGAGCTACAAGATGCCTCATACTATAATGTTTGGAAAGAAATTACGCAAGGTATTGGTACTCATATTAATAGCATGCTATTGATGAGGCCAGCTGCTGAAGTGCAATAAAATATGGAATGCATGAGTAAAATTGAGCTCTCTTCTTAAATTGAGGGGCTACATAACACTGGCTTTCCTATGGCCAGTTTCTTTTCCCACTGCTGTTTCAAATGTGAAGAACTTCTTTCTTATGCTAACACCTGGCGTGGGCTTATAAATTGTGTGTCTATAACCAACGCAAGCTTCACTGCCTGCCAATCTCTCTAGTAAGAAGATGAAAGTGATTTTAACAGGACAGCTGATACAAGTCATCTTTATATTTTTAGGCAGGCTTGTCATTTCTAATGTAAACATCTCAATCAACAATAAATTTTAAAAAGGGCTAGGCATGCTAAATTTTGCTGCTTACCTGAGCAGGAGGTATAGAAGTGGCTGGCAATGGGTTAGAGATCATTGGGCCAAATATATCCAGGTCATCATTCAATACAGCAGCAGGAGTTGTGATGCTTCCATTTGTAACGGAGGAATCGGCAGGGCCATCTTAAATGACAGTGTTTTAAAAGGAAAAACGTTAAACCAATTTTTTGATAATTGCAAAGTATGTACAAAGCAAGCCGTTGCTTAAAGGTATCCTGTGTTGGTAGAAATACCCAAGCATTCATAGCACTGAATCCAGGCTCCTCTAGTATTCTGCCAGCTCGTCGTAATTTAAAAGCTACAACATGCCAACGTAATTAGCAAAATTTGAACGCATTAAAACACAGCCTGAGGCCAACCTAATGGCATCTAAGCTGGTTTAACAGAATTACACATTTCTACAAGCTGCCTAAAGCACTGTTGGTTACCAGCACTGTAACTTTTAAAATAGAAATCCTTCTCATAAGTAACCAAACCCTTTGGACGTAAGCACTGCAATAATTGGCTATATAAATTTTAAGTCTGGAAAAGATCACTACTAAATACATAGGTTGTAAGTTCTTGAGTCAGGATTCATAGCTTATAAATCAAGCCAACAAATACATTGCTGCAACAGATAAAAGACCCTGCAGACTCTCTCAGCCATTGTTCAACTGCTTAGCTATTCTTACAGCCAAAGAACCTCCTTGCACGCCTCCCTCTCATTAACGACAATGGAAGAAAGATCTCTTTCTTCCTTGCAACATTATTCCCAGTATCTTCAAAGGAAAGGCTATACTTATTGAAAAGGGAAAAGAACTACAAAGTTTAAACTTCTTCACATTATCAACATCTTCCTTCAAATCAGACCAGCACTGTCTGATACATTCTGAAACTATTTTTCTTGATTAACTCAGGTTTATGACCTACCATAAAGGCTTCCCTGCCCTCCACCTGAATCGATAAAAGTATCTTCCATTGTGTGTGCACTTAATTTTTACATTTGTGTAGCTGCAATATGACATATTACAGCTCTTTATTAACACCATTATTCTGAAGTCCAAAAATAGTATCCAGGGTGCCCAAAGAACCACAAGTACATACTGCTTAACAGATGCCTAGTCTACAATGGAGAATAGAGGACAAAGTCTACAGTTTCTAGATAGGTGGCCTAGAAGGATACTATACACATCCTATTTTGTATCTCCACATGATTTGAGTCAAGTATTTCAACATATATAGAGCAGAGCCTTTATAATATATTTTCGTTCTCAATGAACAAGCCCTTCAGTGGCAAATGAACAACACATTTCAGCAGTCACTGGGGTATTTTTGCTCACTTCATTCTTCTCTTGTTATGAAAGTAAATGCAAAAGCACTATTGCAACTGTACACTAGGGATTCTACACTGAAGTCAGGCAATCAGTTCTGGTTCCCATAGCAACTGTAAATGTGCCACAATTTATATACTTATTAACCCATAAAGATTAACACCTACTGATAACATGGCATTTGAGGGGAGGAGGTAAATGTATCACAGCTGTACAAACCACAACAATTTCCTAAACACTGGTATTTTTTTATATTTCAAGCATAGCCTCCACAATAACATCAATTCTTTATCAAGTACTAACAAGCTACCTTCCCAATGCTTCCTCTGAGGATAATAAAGCTTTTGGGTTGGCACAAGATCTGACAGCTTCCTTTTGTCACATTCTGTGAATAGTGGCATAAGAAGTGACCACAGGTGCTGCTAATCATAGTTAGCGAAGGGATACTCAAGGTAGAAATCAAGCATCTAGCCAGCTCCAGAATAATCTCTGAATATATTTTTGGTTTCCCATTTCTTATGTTCTGGAGCAGAATCATCATCATCATCATTTTGACCATCCATTTCTAACTGGTGATCCTTAATGAAAACACACTTATTTCTCAGAATGCTATATATTTTGGAGTTGCCAAAGCTAAGGATAAAGAGATAAGATAGTAAGATCATGCAATGAATTTTTATATAGTCATTACAATACAGAAGCATACCTATTCATCTTACTCCTAACCTTTTCTAGTTCTAGCTAGGAAAATAACTTAAAGATGGCAAAATTAAAGCTAAACCAAAACCTGGTTTTCAAAACAAGTTCGGGCAACTATGAGTATGAGTAAACAGGGGTAGAAGGGTTTTTTTCCCCTTTCCATTTTAATTTCTGTAAGCCATTCGGGAAACATGTTTTTGCTGAACAGCTGCAAATCTATAAATTTATAAAATGTACACCTGACAAGAAGCCCGTTCAGAAGTTACATACGAAGTCAAAATCTCAATCCGGCAAGTGTGTCTTGGGCACACACACAGACGTACACAATCTACTACTTGTTCCTCACTTTATTTTACTACAGGGAGAAAGTAATCTAGGCTTTACCTTGCAGTTCACTACAATATGAGTAATGGCAGATGTTTGAGGGGGAAAAACCTAAAAAGGTTTCAAGAGACAAAGTCAGGGACGACACATCTACAGATACCTGAACCTACTTATACCTTATGAGTACAGGGTATTGGAGATAACCTAGCAGCTGCTTCGGTTTTTGCACCAAACTCTCCCTTGCTACATACAGCTCTAGCTGCTGTGTTTTATGCTGATTTTAGCTGTCTGTTGTTTTTTTTTATAAAAAAAAAACCTGGGCTTTGCGATTTATTATTCAGTTTTAAAGGGTTTTATTGTAAATTGTCTTCTGTATTTTACTGTCTATGTAAACTGCCCAGAGAACTTCTTTATTATTAATGCTGCATTCCCAGAATTGCAGAGGAGAATAAGCTGAACCAAAAAATCTCAAGGGATATATTGCTTATCCAGAAAGCTTCCAGGCAAGGTATTGTTTCTGAGGTGGGTAAATGACACTAAGCATGATAGGCATCCTCTGAAATGGCTGGCTAGCTTATTTGATTAGCAGTCATATTCTAATATCTATTGAACTGCTTTCTGCTCTTCTTGTAATTGAAGGTTAATAAGGTTACATATTTCACTTGTTTTCAATAAGCATCTTCCTTATCTTCCATCATTCTTATGATAAATTTGAAGTGAAAGAGCATAGTAATTTACTTATGCCCCCACAGAAAGGTTGAGACTATCCATTTTAATGCTAATACACTGTGATGGTTACTTCAACATGTGCAACCATCCATACTCATCTCTTGTTTTTTGTGTAGTACATCTAACTGGTAAATGATGCATCAAATGGCAAACGAGTTTTGCTTCTTTTGCAAATTCAACCTTTCAACATGATGGAAAAGCTAATACTTAAACATTCTGCAGCGTTGCAAAACATCTCACAATATAAGGTGTGCCATTTTTAGAAAGTAAAAGAAAGGGAGTTATCTGCAAATTGGAAAACCCAGGTCTGCTATTCTTCGAATCATAGAATTGTAGAGTTGAAAGGGACCCCGAGGGTCACCACTACAGATCTATCATTTCACTTACTTTTATATACTCATAATGAAATAACAATTATTTGTCTGTAGTTATATTTTAAAAAGGATGCTGAGATGGAAAAGAACCAAAATGCACCGTTCACTGAGGTGCATAACTTAGCAGTTGGCAAGGTATGTAGTTCTGCACAGAGAGACCACCACAATCATTCTGGCAAAGCACCTAACTATGAAACACATTGATAAACATTCTATATTTATAACTATCCTCTTAGAATGTAAGACCGTTAGTACTCAAGAGAATGTGATTTACCTGTACCTGGGGTTTATGGTCCATCTATTCACACCCGTGCAATAAAGCAGAACTCCCCTGGGTTCTTCGGCCACTGGGGTGATATTTATATACTGATGCAACAAGGCCAAAATTCTAACAATGCAGCAGCTTCTAGAGTACCTTTATATTTGTAATGCATGAATGCATTTCTCGTAATGATCTATAGCAGAAGAGGAAATGCAGACAGGCAAGGATGGCAAAGAGTCCCAGTAACAGGTAAGTGATGCCCTTGCTGTGCACAGGCACAAGGGGAATAAGTTGCTGCTCTTCAGAATACGGCAGAAAAGCCTAACCAACAAGCGAGGACTGCTTCCCTGAACTGCTAAGGGATTAGGAGCTGTTTAAATTCCTTAACTGCCATGATAAATCCGCAACTGCAAACTGAAGCTCTGGGAGGGGAATCAGCCCCCTTAACAAACACCAGTTCTTAGGATTCCTTGGATGGAAGCTTGACTGTTTAAAGTGGTATGATAGTGCTTTCATTGTGTAGTAAAGATGGGGCCTAAGCTGTTCGATCAACTGGATTTGGACAGAAGAGCCACATTTCTGAGATACTAACTTCTCCTCCAAAACTGCTTATATTATATAAACTTATTAAGATTTCTTTGTATGTTTGCAGAAGCCATTCAATCATGTTATATTATTAGTTCAACTGAAAGTTTATTTACAGCAAGTGTTTTAGAGGAACAGGATTCTTGAGTCAAACTACAGTCGTACTCGTTTGTTTTGGCTCCTGAATGCCACACCCCCCAGAAGTGAGTGTTCCAGTTTGCGAATGTTCTTTGGAAGCTGAACGTTTGACGCGGGTTCTGTGGCTTTCCATTAAGTGCAGGAAGCTCCTGCAGCCAATCAGAAGCTGCGTCTTGGCTTTCTAAAGTTTTCGGAAGTTGAACGGACTTCCAGAACGGATTCCATTCGACAATCAAGGTAAGACTGTACTGTACTTAAAATGCATCAGACTTGTTGAAATGAAACAGGCTAACCTATCCTCTTGGTGCAGCCCAGCCAGAAACGTTTGAAACTTGTTTTGTACATTTCCATCAATGTGCTGGCTCAATAAAAATATGCAATCGTAGCCACATTTATTGTCACTTGCTTTCTCCTGTGGTATTTCATACTTCAGTCTATCACAGGACTCAAGACTCTAAGCTCCTACACTAGAAGAGGCATTAGTTACACAATTAAGATATGGCAAGCTAACAGAGGTTATTCAGATTGGTTAAACTTGGTCTGATCTACTCTAAAAAATAATATCCCATGAATGCTAGACTAGTTTGAACAAAAGCAAGCATTTGACATGTAAACAGTTGCTTTTCCAAGGTAAAAATTTAAGTAAAGCCCAAATGTAGTGAAAGAAGGGGATAATTCAACAGTAAACCTGCACAGAAATGACTGAATACACAGCAGCACTGGAGTACCATTCAAACAAAATAAAAGTGAAGGAAGAATATGTAAACAGGTTTGGATTAAGTAAGTACTCAGGCAGAATTGTTTCTGATTAGGCTCCACACTGAAGAGCTGGCTTGGGAATGGTATGATTTAGGTTACAGCTAGACTTCTGAAAATGTTGGCCAACGCCTGGGACTTTGAGCAGTTTACCATGAAGGAATTAATTATAAAATGTTTTGAATATGGTAAGATAGGAGAAACTCTGGACATTCCATAAGAAGAAAACTGTCACCTTGCACAAGTTCCTAGAAGCATGATTTTGCCAAGGGATTCTGTTTTTATTATTTTCTGAAAAGCACACGCCATCTCACTTCACAACTAGCTACTTAAATTCAATAATTTCAAAAATACAGTGGTACCTCGGGTTAAGAACTTAATTCGTTCCAGAGGTCTGTTCTTAACCTGAAAATGTTTTTAACCTGAGATACCACTTTAGCTAATGGGGCCTCCCACTGCTGCTGCACCGCCACCGCACGATTTCTGTTCTCATCCTGAAGCAAAGTTCTTAACCAGAGGTACTATTTCTGGGTTAGCAGAGTCTGTAACCTGAAGTGTCTGTAACCTGAAACATCTGTAACCCGAGGTACCACCGTAATTGGGAGGGAGCTGCCATTTAAGAAATCTAATTACAAAGGGCAGGCAAAATTAGTTGCATGGATATTTAGGATGGGGACATACAACAGAACTTGTACAAGGTTCACTTGGATATTAGAAAGGTTTGTACTTCAATAAAACAAGACTATTTTTAAACAACAGATTTTTTTTAAAAAAGCTTGAGCTCACAGTCCTTTGAAGATCACTTTGATAGCGTCTCACTCCCTAAGGAGCTCATTACTTATAGTTTAGTAGACAGCACAGATCTGCTTCAGTTTTTCTCTCTAAGTATATTAGCAGACTACAACACCATTTACAGATTAACCAACAATGTTTTCCAGCATGTGGGGGTGAAACCCCTTTAATTATTGCAGCATAGGTCTTGCCATTTTTCTGCAATGCAAAACAAAGAATTAACTACTTACCAAGTCCCAAGAGATCGACAGTGGATTCTGGAACTTTCTTAGGACTTGCTTTAAGTTCCAGTTGTTGATCCTCTTTCTTTGGAAGCTTTATTTTGTAAGAAAAGGAAAAGATAATTAAGATTCTTATAGAAACCAAAATATAATGAATAACTGACCTCATCCAGTCTCACATTTCATTTGAACCTCTTATTTTTAAAATTAGTGTCACTAGCATGTACAGGAGGTGGTTTGGCGAAAAGTATGACAAAATATAATGTTTCGTTGCAGTGTTTGAGCTAGTGTTATAATGGCACATGTCCAAGTAATCAAAATACTACACATACATTATTGCAACAATCCTTATAACAGCCTTCCTATTATTCTCCTCCTAATGCAGATGGAGAGTTGAGAAGAGTTGTTTGCCTAAAGCTACCTAGCACATTCACAGCTGAAACGTAACTTGAACTGGGGACCTCCTGGCCCACAGCTCACACACTTCACCACTAAACAACTATTGTCATGTGTTATACTTGTACACATACAACAAAGAAGTAAAGATTAAACTGTCAAACTAGGACAAAAAGGACAAAGACTAAAATCCCCACTCAGCTCTGCCATTAAGCTCACCAGCTATCCCTGGGATAGTTATCATTCCTCAGCCTAGCCTTTGCTAAAAAGTTGTAGTGAAGATAAAATGTGGGGACAGAAACCACAAACACTGCTCTGAATTACTTGGAGGAGGACTGGGATATAAAAGTAATAATAATAAATAACACATTAATCTACAGAAAAATCATACTGATGCGTTATCTCAGGCAGGATGAACACCACAAATGATGGTTATTATTGAACATTCTACTTATTGTGGCACAAGGAAAAGACACTTTGGTTTATTTCCCCAGCCATTTAATTTTAAAAATCTTTCCAGCTGGATGGAATTGTTTTAATCCTTTTATTATTCTCTTTATTTATTATTATGTTAAAATTATCTGTTGATTTTATTGTTTTTATAGTGTGGTTTTTGTAACCTGCCCAGGAAACGATTTTACAATGAAAGGTGAGGTGTAAATTCATAAAATAATACATTTCACAGTGTTTCCTAATGAATTAACATATCCTTTCCCCAGAGGTCTAGAGCTAAAGCACCTTGTGTGAATTATGCAGGACCTTTTTATATAAAGAAGGTTCCCCATGTGAACTTGAACTGAATAGCTTAGCAATATATTTTACTATAAACTATATTAAGTTTCTATTTCAAAATATTAGATTCATTTACATATTATTATTCATCTAGGGATTTGAGCGGGGGAGGATTAATGCTCTAAATAAGTAAGTTTCATCTTGTACAATGCTATATTGTGGAAACCACATGGTTAAGCGCCAACACAGCCAGGGCAGAACAAAAGGATTGGCTAATGTGTTGCTCTCCAGATGTTGTTGAACTACTATCATCCCTAACTATGAGTCATACTGGCTGGGGCAGATGGGAATTGTAGTCCGACAGCACATGGTGGGGATTGCTTTGCCTATCTTGCCCTGAAGTATATAGTACAAGGCAAATGAAACCACCTTGTTAAGTTGCATGTGTCAACTGCTATCCTATTGAACAGGTAACTACTATGGGTTCACATATGCACTGCCGTTTTGTGCTGACTGCAACATTAAGAGATACTTCACCATAGCCACCGTAGTTCAAATACCGCACATAAAACTGCAGTTAAAAAAATTCCAGGGTGGTGGTGGATGATGACAGTTTTGCTTCATCTTCAGCATATTATTATTAATTATAATTACTTTATTTCTAAAGTGTCCTTCATCCAAATGTCACATGGTGGTATACAATATAAAACCAATAAAACTTACAACAAAAATTAAAAATCCATCTTTTAAAAAAATAATAAAGTTAGAATCAGAGTAAATTCAGCTAAACCAATCAGTGGAGATCAGTTTCAAGAAGTCGAAAACAGATATACAACTTCCTGCAAAGGGCAGAGAAAATTATGTATTTTTGAGAATTTATATTTTTGAAAATTAATATTTACCATAATCCATATCTACATTATATTAAACTGAAAGCCTGAACACTGCAGTTGTAAAGCAAACCCTTTAGGAAGCATGGGGTGTCTGTAGATGAAGCAACTGCTATTATTAAAATGCTTATGTGCTGCCTTTTTATTTAAAAATCTACAAGGCACCCAACAATCGCTAAAATAATACATTAAAAGCAACAGTCCAGGCAGTATAATTAAAACTGGCAGCAACACCTCCAGACATCTGAAACATCAACAGCAGGAGCAAAATTAAGCCAGTCATAGTACTCTGAAGAGCAAACGAATGCCACCACCTTGGGTAACTGCCGTAAGTGACAGGGAAGGGTTTGATAAATTTGGCAGCACTCTTAAGAAGGCATTACCATATCACCACCAACCATACTTCAGTGAAAAAGGGCATGTGAAACAGGGCCTCCAAGGAAGATTTTAAACTTGATGATATTACCGTGCATTCCAGTCAGATTACAGGAAATGGATAAAAATACTGAAAAGAAGCTTGGGACAATTTTCATATTCTTACAGACAAGTGGCTTTATTTATCACAAGCACTATGTTGTTACATGTGTGAATGGACATTACATATCTAACATCATAGAGAAAATATTCAAACCACCTCAAACACAGTGCTCCTTCAACTGAAGCATCAATATGACAATTAAGAAATTATATTAAGTAAATGAAATTATCGATTTGGAGCTTGAACAGATCAACCATTGCACCCATTCAATGAACCAAGTTGAGAGGAAGAAGGGTGCAACACCTAGTTTGATGAAAAGTCTAAAGCAAATCTGTTAAATGGTATGCTTACGAATTTAGTATTTTTTTAAAAAAAATATATGCCATGCCACACAATATTATTATATTTTACTGCAACAAGAAAAAGTCCTACTATAATAACATGTTAATTAAATGGGGGCAGGGAGCCCTGCTTAGTTTGAACCTTAATAAACCTAGAATAATAATATTGCCAATTAATATAGTTGTATATACTTGGCTGGGTTTATACAACTCCAAGGATTAATTTACTAGGATATGGAACTGATCATGGCAGCTGGAGAACAAAAGCATTATAGAACTTGCCATTACAATTCTTCCAGAGAATCGAAAAATACCGATCGTCAGTAGAACAACATAATGTAGTCAAGCCACATACTGCTCCCTATGATAATTGCTCTTCTAAGTTCAACATGTCCTTGCTGCCAGCACCACAGGAGATATTTAAAGCTGCTCGCAAGAGTTCATTGATCCAATACAGGCTTCACAGTGAAAAAGTAAGATTTAAGGTGTAAAAATATTATACTTAAGACCAGATAATGTCCAGATTATTTCAAATGAACCTTTAGACAACTTGAATGTAATCCACCGGGCCTTCTATCACATAGGGCAGTCTATATCCCAAACCTCTGCAGAAAATCAATTTTACAATGTTTTAACTCTAGTAAAGTTAAGGCTATCAGAACCTTTCTTTTATTAGCTTTGGTATCAACAACAGTACAGAGCAGGTAGAGCGACTGTGCGTTATTCAGCAGTGGCAGCCCCAAAAATGTGTGTGGAACTCAAGGGTTGTATCCAGTACAGCACGAGTGGCTTTCTGCTCATGCAATTGGATTTACCCTTCCTCTCCTCTCCCTGCATGGCCCCAAAAACTTATCCAGAGGGTTCCTCAACCTTGTGGATGGTACATGGGAAGCTTTGGGGAGAGGAGAGGGGGAAATTCTAATGTGCAAGCAGAAGTCTGTTGTAGAAGCAAAACAGTAAAACTGGCCATTAAAAAAAAAAAACTTTTCTAAAATTTTCCAGACTAACCTAACGCTAAATATTCAGCGAGAGAAAGAGTGAGGGGGAGGAGTGCTACAAAGAGCTACAAATAAAATGGCTGGTTTCACTTGGTGAAATGGTGCTAAATTTGAGCTGAAATCGCAGTGATTTTCAACCAATTTGAGTGCTGGGCTGAGTAACATAAAATGGTATGCTTCAGTAACTGTAAGCCGCTTATATGATTATACTGTTCCCTACTCTCTTTTACTAACAGTAAAATCTCAATATATTTTAAAATGGAGAGCATTAAGAGCCTAAGACCATTAAAACAAAAGAAAGCAAAAAACTCCATAGGTATTAAGACTAAAAGTTGGTGAAATGAACATGTCTTAACCTCACTCCTAAAAAACAAAAGAGACCAGTCTAAACTCCACTGGGACACAACCCTGTCCAGAACAAGTTTTACTTCCAATGCCAAGGCAGCATTTCTACTGATCATTAGTACCTTTGCCTTGCCTGGATTAAGCTTCATTCCAGTACTGAAAGTTCTCATATCCAAGTACAAATTAAGTATTCTCTAAAGTTACGATTAGTAAGGACACGGGTGGCACTGTGGTCTAAACCACAGAGCCTAGGGCTTGCCGATCAGAAGGTTGGTGGTTTGAATCCCAGCGACAGAGTGAGCTCCCGTTGCTCAGTCCCAGCTCCTGCCAACCTAGCAGTTCGAAAGCACAAAGTGCAAGTAGATAAATAGGTACTGCTCCGGTGAGAAGGTAAATGGCGTTTCAGTGCACTGCTCTGGTTTGCCAGAAGCAGCTTAGTCATGCTGGCCACATGACCCGGAAGTTGTACACCAGCTCCCTCGGCCAGTAAAGCGAAATGAGCGCCGCACCCCCAGAGTCGTCCACGACTGGACCTAACGGTCAGGGGTCCCTTTACCTTTAAAGTTATGATTATTTTTCACTGGCATTTAAGAAATAATAATAGTCACTTTAGAAACAGCCAGGAAGTGACAGAATGTAGTTTACCAAATTCAAAGTCAAAATTTAGATGCTCATTCGATGTCTAATTTGCTTTAAACATTTTGCCTCTAATAAGAACTCTTCTAATAAGTTCGTCTTCTAATGTGGTACTGCAAAAAGCTTTCTTTAAAATATTTAAGGTTGATTTCTACTAAGTTTGGAACTAATTTAAGGCTTCCCAAATTATTGAACAAAACCTTCTTCTACTCTCATTAAGAACAAACTATGTTTATATAGAAAAGTAACTGGATTCATTCCCCCTTTATTGCACTGATGGCAATAACGTTTATAAATGATTGCCTAAACATTTGAGAACTCCCTTAAGGCAAGAAAGTAATGTTAGCAATTTTCTATAAATCTTCAGTGGGCCTGCAGATATTTTTCTCTGACAGCTCATATGCCCTTTTCATACCACTTACTTCAATAAGCATGCATTTTAAAAAAGCTATTACTCATGCTGAAGCTTCTCATCTGAAAAAGCTGTTCAACACACCTTTCAGCCCTTTTTGTTAACAAAATATATAAATGTATAGTACTAGTGCAACCTTGTCAGTTAACATTTCTTTATTTCTCCATAATATCTGAATCAGGAGAGGCAATGCAAGCACTGAAGCAGTTCTTGAATGCAGTGGTGGAGTAAACGAGAACCAATCAACTGAGATTATATCCTGGGAAGATTTGAGATTTTGTGGGTAGGTCACTCCCATGACCAGAAGCCTGGCCAATTGCCTGCTGTGGCTGGATGGGGTTCTTCTCTAAAGGAGCAGGCACTTCTTTTTATTGCTAATTATGTGTTTGGGTGAGTGACCTTCATGAATATAAATGCTGCTTAAAGAAGCAATACAAATCCTTTGGGTTCCTTTTTAGAAACAGCCCTAAATACAAATGACTGCATCAGCTGTCAATAAACATGAACCATTATCTAACTTGTGCTCTAGGTTCTCGACTAGGTTCTACATAGGTAAAGGTACCCCTGCCTGTACAGGCCAGTCTTGACAGACTCTAGGGTTGTGCGCTCATCTCACTCTAGAGGCCGGGAGCCAGCGCTGTCCGCAGACACTTCCGGGTCACGTGGCCAGCGTGACGAAGCTGCTCTGGCGAACCGGCACCAGAGCAGCACACGGAAACGCCGTTTACCTTCCCGCTATAAAGCGGTACCTATTTATCTACTTGCACTTAAGGGTGCTTTTGAACTGCTAGGTGGGCAGGAGCTGGGACCGAACGACGGGAGCTCACCCCGCCGTGGGGATTCGAACCGCCGACCATGTGATCGGCAAGTCCTAGGCGCTGAGGTTTCACCCCAGGTTCTACATAACTAGCAATAAAAAGAAAATAATTTGTTTGGCATTATGTACAAGCCTATGTTTTCTCGAGTGATATATAAAACTGCCTACCAGGAAAGAGGAAAATATCCACTCCACTGTGGAAGAAAAATATTTTCCCCTTCTTCAAGGAAGCCATCCTTGACCAAGGTTTGGGAAAGGACAGTGGTACCTCGGGTTACATAAGCTTCAGGTTACAGACTCCGCTAACCCAGAAATAGTACCTTGGGTTAAGAACTTTGCTTCTGGATGAGAACAGAAATTGTGCTCCGGCAGCGCAGCGGCAGCAGGAGGCCCCATTAGCTAAAGTGGTGCTTCAGGTTAAGAACAGTTTCAGGTTAAGAATGGACCTCTAGAACGAATGAAGTTCTTAACCCAAGGTACCACTGTATTTACTGGATGCTAAAGTGTTTTAAAAGGAACATTTTCCTTATAGAATTGAACACACCTATTCTCCAAGTTTTCATTAGCTACATTCCTTGTTCCAAATTCTACTTAGCTATTGTTCACTTACATGTTTCTTGCCTTGATTTACTTAATTTATTGCTTCTTATCTGTACAGATTAAGAATACATTAAAATAGGCAGAGAACACTACTATTTAATGAAAACTTGAGCTGAAAGTTAAAGTACGTAAACTAACTTGTGTATGAACAACCCGTGATTTGCCCATATCCAAATTACAGCAATATATAAACTCAGGTATATCTTAAAATATACTGGCATCACATATGTCCACTTACAATGGAAGTCTTTACACATGGGACAAACTATTTTGTTTTTTATTTCGATGATTTGTATACTGCTTAATCAGTCATCTCTAAGTGGTATACAGGAGATACAATAAGACTAAAAATAACTTAAAAGTATAAATGCAGAATTTAAAAACCCACTGGAATAAAACTAATAGCTATTTGCCCTAGGTGACCAAAGCTGTTGCTTTGAGTAGGAAACACATTCATCTTACATTATGCACCATACATTCTTATTTATGCATCTATGTTAAGACATAAGTCAGTTCCTTATAAAACCATTTGAGTTTTCTCATCTTTTAGTAGAATCCTGCAAAAGACTCAGCCTAGCAATTTAATTAATTAATTAATTAATTAATCTAATCATAAATCTGCTACGTATTAGTGTCCATCAATGCAAGCATCTACTAATTCTGGGGCACATGATCAGATTTATCTTCAAAGCATCATATCAGAATGTTGGCATCCGTCTGTCTTAAGAGACAATGAACTGTGCCTCCGGGGTGAAGTCAAACCGCTGTGTTAGCAGCATCAAAGTGACCGCCCCAGAATGCAAGCCTAGCCAGTGAGTATGGATCTCCCTGGATGCCCAGACGAGAAGACCCCACTGATGTGATCCAAAGGAAAGCAGAGCAGTATGTTTGGCACCAGCTTGGCTGCAGTAGAAGGAGGCGTACAATGCACCATCCAACCATCTTAGGGGCTCCACTCCAGATTTGTATAGGATTTACACCTTTGCTTTTTTCTTCTACTGAAGATATCCCACAAAGCAGCAGAGGTTTAGGATCAGTTTTCCTTCTCCTAGAAGGGCTACCATCTAGGAGATGCTGCTGGGTAGTTAATGTAAACCAGTGTGGCCCTTGAGTTAATGAAAATGTATTAAATGGCTGTCATCTCATCCAGTCCAGCATCCTGTCTGAACTATGCTGGGATAGAACTCTACCTATGTTCCAATGACCAGCGTCTTGGCCTTCTTGATATTCTTTCCCACAGACTCAATTACTGATGCAGTTACAGCAATATGCCACAAAACCACAATATATCCATGCACTTCTGGAAATACCACCATATTAAGACCATTAAGTGAAGAGCTTAAAATAATGTTTTAAAATATCTAAATAAATCCACACAGCTGGGTCTGCATGATTTTAAAGGTAAACCCATATACTTTTCCTAACTACAGGCTTAACATTCCTCAATCCATTTTTGTTGTTTCATCACCTCTTGCTCATTTAATTCCATCCATAAATGGTTATGCTGTCATTATTTTATTTATAAATCATCAAAAAGAAGGAGGAAATATCAGCATTCAGTTTTCTTTCCTTGTTTCTTTCTAGGCTAGCACAAAAGCAGGCAATTGATCAATATAAGATGTGCCAAGCAGGCTTGAGCAGTTATTTGTTTTGCAGTGTCCAACATGGGAATTAATGATTTCACAACACATCCTGGATAACAAAAGTCATTCTCAGAGCCTTCTCTGACCCACAGACATTAAGGAGCAAAGTGTTAGAAAAATGTCATGCATTCATTGGACTGTATTAATAACACACCAGAACAGCTAGGCAATGCAGCCTATGAATTTCACTATGAACACTTTTCAAATATATTCTAATGGATGCAGTTAAACTGTAATAACTCTACAGAGAACCAAAATGAGAATCAATAAGCAAGGAAATCTTTCTAGTTGGACTACCTTTGATGGTATTATGTAGAATTAATACATAATTTACTTCCATAAAAGCTGAAAAGATGGTTACAAAAAGAAGTATTTTTCAACCTCAGTGGAGAAAATGAAGGAATATTTTAACTTAGTTTTTCAAGATCCTTGTCTCAGTGGTAAGTTGAAAGCCATATAAATCACCACTGCTGGAAAAGCCACAGCTTCTGGAGGAATAAAAGATGGACAGGCTGCTTATTGGCAGCTGAAGGTCTTTAGGTATTAGTCTATAAAGCCACACAACTCTCATCCCTCCCCACTGCATATTATTCTAGAAATTGAGACAACGTATGCTGCAGAGGAACTGCAAAAAAAATATGAGAGGACAACTTAACTTTTTTCCCACTTGAAAATGATGTCATGCTTAAAAGTTCCAGCAGGTATTTGTGTGGCTTTCTTAGAGCACTTTGGCCCCATACCAGAGTGGTAGGCAATTTTCTGTTGATAGATGACTAAAGATTCTTTTGGAGATGGGGACTTGTGGATAGGCTGATATATAGATTAAATATTAGAACTTTCTCCCTCCCCACCCCACCAGCCAAGACACTGTCAAACTATAAGGGCTAGAAGCATGGATTTCTTAGGATTACACTGGCTGTTCAAAACATTTTATGGACTATTAAGCAGCCTGGACAGCATATTTTATGGGCCTCTGCTCTGGTAAACATGGAAATTCTTTTGTCTTGCCTTCATTGGTTACACATTCTTTTGGAGAATAGAGAATGAATACTGAACATGCATGTTTAGTGATAAAAAAAATCCAGCCCTCTCCCATCTCCTTATATAAGCTATATATACTGCTGTTGTTCTCTGTAAATGTATTCAACTATGATAATTACCAGCAATTGTTTCACTCCATCAGACTGCAGATTTGCAGTTCATATTATTAAAAAGCTTGTAACTTGTTCTGACCCTCACTGCCAGAAGCCAATCTACGATGCTATGATTACTGGCCACATAAATTAATTTTATTTGCCTTTAAGCTGTCACTTAATCTTTTAGTATCCATAATTGCTGCGTGAACAAGAACTGCCACTCAAACCAAGATTCAGAGAACACAAATTTTATCATGATAATGAATGTTTTTTTTAGCCCTCCCTCACTACAAAGGTGAGATACATCTTTTGCTGCATATCTTTTGCTGCATATCTGTTTGTTACTCCAGCCTAGTTTGTTAAGAATAACATTGAAGGTAAGGTTGGGAAATCAGAACAAAATTTATGTATGATGGTAAAATGTGTGTACGTAGAAAAATGGAAAATGTATACACAATAATTTTAAAAAGAAAAAGAAAAACCTGAATGTATTTGTTGTAATAAAACAAAATATATAAACACCAAACATTGTTACAGCTAATTTCAACATAATGAGGAATGGCTTTGAAGTTTTGCTGAAGGAGGGAAAGGCAATGTATGAGTGATCTTGCACATATGATTTTAATCCCTGGTGAAACATTGGAAGGGCATGCATGCCACAATCTTCCCTGCAGTGAGATGCATATGCTGTCTGCATCCCACTGTGAGGAGAAAACAATTGTTAGCTATAGAAAAGGGATGCAGAAAGTCTAATCACTCTGAATGCAACTTCTATGTTAACTGAATAATCACTGGAAAGCATTTCTGTTGTCATTTTAATTTCGTGTTTAATCCAGCCTCCTTTTTCCTTGTAACCCATACCATGAAATCTTTCTCTTAAGCCTCTTTATTCCCATCTTCACTTCTTGGCATGCTCTGCTTACTCAATAGGATGCCTTTTCCTTCTGTACCATCACAGTCTGCATGTCCATCTGTATCGCTCCCCTTTTCTGTTTCTAATACTGAAACATTTGCAGCCCCATTTCCTAGCGGCACTTTCTTTTTCCAGATCATAGAGGCTACCCTTTCCCCCCCTCCCCAGGCACAATCATCTTTGTCTGCCCCATCTCTCAGCTATCACCTCTTTCTTCATCCCAGAGGTCTTACCATATCTAACCTTAACCACATTCTAATCTTCACAAACCTGAAGTCTGAAGCTGCTGTTTACTTCCATTTTTCTTTCTTCATCCTACTCTCTCACACACCCTTTCCTTCTTTCATTAAAAAATATGTGTGTTTGCTCCATTTCTGTCTCTATCTCACCTCTCTCTCACTTTATGCCTCCTTGGTTCAGCAGGAGCACAATATAAGTCCTTCACTATCCTAGCAATTCACGCTAGTGAAAGGGAAACAAGGGAAAGAGAAACCTGTAGCATGGATGGCTGAACTGGGACCATTCCAGCACACAGTTCTGAATTTAGGGAAAGGAGTTCCAATGCAGACACTGCTCCATCTGCACTGTTCCACGTATCATTGGATTTGGTATCCCAAGTCTACTCCCACTTTCTGATGGGGTTGGGAGTGCCTATGATTTCCCCAACAAGATATGGGAAAGGGTCATGGACAGCAAATATGTGTAATTCCTTCAAGAGGCTGCAAACACAAAAGACACATGTACACAGACCCCAATCAAGATTTGTGGAAGGGCTGCAGCTCAGTGGTAAAGAACATGAATTCCCTGGCACCTCCAGGTAGGTAAAGATGTCTGGAAAAGATTTCTGTCTGAAACTCTGGAGAGCTGCTGCCAGTCAGTGTAGAAAACAACACTGATATAGATGGTCTGACTCAGTATAAGACAACTTCCTATGTTCTTAGGCCTGCATAAGAAGAACAAAGAGCAGATACACAAGTCGTTCATGCAGTTGCTTGCCCTGCTTCAGTGTAACATCAAGCACTGCTTAGTGACTGCAGCATCTATGGGAGAGGAGGACAAGCTGAGCTAAAAATCTTATACAGGGTGTGAAAAAAATGGCTGTACAGTGGTACCTCAGGTTACATACGCTTCAGGTTACAGACTCCGCCAACCCAGAAATAGTATCTAGGGTTAAGAACTTTGCTTCAGGATGAGAACAGAAATCGTGCTCCGGCGGTGCGGCAGAAGCCGGAGGCCCCATTAGCTAAAGTGGTGCTTCAGGTTAAGAACAGTTTCAGGTTAAGAACGGACTTCCGGAACGAATTAAGTACTTAACCCGAGGTATGACTGTATACTGTAGGTTAACTGAGAGATAGGAAACAAAACCCTAACTACAGTAGGAGTGACATGGGTTAACTGTAAATACTGAGTTAAGATTATTTGCCTAGTTTGGCAGGAAGTTCCCAATACAGTGGTACCTTGGTTTACAAACTTAATCCGTTTCGGAAGTCCGTTCTTAAACCAAAACCATTCTTAAATCGAGGCGTGCTTTCCCTAATGAGGCCTCTTGCCGCTGGTGGCCTTCCACTGTTCGGATTCTGTTCTTAGACCGAGGAAAAGTTCTCAAACCAAGACACTATTTCCAGTTTTGCAAAGTTTGTAAACCAAATCGTTCTTAAACCGGATTGTTCTTAAATGAGGTACCACTGTGCTATCAAAAGAGGTCTGGTCTTGGATACAAAGGCTCAAAATAAAAGATCAGCCATCACTCCTTCAGGAATCTATAGACTATCGCTTCCAGTAGTAAAACATGTTCTATTTCAAAACTTAAAGAGCAATTCTTTTGACAAAAAATCTCCGCACTCTTCATTCCTCTGGTTTTCTTCTGGACAAAAATAATCCTTTTATTTATTAATAGCATCAATAGGAGCGAAAAGGGGGTGCTTCACAATAAAACAACAGCATCTTAGAACTCACTGCATTCCCATAAGTTGAACTAAACACACTGCTTTGATCAAATTAGTACCCATGTACAGATCAAAGAATAGGGTAGCTTCCATGCCTCCATTAATTTCTAGTACATTTCTCTGTACAAGGTTAAAACAATAACTGTCCCTGAAGAATTCACAACGCTCTAGAAAACTAAAAGAGCAATTGGCAACAGTTGGCTGTACAGGATGATTTAAAACAGATTTGGAACCCTGCTATACTGTCATCTTATGCAAGCCAAGCTCCCTCTTATTAAAAGGCACAGCAAATCACTCTCTTTTTCCAGATAACCTGTGCCAGCTATTATTAGCACGAAAAGGCAGCTGAAGAAGAGACCCAAGGCCATCCGAGAATGAGAGAATGGAAGTTTCTTTCCTCTTGTGGATACATTTGATGGAAGCTGTCATGAGCTTTTTTTGTCTCATTAGTATTTCCAGCTGAGATTTCCATGCAATTCATGCTGCTAGGTAGCAGTGTCATATTTAAGCTTTCAAAATTATTCAAATGACTTCTATTTCATGCATTTTAAACACACATTACAAATAGCAATATACACAAAAAATATATTTTAGTAAGAGAAAAAATTAGCTTACTTTTTCAACTCCTAAGCATTTCAAAGGTTTTTCTGGCTCTCTATCTTTCTTTTTCTCTTCCTTCCTTTTTTCCTTTTCCTTCTGTGGGAAAGATGTTCTGTTATCAGTTTTAGATACGATAATCATTTAAAACACTGACAGCCATAGTTTCATCCAAGATAATGTTAATTTACTTAGGCATATTTATACCTTGCCTTTTAGCTGAAGCTCCGAAACTGGCGGAAAATGTATTGCAAATACAATAAAATAAATAATACAATAGTTACTGTAACAGGGTAAAAGTGTACTTAAGTGGTCTCCCTTGTTCTTTGATGTTCCAATGGCCACTTAGCAGCTGAATTGCCTGGCCTGGAACTGACTGTTGAAGAGGCAGATATTGGTTGCTCTTAGGCCAAGACTTTTTTTACTTGCTTGTTGCTGCTTATGTCTTTCACAACGTCTGGCTCTTGAGACAAATGCATAGATTTCAAAAAGACACTCACTGAGGATTGCAGGATCACACTAAGCTCTCAAATATTTTCTTCAGATGTAATAGTTCAATGTCATAATCTGACTGTGTCTCACAGCAATTCAAATTCCTGATAAATGGTAGCGGTCTTACCCGGGTAATTTAAAGTACCCTAGGAGGACAATGAAATTGGGTTTCAGTACCATCCCCTGTCTTGTCAAGCCTCAAAACAGTGTAGCATTACACCTGCACTAACTGTGGAAAGGTATCAAAACTCCACAAAGGTAAAGGGTAAAGGGACCTCTGACCATTAGGTCCAGTCATGACCGACTCTGGGGTTGCGGCGCTCATCTCGCTTTATTGGCCAAGGGAGCCGGTGTACAGCTTCCGGGTCATGTGGCCAGCATGACTAAGCCGCTTCTGGCGAACCAGAGCAGCGCACTGAAACGCCATTTACCTTCCCGCCGGAGCAGTACCTATTTATCTACTTGCACGTTGACATGCTTTCGAACTGCTAGGTTGGCAGGAGCTGGGACCAAACAACGAGAGCAAACTCCATATACTATTGTAAAAGAACAGGAAACACGTGGGATATTGCCATAACCACCACCTCAACTCTCAAACATGCAAGTTAAGTTTAGCTGAATGGATCTCTTCAGTTTACCTTAAAGGAGGGGTACAATAACACTTGTGGTTTAAATTAAAATGTTTACAGACAAATCATGGGATTGGCCTAGAGAATACTTTTCAACATTATTCAAATTCAATGTAGAAAGCATCTGCATGCAACAAGCACACAAGGAAGAGGAGATACCTCTATTTTGTTTTTCTCAGAAGCAGCTTGCAGAGAAGGAGAAGATGCCAGAGGTTGAGAAGCATCAGAGGAAGACATCTGTACAAAGCAGATGAAAGATGAGAAAAAGGAGCCAAGGCAGATTTCACTAAGACTACAGAATAACCATCAGTTTACTCTGCTCTTTCTCATTTATCAGAAGATACAGATGAAATACAGACAAGGCAGAACAGAGATGAAATCAGCGACACAAAATGTATGCATTTTGAGGACTACATGTTTTGGTTAACTTCGCTACTGAAAACATTAAGCGTTTCAAGGAAGACCAATGAGAATTCAGAATACTTCCTCAGACCAACCTAGCTGTTTAACTAAAGCACACAAAATTTAACAATTGTGCAGAAGAGTACATGCTGGCTTGGTTTGCAAAGCATAGGTAAAGGTGAAGGGACCCCTGACCGTTAGGTCCAATCGCGGATGACTCTGGGGTTGTGGTGCTCATCTCGCTTTTCTGGCTGAGGGAGCCGGCATGCAGCTTCCGGGTCATGTGGCCAGCATGACCAAGCCGCTTCTGGCGAACCAGAGCAGAATACGGAAACGCCGTTTACCTTCCCGCTGGAGCAGTACCTATTTATCTACTTGCACTTTGACATGCTTTTGAACTGCTAGGTTGGCAAGAGCAGGGACAGAGCAACGGGAGCTCACCCCGTTGCGGGGATTCAAACTGCTGACCTTCTGATCGGCAAGCCCTAGGCTCTGTGGTTTAGACCAAAGCGCCACCAGTGTCTTAGTGCAAAATAAGCTCCTAGAAAAGAGAATGCAGCTGCTTTGCTCCCTCGTCATTTTGTTGCTGCACTCAGCTAGGGAATGTTTTGGTTTAACATATCATCCAAACACAGGTTCATGGTTTAGCTCTCTCAAAAAAGGCCATACGCTGTCCTATGATTTACAGCTCATGGTTTTTCTGGAGGCAGGGGCATAGAAGGGGGGTGGGGGTGGACCACCCCAGGTGCCCTTACTGAGGGTGGTGACATTTGGTGTGCCGCCCGCCTATGACTGCCAAGCCTACCCCGAGCCACCGGGGTAAGAGGGGGGAGCTGCGCTGCTTTGCCAGTGGCATTCCCCCCTTCCACCTTCATTTTGACAGATTGAGGGAGGCTTGGGAGCTGCGGGCAGGCGGCACACTGAATGTCCACCATGGGCGGCTCACTCCGCCCCCAGCTGCAGGGCACCCAAGCAGCTATCCCGCACCTGGGCGGGCACCCTCTGCGCCACGCCCCCCTCGGGAGCGCGCCTGCCCTGGGCGGCACAGGCATATGCTCTGCCGCTGTCTGGAGGGAGTCCAGGTTCAGATGGCACTAAGTCAAACTGCAGCTCAGGACGGCACAGCAGAAAAACAACCAAGGAGGAGCAAAGCTGCTGCCATCTCCTCTACTGGCACCTCCACATTCACTTCTTCGCACTAAGCTGTGGTTTGGGCTTAGCATTACATGCAAATTACATGCAGTTACCTCTTCATCTTTTGTAAAATTTTACTATAGCCTTTTCAAAAGGCAATTTTTTAAAAAAATCAATAGTGAATGCTTTATGGATGAATTCACCAGAATATAAAATAAGAAATGAACTTGGATAAGATCACATCACAAGCACGAGGGAAAATAATTACATTTCATCCATTGTTCAGTTTTATCCAGTGTGACTGCTGAAATATTAATGTCCTGAAACTGAAAATGAACACTGTCCCATGGGGAAGGGGAAGGAGGCAAAGGCGTCTTTGTTCTTGCTCATTCTAACAGAATTATTTATTTAAAGATTGAAGCAAAATAACTCAGAACTCTAAATGTATAACTTTCAAATAAAGCACTCCATTTCAAAACAGTAAAGGAAAAAATATTCGTTAATAAGGAACAGCCTTCTAACCATAAACTGCCGGGTGTATTATAATGCAGTTTGTATAGTCTTTTGAGAATTTCTACATACACCTGTAATCAGCAGGGTATTTTCAGCATTCAACAAAGTATTATTCAGCTTGTTTATGAGCAGATGCAATTATACCTTGAAATTTACTGCAGTATTTTCAGAAATTTCCATAAACTCCCAAAGAGCAGTCGCAATCAGAAGGCCTAAGAAAGCCCATTGTTACCTGTTAGTAATAAACTTTTGAGCTCCTGCAAAGTAGAGGTGTAGGAGCCTTGAAATGCCAAATCCATCAGCCCAAGCTTTTCAGTTATCTCCAGAAACTAGGCAGGCAAGACAGCGCCACAGCTGGGACTTTCTGCATGCAAAGCATGTTCTCCACCACTGAGCAACCGCCTCTCTAAATAAACAACGGCCAACTCTTGACATTACTAAGAGGCCCCATAAGCCACACGTGATGTTAAAAATTCTGCGGGCAACATCTCATTGTAACACTTGGAACCACAATGCTTTAACAACTTCACTTTATTTCTACTCTCAAATTGTTACTCTGTATTTTCTATTCTTTGATTACTACAAACTATTTTTAATATTTAACTCTCACAAACCATTTGTTGTGGGTAGGAACATAACTTAGCAGTTTGTCTATATGAAAAATTCTATTTTGCTGTGATTATTCCACTTCAAGAGCACTAAATGGTTTTTTTTTTATGTCCACAACCCTGTGAGTATATATGTATAAAAAATTACAAAACACTGCTGGGCTATGCTGGACCCCAGCCCAGGAGCAGTTTTTATCGTATGGCAAATTTGCAACACTGGTTTCTTTGGTTTCTCTTCCGAGTCCAGCATTTCACCTATGAACAATTCCATTTTATCCCCCAAGGCATTTTGTTAGACCTAAGATGCATTTAAATTAACACTGTGAGGTCCAATGTACCCAAACAGCTTTTGGTTTAGCATTACGTGAGAATAAGGCCACAGGGTAAGTCAAACAACGGCTTAGCAAGAATGAGCAAGCAAGTTGGTACCCGGAACAAGAATCATGGTGACTTTGCTCCTCAAGGTCACTTGCTTGTTCTCACTAAGTAATAACTTGGCTTAGCATTACAAGCAAATTGGGGCTATTTTTTTTGGAATGTGAAAATAGTAAAAAAAATTTTTAAAAAAATGTTAAACTAAAGTCATTTTGAATAGGCAACTTTATTTTCAGCTAGGATTATAATGAATCTGTTGGATCCCAAAAGCAAATTAATATTATCTTTTAAAATGGTGTATTAGGATTTTTAAAAGGTCAAGGTCAGTCCGCCAAGTAAAAGTTGTAGTAATATGATCAATGGGCTGATATAGATCACTGCACAGCAAAATTCCAATACTGATTTCAGGCAGAGGAATATAGGGATGCCTTCTGTAGGTAGAGCCACACTGCCTACCTTCAAGCAGACAGGTAGCAAAAATATATGTTATTTGCATTTCAAGTTACCCCCCTCCCAAAAGGAGCTTGGTGTGAATGAAGGTGGTCAACAAGGCAACACATAAACAACTTATGGAGTTCATTGCCATGAGAATAGCAAGTGCTCACTAGGTCAAATGACTTCTCAGAAGGTCTAGAAGGATTCCTGGAAGTATGGTACTTAGCCATAACAGCAGAGCTGAATGTTAAAACTGTATATCTCTGATCATAACAAAGGATTGCCAGCTCAGCCATGCAAATTGGTGGCCACTGTCAGGGGATACAATGCTTGGCTATAGGAATCCCTGTTCTGATTCAGCAAAGCAATTTCCATTTTACAGTTAATGAGTTTACATGCCCAAGTTCTTTTCAGTAGCAAAGGTTCTCGTGAGCCTTGAAGGAACATCTATCAGTACCCCACCCATCAGTTTAGAGTCACAAATACTTGACAGCAGGTTTCAATCACATTCCTCTTCATTCTCCCTAAGAGCTCCTCAGCTTGTGGGCATGGTACAGTACTTTATTTTTCATGCAAGTCATTAACACCAATTTTATGATTAATGATAATTTTTCCTGTCTCTGTACTGACAGGGTTGGTCTTTTATAATATGTCAGCAGGGAAACTTTTTTTGCCCTTAGTGGTCAATTTTGACAGGTGGGTAGAACAAGCACAGCATGTAAATCACATGGTGTTGTGATACCACATAATTCGTAAGCAAGTGTCCTGTTCACTTGTTAAAATCCATGCACAGTGATGGATTGCAGTGACTGCAGAAGTGACAGGAAGGGGAGGAATCACAGAATCATAGAATTGTAGAGTTGGAAGGAACCCTGGGGGTCATCTGGTCCAACTCCCTGCCATGCAGAAATCTCAGTTAAAGCATACATGACAGCTAGTTGTCCAACCTCTACTTTAAAAATTCCAAGCAAGGAGAGCCCACCACCTCCTGAGGTAGTCTGTTCCACTGTTGAACAGCTCTTACTGTCAGAAAGTTCTTCCTGGCTTGCACAGGGTAGCCCAAAATGCCTCTGATTTCCCATCCTGCTACAGCTGCCCCATGCCCTATCCCATGCCTTGCGAGAGGGATCCATCAACTGCCAGGAGCAGCTTTGTTAGGCGGATCACAGTGGGCTGTGGAGGTGGGGAGCAATCACTTAAAATATGTCATAGTATGCATAATTTAACTATATTACAACATGCACATGTTAAACCAAAATTCAGAAGAAATCGATCGTTTACTTACACTGCTGATATTAACAGCATTTTTGTCATAGTATTTCTTCTTCTCGTATTTATCCCTGATGAAAAATTCCACAGCTCTGAGATCAGATAACTTAAGGAAGACAGAACACAGACCAAACTAAAGAGGGTTTACAGTACAAAACATTTAATTCCCAGTTATATCCTAGATAAGATCTTTAAAGCTAGAAGCACACACATTCAATTTTAATTAGTATTTTAGCAAGGTCTCATTCAATACTTGATTTCATATAAGCACACCTTAATACATCGAGCCTTCTAGCATAAAATCTTTTGAACTACATCTCAAAATGCATGTGAGGAGTGACTATATGATCAGCATTAGTAAGCAAAAAAAAAAAAAAAGAGCTCTTTAAATTTCCCCCAACTTTTCTAGTTCAGACTCGAAAAAGTTAGGGAGCTGCACTTTCTTGACTAATGTAGTCACACCTATGCTATGCACAGTTAATGCTTCCCTGCTGGCTATCAATGGGCTAGGGGCAATTTAAAAAAACAAAAACAGTTTTTATAGTTCCAAGCATGTTCAGAAGTCTTCATTACAGTAAGTTAGAACTAAAAGCCCTGAGTTTTAGCTAGCCCTGTTGTCTGACATTTTCCCTTCCCCTCCACAACTCTGGTAACACTTGGAGACAGGTCGGGGAAAGACACTGTTAGAGGTGTGCCACAAAGCCATTTTACATGATGTCAGAATGGATGGGTGCTAGTGCTGGCTCTGAACTGAGTGGACTACCTTCCAAACTCTGTTTCCAAAATGTGTTACCATCACTAGTTCACATGCACTAGCACAGTACAGAAGTGGTACATAGGGATGGGAGATGCCTCAGAGATTTTCCAACCAAAGACAGGGGTAGAGGTCACCTGGGTTATGCTTATTTGTGATTTATTTTATTTTTTTGCACTACTAAAAGTGGTCTACTAGACCAAGCTCTTTATCGTAATATTTCTACATATTTAGCAGTATTTAACCAAATGTTATCTCTGAATATATTATTATTTGGAATAAACTAAAAACTGTCTCACAATTCACTGAAAACCAATCATCCAGTATTTTTTCTTGTTTTTACTCCTTTTCAATTTAATCACTCTATGCACGGTACAATATAATCATGTACATTGTAATAATACTCAAATTACTATTGTCTTCTCCCAGTATGGCAGTGCACAAAGGATACTGATCTGTTTGTGGTCTTCGAAAGTTCTCTGGTAGATTAGCTTCGTAGAGTAGCCTTGCCTTGGTATTTCCCATCTCCTGCATGCACTAAAAGCAATAGCAAAAGAAAAAAGATGGACCATTTTAATTCTTATTGCAAATGTCATAACCATTTGTACGTGAAAGTCATTACTATCAAGATCAATGGGACTTTTGAGTATTTATAGTTAGAAGTGGCCTGTAAATGTGCAACTATTCAAGCAACTACTTTTGTAGTCATTTTTCGCAAGTATCATAATATTCTGGCTTTAGGCCTTTTCATGAAATCTTCTCACGGAATTATATTCTGCAAAAGCAACAGTGCTGACGTGCCTTGTATGCTTTCTGCAAGGTAAAACTTTCAAACACAACGAAAAGCTTAAGGTATTATTCTTGACTGATTTCTTGCTACGCGTAGCAAAACCTTGTGGAAGTATTTCAGAGTTCTGCACTGTTACAAGGAGCAGTCAAGATTACTAAATGGAACTTTTTTAAAAAATCAGGCAAAAGAATGCTCATTTTGTCAGTTCCCCCCTTTTTTCCTTTGACAGCAGGTAACTATTTTAAGCATAAATAACATGTGCATTGTACAAGTTTCGTCTTGTTGGGATAAGGTTGCATAGTACTGCCTAAGCAATGCTAAATTCTATTGTAAGTTTTTGGTAGGGAGATATTATCAGGCACTTTTAGTGTTGAGGAAATGGTAATATCCCTGTTGAAAATGTTTCCGCTACCATAAAATATACTGCACACTGCTTTTATACCATAACATAAATTGCTTCTATATTTTTGATGTTGCAAGTACTGTATTTTTTTACAATTGTGCTTAAACTGCCTTTTGATAATTAAATGTCACATTTCTAAAAATTTATAGAATTCTACTTTAAGTGTATTAATGGACAAAATGATAGTTGACAGGAACAGGTCATCAGGCTAAGTGAAGTTATGTTTTTGCTGAAAAGCTGGATAATGTAACACAAGTGAAATGCTCCTGTAAACTGAAAATCCTTAAAGACTGTCGTCAGAAACATTGAAAAAATAGTGGCTATTTTGAGATAAGGCAAAACAGGACTGATTTATCAAACATGCTTGTGACACCCTCCAAAAAGCAGGTCTCTCTTTTGGAGAATTGCCAGGGTGCATCTTGATTATCAAAACAACTGGGACGATGCTCCCCCTTTCTTCAGCCTGAAAAACTGAAACTGATACTATTACCACCCTGATTATTAATGAGGGCAATATGAAGGTTCTCTCTGCCTTCAGTAAAAATCACCACTTTTTTTTTTTTAAAAAAATTGCAATATACAACTTGATTGATTGGGATCATGTTCTGAATATGGAAAAAGCCCTAAGAAAAATGGGAGAAACTATGCCAAAATGGATCAGGCTATGAACAAGTGAACAAAATAGAGGGCCAAAAGTTTCAGGGCATCATTCACTTCATTGGCTAGAAAGCTTTTAATACTGTTAGACTATGTAAGTTGCCACAATACAAGTTTGGCAGCACAAAGACAAGCTATTATTAGCATGGAATGTCAATCCATTTCATTACTCTTTTCACACAGAAAATGGCAGCTGTCATGTGGAAGCAGTTTCAAACAGCCTTCAATATGTAGTCTTGATATTTTAAGGGAAGCAAACATAGTGGCTGCTACATAGTGTCCTCCTAACGAAAATGCCTCTAACTAAATAACAGTTGTTGGTCCTTTTTTTTTTTTTAAAGGTGGGCAAGAATAATCCATTTTACCAATTAAGCTTGTGAAATAAACTTTCCAGAAGATTTCTGCCGCCCCCACTACAATTTTAGTTTTCTTTACCTGTATTTGTTCTGGTGTCCATTGGTCCAAGTTGACAGACTTGACCCTTGATATATGAACCCCCAGATTTCGATGAATTCCAGCACATCTGATACAAATAAAGACACCTGTGTTCCAGGAAGCCCATCTTGGACCTATGGGAAATAACTGATATGAAAATATTGCAAGATCTGGCTATGTTTTAAAGTAAGTCTTATTTCGGGCATATAAATGCAACTGTCAGTTTAAGACTATCATTCAGACAGTCCATTTGCACATATTACTGCATGTAGGCCTTTGCTTTTACTTCCCAGGCAGTGGCCTATTTGCATAGCATCACAAATTGCTTTTCCAACTCTAGGAAGATAATAATATCCAGCAGTCCATTGGATCAAAGTCTTCTACAGTTATAGTTCAGTGGTTGCCAACCCAGCACCCTTGGTTGCCATGGCACCTGTGAAGGCTTCCAGTGGTGCTTGTTGGCAGGTGTCCCAGACTCTGAGCTTTCATTTTTTAAAATCTCTAGCCCTCTTAGAAAGAAAGATATTGGGACAAAATAGGCAGTTCCATTCATTCATTCATTCATTCATTCATTCATTTTCTATACCACCCTTCACTGGAGGATCACAGGGCAGTTTACAATATACAATATAAAAGCACAAAAATACATACCATAATAACAAACACAAACAATAATCCCCCCTGCCCCCAGTTTAAAAGGCCATAGATTGTTTAATTAGCCAAAGGCCTGTTGCCTAAAAATATGTAATGAAGGCGCCAGACGAGCATCCCTGGGAAGAGCATTCCACAAGTGGGGAGCCACCACAGAAAAAGCCTGTTCTCGTGTTGTTGCCCTCCGGGCCTCTTGCGGAGGGGGCATGCGAAGGGCTCAAATTATGATTGCAGGGTCCAGGTTGGTTCATATGGGAAGAGGTGGTCCTTGGAGTACTGAGAATTGTGTGAAATGTGAGTGGTACAGTACCCTATGGCTGTGTGGTAGGATGTGTAGGTGGAAATTATGGGAATGGTTGCTTGACCAAATTATTTTAGTGCTAGAAGGGAAAACAGGCAATCTGCAAAACATAAGGAATAGTCCCATGGTTGCACCTACACTGACCCAAGATGACATGATTGTGGGGTGCCATAGGAAACTGATTCACATGATAAAACACAAGCACATAGGGCCCTTTTGTTACGTCACAGATTTAAATTCCATAATGGTCTCAACAAAGTTAAGTTGAACTCTTATTAACAAAAGATTTTTGTATGTTTTTGAAAATTAAAGGAATGATAACCCAAACAACAGATTTGTTGGGTAGAACTGCCTCAGGTAAAAGGCACATTCAAATGGTAGATCTTATTTACTTGATCAGTGAAATTTTCAGTGCTACTTCATGACAGAATAACACACACCAACTGTTTTCACATGGCATTTTATCATTATTTATATTGCCCATCTGTATGTTTTGAATATAAGCCTGTGTATTAGACTACACATTTCATTTAAAAACAAGAACATCCTTCTAACTCATTTAACATTTACAACTAATGCACTCAATGATAAAATATGTTATCGGCACCACATGTGAAAATGCCCAAATGGCAAGAACAAATTTAAGGGTGACTTATGCCTTTACAAGTATCCAGCTAGCATCATAGCCAAACATTGGAGAGACCTGTTAGGAGTAAGCATGAACTAATGGTATCAAATAGTATGGGAAACAGCCTTATTAGAAAAACTAACCAATAAACTGAAACTGACATGGGCACAAATAGAAGATGCCTTCACCGCCCGGTATGGTTCCCCTTTATTACATACAAAGCCCAACAAGTCAACAACAAGAATCCGTTGACAGCATATGTATCAATCTGGCTAACCTGATGCAAAAATCCACACACACACACAAAAACAAATCTCACTACAGCAAACCAAACACAACCAACCACACCCTAGGCCACCCCCCAACCCCTCTCACCACCAAGGAAATACAACAAGCGAATAGTAAGAGAACCCATACAAGTGACGCTGACACAAAACCCCACACATACACTAAGTAGAAGAATAGAAGAATAGAAGCAGAACCACCTGAGCCCACCCCACTCACCATTCCTCCTCCCCCTCTTTTCTTCCCAACCTAATACTACATGCAACACTAATGTCTCACAACAAATGAAACTGATCTGTAGAAAACACAACTTGAAAAAAGAGACAATGCACGTATTTTTGTAAACTAAGATAGATGGATGGATGGATGGATAGATAGATAGATATAGTATCCAGCTTCCTCCTTTCCAAGGGTGCAAATGCTACTGCAGGGGAGAGAGGAAGATGAAGGAGAAAAGTCCCAGCAAATTTGTTATACCCCATAAGGACTTATAGCCTGCTGTGTCACAGCTACTTCCAGAGAAGTCGTGATTGATTTGAAAGACTGTCACAGCTGGTGGGCCACTCTCTTTTATTTAGTCTCAGCCTTTGGGCTAGAAAAGATTCTAAGTAATGGCCATATTCTTTTTTGTTATGCTGGTACAGCAATAGAACACTCATAATGGAATCCCCCCCCCAAAAAAAATTTCTGCCAATGCACTTTGGGAGTTTTTAGAACTCTTAAGTTTATACATTTATTTAAAGTAGGGGTGGCCAATGTGGTGTATACAGCAACTCCCAATATCACTGGCCATTGGTCATACTGTTGAGAGTTGGCAACATCTGCCAGTACACTGATTTAAAGTGTTTTCCCTGCGAGCTTTCAGCTAATATGCTTCCAGAACAGTTTAAAAACGGTCAATAACCAATGAGATAGTTCCTGCCAGCAGGCTCACAATCTGAAAGACTCAAAAGAAAAAAACAGGGATGGCGACGGTGAAAGGAAAAGCAAAAACAAACACTTACAGTGATTGAAAAAAAGTTTGGCTGAGTGTGATTATCTTTCTCCAAACTAACCATAAGATGTATCCAAGGTTTGTGCTACAGTTTACAGCTTGTAGTTTGTCTAGGAGAGCTCTAGGTTTGAAGACATTCTAAGACAAACTATGGTTTAACTCAGTGTAGCAGCAGAATGACCAGGGAGGAACAAAGGAGCTGCAATCTCTCTCCAGAAGGCTGCACATTCATGCTAAGCCATGGTTGCAAACCATAATGTGCAAACCAGGCCATAGCTGGTCTTGGATCAAAGACAACGAAGTGGCCCTGCTTCCCATCTCACCCTTTGTTGTAGTCTGATGGATTGCCTGCTGCTATATTTTGCTCTGTTTCTGGTTGGATTTTTTTTAGCTGTTTTTTCTGCTATGAGTTGGAATCAATTTATAATAGCTTAAGATTAGCTTGAGCTTTGTTCACCAATATTGCTTGTCAAGAGACTGGCAGAAAGATGCAATTTTATATCATTTTATCGTTTGCAACTTTTAAATTTTGTAATTGGTGTTTTTGTCCTGATACTGGTCATTGACTGTCATAAAACGACTTGCATTTGCACTGTTAGAGTACCTCTGAAGCCTACCAAAAGGTCTGAAACTCATAGTGAGCACATCTGTGGCAAAATTGCATGTTCATAGGCTTAATGAGAGGGGGAAAATAATTATTAAGTGGGAGAGGTAGCCACAGAAGCCACTTTCCCAGGTCATCTGTTTTATACATATTGGATGAAAAAGAAAGTACCAGCTCAATCATTATATCATAAAGTATCAGACATACTGAAAAAAAGCTTCAGAGAAGGGATTCTGGGTCATGATATGGTTGCCCAGGAATAATTATACTCTGATTTGCATGAGGGTATTATAATCATACTTCTCAAAAGTCATTGTGGTTTCTACAGTGAGCTATTTAATGGAGAAATAACATCAGAACAAACAATATGCTTTCACTGCACAGCCCAACATCTTTGACAACTAAGTCAAAGATGGCTTTGACATTTATTCCAGCCATTCCTCAGTATGTGCATATATGATCAAAACTATTGAGAGTTTAGATATCATTGCTCCAGTCTACATATGCTAATCTATTTTGAAAATATCCTCTCTTCAAGAGTGGATGCTACAGCTATCTCCCATGGGTCTCACTTTTTACCTTTCCTCACAACTTCAGCATAACAAGCAGTACTTCAAACATCTGTTTGTCTTTTTTTGCAGTAATCATCTATGCAATTATGGGGAGCACATCAACTAAGAAAGCAGAGGAAAAGCTTAGTCTTATTTTGATACAAAGCCACAGCCAACCATCTGTCAATGTTTCTAAAGACACACAGCTGGAGAATAATGCAACATAAGATATACTCACTTCCTTAAAAAATGGCAATCCTGCTCTCTGCCATATTTGAGTTTTTCACATATTAAGGACAGCTTCTATGTCTTGAACCTCATTTTTCACAATACTGACTTTATTTTAAAGCAGCAGGTCCACTTTCTATAGTATGGCTGAAAATCAGAGACTACAAAGTTCATTTTTCAGATTCTCCCAACATATATAAACTGATACTGTCAGGGAACTGCCATCGGACGGAAGGGAGGTGAAAGGGCTCACACAGGTTGGGAGAGACGCAGCAGCTGAAGAGGGAACCAACAGGGAGGTGAAAGGGCTCACACAGGTTGGGAGAGACGCAGCAGCTGAAGAGGGAACCAGCAGGGGGAGAGGAGCTGAGCTGGAGGGATGGCTCAGAGACACTTCCAGCGAAAACAGTGGGGAAGTTTCAGGACCTCCTGTAAGAACACCCACTCCTCGCCGGAAACTGTCACGCAGAGATTCCAGAAGACGTGTTTCCGTTAAGGAGCTTTTATGTTGGAAGCGATTACGAAAGCAACCACTGTCGGAATCTGCTAGTGACTAGAGTAGCCATGTCTGAGGGGCTCCTCACAGACAGAGGTTTGTGGACTTGAACAAACTCTGAGGGGATACGATTTTACGCACAAGCAGCTCATCATCCCATCACAGCATTCCGACAGTCTTTGAAAGCAGCTTGTGCAGGAGAAGGCATCATGAGCAACCCAGCCGGAACCGGAGAAGCAGGAGCTGGAGCGGGTCCAAGCCTGGAAGAAAGGTACCAGATGTTGGAGGTCCAGCTAGCGATGCAGACGGCGAGGCTTGGAGGAGAGGAGGGCTCAGGATGCAGACAAAGGGGGAAAGCCACCCAGTTTGCCAGAAAGGTACCAGGATTGGTGCAGAAGTTTGGGGGAGCCCAAAACTATCATGGTTTTCGGACAGAAATGCAATATGCCCTCAATCTGCAGTTTGATGAATTCCCGACGAGGAATCACGAGTGGCTTTCGTGATTGAGCATCTTGAAAAGGGGGCGAGAGACTGGGTTAGACCCCTGATGGCAGCTAATAGTGACGTCTTAAAGGACACGATGAAGTTCTTTCGCGCCATGGATCTGATGTTTTCCAGCGATATTGAAAAGGGAGTGGTGCGCAGACAGTTAATGGGTTGCAAACAGGGGAGCCGATCTGTCCGTGAGTACTGGACTGAGTTCACCATGCTTGTTCACAGATTGGGGTGGGACTTATCGGCGGAACCCATTCAGATGCTCTTTGAAGAAGGGCTTTCTTCGGCTGTGAAAGACGAACTTTCCCGGGCGCCCAGGGCGGAGTCTATGGACCAGCTGACCAAATCAGCGCTGGCCATAGGAGCGCGCCAGGAGGCGAGAGCATTGGAGAGGCGGGAAGGGAAAGGGGAACGTTGGAAGGAGTTCCGCATTCCAGACATTCCAGAGCCAACTTTCCCACCGGCAGAGCCGATGGAAATCGGAACAGCGCGCGCGCGCAGTTTCAAAGCCCAGTGAGGGGGCAAAGAAGGAGGGAAAAGGCGCCCGGAAATGCTATCTCTGCCAACAGCCAGGTCACTTTGCCAGAGTCTGCCCTCAGAGGAAAGAATGGCAGGGGATGGTAGGAGCTGTGGATGGAAGAGAGGAAAATATACCGGAGCAAGTAAAGCCAACGCCTGGCTGCCACTGTCAGGGCACAGCAGCCAGGCCAAAGAGCAGTGAGAGTGCCCACGCCAGAACCTCCTAAACCCGCCCTAGTGATAGAAGTGACGCTAGAGCTGCCAAACGGACACCCTCTAAAGATAAAGGCGCTGTTGGACTCAGGCAGCTCCTGCAATTTCATGAGCAAAGAGTTTGCAGCTGAACACCAGATACAGACAATCCTTTAAGCAGCCCCCTGCAGGTGACCACTATCGATGGCAGGGAGCTGTTGGGTGGAGAAGTCAGCTTGCAGACCGTCCCAATGATAATGAAGGTAGCAAGGCACACCGAACTGATAGCTTTTAATGTGGCCACCTTGGGAGGAGCTCCCATTATATTGGGGATGAGCTGGCTAGCGTTACATGATCCGCTGGTGGGCTGGCATCAGAGAGTGGTTTCTTTTGGTTCAGCACATTGCTTAGAACACTGCAAAGAGGGAAAGGGTTTGGCAGGGGTCCAAGCCACCCTAGCAGGGACTGAAGTAACAGAGAACGTGAAGGTACCACGACAATATGCAGATCTCCGTGACGTCTTCAGCGAAAGGGAAGCTGACCAACTACCCCCGCATAGACCCTTTGACTGTCAAATCAACTTACTCCCTGGAGCACAGCTCCCTGTAGGCAAGCTGTACGCCATGTCAGACAGAGAGATGCAGGAGTTAAGAGAGTTCATTGACAAGAACCTGAAGAGAGGGTTCATCAGAGAGTCCAGGGCGGTGGGGGCAGCCCAGTGTTTTTGTGGATAAGAAAACACGAACAAGCCGAGGCTGGTGTGTGACTTCAGGGCCTTAAATGCAGTGTCAGAACCAGTAGCCTTCCCTATGCCCAGGATTGACGACATTTTGACAAGGGTGCGGAAGGGAAAGATTTTCACAAAGCTGGACCTAAGGGGGGCGTACAACCTGGTACGAATAAGGAAGGGGGATGAATGGAAAACCACTATGTTCACCCCTTTAGGGGCATTTGAATATTTGGTTATGCCCTTCGGCCTACAAGCAGGCTCCGCAACATTTCAATCGTTTATGAACCACGTCCTGGGGCCTTTGCTTTACAAGAATTGTGTGGCCTTTTAGACGACGTGTTGGTGTATTCTGAGAATGAGGAGCAGCATGTGAGAGACGTCAGAGAAGTGTTGAGCAGGCTGCAAGCCAACCAGCTGTGGGTGAAACTGGAGAAGTGTCAGTTTCATACCAAGGAGGTGGAATTCCTGGGGTATCGCCTGTCAGACAAAGGATTGGCCATGGATCCCGGCAAGGTCCAGGCGGTGCTGGAATGGAAAACACCCAAAACAAAGAAGGATGTGCAGAGGTTCCTAGGATTTGGGAACTTCTATCGTAAGTTCATCCGAAACTTTGCCCACCTGACGGCGCCCATTACGGACTGTCTCAGCAGTAAGAAGAAGTTCGTGTGGACTGAGGAGGCGGAGCGAGCATTTGAGGAACTAAAAAGGGCCTTCGCCTCGGAACAACAACTCCTGCATGTGGATTTACAAAAACCGATGAGAGTGGAAACTGACGCATCAGACAGAGCGATTGGGGCGGTGCTTCTGCAGCCAGGCAAGAAGGGGTCAGAGTGGAGACCGTGTGCCTTTTTTCGCGAAAGCTGAACAAATCCGAGAGGAACTACACGGTGTATGACCGAGAACTACTAGCCATTCATGAGGCGTTCCGGAGATGGAGGCACCTGCTAATTGGCGCACAACATAAGGTGCAAGTGTGCACTGACCACAAGAACCTAGAGTATTGGAGGACGGCACGAGTGCTCAACCAACGGCAAGTGAGATGGGCCCAGGAGTTCTCCAAATTTAACTTTGAGATTAGTTACGTGCCAGGCCCAGAGAACATTAGGGCGGACGCTCTCTCACGCAAACCTGAATATTTGGAAGGGGAGGGGGCACCCGAAGAGAGACATGTCATTCCAGAAGACCGCTGGGTGTGTGGGGCGGCATTGGTGGGACAAAGAGAACTGGTAGAGGAAACAGAGAATGATGAATACGCCCAGAATAAGCTCAGAGGTCTTAGGGGTGATGGAGAGGAACCAGGGGTTTTGAGGAAAGAAATGGAGCTTTGTATTACAAAGGGGCACTGTATATCCCTGAAGGAGAGTTAAGGGGAGGGTACTCAAGCAGTTGCACGACAGCCCTACGGCGGGGCATTTTGGACAACACAAAACCATGTGGTTGGTCACCAGGGAATTTTGGTGGCCTAAGGTGAGGGAAGATGTACGTGAGTATGTAAGAGGGTGCGAGCAATGCCAGCGAGCCAAAGGGGAAAGGCGGGCGCCGGCGGGGCTATTAGAACCCTTACCAACCCCAGAACGACCTTGGGAGGCAGTGTCGATAGATTTTATGACTGATCTGCCGAAGTCCAAAGGGAAAACAGCCATCATGGTGGTGGTAGACCTACTAACAAAGATGTGCCACTTTGTAGCTTGCTCGCATGCAGTCACGGCGGAAGAGACAGCGAAGTTATTTGTAGAAAACATTTTTAGGTTGCACGGGGTGCCATTGAGGGTGGTCTCAGACCGAGGAAAACAATTTACTTCCAGGTTCTGGAGGAAGCTCATGAGCTTACTGCAGGTGGAGGTCAATTTTTCGACTGCCCGGCACCCTGAAACCAACGGGCAGGCGGAAAGAGCAAACGGTGTCCTCCAGCAATACCTGAGGTGTTATGTCAATGACAGAGAGAATGACTGGGTAGAAAAGTTGGCGCTGGCGGAATTTGCCTACAACAATGCCGAGAATGTGTCCACAGGGATGAGCCCCTTCTTGGCTAATTATGGGTGTCATCCCAGGGCTTTCCCAGGGGAGAGGGGAGAGATGGAGCGTCCCGGCAGCCGAGCATTTTGTGGAAGAAATGGAAGCAATCCATCGTCAGCTCCAACTCAACTTAGAAAGGGCGAAGGAAGAATACAAGAGGCAGGCAGACAAGAACCGAAGGGAAGGTGAAACCATAAGGGTGGGAGATAGGGTGTGGCTGTCAACCCAAGGGCTGCCGTTCAAAGGAGGTTGTAAGAAATTAAGACCCAGGAGGTTGGGTCCCTTTGAGGTCATTCAACAGGTCAACCCAGTGGCTTTCAGGCTCCGGTTACCCAACCACATGAAACTGCACCCAGTATTTCACAGGTCGTTACTGTCACCGTACGAAGGGGGACGAGAAGGGCTGGCCCCTCGGGACCGGTCGTAGAAGAAAGAGAATGCAGCAGCCATGTGGCAGAAATCCTCGACGCCAGGTGGAAGGGGGATCAGGTGGAGTATTTGGTAGCGTGGGAAGGAGAACCGGAGTCAGAAAACACTTGGGTAATGGCTGAAGATATCAATGACGAGGTATTGATAGAAACGTTCCATCAAAGGTTCCCAAGGAAACCTCAGCCTGTGGAGAGGTTCCGGAGGGAATACTTTGGGACCACTGATGAAGGGGAGGAGTTGGAAGGATTCCCGGACTCGGAAGGGGAAGGGGAGATGGACTCTGAGGAGGAGGTGTACTTCGAGACCAGGAACCGCAACAGGTTGAGAGAAGTGTTCGAGACATCGGAAGATGAAGGAAGTTCATTCCGGGTTTTGCCTCCTCACCGCCCGTAGAGGAGGGGGCGAGAGGGGGTGAAGGGGGCCCTGGAGGGGAGGTGGATGTCAGGGAACTGCCATCGGACGGAAGGGAGGTGAAAGGGCTCACACAGGTTGGGAGAGACGCAGCAGCTGAAGAGGGAACCAACAGGGAGGTGAAAGGGCTCACACAGGTTGGGAGAGACGCAGCAGCTGAAGAGGGAACCAGCAGGGGGAGAGGAGCTGAGCTGGAGGGATGGCTCAGAGACACTTCCAGCGAAAACAGTGGGGAAGTTTCAGGACCTCCTGTAAGAACACCCACTCCTCGCCGGAAACTGTCACGCAGAGATTCCAGAAGACGTGTTTCCGTTAAGGAGCTTTTATGTTGGAAGCGATTACGAAAGCAACCACTGTCGGAATCTGCTAGTGACTAGAGTAGCCATGTCTGAGGGGCTCCGTCACAGACAGAGGTTTGTGGACTTGAACAAACTCTGAGGGGATACGATTTTACGCACAAGCAGCTCATCATCCCATCACAGATACACTTCCTGATTTTTTCATAAACATCGGTACCAAATTTCTATTTGATTATTGTTGTAAACTTCACCCTTCCAACACTGAGGGGTTATTTCAGCTGGAACATTTCAATAGGTTGTTTTATTCATTAGATGAAATCCATAACAGTATGCATCTTTCTCTGTATGCTACTTAAGAACATAGAAAGCTGCCTTATACCAATTCAGGCCATTGATCAGTACTGTCTACACTGACGAGCATCAATTCTCCAGCATTTCAGATAGGGGACATGCCCAGTCCTACCTGGAAAGGCCAGTATTCAGATCTGGGATGCAAAAAGCAGGTGTTCTACCAATAAGCTATGGATGCTCTGTCACTACTTACTATATCTCTCCCAATAAAGGATACAGGTTAAGAAGATTTCTTAGCATTTGCCTATCCCAGGAGTCCTATAGCTCTTATGCTCTTCATTACAGCCAGTTTTATCTGGTATTCTAATAATTCCAAAATACAGTACTGTTCAACAGGAAGCAAACTAAATGCTTAATGACAATTTTCACTTGTTTGGATTAACAGCTCCACCTAGTGGCACTGTTAATTTATCCATGCAGAGAACAAGCAAACCTGCCCTTAATTCTTGGAAAACCTATAATCAGTTTACTTTCTTGGTGAAAAAGACTAAACATAATGGCCCAGTTTTAGATGCACAAAATTATCAAGTTCCTATGGAACAATTCCATTAGTCATTTGCATGTTAATCTTGTAGAGCTAAAAAATGCATCAATTTTGATATATTTTGATTTTCAGGGGTAAAGGAGCAGGATACAATGAGGTCTCTTATAACCATTTTCCAAAAGCTGCTGTCTTTATGAAGACCTGGTTATTTACCTGCCGAATGAGTAAGTCTAGCAATAAACCAGATTCACACACACAAATAATTATATTGTCAGACATGATTTAAACAATATCAAAGGTACCCCTTCAATTTGCATTCATAATAACTTGTGTGACCCATTTCTATAGAGAGAAGGGATGTGTGTATAACATCCATTACATGTATTCTTGCCGGGAGCCTTTCTTAATTTTCTTGCCTTGCTCAATAGGTAAGACAATAATTTTCTACAGTGATACAAATGAAAATATACGCTAAATCAGATTATACACTAGAAGTAATGATAGAGCATCTATGGAATTCTACATGGCAGGAATCACAACTACGACAAAAACTGGAGATATTTGCTACTTAAACAAAGAAGATATAGCCCTGGCAGAATACACTTGCTGATGCTAATCTAATATAGCTGCAGGCATAAATGAAAACTGCAAAATTAAATCAGGGAACTAAAGTAAAATTTAAAGGCAACAAATTATTCAGAAAACTAGGCATGTACTTGCATGCGTGCACACAGACACACAGTTCTTGATCTAATACTGGAGCAAAGTAACTGACAAACAGGTTGAGGGTCAAGTAAGTTGCAAGATCTGAGAGCATATCTCCTTTCGTTTCGTTAAACTATTAACAGTGGAGGAGGAAGGCAATCCCATCAGTACTATGTCACTGGGGAAAAGGGGTGTATTCTTTTCTTCACCCTCTTGTTTTCCAAATGAAAATTATGTACTCAAAACTATTTGCCTCATGGGGGGAAATGTACACATAGCTGTGGGATTCCCACCCCCCACAGGCTAAAAAGAAGCTGAAGGTAAACAGTTTTCACTAAGAAAATGGCACGGAATGAAAGGTTAAATATTTTTCTCCCTGTGGCTGTTATTAAACTATTTTTAAAAGTAAGAGTTCTGATCATGGATCTCTAAATGTTATATCCAGTTGTGCTGCAAGTTTCTTCAACACCTGAATCAACTATATGTATACACAAATTATGTGAACAGTGAAAGTAAAATGCTTAAATTAATCTAGCACTCAGTATCTTAAGCAACACAATTTTTCAAAACCTGAGGTGCTCTTCTAATACAGTAGCTTCCAAACTCTTTTTCTCATGCACCACTTGAAAAATGCTGATTGTCTTGGCAGACTGTTAAAGGTTTTTTATGTCTGTTTTAGCAACTGCAATGCAACACAGTTTTGATTGATTGATTGATTGATTGATTTGATTGATTATATTTCTATGCCACTTTTCATTCCAAGTAAATCCCAAAGTAGCTTGCAAACAATAAATAATAATAAGATAGAACATAAAAGAACATCACAAGTACAGCATAAATCTTATAGAATAATTAAAAAATCAATCAGTGAAACAATTGAAATCTATAAAACATTGTTAAGAAATCAACAATTAAAAATAAGCTAAAAAAGCAAAGTCATATTATATGATTAACAAATCAATACAGTATTTACAATTTATAAAATATTAACATTAACAAAATAGCAACCAAAAAATAAACTAAGCACTATTAAGTTTAAGTTTATGACTCATAATCTCTCTATTTAGCTCATTAAAATACACATACACATACCGCCTGTGGGAGGAACTCCCTTCTGAAGTTTCCTTGGGCTGGAGGATGGGGCAAGGCAGGTGGGAAAAGCCATTACCTACTTGCCAACAGAGTCTCTCATACCTCATCTGTGCTAGATACTGTATGGTTTTACTTGTATTTTATTGCTTCTTCTATTTCTCCACAGAATTAAAATTTTAATGTAATAAAATACAAGCATAAGAAGAAATAAAAGCAATAAAGGAAGCAATAAAATACAATTAAAAATCAATATGAATAGAATCAGATTTGGAGAGGACCCCATGGATCATATATTCCAACCCCCTGCAGTGCAGGAATATGCACCCATACAGGGATCAAACCTGTGACCTTGGTGTTATAAGCACCACGCTCCCCAACTGAGCTAATATTTAATATAATGGACATGCTGTCTCCTTGTACAGTGGTACCTTGGTTCTCGAATGGCTTAGTTGTCGAACAAATCGGCTCCCGAACGCCGCAAACCTGAAAGTGTCCCAGTTCGCAAATGTTTTTCGGAAACAAACGTCCGACGCAGGTTCCGCTTGAGTATAGGAAGCTCCTGCAGCCAACCGGAAGCCGCACCTTGGTTTTCGAACGGTTTCGGGAGTCAAATGGACTCCTGGAACGGATTAAGTTCAAGAACCAAGGTACCACTGTATTCCACCAAAAATCCACAGACCACTTAAATGAAGCTCACAGACCAGTTTTGGAAACTCTTCTAATTAACGGGACCTGTTCCTGCAGAAAAAAAAAGTCAACTGACATCCATCTGTTCAGTTGTAGCAAGAATCAGCTGACTGTTCACACAATCTACAAGTCATCTCCCAGAAATTTTTTTATACTCCAGTATTCCAGTAACTGAGAGCAAGGGTTTGAGTATACACTTATCAGTAACTGAAGTTTAGAGTTAAGGGAAGCCTGGATGACAAGACCTATGACACCTGTCCTGGAATAGAGCTTTTTTGGGAGGAGGGGCAAAGTTGTTGAGCTTTTTTCCTGCAAAATCTCCAAAAAATATATATGAAATTCTTACCTATTTTTTAGGAATGTCGCCAAAAAATCAACACTTCCGATATGGGCTGCCATATGCCCAGGTTTTCCCAGACATTTTTGCTGCTTTTCAAAAATTGCACCTGGACGCTATTTTCGGAGGACAAATCGCAGCTATGTCCAGGAAATTTTGGACATATGGCAGCTCTAAGTAAGATGCTATTCTCAGTTTTGATGACCACCCATACAGGGTTACCTCTGGTTACGAACTTAATTCATTCTGGAGGTCCATTCTTAACCTGAAACCGTTCTTAACCTGAGGTACCACTTTAGCTAATGGGGCCTCCAGCAGCTGCCGGTGTGCAATTTCTGTTCTCATCCTGAGGTAAAGTTCTTAACCCAAGGTACTACTTCCGGGTTAGCGGAGTCTATAACCTGAAGTGTTTGTAACCCGAGGTACCACTGTAGTCCTGTTATTCTAACTCCATAGATTATTCCTCTCACCCTAGATTAGCTGTACAGAGATTACCTTGCTAGATCAGATTAAACATTCAACAGGAAGAGATAAAGAGATCACCTTCCGTTTGAAAAGGGTGAATGCAGAAGAATGATGCAAGCATTTACAGGGCATGATAATGAAATAATGGCCTTGCAACCAATGTCTTCATATTAATGATGTTGAATTTAATGTTGCACAAAATTAGAAATATTTTCAATTTGTAAACCAAGTAAGATGATTTATACTGTGACAGTTACAGACCAGCTGATAAATCCTTGTCTGAGCCACAAAGTATAGAAACAAAATCATGTGGGACAGTCTACAGAAACTGAAGTGCTAGATTTTATGCCACGGTTCTCTTGCCACTTGTAAAACAAAACTGAATGTAGTTGAAATACACACTTCTATTTAATTTTAAAGGATCAATTGTGGGCATGTGGATGGGCATGTGCTTACTAAATTTGTTCCTCCATGTAGAAGATCTTTTTGCCAGAGGAGGGCATAAGAGAAGTGCCATTTCATTTTCTTTAACATAATGATGCTTAAATGAGCATCACTGTGAAAGCTACTTTTTAAAGCTACTTTTAAAATCCAGTCACCAAGAAACATCATTATGGATTAGGTACAGGCAGATTAGCCAAACTGAACTTTGTTTAAAGTAGAGGCTCTGCATCTGTATGATGGTCCCTACTGCAGGGATGCTTTTCTTCCAGTTCTGATACAACTGCCCAACAGGACCACTCTTGTCTTAAAACTTATATTCTCCCTTCTAACTTTCCTTATCTCTGTGAGCTCAATTTGAGAACCTATTGATAGGGAAGATCCCTTCCCTTTGGGGTATCTTTCCAGGGGTAGCTGCCTAAACCACTGAGGGAAGCATTTCACTTAAAGCACCTATAATCACATCCTTGATATGATAAATTATAGCCCCTGGCAATTCTACATCTACTAGAAGTTCAGGGGTGAGTGTCATTATCATTTTGTTAGCCCTTCCTTTCAATAAAAGAAATGGATTTCTTGGATTGTATGGGTAGCGATCTCATGCTTTTCTCTTTTAATCCTTCCTCCCTACCCATGTTTCCTCTCCTGATTCAGGATTCAGCTAAGGAGAGCCACACACAGCACTAGTACATGCATGAATTGCTAGAACAGAAGCATGGACTTGGACTGGAGCAATATTTGAGTACATATCCCATCAAAAATAATTGATGCAAGTATTAATTTTTATTTCCAGTTCTTTGTGACCCATACATATCAAAGAAGTGTAACAAAGGATTAATATAGTATCAGTAAAATACAGAAGAGATAAGGGGGGGGGGGATAAAGCAATACTAAATCCAGCAGAAAACAGAATGTCTTATTAAAACATGAAAAGCTTGGGCAAAATGACTGGGTGGGACTAATTAGGCCCGTGGGATGGTGATTCCCTACCCTTTATTATTGTTATTATTTATTACATTTATATACTGCCCTTCATCCAAAGATCTCAGGGTGGTTCACAAGTTAAACCATAACAGACATGTTCAGCCAGTTGTTCCTCAATTCATAAGCAAATTCATGCTCGGCTTCAGTTGTGAGTTGACTACAGGATCACATGACTCTTATCTTCTTCACCCCCTTCAGATGCCCAAATCCTTACCCCTCCTACATGGTTTTTAATGTATATTTATTCAGAAAATGAGATCAACCAGGAGTGCTACTAGTTGTCTCCCATGTTACAGAGACTCAACTGTCCTCAATGAGAAATCAGGAGTTTCATGTTGTTAGTCTCACGCTGTGGAAGATTTCGAAGAAGTTTCAGTAGTCACCCTTGCTTTTAAGTTTTAGATGTCTCTTTTTTATGTCAAAGGCATTTGCAGCTGTTTAATTTTTAATTTTTTGATTAGTCAGACATTTTAATGATTGGTCTGTATTGTTTTGATTATGTTTTTTGTTTTAACATTGTATACCACTCTGATATTTTGATATGGTGGTATAGAAATACTTTCAAGAAATATGTAAAATTTATATGACATATTTCAGTCAATAAAAAGGATCCTCAAAGCACCCCACATATAAACAAGATAAAATACAAGCCAATTTAAATGCAATTTTAAAAATCATGTAAAGTTTGACTGCCACCACACTTGGCATGCTCTTCAAATGAGCCAAGAATATGCACTCTATAATAACAAAAATTTAAATCTGCACTAAATCAATGTTTATTGTGTTTGTAGTCTACAAACCAATTACACAAAATTTGGAGAATTAATCACAGCATGCATACTTTAAGTAATTCAGTTAATTTGCTATAAATTTAAAGTGAATCAACATATATTCAGCTTGTTGTGCATTTTAATACTACTAGCCAGAAAATTTCTCCTGTATCTTAAGTCCTGGTACAGTGGTGCCTTGCAAGACGAAATTAATTCGTTCCGCGAATTTTGTCGTCTTGCGATTTTTTTCGTCTTGCGAAGCACGGTGTCGGGAAAGTTTTGGAAAAGCTTCAAAAATACCAAAGTCTTTAAAAACCTCAAAAAAGGCTACCACACTGCGTTCTATGAGTTGCTCCTCGAAGTCAAGTCGCAACTGTATTAACGGTGTTAAGAAAAAGGAAACAAACTTGCAAGATGTTTCCGTCTTGCGAAGCAAGCCCATAGGGAAAATTGTCTTGCAAAGCAGCTCAAAAAACAAAAAACCCTTTCGCCTAGCGAGTTTTTTGTCTTGCGAGGCATTCGTCTTGCGAGGTACCACTGTATGCTCAAATAGAAAACTGACAAAAAAAGGAAAGAAATCCTCCGTAAGATTCAAGCAATGAGCTAATGAGTACTTCACAGTAGTCATATAGTACAACAAAACTATACAGCAAAGGAGTGGAAAACTCAAATCTGCTGCCTGCTGGTGTTAAGAGTGAGGGTCTGACTTGTGACAGTATTTATGACTGAAAGTAATAAACTACAGCTTACATACAAGGTACTGAGCTACCATATGGGTTTCCAATGTTTTGTATTTTAAAGGATGACCTTTATTTTGTAATATACAATGGCTTGTTTTATTCCCACTTCCATAAAGTATAATTATTACCTCTTACTGTAATGCCATAGTTCCAAATTGCCTTTTATTTTCTGATCCTATTAACAGCATGTCAGCTTATAAGCAGCAAGTAACAGGGAGTCATAACAAAAGGCTACTTAGTTATACAACTGAAATGAACAATAAGAGTAAAGTGGCACCTTAAAGACCAACAGATTTATTGTGACATAAGTCTTCATGGACTAGCAGGCACTTCAGATGAATTAAGTACAATTCTCTGTTGACAAATACTTAAAGAAACTGTAAACAATGGGGGCCAAAATACCATGAAATGCAAGAGGTACAGTGTGTGACATTTCTATATGAAGGACAAATGTGTACAAGACAAGGACGGTGATCTTTCACAATAGCAGTAATCAGCAATCACACTTTCTGCCTCGCTTTTCTATGTTAAAAATTAACACTTGCAACAGGAAAAAAGTTTTACATTTTGACTTAGTACTAAACAAATAACAAATAACTTGATGATAAATCAGCAATTTTTAAAATTCAAGTTGTCCTTTGAAGGTTTGTTGTTGCTCAATTATGACTTTCAAATGAACTGTGCTGCAATCGGTGATGTGGGGCGGCGGTTTTTTTTTTAATGGATTTCACTCCCAAGACCTGGGAATTCTAGTGTAACACCACATTTAAAGCAAATTCCTTTTAAGGGAACTTCTTTCAGTACATTTTCAAAGGCACTTTGATGTTTTCTGCTGTGGTTGTATCCAGTTGTCCTCAAACAAACTGAAAGGCTCCTACTACTGCAGAAGGAACTGAGGTCCAGCAGAAGCCCCTGTTGGAGGAAGATGGAAAAAGAGGCAATTTCTCATCTTGCCCCCAATGCCACCCTCATTGTTCTAAATGGTCCCGTAACTCTCTAGTCTAGAACATTCTTTGGGAAGCATGGTCGGGACTGCAGGGAGAAATAAATGAAAACTGCCTTCCCTCTTCCTCCAGAAGGGAAGTCCCATGGGTGCAATCGTCTGGATCTCCTAGCAAATGAGTTGTTTTTTTCTTCCTCAAGTATAAAATTGTAGATAGAATTAACTATTTCACTATAAAAACCTGGACTCTTTTTAGACACTTGACTAGTCAGTTAGGTTGATTGTCGCCATATCATACCACAGCAGTATTCTAGCGCTGATGCACTTAGATAATAATCCAGGTTATTGTTTAAATGTTTAAGTCAAGTACACATTATATCTTTTCATCTCTACTATTACTATATGCCTCCCCTTTGTAAATTCCCGGGGAAGGCGTGGTAAGCCCCCAGCCACTGCAGGGAAGTGCAGCGCACCCTCCGCTGCTGCAGGGAGGTATGCGGGACTCTCTGCCCCTGCAGACAAGCCCAGCTAGGCTCTCTGCCCCCTTTACTTAAAAAAAAAACAAAAAACAAAAACCAACAACAATACTGCATAAATTTTGAATAACCACTGTATCTTTATTGCTTCTTCAACTAACACCCCCCCCAAACACCCTGCATACAGGCAGCGACTGTTTTAGGTGCATTCAATATGTGTGCATTGCCCAAACCCAGAAGTGACCCAAAAACGTCACAAAAAAGGGACGGAATTGGATGTTCACAGGCCTTTTCAGTTGTGTTTCAAATATAAGCGATTTCACTTATACGTACAGTGCCTTGGGACATAAACCATGCGTAAATGGGGCGGAGTTCTGGTACATGATTGTTTCCATTTGTTTCTACTGCAGTGCACTCATTAGCCATGCTCACATGCAACACAGTATCATATTTAGTGGGATGAAGGAAGGTTCTACCATGGGTACTGGATTCATGTACATCCTCCCTCTGCAGGAAAGGCAGTATTAAGAAGTCAGAAACTGAGATATAAATTGTGCCCACTGCCCAGAGATTCCCCACCACTAATTCCCCTTTAGGTTTAAAGTAGTGGTTCCCAAGCCATTTTTCCCATGGACCAATTGAACATTGTCGAAGGGCTTGGTGGGGTCTTAGTAGACCATTTAATGAGTTTTCTGCCTGCTGTAGCAATTGTAATGCACTATGCTAGGTGCTGTATGTTTTTTAATTTCAAAGGTGCCAACAACTGCAGGTATGGGAGTGGAGATGGCAGATATCCTGAATTAAATTAAACTAGGTCATTACAACCCAAAGGAGTTTTATTATAACAACAGCAAAAAAAAACCACAAAACCATGCCATACAAGACCAGATATAATTAGCCTCACAGTACCCTCTCCAGACAGCGCACCACAGCATTTTACTACCTTGATATTATTACAGAAATAATGCTACTAACATTTTTGAGGGGTGTGAGTGGTAGGGTTTCCCCACACACACAATATGGAGGGTGATGGGATGTAGAAAAGAAGGTGGGAGGAAGGGAATATGGAGAATTACAAAGAGGTTCCCACATCAGATCTACAGTAAAGGTGGATCTCATTTGGGGGAGAAAGAGAGGTTGCTGGTCAAGATTATTTCCCTACTCATTTTGCTACTTTGCTACCCAGCATTCTAAGTATTGATGCTCCTCTTTACTCAGTAAGCAACTGTACTTTAGGTAGGCTTTAGGTAGGTCTCTGACTTTGCTATGGACTTCGGTCTGTCGCCGCATGGGGCATGGTAGGAATTTTTCCCAATTGGCAATTTACAGCCATTTGGTTTTTCGCCTAACTCGTAGCAACTCGTCACAACTCTTTGGCATTGGCGGTAGGCATTGGTAAGAAGGGGTTAAGAGGATGGGGGGGGGAGGAACGCCATCACCTCCCCCCAGTGAGCGAAGGGTGGTCCGTTAAAGGACTCTGGGGGGCGTGGCCCTGTCCGAAGCCTATGGAGGTGTGGGCCAAAGGCACGCCCCCGAGCGGTGACCCAGGGGAGCTCCTAGTCGATGTGCCTCGGCGGGAGACTCCCCCGATATAGTGTTAACCCTTCCCCGTGTCTCCAGCAAATGGGTTGCAGGCGGATAGTCGTTAGGACTAATGCCTAAGCCAATGCCTCTCATTCCTGAATTCAATAAAGTTGTGGCCTAATTCGCCCATTTAACCTTAAACTATGGTGTCTCGTGTCTTTATTTATCCTGGTGGGGGGCGGGAACTCGCCACGCAAAGAGAGGTTGCTGGTCAAGATTATTTCCCTACTCATTTTGCTACTTTGCTACCCAGCATTCTAAGTATTGATGCTACTCTTTACTCAGTAAGCAACTGTACTTTTCCCAAGTTTGACTTTACAGACTGCTGATCACAGATAACTTTGTTTCTTGTATGTGAAGCTTTGAAACATCTGAAAAAATGACTTCAGGGAAACTGACTGAATTTGGAAAACAAAGTAATGAAAGCTGTTCTGCTAACCAAGTGAATCCTTGTAACATGCAGCAATTCTAGGCCTTAGCCTATTACAGTGGTGCCCCGCAAGACGAATGCCTCGCAAGACGAAAAACCCACTAGACGAAAGGGTTTTCCGTTTTTCGATGCGCTTCGCAGGACGAATTTCCCTATGGGCTTGCTTCGCAAGACGAAAATGTCTTGCGAGTCTTGAGATTTTTTTCGCTCCCCCCCCTTTTTCTAAGCCGCTAATAGCCGCTAAGCCGCTAAGCCTTTAATAGCCGATAAACCGCTAATAGCGCTAATCCGCTAATAGGGTTGCTTCGCAAGACGAAAAAACCGCTAGACGAAGAGACTCGCAGAACGGATTAATTTCGTCTTGCGAGGCACCACTGTAAATTATTCTTACTTTTGAAATTAGGATTCCCTCTTTTATCTTGTGTTTCAACATTCAGCATAGGCAATTCAGCATTTGTTAGGGAGACAAGTTCCTGATGTGTGCTCAGGCAAAGCAAGCATTAGCCCACTGGTATGACTCACTTCTCTTCCTCATTATGGTAGGGCAACACAATGAAACATCAAGGAAATTCTAGGTCAAACATTGCATAAAACCACACAGTCTGTTTCCCTGACTTTGAAATAATGCAATGATCTAATTCATTCAAGGGACTGTGGGCAGACTTATAGTTAAAAGTCTGTAAACCACTCCTCCCTGACAACTGCTGCAATAAATGTTCAGCTCTGACCTTCTATTTCTGGAGTATGTTTAGAAAAAGAAGTTAAGATTAAGGAAGGAATGTCATCATACTTGGTAAGAACTGAATTGCTGCTCTAGGTATTAATCTAAAATATTTAATACCTCACCCTTCAATGGGATAACTTCCATATCAATATGGAGGCTTAGAATAAATATTTAACCACACACAAGAAAATCAAAATACAATTAAAACAACAGTGCAGAACAAAGCAGCAGGAAAAAACCAATCTAACAATGCAGTTAAAAGGCACAGGTAAATAGAGAGATCTTAATCTAACCCTGGAAGACTTGAAATCCAGCACAAGGCAAACTTTCCTGGTTTTCTACACACAGGAAGCCGCAATTGATAAGGTCCTTTTTCCACTCAACGTCTCTGAAGGCAGGGACACCCAAAAAGGACCAAAGAAGATACCCTTAACATATGAGAAGACTCACATGGGATTAGGCACTCCTTCAAATACCCTAAAGGCCTATACAGTGGTACCTCGGATTACATACGCTTCAGGTTAAAGACTCCGCTAACCCAGAAATATTACCTCGGGTTAAGAACTTTGTTTCAGGATGAGAACAGAAATCGTGCAGCGGCGGCGCAACGGCAGGCCCCATTAGCTAAAGTGGTGCTTCAGGTTAAGAACAGACCTCAAGAATGAATTAAGTTCTTAACCCGAGGTACCACTGTGTATGACTTGAAACCTAGGTAAGCAGAAGCACTTCTGAACTGTGTTGGGAAACAGATCAGTGGCCAATCAAGTTAATAACTAGCCAATTTTATGAATAATCTAGAAATTGTATTTTTGGACCACCAGCAGTTTCCAACATCTTCAAAGGCAGCCCTATGTACAACACCTGGTCCTAGTATAAACTGGATGTTACTGTAACAGTGATCAAATTGACCAGGGTCTTTCTGTGAGGAAACAGCTGGTGCTTGCATTGGGAGGCGGAATGTACCTCTTGCCATAGATTCTACCTTGGCTTCCAAATACAGGTTGAATCAACACACACCCTCAATCTGCAACCCAACCATAACAAGTTGCCCACCACCTCAACAACAACAACAACAATAATAAAACAACGTCTTACTCTCAGTACCTTGATCTTAACTTTGATCTTCTTTTCAGGGTTTTTCTGGCAATCACACCACCTGATTCTGATGAACAGGAGAAGTAGAGCTGGGTGGTATTAGCATGCTGATGGCACCTAACTCAAGACCTCTGGATATTCTCACCCAGGAGGTCATTTAGATGTTACAACAGCTTGGGAAACAAAATGGGCCTTGCAGAACACTAACACATGGGCTATAAGGTCTCCCATCACCACCACCTGAAACTAGCCATCAATATAGGAACAAAATCACCTGTGCACATCTGCTATGACAGAGAAGTTTCCAGACAGATACTGTTTCCCATTTGAATAGGTCTTGAAAAGCCCAATGTTGTCACATTTTATCATAACTAAAAAAAAGTTAGATTGTACTCGAGTCAAAACCAATTCTAAAATGCAAAATCCTGAGCCACCAAGGGTATTTTTCTTTTACTCTGCTGCCTTTGCAACATACCCTTGAACACCAGCTCTATAAATCCTACTGAGGTCTGTGGAACTTACTTCCATGTGTCAGTGTCAATGTCAACAACACTTACTTAACTCCAGCAACTGTGGTGAAGAGCCTACAGCATGTGCAAATCCTTACAACCTCAACACATTGAACCAGACTCTCCATCAGGGAACTTCTAAAATGATACAATATTCACTTCTATGTATCATTCCAAATAATGGCAAAAAACCCAAGAATATGGTTCCATGAACCAACAGGGCCTCAGGCATGCTCATCTTTAACAGCTAGCCTTTCCATGCCACGCAGCCAACCCTCTTTTCAAAACTAAGGAACACTTCCAAAGCCAAATTGCTGTATGGCATTACAGCTTGCTGTTGGGAAAGGAAAAACAAAAAATGTCAAGAATCCTACTAGGCATGCCCAAACTCTCAAACAAACCTGAAAAGCCTCTCTGGAACTTAGCCCTTATCCTCGTCATCCCTGACTCAGGACGGGAGTCCTCCTACTCCTAAGTGTTAGAAGAGGGTGTATCTCTGTGCCTGCTAAATCCTCAGAGGAGAGCACTGCTCAAATCAAACCCTGCTTTTAGAAGGGCGGGAGATCACAGAACTGTGGAGTCAGAAGGAACCACAAAGGTCATCGAGCCCAACCCCCCTGCAATGCAGGAACTCTTTTGCCCAGTGTGTGTGTGCATCTCATATACAAAACCTTTTATTTCCCCCACACCCTAGCAACCACAAAAAACCCTTACAAGTAACTGTCAGTCCTGTTAGAAGTAGAGAGAGAAAGAGACATAATAGGAAAGGAAGGAAGCAGGTTCCAGGAAGCAGTGGCCGCAGCGATACCGCTGATACAACAGCAAGTGATAGGAAAAAGCCTGCCAGCAAACCACAGAGGTGCCTTTTTTATAATATATTATAAAATATATTATATATTTATAATTTATTATAAAAGAACAGCCAGGGCTGTTCGGCCTTCTGCAGCTGCTGCTGCTGCCGCCACCCCACAACCACTTTCCCATTTCGCACCCTCGGCCCCCCACCCACCTAGGAAATGTTAAAAAAAGGGGGGAGGGATATCCCACAGAGGCACAAAGGACCATTCCCACCCCCTGGCGGTTCACCTGTCCCTCTCACCGCGAAGGCCGCCGCCTCAGACCCCCGCCGACCCACCCCAACGTCCGGTCCTTTTCCCCGCCCCCCGCCGACGTACCCTTGGCCTCGCAGTCGGCGCAGTACTTGTTGTCCTCCTCCCTCAGGAGCTTGGCCAGGATGGCCTGGTGCTGCTCGTTCTGCTTCTGCGCCTTCTCCCGGCACGAGCGGGTGGCCATGGCGAAGGCAAGGAGGGCAAAGGGGGAGGAAGGAAGGAAGGAAGGGGAGGCGGAGGCCGAGGAGAGCGTGAGGGGAGCGAAAAGAGAGGCGGGAGGGCGCACCGCCTCAGGAACCAAAGAAAGGAGGACTCTCCAGCCGAAGCCGGCAAACCAACAGCGGCGGCGGCGGCGGAGGAGCTTCCTATTCTTCCTCCTCCTCCTCCGCCTGCCGTCACGCCGACAGCGAAGAGGGACGAGCGCCGGCTCAGCCAATCAGCAGCCTCCGGAGGCGCACGAGCGGCGGCGGCTTCCTCAACCGGAACTACAAACGGCCCTCGTACGCTTGCGCCGCCTCCCTCCAAGCGCGTGACGCGTCGTCGACTGCCCACCTATTTCGCCTTTTTTTCTTTCTACCTCCTCAGAACAAAGTAGTTCCTAGGATGTACCACTTTAGGGGGCGCGGCGGCGCGGAGAACGGATAGGGTTATAGATAGGCAATAGGTGGGGTTCCTCCCACTTCTCCCTATTAGAAAGGGAGCCCCCCTGGCTCAACTTTGGAGCAAGGGGCGGGGCTTTTCTTCTGGCAGCCCGTTCTAAGCGGTAAAAATAGCCCTCCCCCGCGGCGTGGCTTGACGTGAGTGGTGACTCGTCACATTCCACGGGAAAATTCTTTCAGAAAATAAAATAAAAATCCCTCCGCCTTGCAAAGGGGAGCGGGAAGGGAGAGGCGCGGTCAGGAGCAGCCTTTGCCCTGCCTGTCCTTAATTGCTTCTGCCCCGTGTCCTAGGCAGAGCCGCCCACGCTGTGCAGCTGTGCCAGTAAGGCAAACACAGCAGTGGATGCTTTTTGTTTTCCCTTTTCCAGGGAAGTTTCTGTACGGGGACTTTCCTCTGGTTTTGCGCGCCACTGATTTCCCGCACTTGGGATAAGGAAGGGAAGGTTGCGTGTTGGCTGGAAAGGAAAGAAGTCCGAAAGAGAACTGCTTGGGGAGCTGCAAAAGCGAGCACGCGCTCTGGGGTTTTATTTGCTTGGCGCGCAATCCTGTGCGTGTCCACTCTAAAATTAAGTCTGTGGTTTGTGGACCTTACCTACCACGCGTTAAGATAACATCCTGGATTACATTCCAGGATTACCGTACCTCTCAGAACTGCTTCTGGGACACTTGCGGGTGCTCACAGGACTATCGGTTTCTAGAAGTAACTAGTGGAGCCATAGTGTAATGTCTATATTTGATTTTCCTATTTCAAAGGGCCAGCGGGCTGGAGGAGTGATTGCGTGTTTTCCTTCCTTAACTAGAATCCCCACCCTTTGTCAGCCTTTCTCTATGTTGTTCTGTATAACCTGAGGGAAGTGTTCCTCTTATCCACATTTAGAGGCTGAAGGATAAAGGTGTGTTTTTTTTCTTTTTGGGGGGAGCGAGTAGGCTGTATGCCTGAGTTCCTCATAATTCCCCAAATCCAACAAGGATCCAATTGCTGAATTAGCCATGCAAGAGTCATAATGCTCCCCCCCCCCAAGTATGGGTAGTTAAGGGAACAAAGGAAGTGGCTCTGTGCCAGAGATCAAATGGGTGGGCCCCCTTCCTTCAACTATCTCTTAGTTAGAAAGGCAAAAGCCAGAGTTGTGTGAGAGAGAGCTGGAAGCTAGAAGTAGGCTGGGCAGCTGAGATATATAGCCATGCCTGGGATGTACTGGGATCCAAGGCTGTGGCGATGGGAAAGGCAAGACCACATTGGGTGTTAATGCTGTGAGCCCCTCCACCATAAGATCAGGTTGCATATATGTGTAAATAAACCATATATCCTAAAGACACAAGTGTTTCTCTACTGTCCCTTATTCTGAGGAAATGGAATTCTGGGTAAGCACCTGGAAACCCTGAAATCTCACACCGCTCTGAGATTGGGGTGGCATGCAACAATAATGGTGCCCCCCTCTCTCACTGCTAGCTTATCGGTATCTATAGTTCAGTTAGGAGATGAAAGATTTCTGTACCCAACCTGAGGAATTCCCCTCCATTGAGGTGTAGCCCAAGCTTTGTGGGGGAAGTAAAGTATCTGTTTGCCAAGATCTCAGTCCCACTGATTACAAGGTCATAATAGATCCACAGTATTGAAAATGAAAATAACAATTTCAAAAAACAATAGAAATAATCCAAACTTTGTGTGCGCTCCAGCTTCCTGTTCTTTTCTGTGAGGGGAGCAGTGATAGAGCTTTCTGGACAATTATGACATGGGGGAAATCTTAACCCAAGCTAGGGTCATATTGGGTGAGATAATGGGGCATTGGAAAGTTTTCAGTTTTCATGTTTTGATATCCCATAGAGTACCGGTAGTTGAATTTTGCATGCTTTATTTTACTTGTATTTATTATTAAAAAGTTGCTAAAAACCTGTAAGCTTTAATACACAAGTTCCCCCGCCAGTAGAGTGTAAAACTTCATTTATACTGTAAATTTAGAAAGAATGACAATGGTATTACCAGATTTCATATAAAACATATGAAAAGAACCCTAAGATTGTCAAGCATGTAGGCTGAAGACTAACATAAAGAATAATAAATCATAAATTATCTTAACTAGTTAAACTTACAGGGTTGCATCCAACAAACCTGCTTGCACAAGGACATTTGCTTGTACAATGGAACTTCTCCTTCCTCTCCTGTCCCCTTCCCAAAATCTGCTCCAGAGGGTTGGGGGGGGGACCCAGAATAGATGTGGGGCAGTGGGAGGAAAGAGAGGTGAAATTCCATTGTGTAAGCAGAAGTCCGTGCACAAACCAGATGACTTCATTGGATACAACCCATATATGCTGAAGAGTAATGCACTTTTGTTAACGCCCAACATGTTTCAGCCCAAACAGGTCTTCCTCAGGCTTTTCTACCAAAAAATAGGACAGCAATTAATAAATCATGCTGAAAACATTTTTTTTTAAAGTTAGAACACAATCTCAAAAGTCACAGCTTGTAAAAACACTCACCTTTCTCATAGAAAACACCTATTTGTAAAAAAAAACCATTTTTATTTTCCCACGTATAGACAAAATCAAGAGTCATGTAGCACTTTAAAAGCTAAGAAATTCATTATGGCGCATGTTTCTGTGGATTAAAGCTCACGTCATCAGTTGCCTAAAGTGAAATTGCAGTCAGCGTATATGCTATGCACGCACACAAGGGTGTAGAAGAGAAACACATAAGGTGGGAGATGAATCATCTCAGCATTGCTAAGACGGTTGCGTTAACGCCTTTTCCATTCTTCTTAGCAATGCTAAGTAAATTACTAACAATGTATTGCATTAAGGATTACTGTGCTTATTCTACACTTTTTTTTGCATCTCATTGCCATTCAGCTTCCACCTTACATTTTTCTCCTTTACACTCTTGTTGGTATATATACTTGACAGATGCAAGTTCATTTCATGCAGTTGATGAAGTCAGCTTTCAGTCCCCAAAATCGTAATGTGTAATAAATCTATTATCATTTAATGTGCCCTAGGATGCTTTGATTCAGCTACTGTTTAAGTTGGCTTACATTCAAAGAAGGCAAAAATGTATCACTGAGAAGGGCTCTGCTGGGTCAGCCCAATGGACCATCTAGTTCAGCGCCCTGTTCTCACAGTAGACAACCAGATACCCATGGGAGGCCTGAAAGCAGGACCTAACAACACTCTCCCCACTTGTGATTCCTGACAACTGGCTTTCAGAGACATACTGCCTCCAACAATGGAAGTAAAGATCTTTGGGGCACTAATGACTGCAGTGCTAGATCTTACAAGCTCTAGCACTTGATGAAGAAAACCATCTTCAATAAATGATGACATAATCATTGCCTACCCAGCTCATATTATGGGTAAGGTAAAGGTAAAGGGACCCCTGACCATTAGATCCAGTTGTGGCCGACTCTGGGGTTGCAGCGCTCATCTCGCTTTATTGCCCAAGGGAGCCGGCGTACAGCTTCCGGGTCATGTGGCAAGCATGACTAAGCCGCTTCTGGCGAACCAGAGCAGTGCATGGAAACGTCGTTTACCTTCCCACCGAAGGGGTACCTATTTATATACTTGCACTTTGACGTGCTTTTGAACTGCTAGGTTGGCAGGAGCAGGGACTGAGCAACGGGAGCTCACCCCGTTGCGGGGATTCGAACCGCCAACCTTCTGATCGGCAACCTTCTGATCGGCAAGTCTGATCATCCACGTCCCTTCATATTATGGGTAGGGGCCCTTTATCTGCCTGAAAACTGCATTCCCTTGTGGGCAGCCTTTTTCAGACCAGAGGCAAAAATGGGCAGGGTGGAGCAAAGTATGTGATCCTGCTTTGCACATTCCAGCCAAATGCAGCCAGTGGGGGGCATGGAGCAGAGCCAGTGAGGGTGTGTGTGGCCTGGGAAGATTCCCAGAGAGACCCTAGACCTGAGGTTTCTCATGTCTGCTTGTATGGAATACAGGAAGTACTGACTACTTCACCATGCCACTGTGTGAAACAATCAGGTTGCTGGGTACTTCCTAGTTCTGTTGCATATGCACAAAGAAGAAACCAAATCCACAGCAAGGCATTAATAATAACCCATCCCTTCAGGTAAATGAAAGAGAATAGCTAGCAATTACATTTGTAAGCAGATATCCAGGAAGGCACTGTTAAGTTATTCAGCAGTGCATGGGGGTGGTGTAAGTTGCTTTCCCAAAGCTGGATTTCTTGAAGCCTCCCACCTTTCATATGGCATGGTGAATCAGCAAGAAAACAGAAGCTCAGTGCTCCAGTGGGACACCTGCTCTCTCCTCCAAACTCTCATGGATTTCCTGCTCTCTTCATCTGTTCTTGTGCTTTTGAACTTGCTCAAAAGGCAAAGAGTCGGTGGCAATAAGTTTCTGTATCTCTTCAGCCCTTCTTTATTTAGGCTGTTAGCACACTCAGCCTTTGAAGCTCAATGAAATGTATTTGCATCTATTCCTAGTTTATTAACTGCTCCTAGAAGTTGGGAACTGGGAGTGCAAAAACAAAACAAAACTTCCTGTATGCCAGCAAATGAGCACCTGAACAAGAATTTTGCACCCAGTTCTCCATTGTAACCCTGTCATTCTGCTCTCTGTGAAAATAAGCTGTCTGGAGAAAAGTGTGCCATTCCCCCCCCCTCGATTTAATTATCCACTGTCAAAATGGGCACAATCCATCTTATATTCAATGCTCTGGAAAATCTCATCAGCCCCTCAGCATTTTCAAACTCCAAAAGTGACAGTTTTTTCTTTATTTAGACCTGACATTTCTCTAGATAATATTTGCTTTTCTAAAACAACAACAACAGTATTTTGCCTTTAGCCACAAGATTTATAATAACCCATTGGTTATCTTTCTTATAATAACCCACTGGTTCTGATTTTCTTTACCCCTTTTGCTACTGCCCTCTAAGACACATGACCATGTCTTCTTCCTTCAAAGTTTCTTTCCTGCTTCTATTCTCCATTCTTGCCATTTCCATTTTGTAACTCTTGCCTAAGGCTGTGTACACAATGTACATTCAAAGCATATTCTTTCCCTCAAATTATGTTGTGCATTGTGGCTCATTGAGGGTTGCTGGTAATTGTAACTCTGTGAGTAAACTACAGTGTCCAGAATTCTTTATGGGGAAGACTGTGTTTTGAATGTCCTTTAAAAGTATAGTCTATACATCATCTTAGTTTCACAGCTTCTATCCCCCATTGGTCTTTCTTGCTACTCTCCCCTGCCTCAATGACTCAGCTTCTCCCCCTCCGCACTCTGCCTGCCTGTCTCTTCTGCTGATATGCAAGGATTTTCCACAATATTATTTTCCCCTCCACATGTCTTGGGGCCACATCTGGGACTGGCTGACCAGAAGAGCCCCTACAGCTTCAAATGTTCCTAGAACTTAGCCCAATAATGATTGAATAGTGCAATTGAATTCTGTCGAGAACACTGCAGCCTAGAAATAAATCTTGACTGAGCACCTATTTTCTGCTGTTATCCCCGAGATATCTATAGTATGAGCAGATGGATGGAGAGGTGTGTAGATATTTCAAAGGCTTGCTTTTGACATTTTATACTCAGCTTTATCTTTCAAAACAATGAGCACCTAGAATTTCTCAGTGAAGCAATGGATTCTGTGTTAGCAACTCACTCATCTTTTTCTTCTCCTGCTCGCAAAATATACTACCTATCTGTTGTCCCTGCTCCCATTGTATGGGTGGTCATTGCTTTCTTAACACTGTTGTCATAATTGTCAGTGTTACCATAGCCACCACCATGGAAACTTTTATTTGCAATTCACAAGATGACACAGGCATGATTTTGGCAATATAAAAATTATGGTGGTAGAGATGAGCACAGAGAGCTGAACTGCAAGTTATATGGTAGCTCTGATTTACTTTAAAACAGCTACAGGGTATTCTAGTTGAGGCCAGAGAGGGAGTGTTCTGTTTCTGGTCTCAAAGTTCGTGATCTAAAGTACCCCCTGCATCTGCTGTTAGCTCTATGGTGGGAAACACAGGTGCCTGCGTTTCTTCTCCAGGGGGCAAACTGCAACTCTACCAATAGAGAGTTAAAGCCCTCTCTGCCAGAACCAGTGTTCAATTAAATTCAGTGCCCCCCTTGTTATTTTATGGTATGGTACAGTAGAAATAAGACCAGCAAATTTAATCCCAGATGAAGTACATCCCCGATAGCACCTGGCAGGGCAGGTGATATTGAAAGGAAGGAGGCACAGGAATTGCACTGCAGTATGCCAGGTCAGTGGCAATTCATTCAAAACCCCTGAACCTCAGGAGATTTGCCTCCATGTCCTAAAAAGTCCAGATTCATAATATCTTACACAAAGTTGCATGTACAACCCCAATGGCCAATTAAATTAGCATAGTGCTGGAAAAACAGATATAGAACACGGGACTCTGAATATATGTATATCTATATCTGTCTGTCTTTTTTGTGTAGGGAAGGGTCTAAGTGCTGGTTGTTATATCTAGCTGCTTCCAGGAGCTATATTCTTCCTTGTGGGAATGTTTTTATGGAACCAGAACAAGGCTATTGACCAAATACACCATTAGTTATCCTTGCATGTTGTAGCTAAAAATAAATATTTGTCCGTTAACACAACAGGAAGTACTAGCAACTGTTATTATTTATTTATTTAGCTAGTTATTATTTCAAAAATTGTATACCACTTAACCATGGTCTTCTCTAAGCAGTTCACAAGGACACAATACAAAAATAGTAGAAGTCAGTTAAAACTATGAAATCAAACTTGAATTTAAATGCCTGCTGGAATAAAAAGTCTTCCATAGGTGCCATACATTCAGGTGGGAGATGGTCTGATCTCAAATGGATGGAAGTTCCATAAAACTGGCCCACAGTACTAAACTCATGGCTCCCGGTGGATATGAGCTGTGCACCAAAGCCACGGGGGAACCACTAACTTCCCCAAAGACTTGAATGATGAGGCTGGAATATAAGAGATTAAGCATCCTTTAAATTATCCTAGACCCAAACTGCTAACGACCTTTTAAATACAAAAAACATGAATCTGGTCCAGTAGCGTACGGGCAGCCTGTGCAAACTTTTAAGCATTGGAAATATGTGTCGGCAGCAGTCTGTTCCCATCAACAGTCTGCCTGTGGTATTTTGCTAAATCTATGCTGTAAAAACCTATGTTTTGTCTCATGTTTAGCAACCCTGATAGCTAAGCACTGAAAATTCCCTGGTCCTCACAATCTTTACCATATTTTAACGATTTCCATGATTTATTGGACTTGTTTCTTTTGAGCTAGGTTGCACAGTAATGGACAGTGCTATTAGTGTCAGCAGATGATCCATCTTAGCAATCTGAGTCTCTATTCTATGCAAAATATGCATATTCATGATATTACCCCGAGCCAAGATTATCGAGGCTCCAACCTGGAATCTTTTCAGTATCATTCTACATCTCTGAAAAATGTATAAATAAAAGTGTCCTTTGACTCACAATTAGGTAACACATAGGTATACAAAGCTGAAATTAGAGGTTCCAGATTGCAGTATGTTGCTTCTAGATACCACTCAGTTTAAAAATTATGTACTGTACTGCTCCGACACAACCTTTTGTACTTATTTTTTTCCTTTTCTCCTTTCTGCTAGACAAGGTATCAATATAAACTTAAAAATGAATAAAATTCTGTGCACCACTTATCTGCTTACCTGTACTTCTTCCCTGGGAGCTAACAGGAACTTCAGTCTGTTATCATCCTGCATTAGATAACCAACACCAGCATTCTGCCTGCTTGCTCGCTAGATAATAAGTGTGTAAAGTTGTGTGTACTTCTGGTAACAAAATATGTTTGTCCTACAATCAGATCCTACAAACTGCTGTGCTGGCAAAGCAGATCAAGAAATTACATATTTACTTGAACAAGGGCAGTGTAATGAATCTAACTTATGATGTAGAATCATTATGACCAAGCAGATGACATCATAGTGGCAAAGAAGTAGAGGTCACCACTATAGTAATCAGACATATGTAACAGCAAATGCACTGTGCAAAGCTGGGATGGGTCACAATCAAAATTAAATTATACATTTATCCATATCAGTGGCTCAGGATGAGTAGCAATGTGCTAATAATTTAGCCCTAACCATCTTTATTCGTATGTCTGGCCACCATAAAGCAGTCTGAATGGTCTTACACTATTTCCAGAAAATGCACAGGCTTTGGTGAAGGTATTTGGTTCCAAAGTTACGATGCTGGCAGTCACCAAGAATGCCTCTTTCCTTTAAATTCCAATCCTGCTTAAATGCATAGATGGCGTAACAGAGGCCCCCAGATTGAGAAGTTCTAGTGAAAAATGACAGAGGTAACTATTTAGGTGTGCTATGCTAGTTTGCAGCAGTTTTTATAACCTGCTACATATAATATAGTATATACATATAATATGGGTGTATACAGAACAATTTATCAAGTTTGTAACTTGTTGAGTGTACGATTACATGGGGAGCTGGTCATCTGTTGCATCCACCTCCATGGTGAGAGTTTTACTGTGCCTTCGCTTCCCTGGTATCCAGGGAACGTTTTCATTGAGATGAGAAGGGTTCAGGCATGATTAAACAAGTCCGTTCACTTTGGGATCGATCCTGTAGCAAACTCCACCAGGATGAACAGGTTAGGATTCAGCAGATTTCCAGCTGAGTCAGGAGGTTCCTAGCTGAGCTGGGCAATACCTGTTCACTGTATTTTTCCATGTCTAAGACACCCCCACATATAAGACGCCCGCTATTTTTTGAGCCCAAAATTAAGAAATAAACATTTTAAACACCAAGCAAAACAACTTTGATATTTTATTAAATATTCAAAACACTGGTATATTTAGTACCGTATATTTAAACATCAAACAGTGAGGCAAGCTGTGTAATGGCAGCTGCTCCTGTCAGCTCAGTGTAACTTCACTGTAGCTGCAGCTCCAGCTCTCCCGCCTGTGTGGTGCACTTTCGTCTCAGTATTTACGGTATGTACCGTATTTACTCCATGAGTGCCGGCAGATGCGGACGCTGATCAAGGAGCTGCGACTGCCAGAGCTTCCTGAGTGTGCTGGGGGGGGGTCTTGGGTAGCCAGGGGGCGGCTGTGGGAACCAGGTGGAAGGGACAATGTCCAGAGTGGGGGCTGCTGGGAGGGAGGAGTACCAGACCAGGGTTTGACATGTAGTGAGGGGAGGCTGGGGGGAGAGAATATGGATGGCGGCATGTATTTATTTATATATTTAATTGCAACATTCTGCGTATAAGACGACCCCCAATTATAGGCTTTAAAAATTTGGGAGGAAATATTGTCTTATACACGGAAAAATACAGTAACTCCTTCATCCTCTGCTTAGCCAGAGATATGCTGGCATATCTCCCCATCCCAGCTCAGACATGACCCAGCTGGCTAATCTGACCCTGGTGGATCTTTAGCTAGTGTAGACCCTATCTGAAGCCTATTCAGCTCCGTCATGTGACGTGGCAACTCACTGTAAATTAAGTCACAAAAAAGGCGGTGTAACTCAAAACACTATTTTAAAGGCTTGTTTTCCCCTCTTCCACACTTAGAAGATGGATGTGGTGTAACTTTACACCAGTTTGCTTTACACCAGCTTCTCGTGTATAGGATTACTCTGTACAGGGTTGTCTTGTTTGCCCCTGTAAGTTACTGCCTGATACAGTTGCCTATAGCTATTCTGTGTGCATTATATATTTACTAAGCTTTTTGTGGTGAGAGTATAATTGACAGGCAGTATGGCAGGATTATATTTTACAGAGATAAAACACTACCGAAGCAGAAAGTGTTGAAACAAAGGTTTTGTCAAGGCATTTTCTCTCCCGGGCTGACACAAAAATGCTTTAAATGTCACAATCATTTAGATTAGAAGCCCTGTTTTCATTTTATTGTTAATGCAGCACTCCTAATAATAGCCCGGTATTAACCAGGGCATTGTTATTTGCTTGCTAAAATGAGTAACTGCAACAAAATGCTATAAACTTAGCAGGTCATGTCACAACAAGAGTTGCAAAACCATTAATCTAAATGGCATAACTAAAACTCAGCAATTTCTCTCTCATTTACTCTTGTGCTGCCATCAGAGATGTATTTTACCAACAAAGCTCTAATGCCTGCTAAGTATCTTAGAAGTCAGAATGCAAACATTTCCCCCCTCTTTCTCTAACTTTAACTCTTAGACTACATACAGTATGTATCTATAATCCTTTCACCAGAGTGGTGTACATTTCCCAAATGAATTACAGATGTTTGATCGTAGGTGCAGTATTTAACACAACCTGCAGAAAATGATCAAATGCAGTTTATCAGCCATGTATTATGGTCTGACACATTCCTTGTTTTGCAGTCCTAGGATTTCACTAACCTTCTCCTTGAGCATTCACCCTAATTTGCTTGCACAAAGTTTATGCAGATCTTAGATTATGCTGGGTCTTTACTGAGCCTTCATTCTGATTTGAACAGGGAGGATATACAAGGAGAATTTCTTCTGATTTCCTTTACACCAAATCTTGCACAAATGTTGGTTCAATCATATGCAAAAGCACAACACACAAAACAGAAAGCAGCTCAGTGATCTGCTTACTGCCTACTTATTAAAACAAGTGGTTTCTGCTAGAGGACACACCTGAGTCTTTTATATTCAATAATCTCACTGCATGGACTTTGCAATGGCACTTGATTGTAGTTGTCGCCATGGCTATCTCCTTTGCTAACTCATGGTCGACTTTAGTGTTTAGGTATATCTCCTGCAGCTTTTCCTTAATTTTCTCTAATCTCCTTCCACACAACACACGGTGTTAATAGGAGCAATGGTTGTGTGCTTCCATATTGTAATGTCCACACCGCTAGCTATTGTTCCAATTAAGAGTAGGAACAGCAACCAATAAGACACATGTACTGAATTGTGGGCCAGGGTGTGCCATTAAAAAAAAAGATGCTTAGCCATGGTAGCAAATTTCCCCAATGTCACTGATCATCCCCGCAAGATAGAAGAGCCAATAGCACAACTGCATTCCAGAGGTTTTAAAAGCATTGTAAGCAGTGATTTGGTTTCCAGAGAAACTTAAATGAAATGAACATTTCCTGTATGCTTTCCTTCTGCAACCACATGCACCTACCCACTAAAAAGCCTGTTTTCAAATGATCTGATTTAGTATTTTAATGGGGCACTGTTGATGGAGGGATGAGTTGCCCCAAATAGGGTGGAATTCCACCCGATTTGGAGCAACTCTTCTTCCAGTAGCCTTTTGTATCTTGTCCCACACTGTTCAGGAGGTCCCCTGACCCTTTGTAGAGGCACAGGTGATTGCGGTGGGAGAGACAGAAAGCTTTCTGTGAACTTCCTTAAGTTAGTATTTTGATATTGCACTTTGGGATAGAGTTGAATGATGGAGTGTCTCAACAATGGACGTACTACACTGAGGAAAGATTCTGACTTCTGCAAAACAAGCAATGTGTATTTTATGGGGGAGGGGAGGGAAACATACAGTCCCCAAAAAGAGAGACTGTAGTTTTGAACTAAAATGTTGTACTTTGTTCATAATTTCCAGTGATTTACATATCTTAATCTAATAGCTCATCTAATTTTAACTCCCTTTTGCAACTAAATTGCAAAAAAAGATTTGTAATCTTCAAATTACATTTAAAAAATATACAATACTGATATATTTTCCTTTCAGTGGTGTTCTACTTTTAGCTTTCTCCCTCTTCTTTTCACCAGTTTGGGATTGCAAAGGTCACACAATGCACAACCTAAAATGTTGAGCTTCCCTACACATCTGAAGTGTGAATAATTAGCACTTGGTGAAAGAAACTGAGACACAGTTCAGTTTTTATAGTGCTTCTTTATCCCACGCAACCAGCCCATTCTGGCAAGAATAACATGATTCTGTGGTAGTTCTGAGCTTATATTAATCTCACTATAACCTTGATGTATACAGACAAAATTAAAAACCGGAGTATACTAAAAATACACAGAGAACAGCAGGGGAGAGAGTGGAAAGAGCAACAACCCCACACTTAGCAAGGTTTAAACCAATCCCCCTCATAACATCATAATTTACAAATTAAAATCTTAAAACCACTCGGCTGCCGTCTCATACAGCTCACTAATACAGACACATTCTCTCTATACAAACACACTCTAGAGCTCCTCCACAAGAGGGGTTATTTTGGGTCAACCAGAATCCTTCTTCCATCAGTCCTTCCCTCCTGACCCCTGGAGGGATTTTCTTCTCTCAGAGCACTCAAGGATTCCTCAGAATTTATCAAGATGCTTATCACTTGTGTTAGTTAGTTAGTTAGTTAGTTAGTTAAATAAATAAATAAATAAATAAATAGTGAAATATTTATACTCCCCTCCTCATTCTCAAAGAACTCTCAAGAGCAACTAGCAATTAAAAGCAATAATCCATATTAAAAATATATATCAAGAAAGCTTGTTTCTTTGAAACCTGGACCTTCTTGGCAGCCGCCCACACAGACACATTTCTCTTTTGCCTCATTCTTTTACACAGGGCCCCTCCTCACTCCTCGTCAGTCTTGTTACCTCAGTCACACCAAAACACTGCCTTCCCCTCAACTTTTCACCAGTCATTTCTCTTGGTTGCCTGGAGACTACTGGCTGGTTGCCATCACTTGTCCCCTTATTTATACTGCACATTCTCTACCTCCACTGAACCTTAAATCCAAACACTCAGATTTAGCCGATGTGTCAAACATATTACCCCGTTTAAACAGCCACGGTGTTATCTTCCTGTGGAGCAGGCTGTCAGTTACAAATCAGAGATCCAAATGGATTTTCAGTTGTGCTTTTATTATATGCTCATTTCCATAGTTACATTAAAATAACGTAATAGAAACTTTCATCCACAAATAAGAGAGCTGAAGAGACACAACCTCACCTTCCTAGTTCTTCAAAATAGAAGGGAGCCTTATCTCATGTTTGACTTCCAAATAACTCCAGTCTTTGACCTCTGTTGTTTCTGTAAGCAATTAAATCTTGTACTGCCAATAAATAAGGCAGTTTTAGTGGAGTGAGCTAGCCACATACTATTAGAAACTAGCTCAAGGTCTCCTGCTAATTTCAAATATATTTCTTTCTGAAATATTCCACTTCTGAAGAAACTTTCAGTTCTTTGGTTTGTTAGACCGGCAGCACTTAAATGAGCAACTTTTATTACTAGCTAAAACAATAAATTTCAGATTTTTCAACCTAAGCTCCAGTTGGCACCAAGTTAAGTGTGAATATAGAGTTTTAACACAGATGAGCTTCATTAACTTAAACTTAAGCGTTGGAGCTTTTTAGTGCCATAAAATGTATTGCCATAGCAAAGGCAAACTAGAACAATCTGTGATGCTATATATAATATGTTGAGTCATAAGCATTATTTACTGGGGTTTGCTGTTCAGGATAGAAAGGAATCCCACTGGCATTGTTAAGTAATATGATCTGCAAAAGACAGCACTTAATGGCCAAAAATTCATTCCTTGTTCAATGGCATATATACTTAAGTGTTTGTAACAGCTGCAGAAATTAAGGTTACTGAAGTACAAAATGGCTTGCTTAGTGTTATTGCACTTCACTCCGCTCTTCATCACCACAGCATAGACAAGAACCCACTTCTCCATCTTCTTACCTAATGAGTATTTTCCAGACAGAGAAGGGAGTAGGGGGCCATTAGTTTGTTTCAGTTTATTAGTCTGTGAAAAATACATAAACTTTTTCAAAAGAAAAAATATATTACATCAAATCAATAGCTACTTGGTTCAGATTAATGACTATTTGCAGTTATGTGCCCAATTTTTTCATAAACTGTAAAAATGAAACTTGGCACAACAGGAAATCATAGGGGAAATCTAAAACAGCTTGGGCCCATCACGTCAAATTTGGCAATGCCCTGCCAAATAGAGAGACAGTATCTTCAGTGGCATCCAAATTGGAGTAGTTTGGATCAGTCATGCCCAAATTAGGGCACAGTCATACCAAAGTCACATTTCAGTATACCATCTTGACTGAAAATGTTGGCCACCTTTGTGCCAAGTTTGGCAATGGTTATCCTGAGAGGCATCCAAACTTACACAGAACAGATAAAGATGGATAAGTCACTTTCCAAAATATATAGTAGCTTAATTAGTCAGAAAAATGTCCATAGAATGATTTAAAGGGGGAGTACTGGAATGGCTTTTTGTCAGCCCAAAGGCCACAATAAAGGAGTGTCATGGACTGGTTGGAAACAGAGGAATGGTGGGAGGAACCAGCTGGGAATCAACCAAGGGAAGAAGGCTTAGAGCCTGGGGAGTGGTGGTGGGACAACAAGGAGTGGTCAACAAGGAGAAGACTGGGAAGAGGTGTTGGAAGCTGAAGGTATAACAGGGCTTAGTGAGCTGGGAGAGTCTGTGGCAGAGAGAGGTCCAGAATCAGAGGCAGAAGCTAAAGCAGGTGAATGGGAGGGAGGCCAAGAGGCAGAGATGAGTCAGGCTGGTGAAGAGTCAACGGTGTCTCCCCCTCCTCCTGTGACAAGCTCCACTCCCCACTGGCTTCCCAGAACCAGAAGAGGCATGAAGCAGGAGGAGCAAAGACAGGCATGCAGACAGTCTCCAATTGCTTGGGGGGAAATTCTGGAGAGGAGACATAAGACGGCTGTGGGGAGGTGGGGTCCTTTAGTCTTGACAACTGATCCATGGGGAAGACCTATTGGGGATTAGTACCTGTCATAGCTGTCAACGTTTCCCTTTTTTAAAGGGAAATTCCCTTATTCTGTATAGGATTCCTCGCAAGAAAAGGGAAAAGTTGACAGCTATGGTACCTGTGCTCATTAGGCCTGACACTCTGCCAGGTCTGTGCAGATTCTGTTCTTGCTCATAAGGAGTTAACTCTAATGTGCAGGGTGTGATTTACTGCTGGCTCGCTCCTATCAGACAGCCACTCCTCCAAGTGCTGCGTGCCTAAAGTAGGCATACTGGCACATCACGTATACACAGACCACACACACTGATACACAAAGACAGACACAAATACACTCAGCAGATCACACTCAGGCAGTCAGACAAAACCGGCCGTGTGTGTATGTGTCTTGTTTCTAGCATTTCTGTTCCCCTCAGTGGTACTAGGGAATAAGGCATTCCTCTGACCTCAGTGCTGTAATGGGGAGTAAAAACAAAGGGATTTAAAGTTCTTCTTACCTTGCAAGGTAGTTTCTTCTCCTTCTGAGCTAAGACAGCGTAGGTCAAATCAGACTACATAGGCTTCAGTTGGCTCTAGCTCCCTGAAAAGACAACATCTCAGGTAGCTGCCTTAGCAGGGTCCTCTGGAGCTGTCCAAGGTCTTTTATACTCCCTGTTTGACCGGGACTCTTGACTTAATGCTTTCTGCTTCCTCCATGAGCCCACAGAAGAGTTGGGTTTAAGTACAAGTGAATGGGCAACACGTAATTATCTACATCACCTGATACAACAGACATTAACTGGGGAGAAAACACTTGCACAACCAAACTTTACATCATTAAAAAAACACAACCCAGTCAAATCTGATACAGTGGTACCTCGGGTTAAGTACTTAATTCGTTCCGGAGGTCCGTTCTTAATCTGAAACTGTTCTTAACCTGAAGCACCACTTTAGCTAATGGGGCCTCCTGCTGCAACTGCGCTGCTGGAGCCCGATTTCTGTTCTTATCCTGAAGCCAAGTTCTTAACCTGAAGCACTATTTCTGGGTTAGCAGAGTGTGTAACCTGAAGCGTATGTAACCTGAAGTGTATGTAACCTGAGGTACCACTGTACTGAGAACTGAGAAGTCACACTGCTAAGAGTGGCAGCTGTTCTGAATTTCTTTTTTGGAGTGACTTTGGATGTTTGCAAGACCGTCAAAAACAAACTGTAGCATTTTGACCTAAGCTCACCATATCTCACCTCTTTTATAACATCCTAAGTGTCAGAAACTTAAAAACTATTGCAGGTTTTCATTTCACATTCACAGTAAGAAGTCACATTACCGGTTTACTTCCGTCGACTCTACAGCTTGTGAACGAGCAGAACCCCAGGGTCACTAGAAAAGCGGTGACTTTTGCCACCTCTAGAACACCTGAGAACCACAGAGTGGGACCAAGAGATGAGCAGTTACAAGTTCAGCATTCAATCATGATTATTGGTTGTGGAAAGCTCCCCTCAGGTAGGCATACCTAGCGCCAGGGACCTTTCTCTTTGGCCCCAGTTCAGTTGGCAACTTTAAGATGGTAATGTTCCTTGTTTATCTTGGTAGTAATATAGATGGGATTCCTGATCATCCTCAGACGAGGGAGCATACAAGGGACAGAAATAGCATAATAAAACAGAGGAATAAAATTATACATAGTGGGGACAATAATTTAGCAAGAATACTATCATTCTATCATACTATCATTCTCACAGCTGAAAGGAGGTTTCTGCAATAGTAGGTCTGAGTACATGTATAAAGGTGGAGTTGCACACAGGTTTGTTTTTATTGGTCTCTACAATCAATATTTTGGATCTGTATACTGTGAATATTGAGGAATACTCAAAACCACTTCAACATGAAGCAGTTGCTTTTTAAGACACACCACCATCCTCAGGAAGGGTAAAAGTGGTGAACATTTCCCTTGCACATTTAAGGATAACTATAACAACAAACTGTGATCTTAGAACCGTGGAACAACACCAGTGCTCAGAAGTTAGGACTTTGCCTACTATTAGAATGAAATTAATTATGGAATTGATGGAAGGGATGGCAATGAGATAAAAACGTCCTAGGAAAATAATGCAAGGAGTGGCTCTTTCTCTCTTGAGTGAATGGCACCAAAGAGAAAGTAGACTAAATGGCAGTTATTACGGTGCCAGTACATCATTTGAATGGCTACAGCCAAAAAAGAATGAAACACAAGCCTTTTAAGTGAAATGAGAAGCCAGAAAACTCTTAATCAATGAACTCATTATTTCCTGCTCGCCTTGGTCCAGTTCTAGCTATACATAGTTGCATAATACTACGTGGAAAGGAAATAGCTGGGCTGCAAACCTCTAGTGGAAGAATTGCAGAACAAGCTATAACACTGGGGCTAGATAAGGTACAGATGGAACAATTAAACACGTACAGAAATTAATTGTGACCACAATGCAACTATGTGATAGTGATCCTTATAGTCAAGTAAATCTACCCTTCTCAGCAGATGCATTAGTAGTATCTTTTGTACTCTTAAATGAACTGAAAAAGGAAACAGGAGCCTAAGGCAGAATTAACAGTATCAGTAAACAAGTATTCTTGTATCAGTAAACAACTTTGCTATCAGTAGCAAAATGGTGATGGAGATAGCTTATTTATTATTTACTGCTTTTAGGAAGAAAAAAAGACTAAATTTTACAAGCATAGTTTTCTTATAGGAGAAAATCTCAGCTTGAGCATCCTAGAAAGCAATATTGTTAAAACTCAGCAAAGGTATTAAAATGGGATCATGTTACTCTGTCTTCTGTAATAAAAGCAGCTGCCTCAAGCCAGTGGGAAATATCCAGGCAAAGGACTAATGTATACTTGGATCACAATGTTATCAAGCCCCCACTAAACTGCCGATTGTATCTGTTTACAACGATGTACAATTAGAGTTTGATCAGGGCCAATCTGAACAAATGTTGGGGCTTGTATCTTCTACCACAGCCCAAGGCCTGCTGTTGAATCTCTGCCTTAGTCGTCCATATACAGAATGAGAATAAGAGTGAACTACAGAGTTGTGAAGGTAAGTAAAAAGTGTATATATGTGGATGCAAACGTTTGAAGTAGTACCACCATATTACTTTCAAATACAGTGGTACCTCGGGTTAAGTACTTAATTCGTTCCGGAGGTCCGTTCTTAACCTGAAGCACCACTTTAGCTAATGGGGCCTCCTGCTGCTGCCGCACTGCCGGAGCCCGATTTCTGTTCTTATCCTGAAGCACTATTTCTGGGTTAGCGGAGTCTGTAACCTGAAGCGTATGTAACCTGAAGCGTATGTAACCCGAGGTACCACTGTACATTAAATTATGGCTGTATGCCTGCTAATACTCCGAACCACAGAGATCACAAAGAGACTGAAAAGATCAAACATGCAATGAATCCTATCTTCCACTACAGCTGCACACACTGCACTAGTAAATGTACTATTTGCAATCACAGACCAGGAGCAGCACCAATGCAGACCCAGCCTCTCAGCAGCAGCATTTCTGCCACATACTGGGACAGTGATGAGGTTCACCAGCAGTCAATCTGGCATTCCCACAGGTACACCTACACTGCACTGCCCTTGCTACCATCCTGCTCTGGCATACAGCCACAATGCTGCTGCTGGGAGGCCAGGTTCCCTGTCAGCAGCTGCTGCTACAAACAATGTTCACAGTGCAGTACTAAGTTGTTGAGCATCAGCCAATAATGGGTTGTATCTATCTAGGTCATACTCAGAGCTGACCCACGGAAATCAATGAACTTAATAGTTAGCTGTGACTAACCGGAGTCCAATGATGTCTACTTCTGATTATGTCTTAGTTGAACACAACCTCAGAGGTTCAAGAGATTTCTCGTGTGCAGAACACAGCAGTATGAAAAAATTAAGTCCCAGAAATTAAACCTAAAAGTGGAAGAGGGGAATGGAGAATCCACAAGCACGTTCATGTACAGCCTGCTGCTTCTAGCAGACATCCCCCACCCTTAAGTATCATCTTAGGCTTAAGTCTAAGTTGCCTACACTTAGCATGAGAATTGTGGTGCATTACTTCCCAAGAAGCGAACAATGGAAAAAATGCACTCTTAGAACCATTCATTTAATGCACATACAAGGAGCCATATATTTTTGTGAATCAATATGCATAAGTACGCATAGCCATCACACCTGGTAATAGATAATGGTGCATTCCTATGCACACTAATTCAAGAGTAACTCCTTCTGAACTCAGTGGGATTTACTTCTGAGGAAATATGCATGAGATTGGGTTATTAGTGCAACAGGTAAAATGAACAAGCAGCAATGTCTATTAAAAAGACATCTCTTGTAAAAATAAAAAATAAAATAAAAAGTGCAGCTAACAATTGTAGATTAGTCCACAAAATTAGAAACAAATACCACCTATAGAACAATTCACTGCGGGACATTTTGCAAATGTTTGAACGACGCAGAAAAACAAGTTTCAACAGAGCCATTCAAAAACAACAGAGTTGAAGGTATATAAAAGCTGAGTGGAGTGTTTGCAATGTTAAGTATAAGCAACAAACTGTGACCTTGCTTACTAGAAACTATATATATTCCTCAGCACTTTGAAAAAAGCAAAACATTGCTTTCTCTCTGCATCTATTAGAAGTTTGCTCAATTTATTAACACCAGATGCAATACCACAATGCTAAAAAATAAACATGCACTAGATATACAACAAATTTATAATTTCAGAAAATCTGTTCCTTACAGTTAGCGAATACATGAGACCTTGGGTAAAATCCAGTGCTGCCATTTTACTCATGAAATCACTTTTGATCCACGGGAGGCATCTGCCGATGTAAGAAGGGGCGGGGATTCCCTTTCCTGCTGCACCCTCCTGTATGCCCCCTCCCCCAAGAAAAATGTTTCAGAGGGTTGAGACGCTGCACAGAACAGCATGGAAGGTGGTGGTGGGCTGCAACAGGGAGGGGGATTATCCCTCCTCCCATTGCATCAATGGATGCTTCCACTGGATCTAGGTGAGCGGCACAGCGCTACTGAATTTCACCCCTTTTCTTCACCTTTAAGTGCATTACCATGTGAAACAGGTAAAAAAGAATGAAGAATATTGATCTCAATGCTGTTCAGCACCAATAAAAATTCAATAGACCTTTAACATTCCTGTATATTAAAAACAGTATCAGTATCACTAAAGTTTATCAGTCCTTGTTCTGTTTCAAGATGCAACTGATTTCTATTTACAGCAGTTTGTTATCAATAAAACTTGATATTTAAAAATCTATATTCATAAAAGTATTGCAGAAATTTATAACCTTTGCTTTTTAAAAATGTACATACAAGGAAGTCCCGTGTAAAAGGTTCACTGAAGAACTGAACCGACAGAAGAACAATTTTATTAAACTTTGCAAAACTCCATTTGAAGGCAGCTCACATTTCAACATTCAAAAATCCTTAATTGCTGCTTGCTTATGAAAACTAAAGTTCCAGTAGTAAAGGTGAAAATGTAAACCATCATGCTATTGAGATCAGTAGAAAATGTAGTTTCTACAGGCATAGCATGTTCAGTAATGATTCTGTAGAAAACAGTTAGAATGTAGTGATATAACAAACAGGCGACTCAAGAGTGGTCTTGAACAGACCTACAGTTATTGTAGCTATTTTAGCAGCCAACAGTTGCTTTTTCCAGTTCAGCTTTTTCCAATCCCAAACAGGACAACCAAATTTAATACCTTCTTAGACTTGTTAAAATTTGGACTTTGTTTGGCATCCAAAGACTCCTAAAAACATTGACCTTTTGCAGTCTAAGAACCTGTAAATCCACCAACTTTACATACTGTGCTTAAATCTCAGTTCTGAAATAATTAGGTACCCAAAATAAGAAAAATAGAAAAAAGTAGAAATGAACATTAAAAAAAAATATTGCACAGCCACATTACCTAGAAAGTAAAGTTGATGTTAAAAAAGCTCCTCACATGGACGATATAAATTACCTTCCATATAAAAAAGTATAAATATCTCTTAAAATGCAGCAGCAGCTACAGTTTAATATCACACATTATTTGATTCATCTGTTAATGAGGTAATAGCCAAGTCTGTGACAATGTGTTTATTCCTACTGGAAATATTTTAGGGCAGCAACAAGAAAAAACTTTTCTAAAAATATGTCCGAGTCCAGAACAGCAATGTGTGCAGCTCTTCCAATGAGGGAATCGGCTGTGTTTGGCAATGCACAATGCACATTATAACGAACCAAATTGCATTCCTTGTTTTGAAGAACAGGCAGAAGCAGATTCTGGATCATTTCAGCATATATTGGTCCTGTATATTTAAAAATAAAAAGTTGCATTATTGATTTATTCTGCTGAAACCTTCATATTCTTGCTTCCTATCAAACAACCCTCAGAATGTCTAACAGCAGTAATTAAAAAACTTCAGCGTAAAACAATCCATGAACACAAAACCTCAGCCACCCAGATCAAACCCTCCTCCCAGCATATCAACAGGTGTTATTTTAGTTAAACCACCTTGTCTGCCTTGTAAAAGCCAGTATATGCATGCAACAAATGAACAAAAAAAAAATCCAGTGAGTTTAGCCCAAAGGCCTGATTAAAAAGCCAAGTTTTGGCTATCTTACACAATTGTGAGCAACAGATAGGCCAACTGGCCCTTTAGGGAGGGCATTCCACAGAGCAGCCTTTACTCGAATCCAGTCTCCTGCAGATGTTTTTGGACTTCCCATCATCCCTGGACACTGGTCAAGCTGGCTGATGATGATGGGACTTGCGTCCAAAACATTTGGCAGGGACCAGCTGGGAAAGGATGCCACAGTTAAAAAAACGTCATGTGCCTACACCTGACATACTTCAGTATTACATTTCTACACCACTTTTATCTGCCAAAGATCTCAAGGTGGTATACATGGTTCTCTCTCTCTCTCTCCCCCCCCCCCCTTCATCCACACAACAATCCTGTGAGGTAGGGTAGACTAAGAGATGGTGACTGGCCCGAGGTCACCAAGTAAATTTCATGGCTGAATGGGGATTCAAACCCTGCTCTCCCAGGTCCTAGTCCAACACTCTAACCATTACGCCACAATGGCTTATACAGTGGTACCTTGGGTTACAGACACTTCAGGTTACAGACTCCGCTAACCCAGAAATAGTACCTCGGGTTAAGAACTTTGCTTCAGGATGAGAACAGAAATCATGCAGCAATGGCGCGGCAGCAGTGGGAGGCCCCATTAGCTAAAGTGGTGTTTCAGGTTAAGAACAGTTTCAGGTTAAGAACAGACCTCCAGAACAAATTAAGTTCTTAACTCGAGGTACCACTGTATAATGGAAAGACAAGCAGCAGGGATTTTAAGCTGAACAAACCACACAAACTGAGTCATGGAGGAATATTCTCTTCAATATTGTCTAAGGAATAAACGCCAAATTGCTTCACAGATGTCTATGTACTGGCCATTACCTGTCTGTTTATCCTTCAAAGCTGTTTTACACATCTCAATACGAGCAGAATGATAAGGGACATAACGATCTTGTAGAGATCCTACTAATACTATGTTTTTGAAATACTGCAGACCTGGGGGAAGACAAAAAAAAAAGGTAAATCTAAAGCAATATACAGTATAACTAACACATACAGTTTTCATTCCAAAATGTATGTAAAGTAGCACTGAGCTTCCTGGGGGGTACAACATAAAACAGGTGTTGCATGTAAACGAACTTTCTTCTACTTGAGATTCCAAGCTTTCTATCAGTGCCATAAATTACTGCATTAAAAGGACTGGTATCACACCTCATTATTAGAAGACATAGGCAAACTTTAGAACACCTGCTTTAATTGAAAATCAGTGATTGCATAGGTACAAGAAAAAAGCATTTTTATGGTCATGACTATCCAAGTTGTTCCAAGTTATCACACTAATGTATAATTCAAAGTACATTACTAATTAAAAGCAACAAAATATTCTTAAAGGTTTCGATATTGCTTACCTGCCTTTTTACTAAGTTTGTACAAGAAAGTTTGCCGGGGGTCTGAATGATCTCGACAGGTCAACTGCAATAAAGACCCTGACTTTTTCCACTTCTGCATAAACCAGAGACCTGTATATTTATATACAGTACATGTGAGTATATACAGCAGAATCATAACAATATTTACTCAAATACTTAATGTGATATGTTACTGGTAACCTAGCCCCCAATTTATGTTCATTCCATACATCATCACAAGGATGTTCTATGCATTTCACAATTCACATCCTTTTAATGTGTTATCAGTGTACACAGCAGTCCACTGGAAGAATTAGCTGAAAGGTGTTAAAGGAATTTCATAAACAGAAACATACATACAAAAATTCCTGCATTGGACCTGCAGGATTATTTTGGTTCCCTTATATATCTCAAAATATTCAGTTTGTTGACCTTAGGGTTGTTTATTGTTCAACACTTCTAAAAATATTTTAGAATATTTATAATGTGAGGCATATCTATAAGAGAATTTACTATGCAGGGTTTAAAATGGAAAATGCAAATATTCACACTTCTGATCATTTGGAGAAAGGAGTGTGTGTGTATATATATGCACAACCCTTCTCATATTCATGAGAAGACCTGTTTTAAGAAAAGAAAGCAAGGAGCCTTATATCTATCCTTTCCATCAATATAAAGAAGGGAAGGCCATCTATCATTGTTTAATCCTGGCTGCTCTATCTAGATACAGATTCTCTACCCATATACGCTGAACAGTCTTGCTTATGTAGAGTTGGCATTTCAATTACAGAAAGGAAATTTTGATTGGCATGTCAGAACACTAATTTATTAACATTTCATTTTTGGACTGAAATAGTTCTCTGGGCTAAAGAACTCCATTTAAGAACTTTAATTTCTGAAATTAACAATGCCTGCTTATCTAGTAAGATTCTTGGTCTTATACCCTGTAGATCACTATTGAACGCCAACCGCTAAATTTATACCAAGAGCTTAAATTTAAAACTTCTTTGAAAATTATCTGCCAAGCTCTTTTTAAAAACCCCAAACATCCAGGTGTTTGTAGAAGATGCATTTCACCCTGTCTTCCCCATTCATTTCCGAGAGAGAGAGAGAGAGAGAGAGAGAGAGAGAGAGAGAGAGAGGCAAGCATAACATATGTATTCACACAAACATCCATTGAACTTTCAACATGAAACAAATTTACTATTTTACCTGTATTAACAAGAGCACTGCTGTTGTAGAGTGTACCAAGATGTGGTCCAGACAGAGACAGGAAGGTGTAAAGTTTGCTGAGGTAAAATCTAAACCTAGGTCTTGTGAGCACTGAACGGATTATTAGGTTACCCAACGAATGCCCAATAAAACTGTAGAAGACAGGAAGTGGGGGGGGGGAGAGGGTGATTTATTTATTTTTTAAGTTTGCAAATGAAAACTGGTGCAAACAATGACCTATAAACAGCAACAAATAATACACATTTCCTGCAGATGCCTCTAAATCGGTGGTAAGGAGAATCCAGCCTGCAGGCCTTATTAAGCCCATCTCCCCTTTGGGTTCTCAAGGCCATTTTGGCTAAGCCATGGCCCCTGCCAATCACCTGACATCATGTGAAGGCAGGTAAAATTACAGATGCAAACAGCATTGAAATCTGGCCACATTCCTTTGTAGCTGCAATACAGAGGAATCTTAAGATGAACAGTTAAGATGGGTCGCCATAAACTTTATTATATCTCATGAATATATAAATACACACACACACACACACACACACACACTAATAACATAAGACAGCAAAAACACATACATATAATAAATACTTGCATTATAATTGCTATACTTAATACTTTACCGCATAGAAAAACTATTATATTCATCCACATTTATGCTATACTTATTTGTCATAAATTCAGTAAGAGGATTCAATTTATCCTGAATTTATCTTTCTTGTCTTCCTTCTCTCAATCTGATCAATTCCACTAGCTTGTTCATTGTGGCTACCTTCCCAGTTTTTGCAAACCATTTTTTCACTGCTGGTAGTGTCACCTATTTTTCAATTTCTGTGCAACAACCATTCGAGCAGGCTACTATTACTATCTTAACTCTTTGTGGTTTATTTGTGGATCTAAATACCTTAACAAAATTATTAGGGGGTCCAATGACAAAGCGTAAAATGTTATTAATGATACTATCTTTATAACCTCTCTCCAGAAGATTTTAATTATTCAACTGGTCCACCAGATATGTTCCGTATCTGCCTTTAAGCGTTCGTGTCTCAAACACTTTTGGTTACTGAAATTTTTACTCATTCCGTGTGGAGTCATATACCATTGATATAGTAGTTTGTAATGATTTCCTTGGATGTTAACACAAACAGACTGTGTTGGTTCCTAAGCAGAATGTTTTCCTTATTCTTGTTCAGAATTTCATCTATTATTGTTACCCATTCCCTCATAAATTTGTACCCAGATTTCAAAGTACTCAGAACCCTTTTCAGCTTTCCCTTGTTGTGATTTCTCCCCTGAAAACTTGAGAGTTAATACAGTGAGGTTAGGAAATAATGTAATTTGCCTCTATCGATCTAAGAAGTAAACGCCTGTACTGTACTATTATTAGCTATCAGGGCTAACAGCCACTTGCAGATGGGACATAAAACAATGATTTTGACATGTACCCTCACATTTTAAGCAAGGGTGCTCAGCCATACCTTTGCTCATGATTTCCATTCCATGCCCAGACCTCAGTTTTTGGTTTATTTTCTGATACTTAATATTACATGATGATGGCTGAGCGTGTTCTCATTTTGTTGTTGTTTTTCCTCCTCTTAATTTTTTTTAAAAAATATTTTGCACTTCTGCAAACCTCTTGATTCCCTCAAGCATGTTGATACCTCTCTTTTATTTCTCAGTGGCCCCATTTTGGCTCCATTTCTGTCAGGACTCAAAACTTGAATTTGATATTAAAGAGAGTGAGAGACCTATTTTCAATGAATTTCTCTCAATTCTTTTTTTAAAAAAAAGATTAGACGCCTATTTCATGCGATAGTGAATTTCAGTATTTTGAGGTGCAATTCTGTCTCCTGAACCCACTATCAAAAAACTTCCTTAAGTGACTCCATTGGTCGAAGGACCAGGACATTTCCCTCAAATTTCCATCACCTCTTGTAACAACAGAACTCTACTACATATCTCACTTAATCCTAAACCCCTTGACAAAGATTGAAGTACAACAAGCTTTTTCTTTGAAGGATAGGTGCTCCAATACTTCTAATTATTTTAGTTGCCCCTTTTTCAGCAGTATTATCCTTTTTGACATGTGACTAGAACTCTCTCAGTATGCCATCACCATAAATTTATATAATGGCATTATGGTATTATATGGCCCGGGTTTCACTGACTCACTTCAGTACTTATTTTAGGACGTTGCCATCTAAATCTCCCAGAGCTGCTGTAGCTAGTTTCCTGCTTTTGGTGCATTTTAAAACAATGGCTCAGATCCTGAGTTGCCTTTCTGCACTGGAGCAGATTTTTTCAGTTAGAGTTCTGCTCATGGAAACGAGCAATCACAGCTTTCCAATTTATAAAAGAGATATGTGCATGAATGTAACAGTATACGTTCTGATTCTTAAATTTATGTACAAAAAACTGTAATACGTGAATCAAGTGTGAGGAGATATAGCTTAGTAGTTTCTTCAAAATGTGTGCTTCCCTTAAAACCCAAGATCATGGCTACAAGTTGCAGTTGGCTTTTCCGGAAAAACTAATAAAACACAAAATGGATCAGTTACCTGATTTTTGAAATTGTTAGGCTGTAAATTTGAATGTATTGTATTATTTCATCCAGAAGGCGATCTGTCATTGAATCAAAATCAGCAAATGTGTCATTCTGTGGGGGGAAAGTTCAGTGTTCTAAATGAAGTCATTTCGCGATAAAACAAATTCTTAGTCATTTGCTCTGACATCACAGATAAGAACTATCAAAGATAATAAAGAGTAATCCCATGAAAGAATTTTTTTTTTTTGGAGGGGGAGCTACTTTTTGTACAGAGGATAGTTTTCTCACAGAGGATAGTTTGCTTTAAATGTCTCAAAACAGCCACGTTTTATATACAAAGGCAAAACTATACTATACTATTTCCTTAAGAGGCTTTGTTTTCAAGACTAAGGCAAAATATCTTAGAAGTATGACTATGTGCAACAGAAAAAGAAAGCATTATAAAATAAAATTCCAAATTCTACAGCAGGCTTCCTCAACCTTGTTTTTGGCCTACTACTCCCATGATCCCTAGCTAGCAGGACCAGTGGTCAGGGATGATGGGAACTGTAGTCTCAAAACATCTGGAGGGTCGAGGTTGAGGAAGCCTGTTCTACAGCTTTTAACAGCAAAACCACTAAAGCACAATGAAATTTTCACTTATTAGCATACAGTGAGAGAACTCTAGCAGATCACCACTCTTCTGTGAAGAGTAAAAACAGAGTTATTTCTATGGTACAATCTTATGCATGCCTACTCATAAGTAAGTCCCACTGAGTTAACTGAGATGGACTCAAAGGTACAGGATTGCAGCGGCAGCTGCAAGGTTAACTTTGCAACCTACGAAGAGATTAGTAATTAGAGATAAATCAGTCTATATGAACTAACCATAGAGTGTTGAATTAGAAATAATAACAATAAATCTTTTCAGCACTTGCAAATACCTGATTTCTTTCAGACATCAGAAAATCTATACGGCTTCCAGGAAGGCCAAGTTCAATGTAAGTCTTTACTAGTCTTAAGTCTGCACTATTACCTAAAATAAAGAAGTGAAGATCAGGTGTTTGAAATGCCTACTTTCAAAAAATGTTAAGTTAAAATGCTTATGCGTAACATTGTACAAGTGCCAATTGTATTCTTCTGGTTTGAGACCTGCACTAAAATCAAAGATCTGCTAACTGCAATATAAACATTGTTTTTGCTTCCAAATATAGAATATAGTGGGAAGCAGGTTTCATGGGTTATATTAGAATAATGGCTCAACTGTTTACTTTCAGTCTTGGCAGTGTGAGGATGGTCCGTGCCAAATTTGGGTTAAAAAGGGTAAGAAATGGATTGTTTTGAATGAGTTAAAAGTTAAAAGTGGAGAGATTCCACCCTGTTAACATGTTCTGTGCATTTTTCTTCCATTGACTGTACTGGGTTGTTTTTCCAGAAAGATTCTGCCATTTGTACTGAATGTTTCAGGAAATCTGCTGCTTGTTTTAGGTTAACAGGAATGCCTAGTACAGTGGTACCTTGGTTTACAAACTTAATCTGTTCCGGAAGTCCCTTCTTAAACCAAAGCATTCTTAAACCAAGGCGTGCTTTCCCATAGCAGCGGGGGACTCAATTTACACTCAACAAGAAGTGGAACATGTTCTGCTTCCAAGGCAAAGTTCACAAACCAAAACACCTACTTCCAGGTTTGCCGCATTCTTAATCCAAGTTGTTCATAAACTAAGCTGTTCTTAAACCAAGGTACCACTGTATGTGCTTTTATCCTTGAGTTGTGCAATATACTTTTAGTTTTTATATTAAAAAAGTCAACAGTTTCTGACCAGTCTTAGCCCCTGGGAGTTTAGAACCTTCTTGTTACTAGACAAGATCCTCACAGACCAGTGTTTACATTTCAAATACGTCACAACGTTAGAAGTTAGGTGTAAATGAGATGGAAAGAAGGAATGACAGGAGATAAGTCAAAACTGTTTGAAAAGCATTTTTGGGTCATGGTGATATCTTTAAGGTGCACAGCAGGTGGATTTCTGATGGGCAGCTTTTGAAGGCACAGGACAGCTTTCAGGAAAAAGGAGGGACATTTAGGAGCAACTGTGAGACTATGCTTTATTTGCTAAATTTCCTTCCTCCCCCCGCCCCATTGTAACTTTTAAAGGTTAAGCTTGCCAATTGACTTAAAACCCTCACCTTTAACAAGCATACCATGTGCAGAAATCAGATGGTGTGATTGTGGGGCCTGAGAAACAAGATGACCCCTGCTTATGTTAACTAACCATTTGTTACAGGTAGAGAAGCAACAAAAGCCAGAAAAATTGACAACTCCATTAGGCACCAGAGCCTGGTTCTAAACTTATTCCATTTAAAATATTAAGTCACTTAATAGGCATATTAAATTGCATGTGAAATCATTCTTGTGTGATTTCTTATTAATAAGTGCATTCCTTCCTTTTTCCCATTGCATTTCTCATTTTCAATTATGCCTGATCAGAGAGTTGTAGGAAAAGCCTTCTCAAAATGTTATCAAATTCAATTAAGAAAAAATCTTTTAGTTTTAACATGCTGTGCTAAATGCTTTCCATGCGGTCGCACTGAGTGCAGGGGGAGTTACAATAATGTTGTAGAATGGTGTGTGGGAGATGTGGGAAAGCAAATTTTAGCATTACATAGGGCACCACTGAAACGTGAGAGCCCAAAGACTGCCACTGATAGCCTGTGGCATAAAGGGGATTTTTAAAAAATAACTTTTAAAAGCATGTTTTCATTATTCCTAAATGTACAAATCACCTAGGTTTAGTGGTATCTTGCAACAGTGGCCTTCACAAAGATTTGTTAAGAACATAGTTCTCTTGACACCGGGCCTACAAAGCTATAAATACTACCTGCTGAGGCCAGGAGATACAGGTAGTATACCTATGCTTAAATAAACCTGCTTTTCTTCAGTATTATTTAAAGCAGGGGTAGCCAATGTGGTACCCCTCCAGATGTGGTGGACTACAACTCCCATCTTCCCTGACCATTGGTTATATGGGATGATGCGAGCTGTAGCCCAAAACAGCTGGCATCACATTGGCTACTTCTGGTTTAGTGCAAATTCTCAATCTAAACCAAAACTTTATCGGAAACCTAAAGTATTTTCTAATCCATTATCAGCTGCTAGAACATACCATCTAGGCCATGCACACAAACTATGAGATGAATGCCATCATCTGAACTTTCCTCCTCTTCTGTGCTGAAATAAGGTACTGAAGATGCCAGTCTGGGAACATCACTATACATAAATCCAGGGAGCTGAAGTAGTTTCAGTTCCTCTTTAGCATGAAGGAATCTAAAACAAGCAGATTTTATTTAACTCAGTTTGGTAAATGCAAGTACGTTACATTCATTTGATTTGTTTAACTTGCCGTTCATCTATATTTAAAATTATAGCCCACTGCAAATCCAGTATCTCTGATCAGAAAGCCTTGAGAGTATGTGCTCACCAAATTACTTAAGGCCAACACATTCCCCACCCAAAATATGGCTTTGCAATATAGCTACAGCCTAGCCCTTTGCAAGGTACTGCAATCCCATTTGCTATGCTGAAAAATCAATTAGTTACAACACCATACCACTCGCAGCAGTTCACAGCATTAGTGACAGATAATTCCCCGTGGCAAAAATGCTTTAAAAAGGCGATAATCTCCATACCACCTTCAATTTGAATCCTCTAGCTGCCGTTTCTATTCCAGAAGCAGCACAGGCAAGATCTCTGTCACATTCAGCAAAGATCAATATCTACACAAGGCTGCAGACCTTTGCATAACCATCTTGGTTTGCAGCGTTTCATGTGACCATGTTGTATTGGCATTGTGCTATGCTGTGACAACTATTTCACTTGCAGAATAACCCAGGAGATTGAGACTGTAATAAGCTGCTTAGAATTCAAAAGTCATTCCTGATGCTCCACTTCATGTCTTATTTAGCAATCAGGATGCAATTCATGACCAAAAGCAACACCCAGCAAACCATCTCTGCAGAAATGGACCCCATACTGAAAACGCTGAAGCTGGGGGCCAAACTAGTTCTGAAGGTTATAACATGGTTTGGCACTGCACAGTTGGGTTTTAGGAAGAAAAAAAAAATAGCCAGCACCAGGGAAGCTGGATTGCATCTGTGTCATGGCAAGATGGGGACTTTAACCTTTTGCCCCTACAATGGTCCCAACCAGAATTGGACCACCCCCTGCACTTGCTATTGGTATTAGTGGGGATCTTCCTCCCATACGAAGTTGCAAGCTGCGGTGTGTATGTGTAGTGTGCTGCAATAATAATAATAATAATAATAATAATAATAATTTATTATTTATACTCCACCCATCTGGCTGGGTTTCCCCAGCCACTCTGGGCGGCTTCCAACAAAACACTAAAATACAACAACCTACTAAACCTATTAAACATTAAAAGCTTCCCTAAAAAGGGCTGCCTTCAGATGTCTTCTAAGAGCTCTTTTTAAAATTTCGTGATGAAACAAAGGTCAAGAACATATCTAAGGTGGATTATACTTTCATTCTAGCAGCAAGTCCGCTCAATTCAACTCTGTTCAAAATAATCTTCCTCACCCTTCACAGGTGGATCACAGTCCTGGTCATTATGCACATACCTCAAAACTTTCATATATTTTAATGTGGAAATAACCTGGAATTCTAGGTGTAGCAAAATGAAGAAAACTAGCAAACAACAACCAAACCCAAAAAATAAAATGCAAATGAAGTTTGTATATTTTCCTTTTAAACTGGGTTTTAAAAACAATTGTTTTAAACCATAGCACTTACGCTAGCTTTTGTGGCTTGGGAGAATACTCATACCAGGAGACAGAAGCAGCTGTGCTGCAGGACATGCTGCAGGGTTGATTGAGAACGGCATTCGATTTGTCTTTCGAAGACCATAACACACCACACGGATAGCCTTTCAATGCAGTGGGAGCAGCCAAACTACCTGGAGCACACAGTGGAGCCACGTCTGTTGCCTCCTCAAAAAAATCACTATTCAATATTTCTGTTATAAAAGGTCCCACAAATGCTAGGTCAAGATCCTCCTCAGCATCATTTGTGGCTCCATACAAATTACTATCATCTGCTTCCTCAAAATAACCATTTTCAACCATGTCTTGATCTTGCTCCTCCTCTTCCTCCTCCTCTTCTGTTGAATTGGAACAGATTGTTCCCCTTTGAGGGCTAACTGTACTGCTATTGTCAGCAGAATGTATTTTGGAAATATCTGTACTGCTTTGATTGCCAAAGTAGTTTTCCACAAGTCCTTGCTTCAGCATATCATTACCTCCTTCCGAGGATACGATGTTCGTGCTTGTGAGATTTTCATCTTTTGCAGCTGACAACTGATCAGACAGTTGTTTTTGCTCTAAAGAATCACTACATTTTCTTTCACTTGGTTGCTTCACGCTGCCCTCTGGATAACTAGACACTGAACCTGAAACAACACAGGACTTGCCCAGATAAACAACTCCTGAAGGAATTTCACTTGTTTTTTCCACACTGTGCAAGTTTTTATCAAGTCTTTGAGAATCATTACAAATTGCACCAATATTCAGTTGCAGGTTGTGAGAGTTCACATCCTCAGATGTACTTTCATCAAGTTGTAGTGGACATTTTTTATCTGAGGATGAGGAAGGCAGAAATGTCGCTTCGTTGCCTGAATACCCTACATACTGCTGTGGCAAAACCTTTGTTTCTTCACTGTCATCACATGTTGTCAACTCAACTGCTCCCAGGTCTAAAACAGTTTTGCTATCACTTAACTGGCATTCAGGTACATCGGATATCTTTGAGTTTTCATCAGGGGACAGATCATCATCAGAAGGCAGAGAGTTTATTGATGTCAGGGAGGACTGTATTTCACTAACAGCACTCGTACTTTCAGTGCAATGACTCTCTACTGGGTTTTTAATATTATTATCTGGTTTAAGCAATAGTTGAGGAAATATTCTTTCATTGTTGCATGCACTTTGCCCTTGAGGAGTTTCAAGAGCCACATCCGTACTTGGGTGCATTGCAAAAGAACTAGGTTCACTTTCTACACCAGAATCCGAAAACCTAGATGATGCATAGGTAATACTAAGATCAGGCAACTTAAGTACGTCTCCACCTAAAACTGCAACAGAAGTTTCTTTTGTAGATTGAATGGGCAGGTTGGTGCCAACCCTTGTGAAGGAATCCTCAGTATGCTGGAAGTTTGTTTCTTGTGCAACTTCCTTTTCAAGCTGTGGTTCTTCTGATTTAGGTTTTCTTTCGCATTCTGAACTTTCAAAGGTGGGCTCCTGCAAATTCTCTCTACGTGAGCCTTCTGTCTGTAATCCAATACGAACAAAAACTTTATCTCCTCCACAAATATTCCTACAATATGGTTTTACTTCTATTTTTGTAACACCCGGTGAACCAAAAGAGTCTTCAACAGTACTTCTGGGGGTCAAGCTGCTGCCCCCATGAGTACCCCCAATGCCTGCTTGGAGGGTATCAGATTTACCCAAAAGAATTGAATTTGCACAATGAGAGATGATAGAACTGGGGTGGCTTTCCTCATTCCCTTCCAGTTTGGCAGTTCTTTGTTCAGTTCTACATGGTAAACTTCTAAACTCTTTCTGGCTGATTTGCCTCATTAAGTTCTTCGCATCGGAAGCATGGCCACCAACTGCAGAATCCAGCCCTTCTTTCTGGTCCAATGAAGGCATACCTTCAAAGCACTTTGAGATGTCCTCAGGTACTGCACTTTTCAAGCATTTGTAGCCTACGAGGACTACAGAGTCCTTAGAGTTTTGTTTTACTAATTTTTTGGGATTTTCAGGTTTCATTGTTTTCATCAATTTAGTAACCTTAACTTTGGATTTGTTTGCCTCTTGACATTGCACTTTTGCAGACTTTGTGAATTGTTTTTCACTTTCTGAGTGCCAAGCATGGGAGGCAACTGAAGGTCTGTTTTTCAAATCCGGGCTAGCCATAAAACTTTCTTCAGAATCTGGTTTATCTGGCTTCTTGGAGTCAGACTTCTGATGAGCTGTCAGCCACGGTACATCCATCTCTTATTTAAAATAAAAAGGCAAGACAATGTAACTTATTATACACCTGAAACTTTTACTAATTTGCAGTTTATAGATTTAAAATATGAGTAAGTGAAGAATGTGTTTCAAGAGCATTCATTTATCTCTAGATAAATAGGAAACCACATTATATTGAATCAGACCATTATTGTCTACACTGACTGGTAGCACAGGGATTTCCCAGCTCTACCTGCAGGTACCAGGGACTGACCCTGGGAACTTTTGCATATAAAACATGTGCTATACTACTAAGCTATGGCCACTCTCCAGACTCTCATCAACCAATAAATAAAGCAGACAATTTATGCATTTTTAAATATTAATTAGTATTTAAATATGCTGAGTTCTAGGGGAAGGTGGTGAACTTTTCACATTTGCAATAGGTTTTTTTGAGACTTCCCTTGTAACTGTCGTACCATGTAGTACCATATACGACCTGAGAAGATTCTCTCAAATATCAGGTTAGGCCCCCAATGCAGCAAAAGGACTGGCAGCGAAAAATGGAAGCCACAAAAGCTTCAGTGCACACACCCTTAAGATTCTGGCTATAGTATGTTTCAATGTGTAAAAGCAAGGGTAGCCAACATGACGCCATCAATATGGTGTAGGACTATCATCCTTGCCCATTGGCCATGCTGGCTGGCTGATGGGAGCTGGAATTACACAACATCTGGAGGGCAACATGCTCATATTTTTTTCAGGACAGAAAATTTCTAAACTTTTATTTCAATCCCCCCTCCAGACAAAACCCAATGATTTACCTTCAGTAACAGAATCTAGATACCGATCTTCAAAGATTATAGGCAAGGAGTTCAGATCACCATCTAATTCACTGCATTCAGTAGGGAGAGGCGGCAGAGAACTACAGAAGGAGGTGCTTTTTATGGCAGTACACATCTGAAGGTAACTTTGCGCACTGAAAGATACAATCTTATGTTAAAATATTTGTAAAAAAAGTAAACATCGACAATAAGCTGTAACTGAAAATACAACTGCATTTTAATAAGGTACAATTAAAACATGAACACTAATGGAAGGTCAAGTCTTAATAATGCAAATTACATTCAGTACACCTAAATTAGATTTGATTAAAGAAAAACCTTTATGTATTTACCAGCAGAAGTGACAGCAGTTTGGACCAGTGCCATCCAGGTACTGTTCTAATTGCAAAGCAGGGCTATAAATGTGTAGTAAAAATGAAGGATATATTGGATATATAGGAAGTTACATGACAGTAGGTAAAAAGGGCTAGGATCCATGGAATAATAAAAGGAGAACATTTGTGGATAAAAGTGTTTTACATTGGTCAATGAAAACTGTTCATGTCTGAAGAACGACCACTCTTACATCTGGAAACAGTTCAAATTCTTAGGCTTTTTTTTTGTGCTAGAGGCTGAATCAATAAAATCCTCTCAGCCATTCAGTGCTACAGTCTGAATATAGTTCCACTGGCAGAACTGGCCAACATTAAGATTCAACTGGCCTGTATCAATGAAGAACCTGTCCCACTCCAGAAAGTGTCTGGACTCCAATTCCCATTAGTGCCAGTATGGTCAATGGTTAGGGATAATGGGAGCTTCAGTCTGGCAACATCTTGATGGTGACTGATTCCCCATGCTAATGTATATGAAAGGCCATCACACACCTCACGTTTGGGGAAAGTGTCAGATGCAAGTTTTTTTTAATACATACAGCCATAAGAATGTATTATTTAAAATATAAATAGCTTAATGCTTTTTTTAAAATCCACATGATGTACAACATAAAAACAAACAAAAATAGAACATCTCCTGAAGATCTCTGCACCCTGCATTGCATGCAAGACTGCTGGTGCTTGAAACATCATTTTTCAGAAGCCAGAATGGCAGCAAGATTCATGCATGGGGAGGGAAAAGCAGGAAGATTCCCAGCTTTTCTCCTCCCCAGGTCTAGGGTTTGAACAGAAGGCTGAGCTGCTATCAACATTCTCAAATAGTTTCCCACCATTGGTTTGGATTCTTGCAAAACACATTGGATTATTAACCCCTTTCTTCTCTACCCTTGTTTTTAGCTTCTGCTTCTAGTGGGCTTCTTAACACCAACTCATGCATACTAGGAGATAATAAAAATCCAGTGCCAAAACTGGATCCATGATGGGGAAGGGGATGAGCAAAAAGGAGGCAACCCGTGGCAAGCAGTCCTATGTCCCATATTCACCAGACTTGTCCTTGCTAGATTCTGCCATGGCCCGGTTGATGGGATCTCTCCCACTAAACTCAGGGCCTTGCCCAGAAGCTGGGCCAAGTGCTGACAAAGAGACAGAGCCACTGCCACAGGCAGTGTTTGCTCTACTAACCAAGCCCAGGTTGAGGACTTCTCCAATGAATTCTCCAGTGAGTCAGTGAAGAGTGCAAGGCTGGACTCTCTGTTGCTGCTGGGAAACATTACAGGAGCAACCTTCTAGATGCTTCTGATCTCACTCTCTTCCTACTGATTTTTTTCTTTTTTCTTAAAAAAAAATCCATTCCAGCCAGAGACAGACAAAAAGGAAAGGAAACAGAGCAGACGTTGCCAAATCCTAAAATTGGTACAGCTCTGCCAATGCCCTGTAAATAGGATCTGGGTAGGATTGGAACTAGGGAAGGGAGACTCTGTCTCACCAGCAGGCAAGCGATTTCTGTTATGTATATCCATGGCCTGGGAAGCTGATAAGAGGCTCAACACACCTGAGGATCTCTTCTTCCACTGCAGGTTAATAGTTATTTCCTTTTCTCCCAATCTAAATGCTATTCTTCCATTTATAGAGGCTTCTCTTATCCAGAAAATATTTCTCTGAATGAAGATTTCTCTGAATGGGGGGGGGGGCTAAGAAATTTTTTGCCAATTCCTCCTTGCACCTGTAGCCCAGCATACTACCTGCTACACTATTCTGGAGGTCCCACAACCCTTTGGAATAGGATCTTTTTGGGGAGTAGGGGGGCTACAGGAGAAAGAATGAACTGGTGAAAAATGGCCTGCTCTGCTCATAAAAACTTCCACTGAAATAAACTTAATGTAGGATATTGTGGGTTGTAGTCAACTAGCTTTTACTCAACAGTACATGCACTGAAATTAATGGTCAGCTTAGTTGCATTAATTTCAGTGGGTCTACTCTGAGTGAAAGCTAGTTGACTACAACCCACAATATCCAACATTAAGTTTTAATTAACTTTGTAACAAAATAAGCTTAGTGAGCTATGGCTTAATATTTTCAATTTAAAGGTACTTACTGTAGCTCTTGGTATGCAAGCGCTGCTTCCCTTGGATGTTCAAGGCAAAAAAAAGCTTCAGAAAACCTACGTACCTAAAATGTTTCAAAGTAATAAAACAAAAAGTTCACACTGAAGTAAAACTTTCATCACTCTCTTTTCTTATAAAAAACCACACACACATAACACATCTATACTATTAAGTCACAGTAAAAGTGCATGTTCCATAAACTTTAAAACACGCACATTCACAAAAAAAATTGGCATGAAATAGCAAATTAACCTGGGTCAAGTATTGCAGCAAACCTTTCAAAATAATAACTCATTTTTTAATCCATTTAAGTGGTTGTATATTTTAATGAGAAATATGTTGCAATCTGGTGTTTTTTTTATAGAAAACATTTAGTAAGGTAAGCAGAATTACATTGTGGTTGCATACACACCATACATTTAAAGCACTTTACTTCCTCCAAAGAATCCTAGGAATTGTAGTTTCTCTCTCACAGAGCTACAATTCTCAGCACCCTTAAGATACAGTCTCTAGGGTTATTGGAGGAATAATGTGCTTAAATGTATGCTGTGCACTGTGTCTCAGGTTATGCCCATGTAGAAACAAGTAAAAAGGGAACATTCAAAGTGTTTCAACAACTCAAAAGGTTCTCAGACTTGTCCAACTGAATGACACACTCTTTCCACCTACTAATATGAATTTGGCTTCCATGAATGTTCAACTACGTTTTCTCGTGTCATTGGTGTACACTATGCCCATTCTAACAGCCCATTTAGAGGACTAATTTGAGGAATAAGGTTGCAGACATGTCATACCTATCACAAACTCATGTATCTAGGTCTCTAATGCTCAGATGGCCCTTCCACACACTTAATGGATATCCCATTCGTTACCCAAGTCTTTTCCAAAGGATTGCTTCCTACTTCCTCAATAGGATGTCCTCCAAGCCAAGGAATCAGTTTTCCACAGCAATTAGTGAGACATCCCTATAATACCCTTGAAAGTGTTGTCTGGGTACTACAAATCTGAGCCAATTCACGTTTACTGGAAGCAGCATGCAAGTGCCTCCTTGCGCTTTCTTCCCATGTCACTCTGGTAATACAAATATGAAGGGTTTACCTATTATCTACGAATATGAAAGACTCACATTCTCAGGACCAGTGGTGTTGCTCCTTCCTACGTGAATGTTGCCTTCCCAGGAATTACTTATTGCTTCACTGAACTCAGTGGGACTTACTTCAGAGTAGACATGTACTGAGCTGCACTGTTATAACCTTCAGGGTTGTTTGGTGCATGAGTTGGGGCACCACTGCTGCACCACCCTCCCAGTACTGGTGGCACAGCTGGTTGCCATGAAAGGCCACAGTAAGGAGGTGCTGAGGTGGGCATTGGATGCCTGCCCCAGCAAGCAGCAGCAGCACAGCTGGGAGGGCAGCACAGCAGCCCTCCATCTCACACACTATAGCTGTTTTTTGGACAGAAAGACCCCTAGTTTTAAGAGCTAAACCAGCCACATTGTTTTAGAAATTAGTTTCGTGGATGACACACTCCTGTGCTTAAAAGTTGTATCACGACAGAATGAATACATACACGCATTGTATGATGCTCTCGTGCTAGCAATGCAGTGATATCCTCTTGGAAGTTAACGGCTTCGAGAAATTGTCCCCATAAAGCCATCAGAAGTGAACAGAGCTGTGCAAGATGCATGTTTATAAGTTCTGCCAGTTCATCAGGATTCTCCATTTTCTGCACCAACAGAGAAAACAAACAAGCTTGTATTCTTAGAAGTAGAAACTCTAGTACTTTGAGAAAGTCATAAAAAAATTCTTCTCCTTCTTAAAAGCATCTTTAAAGATTAAAAGCATTTTAAATTTTTAAAAATGGAAAGGGATTCAAAGTCATCTATCCGTTTGCCTTCCTTTGAGTAATGGCATTGACTGTTTAATAATTGGTAATCAACCTTAAGCTTAAAAATGGCACTACAGTCTGTATTCAAACTTTAGAACTTCAAAGCCTCTGGTATATAAATGTGTTTATACTGGCCCTTTTATTTTCAGTTATTTTCTTTATAATCCTTAGAATGTGATTTGCCTTTTCCATAGCTGCTATCGATTTCTGCATTGAGTTGCTTACAATCTACCCCTTGGTCTCCTGGATAGCCACCACAGGTTCAATCTTATCACTGTACATATACGTACATAAGGTAGCTTTTGCCCCAAAGTGCATTAGTTTATACTGTACTGGCTTACACACATGGCATTTTGTAGCAATTTGGATTTTTCACTATCCTACAGAATTTGGTGTCATCTGTCTCACTCCTCATACTTCCATATCATTTATGAATTACAGTATTTACATGTCTAACATACAGTACTATAAGCCCCAAACAGTGCTTATTTCCTTCCACCATAAGAACTACTTGTTCCTACTCTTAGCCTTTTTAACTAGTTCTGTTTGTAAGAAGACCTCTTTTCTTATCCCATGACTGCTGAGCTTGCATAGGAGCCTTTGTAGAAATACTCTGTCAAAAGCTCATTAGGCAAAGTATGTCAACCAGAGTACTCATATCCACATATCTATGAAATAATGCAAATAAAAATTAATTCTTTAGAACCACAGTTAGCTATTTAAAACAGTATCCAACATCTGAAAAAACCCTGAAATGAAAGCAAGCAAGCAAGCTGTGATTTAAGATTTACATGGATCAGAGAAAAAATACCTTTATTTCTTCACAGAGTTCTGACAGGCGTGCTTCTACATCTATATTCTCTGAAAAGATTAGAGTGTATGGAAAATGAATATTCCTAAATTTTTAAGCTACATTTTATAAATTGCAGAGGGAGACCCCATTTAAATCAATTCAATTTTTAAAACAAAGCTTTTTGGTTGTCTTGAAGTTCCTTAAATACTATAGCCAATGTGAAATCCAGTAAATTTCTCAACTGAGAGTTCAGCTAAGAACAAAATCATTCTGGTTTTGCAAGCAAGTTCTCATAACCACATTTATTCAAACACTATTTTAAATGTTACCAGACCATAGCATAAGGTACATGAACTTGCACCTCTTTTGATTGTGTATTTTAGAAAGACTTCCAAAAAGCAACACAATGAAACTGAACGCACAAACAAAATTTAGACCAGTTCCAATTTACCATGAAAATCTTGCTGGAGAAAGCAAACTTGAAAGAATTCCAATAATCTATATTAGGGCAATACCTCTATTAGGCCTACCCAAAAGTCACAAAATAGAATACAGAATGCAAGATTTTGAGTTTTATAGAATCCTTCATCAAGTTAAATGGTAAAAAAAAAGCAAGGCAAAAGGGAAAGAAATATATTGTTTCCTGGTTGGTATTCAATCCATTCAAGTACATCTGGTAAGAATCTTAAGGTGGAGTGTGAGAGGAAGCAGACATTCAGATGAGGTCCTTTTTAGATGCCATGAAGGTATCATATTGCACTGCAGCTTCCTTGGAAGGAAAAATACTAACAGCAGAGTCCCCATCTCTGAAAATAAAGCAGCCAATTTTATAACAATAAAGGTACGGCCATGATATGGATTTTTTCTTAATGGCCAATACTGCTAAAACCTTTTGTGTGAAATGGGAAACACCAAATTTAAACATACAAAAACTAGAGGAAGAGGATCTTATATACCTGAATGTAAGGCTTTATTCTCTGAGGAAACATTCCCTCAAACAGATTGGTAAATCTATTGTTCTGTTGACCATCTTTTTATCTCACACACCAGCTGAGATAAATCTATATCCCTATTAATGTAAAGGACTACCTGGTTTCTTTAAGCCTGTTTTCTACCTAAGAAGAAACCTGGGTGTTTCATCTAAGGATGGAAAAAGAACCAAACAACAATTCAGCCAAACCTCCCTCCTTCTTTCCTCCATGCACCTCTTTTTTAAAACATCTAACATGATGAAGAGTTCTGTAGAACACCAAAGGTTGTTTACTATATTGTAGCATTTTGGGTGACCCAGTAAAGGTTCCCTGATTTTTGTATTTTTCCTTTTGAATCAATACAGCTACATTTACTGGGTGATCTGGAAAATTTAGATTTGCATTTAAAATAAAAAAGGGTTTACATTTAAATATACTGAAATATTGGGATGGGTGATTAGGATGTACAGGAAAAGTCAAGTGGAGGCATTATTATTACACTTTGGATTGGATTGTACGTTCCTAAGAGTAGAACAATTTTCATGACACTCCCACTAGGGGGAGGGAAGGAGGAGACACTGATTTTTCCTTCCTACCAACAATTTTCAAATTCCCACTAATCTTCCACACTGTTTGAGAAGGTCCCCTAACCTTCTTGAACAAAGAAGGTTAGGGAACCTTCTCAAACAGTGTGGAAGGTAGTGGGAATTAGTGAAACAGCTTCTCCCACTTCTGCTCACATGAGTTTCTGCTGAATCAGTCCCTTCCATTTGCAGTAGGGCAAGTCAGGATTCACAACATTACATTTAAGCTGATTTTTAAAATAATAATAATAATTCTGATTTTAAGTGCAGTATAATCACAATAATAGCAGAGTGTCTGTGCACACAGTCAATATGAATTTCCTAGGTTTTTCCCTAAATTAATGAAAAGGCATGAAATAAAGAACGTGGTCTGTGTTAAATTAAATATGAAAAAGGAGCTTTGCAGATTAGTTACAGCATTAAGTACTATTTGTTTAAAAATTAATTTACTATAGCTTCAAATCACCACCCATCTTCTGGCCCAAAGTTCTCCCATTCAATTTATTTTTAAAAACTGAACAAACAACACTGACCATCCTTTGAGAAACGTATCTGTCTAGTCAAATGTTACTCTTTTGTTGGAGAGTTAAAAAAAAAAGACAGCTTAGCTTTTCACTCAATTTTTGTATTCCAATATTGATTGTATCATTTTTGTTCCACTTTCCCTATCTGAGTATTCTTTCCTGAGTATTTTTCCACCTAGAAATAAACTCCTGAAAAATAAATCTTAGCTAAAGTAACTGTTAGCTAAAACTATTTTGGATACAAATGTTTAATAAGAAACACTTATATTCTGAAAAGAATTTCAAAGAAAGTTTCACATTGGTCAGTATCAAAAGGCAAGCCCTTATCTGGTGTCAAAAAGATGTTAACAAAGGAACATTTACTAGGAAGCGCATTCCATAAATATGGACCCACAACTGAAGACCCTCTCTCTTGTTACCACCCACCTAACTTCTCTTAGGAGGGAACCTGGAGAAAGGCCTCAGTTTCTCATTATGAGACTGATGTGAGATTCTAGTCTGGACTGCAGAATGTAAACACACACTACAGTTTCCCTAAGTGCCACCTTTAGCTCTTCTGGCCTGAGACGTGTGGGCCTAGGGTGGTATACAAATTTAATAAATTATTATTATTATTATTATTATTATTATTATTATTATTATACAAGGAGCAATTTAGGCGTAACTAGGAGCTTGCATCTGCCCAGTGGGATGGATCCAAAGCTCCCACCCTCCACTGGAAAACTTCTTCAGTCAAAATGGAACCTTTAGATCCAACCCAATTGCACCATTTTTCTTCTAGAGAACTAACCAGCATTTCATATCAAAGTCTCCTTAGCATTTAAAAGTTGTTTTTTCCTTTATGGGTGGTTTTCAACTAGTAAGACAGAATTTAAATATTCTTAAACAAATGTGTGGTTTTTCATGAAGGATGTTATGTCTTCTACAGGTACACTCCCTTCTATGTGCACACACACATTCCTTTAGGCCAGAAGTGGGGAACCTCAGGTCTGGGGGCCAAATCTCTCTGTTTGGCCCTTGGAACTTTCTGTAAGTCACACTCCTCACCAGTGCTGAACCATGCCATTCTCAACTGCTTTTGCCTGACTTGAACAATGTCAATGCCTCTTGCTTGCCTGCATGGAGGATAGAAGTGTGTGTTTGTGTGCGTATGTAGGTATCTCTGACTTTTGCTTGGCAGAAATTTAGCCTTCGAAACAAAGATAAGAGCTATATCTGCTGTTCCACCAGTTTTTTCCTTTGGTCCCACCCAACACTGCCATCCAAGCCACCCAACACTGTTCATGAAGAATCTGGTCCTTCTGTATACTACTAACATGGCATTGATTCATTTAAAAACAACACATGGCTTTTAAATATTTGTATAGATTTTGTAATAAATCATATTTTCTAAAATATAATCTCATGTACATATAACCTATGAAAGAATTTTGTAGTTTATCTAAATGAAAAAATGCACATATCCAGCCATACAAATTCAGTTAATTAAGAAAACAATTAGAGCCACTCCATGTTTATACCTGACATACTTTACATCAAAGTATATGGGCAAATGATTTCACCCTCCAGCTAAAAAAATTATTCTTCAAAAAATATACAATAAAAACATGATACTCCTGAGGTAGATCAGTTCCCATCATAACAAAAAATCAATTACCTATCCACATAGCTATAGAATTCATCTGGTGGTAGTTCCTTTGAGCAGAATCTTTTGATTATTATTATTTAAACAAAGAAGACACCATGGGCACCAACTGGGTTTGCATGAGTGGAGCTCCATGCAGAGGGATTGCCAATAAGGGCCAATACCGCCCTCCTTGTCCTTGTAAATTATGTTTACACATTGCATCATCCACTACCCAGAAAGGTTGCTCTGTTTGCTTTCCATTGGTCAGGTAGTTTGCTTTCCATTTGCTCATTCAGGTCTGGCCAAGAATTTGGTCTGAACTCATTTAAACACCTGACCACTGCTAGATTGAGAGAGAGGACTGGGGGCAGAGGGAATAGAACACACACTAGGCTCTCATTCTGGCTAAAGGCCAACACATACAGAATATTCTGTTAGACCCCATGACAATCCCTCTACTCAGGCCCCTGCAGAGCTTGTCTTAGGCCTGGGGCAGGAGTCCTGTTAGAATAAAGTTATAAACTCAAACTAAAAAAGCAGCCAGTTCCTGGTGGGGTTCCCTGGCCAGTTTAGCCCTCCAAAGCATGGCTACCCCTGCCCTACATGGGCCTGCCTCTACTCATATGAAGAGAGATATTACTCTAAAACACAACTATATTCACAGGTTGTAAAACCACGATAAATAATTCTAAAAATATGTTTCTTTTTGTGATTTAACTAATCAACAGCAGCTACCACATCTTCTAGCTAATTAAGGCGTTTATAGGCATGATGATGTTCAATTATAAAGATGGTAGCAAAATACAAGCTTTCATCAAAGGCTACCTGAGAGATAGGGGGAGCGAGAATATGAGGCCCAATATATTTTTCTTCCAAAACAGAAACCAGGTATTAAATATTAGCTCTTAGAACTTAAATCTATGCTATTATGTTACTACACAACTGAATATATCACACTATGCAATCATTTTTGGTTTATTAACAAGAGGCTAACTAAACTACCAGTGAAATGACCTCATTTCATCAGCACCTCAAAGGCCAGACAGAGCTGTACACAACCTTAATTTGATTAAAGTTAAGAGTCCTTTTACACAAGGTGTGGATGGCATCTTTAGGTTCTTTGATCCTGTTTAAACATGAATTATAAGGAATTATTTACAAACAAAAAGCTATGATGTTTTATTATAACAAATCCTAATTGGTTAAGCCGCTTAATAAAACAACATACCTATATAGGCGTCTCCCTGGATTCGTAGATATTTTCTTCTGAGGAGGCGTTCATAAAGGACCTGCATGCTGGGCTTGGCTAGTTATAAGGATTGTACACACGACTAGTTACTACACTCCTTTTTCCATCTCTGTTTTATTATTATTATCCTTAAAGTTAGTAAGAAAGTTTTATCACTCACCTAGTAATGAGTGCAATTAGATAAGAAAAATTAAAGAAGAGACTTTAGGAAAGTTCTAGATAAGGAGTTCTGGATGATGTACATTATGAATTTATTGGATTCTTATCACCTGTTTGGGTTTTTGTTTGTTAAATCATGATTGCCCAAATGCTAACAATTTCTGTTATGTGTGAGGCATATTTTATTTAAAAATTATTTAAAAAGTCAATTTTGAAATAAAAATGTACATCAAATAAGTAAATGGAAGGCAAAAGGAAAGACAGAGAATATAAGGCAAGTCAAAAGAAAAGAAAAGCAAGGTTTTTTCCTGAAATTTAAATAGGATTTCAGAATTTCTGGATTATTTGCTCCAAGAATCCCATTTGAATCTCATTATTTTGAAAGCTATTTTTTCCAAGAGAAGATTCTATATAGCTTATAACTAATAAATGCAATAGTTAGATCATCTTGCAAAAGTCATTCATAAGATTATTTTTAGTGACTACAAAGCTGTGCAGTTGCATGTGAGTATGCCCCAATGACTTCATTCAGACTTACACAGATGCAACATTACTGGATGCAATTTCATAGTTTTAAAAACATATTTGCTTGGAATCATATTAGTAGTATTAGCACATGTAACTAAGGCATTAAACACTTTTGTAAAATACATAGGCCAAATTAAAATATTCAATAACAAAAATTTCAAAAATTCACAAATAGAATTTTAAAAACAGAAACTGTCAGCAATAGAAGCATACATTGAAAGCTACTCCCTTTCTACTTTGAAGTTCCCTTTTTCAAAACAGTTGAGTAATTTGCTAATGCAACATGTGGGCTTGATTAAATTCTTACAGAGAAGCATTGTTTGAATAGTTTTTTGTATATCTGCTGCTGGTGAAAAACACTTTTTAGTCTAATATAGACTAAATCCTAATATAGATACAATTCACAAGCACAATCAGGGCATGTAAACCACTATTGTGCAAGAGGTTCAGAAACTTGGCTTACTATGCAACAAGCAAGAGACCAATATGGTAACACATGAATAACAGGGGTCATTACCCCACAGAAAGTGACATCCTGGTTTGCATACTAAACACTGCATTCTGAGATGTGCAGCAGCGCTAGAGCAGCTGGACTGAAATTAGGCCAGTCTGCATAGTTTGCACAGGTGTAAACAGGGATGATGTATTAAAAGAATAGTGGGGAATATAATAATCAATAAAATCTTGTAATTTCTTTTGTCACCCCTCGAGTCAAAGTCTTTTTAAATTTTGCATTATTATTTTAATCAATTCCTTGGGTGAAGCTGTATGTTCAATCAAGTGATAAGGCTTAGAAGCATCTGTATGTCCTTTTGATGGTGGAATTAAACTCCCATGGACTATAATGTAACTTTGTAGGTTTCAGCATATTGATAAAGAATGACTAAACTTTTGATTATTATTTTAATTAAAGCCAAAAGTATTTGAGCTCATACTGGCAATGTGTGTGATATAGCTACAATTATTTTGAGTTGTTGAAGAACCAGGAGGACCCAATATAAAGCCATCACTTCTGTGCAGGTAAGTAATATTATAAGAACATCTATGAGTTTCTCTTTTTTCAAACTGAACCACAAGACACGTTTTCATCTTCTCAAAGTTTAAAGCAGAGCCTATTTGTCTTGTTTGGTAAGGGTAGGCGGTGGCTAAAAGCAGAGAAAGGGGAAGGAATTCTTGTTCAATACAATAATGTTTTATGGTCAAAGTTTAGATGTTAACTTTGGAGCAATGTTCTTCTTGGCTTACCTCAAGTCCTCTCAAAACCCATTTTCAAAATGACAGTTGTACAAGCTATTGTGTTAAGAAACTGCAAAAATAAATTGGGCTTATATGTCATATCTATTCCAGTGCTACCCAAAATGCGGATCCACAGACCTGTTTGGCCATTGGTCCCAGTAACTCCATCACAGCCCTGGTTGGGTGGGATGCATCAGGTACTAAATATGGTACCAGTCCCTGACACTTGCAGGAGGAAGGGGGGGGGAGATGCCAGTCCATCATATCAGATAGCTTGAAAAACACTGGTCTAGCCAATAAATACTTTAGTTGAGAGTATTTAGACTTAAACCAATGTATAAAAAAACCATACTTCTTTTTAAATTTATGAATCTTTGGCAGAGCCCTGAGTAAGGACTTCCACTTGCTCAACAGGGCTTACACCCCTCTCTTCCTCCTGAATCCACCAACAGTGGCCAGGGTGGGGGGCTTGGGAGAACCCCGAGAACAGCATGTGGTGGGAAGAGAGGGGGGATTTTTCCATCTGGCAAGCTGCAATGCTTGCACAGACAGAACATTCATCATAGCCCAATGTTGAATTCCACTTTTAGTTTGTATTAAAGCCTTAACTTCCACCACTCATAATTTTTGATAAATATGTACAGAACAGCCAGCATGTTTTTTTCTTTTTTGTCTTGTAATTCTTAACTAAAGATTCACCCTTGTGGTCTCAAACCAGTATCGACAGCACAGTGCTTTATAAGTGAGCATAGCTAATATTAATTATAGATAATGGTTGTGTTTACACATAACGCTAAGCCATGGTTTCTTTTAATCATGATTTTTTTCAGCAAATCATGAGCCATCTCAAGAGTTAAGGCAACAAACCATGAATTGTTTCTCCAAAACGTAAGCTTGTTTTCCAGCTGCTTTTGCCTTGTGCTTCTGCAGCCTGACAAGCATCTAGGGTGGAATATCAAAATAAACCATGGTTAAGAAAGGCTGCTGCATTTTTACATCACTCCAAACCATAGTTAAAACAAACCACAGTTTGCAAACCAACAAGAAACCATGGCTTTACATAACAGTTTGTTCCTAGAAAACAATGGTTAGTCTGCAGGGCAAAGTTCAGATGTTCAGACAAACCACGGCTTAGTGTTATGTGCAAACCAGACCACTAAGTACAGCTATAGATCTACCATTCAACACAACTGTTTTAACCTTTTATTATAGCACATTGCACTTTAGGTAATTTGTTCTTAAAGGTAAAAGAAACAGGGCAAATCTTAAGTCAAGAAGAACAAAATAAAAGACAACCTGTGCAATATATTAAATCTGAGGGCAGAAAACAGAGTTCATGTTTATACTATCTGCTGAACTAATACCAGATATGCTGCAGACATCTAGTACTATAAAAAGTGCTTGCTGATACATATAGAAGCAAATAAAGTATTTGTTCCACATACCTGCGTCTAATTTCAGACAGGAAGGCAGCTCTTTTGATAAAGTGGTAAAATAGCTATGTAATCCTTTGAATGCAATCAGCAAACTGGCACAAAGTGTACGGTGGAGATTGTAAGCATGATTCAAGAAAGTCTCTGCTATTATAAAACTGCAGCCCTAAAAATAGATTTGTAAAGTTATCAATTCAGCACTAACAGTTACAGCAAAATTACATTTAAAGATTAAGGTCAGGTCACAAAAAGGTGTGTCCAAACACAGCATTTAGCTCCCCATGTCTGGTGGTAGCCCTCCATGCCCGCCTACAAGAAGCTTCCCTAAGACTGGGGCATTTTCACCTCCAGAGCAGCAGCTATGAGGAACTGTTATTGGACAAAGAATAAGAAAACTAATGACATTTCCATGCACATACAGGACATTCAGGGCTGAAGGCTGCAATCCTGTACCATACTACTTTTTCAATAGGACTTTTGAGTAAATACTTAAAGGAAAAACCTCAGTGTATTTAAGAAAACAATACTGTGACACTGTAAAACCGTCTTTATTATGCAGTATCACCGAAAAGTAGTCAATGCTTCAAGAAATGTTCTAAAATGCCCAATTCTTGACTAACACATTTTGTGCAACTGATACAAATGCTTTGTGTGTTAAAAATAATGTTGTTAAATATTTATCATTTCTTCCAGCAATTAAAAAATAAAAATAAAAATGATTACAATCTTACATCAGCTGATAATTGTTTGGTGTAATTGCTGCCAAAAACAACACTTTCAAGAGAAGGAATCACAGAATCCCTGTTCTGTGCGGGTGCATTTCTGTTTAGCCAAGTATTTTTGACAGGACGAGGAAAGCTAAAAAAAAAAGGGGAAGAAAGAAAGAAAAATGTCTGAGAGAGGGGCAGAAGAGAAAACAAAATTCAGAATAGAAATGCAAGGTGAATTAGAGACACATGGGCGAAGAACACACAGCATCATTTTAAGCCATAACCCAACATATTCTTTTAGGTGTCTGCTGCAACTGGAGGTACGTGCCAGTGTACCTCCTAGAATCTAGAAGGCAGATTCTGATAAGAAATGTAGAAAGTTTGCAAGTATAATTTGGCAGGTGAACGAACGGAAAACACTGGCTGGAATCTAAAAACCTATGTAAGTGATATCGGTTACCGATGATCACTTGGGGTTACAGCAGCACCCATACCACAAGGTAAACCACTTTTGAAATTAATGTGGCTTTCAAAAGCAGTTCTTGATATGGCAAGGGGTGTATGTGTATATAAGCAGTGGGTCTGCAACTTATGCTCACTTTACATACATGAGCGCAACCGCTTATGGGGGCAGGAATAAATAAATAAAGAGTGGGGAAAACCCACTGTTCTCTACTCTCCATTTATTTATTTCCCCATAACCCATGTATCCAGCTGGTTTTCCTTGTTTATTGGCCTCTGGGAAGGTTGTGGGAGGTCCTGGGATGCTCCCAGAACCCTCATACTTCCTTTCCAAAGCCCAGTAAGCAAGACAGCATCTTCCTAGGGCCCTTGTGAAACCTTCCCAGAGCCTGGTAAGCAGCCATCTGCTGGGGGGAGATTGGCTGTTGGAAGACATATAAGAAAAAAATCACACTCAAATATATATGTCTAATTTTAGATTTAGTTAAAAAAATACATCACATGTGAGAAGATGCAGAGTCTTATTTACATATACTGTCTAAAATTTACAGTTTCTAAATAAAGCACTGTGCAGAAAGAATCTCGTATAGTGTCATCCAGGACTTGCAGAGAAATTAAGTATCACTTATCCTTCCTTTTGCTTGTAGATCAAACCGTTCCAACCATTTCTGGTTGTATTTTGTTAAGACAAAAACAAGAACTTAAGCAATTTCAAGACAATTGGAAGATAACCAGAAATGCAGTAAGGGTACAACAGTGCACTCCAATTATACCATATATGCTAAGTTAAATTAACATAATGGGCTAGAGTAGCAATAAGCAAGCACAGCTATGGACGTTAGGTTCCCACACAGTCAGTGAAAGAAACTTTTACCCCCAGCTTAGGATCTGAAGGGAAAGTTGTGGAGTGAGAATGTGCAAGCTGTAGCAGCAAATACAGCCCAATCAACTTCTCTGCACCATCTCCCTGTTTGTCCATTACACTCATACATTACTAGTCTAACCCAGGAGTAGCCACACATTTTGTTGCCTGTGTGGGATTGTGACTTTGCTAGACTCCAAATTCACACTCCTTCTACTGCAAGATCTTTCATGGGATGCTCGATCAACACATTCAGTGTAAGAGAAGTGCACTGTATATATGAAGAATGATCAGGGAAGAATACCATCACTATATGTGAAGAATGATCAGGGAAGAATACCATCACTATTATTTGTTTCCCTTCCACCACCTTTAGCAAGCAGAACATTTTAACTGAGTTAGGACGACTTCCAAAGAAACCATAAAATCAGAGGAAGACATTATTGCCACCATAACAGAAGAACCTCAACAGACGGACAGACCTTTGCCAAGAACAGAAATGGAAATAGACAGCAAAAGCACTAACACCGTCCAGGAAAGGCAACTCATCATCTCCATTTGCCACTAACCATAGCCAACAGCTAATCCTTCTAGCTTCCAATTCTGGATAAGAAGATTCATCTCCTTCCAGCAATCCACCATGCCTTTCTCCTACTAATCTGTGGCACAAGTGGCTGTGTTACAAAAGGAAACACACAAACTGTATTCTAAAAGGGCAGGGGGAAATCCTTTGTGAAGAGTTAACGCAGCCTTCTCTGAGCTGTCACCCTCCAATCATTTTGGACAATGCCCATCAGCCACAGCCAGTGCTGTACTGGATGAGACTGATAAAGAGTTGATATTTCAAAACATCTGGGGAGGGTGTCAGGTTGCTGAAGGCTGAGCTAAGGTGTTTACAGTAATTTTCATTTTGCCTCTTTCACTGCTGGTGTTTTATTACGCTAAACATGAAGCATGTTATAGCATGTATGTTTTAAACTAGGGGTTATGCCCTTGCTTACTCTGCTTGCCAACCCCCCACCCCACATTAACCCCCTAGAGCAGAGGTTTTCAACCTTTTTGGGTCCATGGCTACCTTAACCAACCACATTCTTTCTGTGGCACCCCTGTGGGGCTCAAGAGCCCAGTTATGTCACCCCTTCCCTGCAGAGCTGGCAGTCCCTCGCCCCTTTTCGAAGCCTCCCTTGTGGAGTGTTCCCTCAGTCTCCTCTCTTCTCCCCTCTCCTTGGGAGTCCTCTGGGCAGCTGTAGCTCCGCCCCCACCGCCCCCAAAGAGAGGTTCTTCCTCACACTGCTGCACAGGGGCCTGGGAAGCAACTCCTGGCGAGCCCAGAGATACCATTCGCCTGGGGAGCTTGTAGCCAGGGCTGCTGCAACAAACCTTTGGGAGGCAGAAACGTGAGAGGGCATCAGAGAAGGGAGGGAAGGAAAGAGAGGCAGAGGCCAGTTCATCCAGTTCTGGGGCTTTTTACATGCTGCTACCAGTAAAGATCCCACTAGTGGCATTTCCACCTACTCTCAGGTTTGGTGGGAGGCAAGTATGGCTGGGCAAAGAGATGTCTCCATTCAATCCAACATCACCCCACAGAATGGCAGAAAGGTGGCTAAGCACTCTGCCCCTAACAGAATTTCCCAGAGAAAGAGATAAACCAGAACACTGCCACAATTCCTGTACTAAAAGCACTAAAAGCAAGATTATCATAGCCTAGGCCACCAAAGTAAACAGCCAATCTAAATTCCATTAAAATAATCATGAACTGCATCACTTCATTACTTGATTAAAACTAGGGCAGGGGTTTTTCTAGCAGTTATGGCTGTGTGGTTTATCATTCAGTAGCTCCTGGGCTTCCCATCTCCTTTCTATTCCAACAAAAAACTGAATCAGAAATTCCAATTAAATTGAACTGATATTTATAATACTCACGGTTTACATAGAACTAGTCACTGGTATGTATAATACACATTTCAAATAATCACCACTCCAACTAAATTACTATCACTTTAATGACCAAACCAACAAGCAATTAATTATTTCATTTTATTAAATGATTAATTTAAACAAGTATAAAATCAATATTAAATTACCTTATTAATGGTTGGTGAAGCGCTACTAAAGAGGCATGGACTATAACAGAGATGACAGAAAGGTGAAAGTAATCAAACATAACATTGACATAGTGATGAAGGCCTCGGTTTAAGGTAAAGTGCAACTTTAGTGTTCTGCTGCTAATTAGCTGCAATGTGCTCAGGTCATCTGGCCTAAAAGAAAAAGAGTATAATCATAACCAACATTTTGAAAGTAATTTAATACTACAATAATGCAAATCAATGCTTCAAATCTCCTGTACCATAGTTACTATAAAACAAATCCATCAAGATCTAACTATATTTTTTTTATATGCAGGACCTGCAATGAAATAGTGGTGCTCTGTCCAGTGAAATAACTGAAGTCTCCCTTATGCATCTCAATATTTTTCTATACAGAGGATTTTGCACATAACTACCCATGATTAAATCACAATGAAGTCAATATAATCTACATATGTGTAACTGCACAAATTTGACTATCATTTTTAATATAAATATCTGATGGAAAAATCTGTTAAGATGGAAACAAAATATAATATATAATAAATAAAGTAGAGGCATCTATCTCTGGAAAACCTCTCAAAGAATTAGTCCCCCACCCACCCACAACTTCAATAATTTATAGAAAGTGCATGTCTAATTCAAGGGCTGTTTTGCTTGCAGGAATTTCAGTACATCCATGGACTTCACAATCCCAGTTTCCCATTACTTTAACATTAGGGGGAACGCTACATGAAAATGTGGTTCAGTTTCCACCAACACTGAAACAAAGAATTCCTTGATGCACAAAGAACTCTGAGCAAAAACCATTTCTCTAAAAGTAGGAATAGCAAGAATATGAATGTTTAGTTTTAAACTTACGAATAATCTGTATCTGTAAAGTGTAGATCTAAAGAGAGCAGGAAATTCATTTCATTCAGAGACTCTTCAATCTAGACAGGCATTTCAGAAGAAGAATTATATATTATTGTTATTAATACAAACTATAGTTTTACTATACAATCCTATCCAGACTTTGTAACTTTTTTAAAAAAAATTATATCCTACCCATCTTGCTGGGTTTCCCCAGTCACTCTGGGCGGCTTACAACATATATAAAAACACAACAAAGCATCAAACATTAAAAAACCAAATATCCTATACGAGCAACAAACAATCCAATAAATCAATAGAAATCGATAACAACAATAGCAATAATAAACGGTTTACTGTTATAACCAAATTAAAATAACCACCAACCCTAACTAAACATTTGACCAACATCATCCTGACGAAAACAGAAGAGAGGAACCAAAATTAGAACCATTTAAAATATTTTAAAACATTTTAGCTAGTTGCCCCAACACAAGAGTTGTTCTAGCAATGTCCCTCCAGCATCCCAGGAGCCTCTTTTAGGAAGGACACAAAGTGGCTTCAAATAAGTGTGAAGGTAACTACAAATATACATGCATGAATATAGGGGCATAATCAAAAAATGAAATGAAATCAACAGCGACAATGTAAATAAATAAAAATGTACTGTGTATTTTGGGTCTATGGACCGCAATAAAGTTGTGTGTGTAAACAAACAAACAAACAAACAAACAAACACAGTGCCATGCATTCCAAATTCACTAAAATTTACTAAAAAGTATTAAGATACCACCCTTAATTTCTCATCAATTCCAGAGTGGTGCATAATAAGTTGAACTATAGTAATAAAAGATCTTACAAAAGAACAGCAGATAGAACAGTTAACTGCAATTATTATTATTCGTGAACACTAATCAAGTTTTAAAACACCTGGATGACTAAGAGAATCCTAGATCTTGTCCTGGATACTGATCATATAGAATGGTCCTATTTTAATGCTATGCTCCCATGTCTGCAAGGCAGAGAGGGAATCACTGCTAAATCTTCTTGTATTGGTTGAGGGCAAAACCACATTGGAATAGGGAATTCATGTTGTCATAACCTTTTGAATGGCAACAAGAATCTGCAGTGGACGAACCATGATAAAGGGAAGAACTGGGCATATTGGGGGCATACTGAAAGAAAAGTGGAAGTTAGTCAGAATTCTGACCTGACTCAGGGTCAATCCAACCTTCAACAATGGCATAACGTGCTAAAAGTGCTAAGTTAATGCACTACCAACTGAAATCAATGAAGAGCTCTACATGCTTCCAACTCAATGGGGCTATAGGAGACTGTATTGTCATCTATTCCTGGGAGTTTTCTTGTGTCTTGTTGAAGGAGTGTGTTTGTAATGGGCAGGAGAATGTCATGGCATTATTCTGCTGCTGCATGTTTACTGGCTGCCTTCCCTGAATGGGCAATATTGGTGTGCAATGCTGTAGCACCCAGGGATGCTGCGGGAGTATGTCTACATCTACTGTTGTTGTTCCTAGTGCACACAGGATTGATTGTGTGATAATTCATCAAGCTATTTTAACAGTTAAATATATGCTATTACCTTTCTTTCATCCAACAGCATTTTAATTTTGAAGATCATAACATCATCCACAGACACTTCCTCATTTTTATAAAGAATTTGAAAGGTTTTACTGCAGACTACATTGTCATGGACTGAAGCTGGAAAGGCAAGATCAGCACCTAAAGAATATGGATAAGAGGCAATCAAGGCTCAAAATATCCTGATTCTACGTCTACTTACAGAATGACAACTGTACCATGTTTTGGCTTCATTTTAAGAAATGGTTATTTGTAATAATTAGTTTTGTCATTCATATAGCATATTCTAAAAAGACTGTCCTTTCAAACACTTGAAAGCTGGTTTGACAGCAAGTAAGGAAGGGCATTCATAGTTTCTTTAATAGATAACAGTAACATTTACAAACCAGTTCCCAGCGCCAGTGTAAATTTACAGGCAAGGTATAAAAGCAGTGATGGAAGTAATGAATAAGCTGCAGGTTAATGAAAAGTAAATCTAAGAGAACCTAGAACACAGTATAAAACTACTTTTACACTTCAACTTTTTTTTTTCCTTTTCAAACGATCCACTAAATTGTCAATAACCACTTAATTATTTTGTTAAATACAGCACTGTTAGCATTTCCAGTTTGAGAAAGAAAGCTCTTAAGATTTCTCAAAGGGTAATGTTTTTTGTCAAGACCCAAGTACTCATTTTAAGCAGCCCTCCAACAGGCAACAATATATGCACAAATGGCCCTAAAGTTCACAACCACTGTCAGAAGTATTCACGTGACGCAAACTGGTAATTTTTGCTTATCTGATGGACAGCCCTTTGTGAAAGGGAGAGGATGTGGTCCTGAAAATTCATCTTTCCTCCTGCAGACAGCTCTCCACCACCAAGCATATTCTAGAGCAGATGAGAGCCACAGAGGTAAGGTGAAATAAGCAAAAATTGTATTCTTCCTCGGTTAACCTAGTGTTTGCTGGAACAAAGAGTCTTCCATCATGGGAAGGACACAACTAGATACAGACCTTTTACATTTCTCCAAGATCTTTAAAACCAAGTGTTTTCACCTATCAAGCTTAATTAATCAAGTAATCAAAAAGTATATGATTAATTAACTAACACATCTTTAATAATTTTGGAGTTCTCCTTTATTAAATAGTAATTAATTATTCACTCAAATAGTAATGAAAAGATGTTTACTTACTGGTTGCACGTAACAGGCTTGCTTCAATTTTGTGTGGAATTCTTGGAGGAATCTTCATTGATACACGAATCTGGTAAAAGCTACAGTAAACAAAATTATTTTCAAACTAATACTGTTTTAACATAACCTGATATGTATATATTTTAAATATTTCTACCCTATTTCCCCATCAAGCGTGGTCTTCAAGAGGGCCATAAAAAACACTTAATGAAATCAGTTACAAAAGCATTTTATACACTACTGTTAATCATAATTAAAATAATTCAATACCAATTAGCCAGAGGAGAAAGAGAAGCATAAGGTCAAAGTAAAAACCAGTTAAACATATTACCATAACTCCACTAGCCAGGTTTGCATTTCTTAATTACAGTAGGCTTCTTATACAGCTTACATTCCTACTCAGATGTGCAGAGAAGCCACTGATCCAATTTGGGGCCAGGGTTTTTTCTGAAAATCTCTATGTTGTGATCGCACACAAGGACTTCTGATTTCTGTCACACTTCATTATCTCATTGAGAACTAATTTTTGTTTTTGTTTTTATTGGTTCCATTATAAATAGGAACAATTATTATATATGCTATGTTATGTTATTCTATGATATTATATCATATGTTATCATATGACGACATATGCTATTCTATGATGTTATTCTATGCTATTACCACAAAATTTTCATAAAATGTTTATTACTACTTATTACAATAAATCAAGCTGAAGTATTTGATCAATGATGTTACTGATCAGATTTCCAATCTATTTTGCTTACTTAATGGGTTCTTTAGTATGCAGCCAAACAAATGTTTTTCTTATTACAACTTAATTGGGTTTGCATGTGAGCATCTGAAGTTAGGTTGTGAAAATGCTTCATTTATTTTTCAGTTTTTCTTTCACTACAAATCCCTAGCTCTGGAAAAAAACTTAAATCTCACATGATCAACATAATCCACATTTTACTACATGAGCAATACAAAAACAGGTGGCTTCAGAGACAATGAAGATTCTACTTTATGATAGAAAATAGTTTCCAATAACAAATATTTACTTGCTAATCCAAATATGTTAATCTCACCAGGGTCAACTCAGGCAAAGTATGCCAACAGGTTAAAATTCAATTCCTGACCTCCAAAATTCAAATCCTGACCTCTGAAATAATAGCCTAACTACAAGTCATAAAGTATATTAAACTATGCTTCAATATTTTAAGAGAACAGCTTTAGATAGGGATGCGGATTTTAACATCAATATAATTGATTAATTAAAATAATTGTTAAATCAACTGATGCTTTAATCCCATAATAAGACTGATTTAACTGAAGTACTTAAATGAATACAGGCTACACTGGAGGCACACATATTCCAGCTCCCTAATACTTCGGTCAAAATTAAAGTTTAAAAAAGACCCTCCTGGTTTCTGCCCAAAAGATAGAAGGTATTTTGATTTCAGGCTAAAGATATTAAGTTTCCTCCTAGCAAGATAAAAAATCAGCAACTAGGACAATTAATGTTCAACTGAGGCCCACTGTGAAGAACACTTTTCAAATCATGATACAGATGGGATTTAAGGCCTCCTACATCTGAAGTCATTCTGCTTTTTTAAAAAAAATATATATGTTGTAACAGGAAATATTCAAGACTTGTAAGACATTAGAAGCGACCTTTCTTCAAACAATAAATGGTAGATTTGTTGAAGAAATGAGTTCTTCCAGATCAGACACACTATGCCCTTCCTTTCATAGTCCCATAAAGTATCTAAACACTTAAATTCACAAAGTGGGGTTCAGAGGCGGTTTGAAAGAAAACAGGGGACCATGTGTTCTCAACAGAAGGCTTACAGCACGAATAGCCTATGTCACACCTTCCACATGTGGACTACAACTCCCATCAGCACCTGCCAGCAGTGCTTTTTCTTTCTTTCTAGAAAAATAGGTGTCGGTACTCACTGTGAAGCTGTTACAGAAGGAATAGGCAAACTTGGCCCTCCAGATGTTTCGGGACTACAACTCCCATCATCCCTAGCTAACAGGACCAGTGGTCAGGGATGGTGGGAATTGTAGTCTCAAAACATCTGGAGGGCCGAGTTTGCCTATGCCTGTTGTTACAGTAAGTGCCACACTTTTTAACAACAAAAAGAGGTGTTGGTAGTGCGTTCCCTTGAGTACCCCCTGAAAAAAAGGCTGACGACTTGTAGCCTACAACATCTGGAGTATACCACATCAGTTTCCCCTGACTTAACCAAGCAACAAGCAGAATATTGTATAGTATATCCCCCAATGAAGGGTATAGCTGTTATTTTTGAAATACTGAAGTCAACTGCCTCTAGAACCACTTTTTGAATATTTGCTGTCAGTTTGGGTAAGTAGGCCACCCCCTGGCCTAACCTAATCATCTTTTACTAGGTAAATTAATGTGTTGTATTTCCAACCCTCAATTAAAATAATTTACTTGTTATACCACCCTCAATTACTATGCATGCAATGCAAAACTTTGCAGAACTTATCAACGCAATATTGAATTTGCACTCAGCTGGAAATTTTTCAGCTCAAATTTTACTACCTTCCAGAGGTAGCATTTCATTTGCTCTTACTAGTTCCAGATAGCTCTCTTAATACTACTATATCAACATTCCATATGGTGGCTTGCAGGAATAGCCAGAGGGTATCTCTCAGCTGTCTGAAGCAGCAAAGAAACTGCCAAGGCAGCTGAGGACACCAGTTGGCAAATACCAAAAACAAGGCAGATATAGAATGTTCTGCTCTTTCATAATAGATGGGCAAATGTCAGTGCTTTTCAGAACTGAAACATCTAACAAACATTTTATATTCAGAACATGACATGCATAGTTTGTATGCAATTAATTCAAGGAAATAAATCAACAAGACAGAAAGATATGATAAATACAGACAACTCCCCATTTATGTGGTGGTTACATTCCAGACCTCCGCAGGCATCAGTGATAGACAGGGAGGCTGAGCAACCTCAAGAAAGCCCCACTGTCCCTCCGGCTCATGAGGTGACCCTCCCTGGAGCCGAAACAGAATGTCCTCTTCATGCTCTGGGGACAGGCTCTTTTCACAAGCCAGGAGGTCTCTCCAGGGTACTTCCCATTTCCGGGTTCCTTGCACTTTGCGTGTGCGAGGACATGTACAAATAGATCATGTGTAAATGGGGATTTGCACATATGTCTAATTCTGTCCTCTTTTTTTAAAAAAAAAGGAATAGAAAGTATGATCCCAAAGAAAGCCCAATACCCAGGGCATAACCCCAAAAGGGTGACTGTTGTAGAAAGAAAAATATCTGAATCAGATTTGGAAGCAAACAATATATTGATTACAGAAGACAACTGCATTATAAACAATGGAACCAGAATTTTATCTGAATGAATTGTGGCCACCTTCAATATCAACATGCTGTCATTTTACAAATATCAAATATGGACATTTTATTTAACTCAATATTCTACAATACTGAAAGGATGGAATCTAGTAGTTAAGACTGTAATTCTATACACACGTATACTTTAATTTCTGAGTAGGTATAGAATGCAGTTCTATGCACACTTACTCAGCAATTAGCCCTACTTTCCTCAATGAGACTTACTTCTGAATAATGCATAGGATTGTGCTGCAAAACACTTCTGACTCAATTTAAGTCATACAATGACTGCATTTGCACATCACAGTAGGCCAGGGTTGGGAAACCTTTTCTGGCTTGCATGTCTGATCTTTATCTCCCAACCCCTAGATGACTAAATGTAACAGGTGTGCGGGCCTGTGCACATGTCAATCATCTGAACACAAACCTGAACACAAACTACTGTCCACTGGATACGTCTTCAATACGTGGCAACCAATAAAAATAAGGTTACCATTCAAGCACCACAAACACAATCAGGGTGTACCGTATTTTTCGCCCTATAGGACGCACTTTCCCCCCTCCAAAAATGAAGGGGAAATGTGTGTGTGTCCTATGGGGCGAATGCAGGCTTTCGCTGAAGCCTGGAGAGCGAGAGGGGTCGGTGCGCACGGACCCCTCTCGCTCTCCAGGCTTCAGGAAGCTATCCGCAAGCCTTGGGAGCTCCGCGGGAGTTCCTATTGGGCTCCCAAGGCTTGCGGATAGCAGCCTGCATCCCGAAGCCTGGGGCGCGCTGCACAGCACACCCCGGGCTTCCTGCAAATATCGGGAAGCCCCACAAGCTCGGGGGACAGCGGGGAGGCGGAGCGCCGCCATCCCGCTGTTCCCCGACCTGGTTTGTGGAGTTGCCTGCATCCCGAAGAGAGATGCCTGCATCCCAGTCAGGGAACTGCCATCAGTGCCGGAGGGAGAGAGCAAAAGCCAGAGGGATTCCAGAGAGCGTCCAGGGATCGGGAGGAGCAGCCCATCTTCTGGGGAAGAGAATCAGCGTAGCACCAATGGAGAAGGGGGGCAGATGGGGGAAGTGGCGAGGCGGTCCCATGACTCCTTGCCTGGGACCAGCGGGGAGAGTAGGGGTTCTCCGCTGCCCACGCCCTCCTTGCGCAGAAGGCTTTCGCGCAGAGAGAGTAGGAGGAGACTAGGCGTCAAAGAGCTTCTTTGCTGGAAGAAGTTTAAGAAACCCCACTGACGGATTCTGCCAGCGATTGAGTCAGCCACGGGTGAGTGGCTGTCCGGACAGAAAAGGTTCACTTAGGCAACCCAGCCGGGGAGATAAGCACCGGCTTACGCACGAGCAACCCCTAGAACCATTACAATCCCGAAGCCTTCGGGCAGATATCTGCAAGCCTGGGGAGACCGGCGCGACTTCCCGCGGGCTCCCTAGGCTTGCGGATAGCAGCCTGTTCTGAGGGCTGGAGTCGGGGGAAGCTCAGTCTGGGGGGGAAATATTTTTTTTTCTTTATTTCCCCCCCCCAAAAAAAACCTAGGTGTGCCCTATGGGCCAGTGCGCCCTATGGGGCGAAAAATACGGTAATTACATTGCAGTCACTCCATCTTCCAGTTGGCAATGGACCACAGCACAAAATGAGTAAGTAGACGTGCGAGCAAGGATCTTTAGGCGATTACCAATCATTTTCATAAAAATACACAGCTGCTTACACCCCCTAGAGCACCCTATTTTTCATAGATAAACAAAAAGGCTTATCCTGCCCCAGCTCAGTATTCTGAATGCTCCCACCGACGCCACCCGAAAATAGAGAACTTTTATCCATGCATACGAGAGAACATGTAAACCAAGCTTAAGTTGTCTTATAATTTTATTCATGATTGATGCTACACAGATTAGTGAATTTTGATTCCTGACCGTCTCAAAGACCCGATTTAAAGTAAAATATATATATATCCAGTTACAAGAGCTACATACACCTTTTCTCAGGATTTGCAGGCATTCATTAATCTTCCATACAAATGTCTCAGGAATTAACACCATCAGAACATGTAATATTTGTTGTATGTTACCTACCCTCTTTGAAACAAATCCACGTTATAAAACTTGTGGAGCTCCACGGAGAATTCTACCATTGCCTGTACTTCACTCATTTTTATGTAGATGCAGAAGTCCAAGAACTGTTGTCGGCACCTTATTTACTGCAGAGATGGAACACAAGATATGTGAGATGTACTTACAGCTGATTTCTCCATGACCTAACCCTGGAATGAAGTATGAACAAGTTTCCTGCTTCATACGTATGTCCTTAATGAATAAATGTTACATAACCCTTTCTGTTTTGCTTATCTGCTTCCCCATACAATAGCAACAGAAACAGATGCTCCAGCTTGACCTCCACCTTCAAAACCAACAATACATTTTCAATGCAGAACTAGTTGTATACAATACAAGGGAAATGAAATAAATAAATTTGTTTACCTAAGGTGGAAATCCTAAGCACACCTGATAGGAAGTAAGTCCCATCAAATTCAATGGGAGTGCCTCCAACTAAAATATGTTTAGGATTGGGCTGCAAAGCAAATTTTCATTCTTCAATTTCTCTTAGAGCCGTAAAGAACCCCTTATACATATTTGGGTAAGGAAGGGATAAATAAAACTGCCTCAATTTGTATCGGTGGAAAAATACACAAACCTTAATTTTGTGTCTTAACTATGGAGCAACAAAAGATGCTCTTTTTGAAAAGCAACAATAAACTATGGTTTAGTACAGGGGTCAGCAAGGTTTACCTCGCCTGAGCCGGTTCACTCCAGCGGAGATCCCTCCATGGGCTGGATTGTGCATGCGCATGAGTGCGCGTGCCTGCAATTTCCAGTGTCTGCACAGATGCAATTTCTGGCATCTGTGCAGATGCGATTTTCGGCACCGCGGAAGCGAGTCCCTGCGCCACACCGGTTTAGTGCAGCAAACAGGGACGCGCCAAGTGGGCGGCTCGGTTCGGGGGCGGCTCATGGGCTGGTTAAACGAGCCCTGTGGGCCACTTGTGGCCCATGGGCCTTAGGTTGCTGACCCCTAGTTTAGTATGATATGCATGAGCATCAAAGAGCTGTGGGCTCCCTTTCTTCCTCTGGAATGGCAGAGAGAAGTTTGGAAACATTTGCTTCTATTTTTAAACTAATCAGAGTTCCTCACTGAATCCAAGCTCCAGGGAATTCAGGTTAGGTCAAAGAATTCCAACCAACCAACCATACATGCAGTCTGTTGGTTATTTTTTTTTTTAAAGTAACATACATGCAGAATTTTTTTTTTTAAAAAAAACAACAACTCAAGGGTACAGCTGCCCCAACCAGCTCAATGAGTAGTGAACGTGCTCAGTCACCTTCAGTTACCACAGAATGCTTAGCAAGAAAAGAAGATTAGGAAAAGCTGGGTGATAGGAAAGGGGCATACATTGCAACATACAGTTGCATAACCCACATATCAAGTGCATGTTATCAGTTTCTATTGCAATCATCTACATTTCATTCACCACAAGTAACATAAAAATTAGCTTTGCTGGTGCCATGGAGCTTTCTTTCCCTCTCCCCTCCCCACATACACCTCAAAATCCACTACGGAGAGGAAGTTCCACTGGACACAGAAAGCTGTTGTGCCAGTTGAGTTGCAGCACTGGATACAGCCCTAAATTTCTAACATTAGACTGAACATTATTTCTCCTGAATAGGTTTGCCACTTCAGTAGGGAAAACTTAAAATTTAAAGTGGCATATTCTCTCCTCATTGATATACTGTAATGTCATACTAAAGATGTAATGGGAGTCATACAGGCATGTTACAGAACTGGACACTAAACTATTTTTTAAAAAACACAAGATTCTTTTTTACCTCTAGTAATAAATAATCCATTTTGATTAAAGCTAATACGCAGTCTTCCAGTTCCTAATTTCTGCAGTCAAGTGCATACTGCTTGCTCTGCAAGAAAAAGAAATCAGATGATTGTACACCTGAATGCAAGCCATCTACACAGAAATTGGTGCTCTTATTTTCTTTAATTCCCAGTCACCCAGTTCACTAGTCTCATTAAACTATAGTTTAAAGCAAACTATGTTTTAATATGAATGAGCAGCATGTTAATGTGCGCTGCTCAAAAGTTCCCAAAGCATTGATTCCCTGCTTGTGCAGATGCCTGTGTTGCTCAAACCCAGGCTCATGGTTTGTTTTTCCCAAATAAACCAGAAATTGTAACTATGGGTTGCTTGGAGGAAAATGACAAGCTTGTTTTTTCCACAGCAGAAGCAGGGAAGGAGAGCCTCTGGAACTTTGAGCAGTGCGACTAACATGCTGCTCATTCGTGTTGACCTGTAGTTTGCTTTAAGCTATGGTTTAATGTGAAGTTCCACTGAGGTAACGAAGTTCACTAAGTTAAAGGAAGCATAAAAAGGGTTGTACTGTATATGGAAAGCAGCTGATATGTCTTTGGAATGGTTTGAAAAAACAACCAGTTAATTCACTGCAATTATATACACAACAAATGTTCAGGTTCTGCAATGTTTACATGCATCTAGCACACCCAATATACAGGAGATTAAAGGCTTTTTTTTTTTTTTTACTGCTGAAAGGATAAGGGGTGGGGGTGTCCTATTCCCCATTAACTCTTCACAGGATACCCCCCCCCCCACTTGTAAGGTGTGCATCAAAGTTGCAAATATGTTACTTGTCAGCAAATACTGTAATGCATAATATGCCATGTTTAAGCTAAATGTATTCATTAGTTGTAGTTAGCTTTTTATCTGAATACCTATACCATGTGTTATGGATTAGCCACAAACCAAGATTTCAAACTATGGCTTAAAGTTGGTTTGAAATTAACGGTTTCCATTAATTGTATTACACTCACACTGTATCGCAGTGCAGTATTACACTGCACTGAACAAACCAGATATAGTTCTCCTACCTTCTCACCTTCACTTGCTGCAAAGTGGCAAGCAGTTTTTACTGGTGTTTCCCAGTGGCCTCATATAGGAAATACAGCTTAATTTGGCAAGCTAAACTATTATTTAACTGTAGATTTGGGATCTGAACTGGCCTGAAGGCACAGGATTATTAGCTCCAGCTATAGCTATGGCTACAAGACCTCTGATAAATGCTTTGTTACAAACAGCATATTATTCTAAGGTATAATTCCATCCCCTTTCCTGTGTCCCATGGAAAGCATACAGCTCAGCAGAAAATAAAATGTAATTTAAAAATCTTGAAATGGCATTTAGATGGCATTTCTGATCCAAGTGGATTATGTTGGCTCCAAATTCCATATCAATACTTGGCTCTGGGAAATAGGCAGACTATATTGCCCATTCTTTCTTCAGACTGCAGCATAATGCCTGTTTAAGATTATAAAGGTCTATGTGCTGAAAAATCAACCCTAATTGGGAAATCGGTATTTTCTATAGTATTAGTCACTAAAAGTGACCAAATTAATAAAAGAAAAAGGAGGCAGGAGGACTGCAAAATGCTCCAATAACCATCTGAAAAGAAAGCTGTTTAAGCAGATTTATCCTCAGTTTCATTGAAATGGCACAAATAGCTCCAACCTTCTTGGCTATCTTAATTAAGCTCTTGCACAAAATAATGTGACTCTACACGATGACCATTCAAAGATTCTGTTGTGGTTTAACGAAACAGGCAAAGAAGTTAAAGAAGGAATATAAAAGGATATAAAAGCAACTTTATCCCCCATCAAATGACATCTGCAGATAAAGTGACCATAGTTAGCTAAAGTTTTCCCATGTTGCCTGTAACACACAGTTCTGACCTAATAGTACATGGGGCAGGGAGCCACACACCCTCAAAATCCTCATTTATTTAGTTAGAGAGAGGGGGGGGAGGGTAGAAAAAACCTCAAAGGGGGTTACAAAAAAGATAAAGCAGTAAGATTATCACTAAAAATTTATAACTGTATTTTAAAAACAAAGTGAAGGTTAAAAATCTCAATAAATTAGACTAAAACAAGTTGTGTCACTACCAACTGATTCTGTTTCCTACCTATACAAGCACATATCAATTGACTTGTTAAATAGGAAGCACAGTGAAGCTGATTAAACTGACCTATTAAAATAGAAGCACACCTGTCATTAAACAGTGGGGTACTGCACTCATGTATTGCTTACAGGTTTCTCATAGGAGTCTGGTTAGTCACTGTAGGAAGCAGGATGCTGGGGTAGATGGCCTTCCTCCAGCAGGGCTTTTTCTTATGTTCTTATGAATAAATTGTTAAAAAGCAGTCAATAGGATTTTGTGTTATGTTTTAGTGAGCACATTCAGTTTCTGCCTATTGTGTTTTGCCATTCCCCTTCACAAACTGAGTACACAATTCAGAACACATCCAGCTCTCTTCAGAAGCTATACCTTCCAATGGGAATATTGGAAAAGGAGGACACATTGTTTTGCAGAGCAGCTTGTCTACTGCTGATTTTGTTTGTTTTGTTTTGTAGGAGAATCCCTGATATGGAATGCCCAGGATTCCATAAATCACAAAGTGGAAACCAATTGCTTAAATCAACTAAACTAAAGCTTAAAATTATATTTAAAAACTTTTTAGAAATGGACAGAAAAAGCTTTAAGTACATACTACAGTAATATTCAAGTTGGGAGTTGTGTACAGATCAAGTCCCACCTCACTCAAAAGAATTCTTTTTTTTAAATCATCATCAAAGTATATATATTACTTGATCGTTAAAAATCTCTATAAACAATTTTAAAACTACCAACAAATTCAAAAATCAAAATAGACAAGTACATGATTGATATGGAATCATACAATTGTTAAAGGAGAAATATACATTCCTAAAACATTTATAATATATAGCTTATTTTTTTATTTACAATACTTAACCATAGATGTAAAAAAGAAAAGAATCGCCATAGTTTTATCTTTTACCTAGAAAAGGAGCCTTTGAAACTCGTGTTTGACTTATGGGTTTAAATCAAAATATATTCTCTTAAAAGTAAATTATGACCAAAGCCAAAACATGGTTTGTGTCATTTCCCTCTTTCCTCCCCCAATAATTCCAGATGCTATCCCAAACAGTAGACTCTGACAGCAGAACACCCTAAAGTATAGCACATAAATTTGAATACACCAAACTTTACTATGCTCAAACTATGGTTTGCAAATCAGCCATGATTTCAGGTACTAATCTGGTGGCAATTTGCAAATCAGGTGCACCAAACAGCAAGTTCAGACATAAAAAATATAGCTTGGCTTTATTCCCAGACCATCTCCGTAAATATGGGCATTTGGTTTGCTTGCACTGAGTTCCACTTTCCTTTTAAACCACATTCTATTTTTCAAGAGACACATGAGACACTTCATATACTTAAGCAAACTAACCGGAAGTACCGTATTTTTCGCCCTATAGGACGCACTTTTTCCCCTCCAAAAATGAAGGGGAAATGTGTGTGCGTTGTATGGGGCGAATGCAGGCTTTCGCTGAAGCCTGGAGAGCGAGAGGGGTCGGTGCGCACCGACCCCTCTTGCTCTCCAGGCTTCAGGAAGCTATCCGCAAGCCTTGGGAGCCCGTGGGAGTTCCCGCCGGGCTCCCACGGCTTGCGGAGAGCTGCCTGCATCCCGAAGCATTCCCCCCCCAAAAAAAACTAGGTGCGCCCTATGGGCCGGTGCACTCTATGGGGTGAAAAATACAGTAATACCCACCTTTACTAAATTAAAATTTTTCCACACTCTGCCTACCCATAAACTTGTGTGTTTCATTTAATGCTTTGGACAATCTGAATTACAAACCAGACTTTAACTTCTGAGAAATATGGGACGGCCATTGTTCCTTTATCCCAGAATACAATGTGTGTGATCTGATATCTGTAGCACCTCTATAGGTTTTATTTCAGACCGCAATTCCATCTGGGAACTGAGTTTACAAGGTGGCCCCATGGCTACAACATCCAGACTACTTTTTGTACTTTTTTCTTTCTTTCCTCAATTCCCTACTCCAATTTGCATAATATCTTGCCTGAGGAAGAGATGCAGAGAACTTAAAAATTTGACAGTTTCATAACATTTTGGTGGGTTATAATGAATTTATGGTCCAACAGTGGATTCTGGATTTCTGTTCTTATGGACTAGTTCTAGAATAAAATGTCACCTGCTTACAGCCTTAGCCTCTGAGCACTTCCCATCTTTGTTTATCCATGTGCTATATATGGCACATAGGCTAAGGTTTCCAGACGTCCCCATTTCCCGGGGACAGTCCCCGGATTTACAAATCAGCCTCATATAAAATCCATTGAAGTTGAAAAGTGTCCCCAGAATCATTGAAAACAAAGTTGGATTTTGATTAACATACAGCTACTATTGCTTATCCAATTGGCACATGTGTACTCTTTAGGAAAACAGGTAATGTATAAAAAGAAAGAGCAAGGGTCAGTAGTAGATCAGTGGTAGAGCACATACATTGCATGTAGGAGATCCCTGTTTAATTCCTAGCATCTCTAGGTAGGGCCAGGAAAGATGTTTGTCTGAAACCCTGGAGAGCTGCTACCAGGCAGCACAGCTAATACTGAACTAGGGTTGCTTCCAGATGATCTGTTTATTGAGTATTCATTCTGATTTGTTTGCAGGGAGGTTATATGAGTGCTTCAAGCAATTGTTGTTCCACACTTCCCAGGGCATTTCCCCACCACTTACCAATGGACGGGGTGAGTCTGTTGAGCAAGTGTGTCAAATGGATTTTAATGGTACAACCTGGATTTGCTGGTATGCAATTGAATCTCACTTGAAATTAGTGACAGCCTGGAAGCAGCCTGGAAGGACCAAAGGTCTGACTCAGTACAAAGCAGCTGCCTACAGTACATAGAAATTCTAAAGCAAGATCTACCAGGATGAGTGGGTTAGGATCTAGCAGATCTCTGGCTGAAGTAGGAAGTTCTCAAATCATCATAGCCCTTTGAGAACTTCCTACTTCAGCCAGAGATCCGCTAGATCCTAACCCACTAAATCAACTCCCCCATCCTTTGCTCAGCAATATTTATGCCAGAGTATCCCCCTTATCCTGGCTCAGCCAGGAACCAGGTGACTGAGCCAAGGCAAGCTTGGCATATCTTAAGCCTGCATAAGCCCTAGAAGAAGGGGTTTTCCAGGCATGGGTCCAAAGTAGGAGGACTGAGGCTGGATCCTATTCCTGTTCAGCTTGGTGCAAGATCTGGCAACGTAGTATAGGTCAAACACTATTTCCAAGGCTTATTTTCCCTCTGCCAGTCTTAGGCTGGCTTAGCTAGCAGTAGCTCCATTGCTAAATGGAGTTTGGATCTGGTGTAACTTTACACTGGCTTAAACTTACACCGTCTTCCTTTATGACAGCTTCTTGTGTATGGGATTATTCCATTATGTACTTCATGTTCTAAACTAGAATATGCTTTAGTAGTTAAAACAAGGGGGCCAACTTAATATTATTAAGTACACCCAGGTGAAGTTTTTGCAGTCCATTAACTAATGTAGTCCATATGGACTTGGCAACGACTTCATGTACAGCCCCTAAAAAGCTTTATATACCAGCAAAAAGCTCGACTTATTTTTATGAGGTATCGGGTAGCTTTGAGAGTTAAACCGAGGACACCATATTACATTAGGAATGTTAGGAATTTGCATTGATAGAAAGACATACTTGAGGGCCCTGGAGGGAGGAAAAAGTGGTAGAACAGCATGAAGTGTTATAATCACCGGTAACACTTAGTAAAGTTGTACTTGGCTACAGTACAATGAATGAAGCGGCCATACCTCTCCTACTCCTTTAGATTAATGAACTAATAAAGAAATGTACATCCAAGGTCAAAATGCCTTGGTAATATCACAGAACAAAAACAAGACTAAGGTTTGTTTTTTAATATAAAACGACACAAATGGTTCTCAGTCATGGTTGCCCTGCTGAATTATAGAGAGGTATGTGTAAGTTGAGTCGGACACGACTAAACTACTAAACAACAACAATGTGTAAGTTATTTAAAATAGGACAACTCTCTCTCCCCCCCCCAATAAAAAACACACACACCCAAGGAACACCTTGGTACCCTAGAATTCACGCAGCATGCGTGGGGAACCGGTTAGAGAAATAGGACAAGTTTCCTGGTTTCTCGCGAGGTTTAAAAATAGAGCACAAACAGAAAAAGAGAAAGGTAAAACGAAACACACGAATTGCCAGGGTTTACTGGCTCCCTTCTAGCTGAGGCTTTCAACCAAACTAAAGAGGATTCGATTGGAGTGGGATAAGACTGGATTGGGCCGGACTGACTCCGGAGAGAAAACGAAAACACACACACACACTCACTCTTTCACACAGAGACGCTCACTTCTGCTTGGAGTAAAAAGGAAGTGCTTTTTACATTTATTTATTTTTAATGAGGCTTCTAAACGCTCCACACATCTTTCCCAGCTGCTCCCCTTCCTGTTCACCTTCTAAGAGGCGCAGGAAACATCCACCTCAGCTCCAACGACGCCCTGCTCCGTCGCAGGTTTTCTCTCCACACAGACATCTAATTCACAAGCCCCGCCGACTCACCTGAGGGAAAGGAGCAGCAGCAGCAGCACCGGACACCGGCCTCCCCCAGGGAGAGGCGACTACCTGTCGGTCCTCTCACTGCCGCCGCCACCACCACCACCTCCTCCTCCCGACTCGACGCTCCTATCCGCTGCCGCCGCTTCTAGAGGAGCCCAGGCCTCAACAGAAGCCCCGGAGTGGCGTAACGCAGGCATCCGACGCCGGCGCCCCGCTCGGCCGGCAGGGCGGCCCGCGTTCCGACCGCGCGCGCCCTCCTCCTCTTCCTCCTGCCGCTGCTATTGCTCTCGCTTGGGAAAAGCGGCTAGGAGCAAGTAGATTCCGCCGGCGGCCAACACCAACACCGCGACTGCCCGCCCGCCCGCCGCCGCTGCTTCCTACTCGCAGGCGAGCTAGGCAGCGCGGGCAATGAGAGGAGGAGGCGGCCGCCGCTGGCGAGGGCTGGCAGGGAGCGCCCGAGTTAGGCAGGGAGGAAGGGCGACTGCGGCATCCTCCTAGAGGGCTCCCCTCTGACTGTGGAGGCGCTTGATCTCCGAGATTCCCTACAGCCGCTCCCGCTTTCCTGGAGATCTTAGCTCTAAGATCCTCCTCCTGCTGCTGCGCCTGCCGCTGCTTGCTCGCTAGCTTGCTTGCTTGCTGGCTGCTCCCTTCCCAGCTCGAGCTCCCCCTGCTGCTGCTGTGTGCGAGGCACCGGCTGGGCTACACACAGTGTGGATCGGCGGGCTGCTGCTGCTCTGCTGCTCCACCACCCCCACCCCCACCGGCAGGCAAACAAACAAACAAAAAGCAAAGAAGTGGGAGGGTGGAGAAAACAGCAACAACAAGAGCAATTGCAAGCTGCCCTCGAGACATATTTGGGGATTGCCGCGACTGCTACTCGTCGCCTTGTCGTTCTCCCTTACTTTGTCTCCGGCCAAACAGAAAGCGGAAAGATGATTACCTCTTCTTCTTCTTCCTCCTTCTCCTCCTCCCTTCACCTGCCTGGCCCCCGGGTTTTTCTCATCGGAGGTCTTCCCTGCATGCAAATTTTCCTTGGAATGACCAGTGAACCTGTGCAAGGGCTTCAAGAGTTCTTGCAAGCAGCCGCAGCGCAGTTAGGCCAAGTCACACCACCTACTGGCTTCTTTTGCAGCGCAAGCCGGCCCTCGAAAAGTCTCTCTGCAAAATGCCTTCTCAGCAGATACGGTACTTTTAATTGCACAAGGCATGAACATTCCCAGAAAGCAAAAAAAAAAAAAAAAAAGGGAGGGCAGTGCAAAGCAGCAAGATCACCGCGTGAGTCACAGGCGCGATATAGGAAGGAGAAGGTAAATTCTAAAAAATATTCTCTAAATGTTCAAAAGAGTCAGGCAGATTAGATACTGCAAGAAAGTAATCTCGGGAGCAAGAGTCCAAGTCACACTTGAAAGGGTTCTCTCCAGTAAGATGTTTTTTTAAGGATTTAGGAATGTTCTCTCCCAACAAACCACACGCAACCAACAATCTACCTTTCCCTTCTAATCAAGATGTAGCACCAGAAAAAACAAGCAAAAACTTGAGAAGCTGATAAGGGTTTCGCCATAAGAATTTTTGCAAATGAGAATGCTTAAGCGCTGCCTTGTCAGAAACAAGTTCTAGCATACATATTCTTAGCCCTACAGGTGGCTTGTAAATACAGAATTTTCCTTCATGGGTGGTTTTGTTGTACAGACCCATTCTTATCTGATGCAAGAGAAGTCATATAACTAGTTACAATAGAGATATGGGTACTTTAGAGTACTGTATTCAAACCATATCACATACTGTATACTATTCCAGCAATTCTGGAACCCACTGTGTAAAGTAGCTGTATATTATCCCTTAGTATTTACAGATGGAAAAATGAAAGCTAAGAGCTAGTGGTTTGTCTGAGACCCCCTAGTGAATTGTGGCATGAGTGAGTTGTGAAGAATAGGTTGAATAAAAAGAGCAACCCAAGTTGGACTGTTCTCAGACTGAAATAATATGTGTGAAAAGCTATGGTGGCATGTAGGCCTTTTGTTGAAAATATTTGTGATGGCCAGTGTGAAATAAAGCTAGATATTCTCAACTATAAATAGATTTTTTTGGAGTAACATAACAAAAATAACGCTGAACAATATGGATGGGAGCAGCTTAACAGGATGTCTTTTGTTGATTTTGGAGGGAAAAAGATGGTAAAAGTTATGGACTTGATGGTAGTGATTCACTTTGGAATGCCTTTGAATGATTCTCATTGTTTTGATTATTTTGTGGTTTTGTCATATTAATACAGTAGCTTCCCCTGTCTTTCAATCCAGCTGTGTTTGATCTTTGGGTTTCATGTGAATACTGTGGTGACAGTTGCTTCTTCCTTTCTAAAATATATGTGCATATTGTGCCTAGGTATATATAGTGTTGTAGCTAATATGGCGGGGGGGGCTAGAAGTGATGTGAAATACATTATTGCACTTTCAAACAGTAAGACACATGGCTCAGGTGCGCTGCAGGCACTGTGGTAAGTGCTGCCCCTGCAGTAAATTGCCATCCAGTATGCCCCCCTTAGGTATGCTAGTGGTTTGAATCCAGATTATAAAAGAATGGAACGCCACTCATGTGGTGGGGCTTTCCTGGCTCCTTTACCCCTACCTCCCCCACAACTACCTCCTCCCAGAGCCGCTCCTGAAGGTCGCTGGACCGTCTGGAACTGTGGGGGATGGGGCACAATGGGCTCCAGCAGGATGAGAGAATGGGAGGAATTCAGGATGCTGTCTTGTGGAAGTGCTTGATCATCCGCCTAAGACATCTCTGGATCAAAGCCATAGTATTACAGCTGAGTCACTCACTTGCTGTTGGAAGCATTCCTCCGCTGTATATATTACAGTACATATACATTGGTTTGCTTTCTGGCATATCGTTTCCTGTGCGGGACATTCCTCTTCCCTCGCATGGAATGATGCACAACTATTGCAAACAACCAGAGCTGAGTGTGAGTGCTGGTCATTTGACGACATTTTATTTGAAGACAGTCAAGTATTTCATGAAGGTTCAAGAATTGACTTGGTTCCCACTTTAAAAAGTTTTTAAAGATAGCTGTGCTGTTTGTTTAGTTGTTGCTGTCACTTGATTTCTCCCTTTAATATTGCAACTGTAGAATAGACACTCTTGATGTTCCAGAATAAATAAATAAATAAATAAAAAGGTCAATTACTGTATATAGACTATACAGTCATACCTCTTGTTACGTTTGAACCTGGTTCAGGTTACGTCTTTTCAGGTAGCATCCTGCGGCGACCCGGAAGTAATGGAACGGGTTACTTCTGGGTTTCACCGCATGCGCAGACGCTCAGAATGTGGTCACGTGCATATGCGGAAGCGGCGAATCGCGACACGTGCAGATGTGGGTTGCGTTCTGCTCATGATGTGAACGGGGCTCCGGAACGGATCCCGTTCGCAACCAGAGGTACCACTGTAATTTCTATGCTGCTCTTTGACATAAGACCCTAGGGCAGCAACAAAAACCCAAAACAATGAACATAAAGCACAGTAAGATCATCAGCAATCTGTCAGTTTCCTAATACACAAGCCTGAACCTCACCTTTAAAGGGGCTGAACAAGGAGGTGATTGTTCAACTGGAGCCTAGAGCTAAACAATGTTGTTGCCAGCCAAACCTCTGGAGAAAGTGTGTTCCACAACCAGTGGACTGGGCTGAGACATTCCTTCAACAGGTCATCAGCTCTTAGACTTCATTTTGCACTGGAACTCCCCAGCAGACCTAAAGGCACAAGTATGGAGAGAGGGGCTCCCTCTGGCAATCATATCCCAAGCCGTTTAGGATTTTATACAGTATGTCCAAACCAAAATTAGGTCAGTAGTAAATAGCTGTTCCTATTTTATCTGCAAGCCGCTTTGAGGTACCCTTCAGGGGAAAAGGTGGGGAATAATAAAGCTAATGATAATAAGACTGTGCCAATCTTTGAGGACCAAATATTATCTGGTCTCTAGGCATAAAACCCAACAAGATTCCGAGGTACTGCCTTTTGTACTACTTGCAACCTCTGAACCATCTTCAGAGCACATTGCAATAGTTTTATACAGGAGATTACTAGAGCATGATTTACAGCAGCTGGACTTACCCCTGGGTTTCCAGTAACAATGTGGAGTTTAGGAGTACGTACCCAAGGGAGTGCAATCTCATTTAAAACAGGCTGCCTACTTGATTCCCAGCCTTGGGAATTGTGCAGAGCAGTATATAATTTTAATTTAGTCATTCACTTCATTCTTCAGTTGTCCAATAACAACCATTCTCTGTGCAAAAAGATATTTTAATCTGTTACAATAAACCGAAAAATTCAGAAGAAGCAAATAAAACTATAACTTTTCTAAATAAATAAATATAAATTGTTTTGCCTTTTGAAAACTGCCACGAGTTTTTTGGGTTTTTTACAATCAAGCGGTGTATACATTTTATGATATAAATAAAATAAATAAATAATAGAAATGACGGTTACAAATTAATCTGGTTGGCTGCTGTGAAAATGGAGTGCTAGACTAGATGAACCTTTGGCCTGATCCAGCAGGACTCTTTTATGTTCTCAGCCCCTAAAATAGACAGTACATGCAACATTTAACGCAGAATGATGTAAAACATAAACAAATTGCCAGTTTTAAAATTGAATATACACATTCATAATTGATATAGTAGATTCATTGGTTAAAAAGTGCTTTGGAATAACTGTAGATTCATATTGTTAATTATGCCATCAGTGAAAAGGAAGATGCATAATTAAATATGAGGATGGATAGGCAGCAAAATCTGTTTCAATTAAATCCCCATCATAAACTATCAATCTGTTGTGAAGTCATATCCAGTTTTCAAATATGAAGAAACACCACTGAGTCATTATGCCCATCAATTGTGTGTATCAATTAAATAATTTGTGAGTGTCATCTAGATTAATATACAAACCAAAGAAGCTTTCGCAAATCAAAATTTAGTTGCTCCAACTTTTAAATTTATTGGAAATATATATATTTTAGTACAGTGGTACCTTGGGTTAAGTACTTAATTTGTTCTGGAGGTCCATTCTTAACCTGAAACTGTTCTTAACTTGAAGCATCACTTTAGCTAATGGGGCTTCCTGCTGCTGCTGCGCCGCCGGAGCACGATTTCTGTTCTCATCCTGAAGCAAAGTTCTTAACCCGAGGTACTATTTCTGCGTTAGCGGAGTGTATAACCTGAAGCGTATGTAACCTGAAGCGTATGTAACCCAAGGTACCACTGTAGATTCCTTGTAATGCTATTTTGCTCTGGTTTGATTTGTTTGTTCACTCCTGTAAAAAACAACAGCACAGCATGGTTGAATACTTAAATAAAGTTTTTTAAAAGTAGCTGCTCCTTTCTACTAACTACAGCACAGGGAGCTGCAAATGTACGTTCCTTTAGCTCCAGTTGTCAGCTACCAAATAAACACAAAAGCCATGCTGTTTTGAAGTGCCCCCTAACATACTGTAACAGATTGGGGGTGGGCCCAAGGGGCAAATGTGCAAAGAGGGAATTGGTGAAAGTTAGATATCACCTAGTGTAGGTTAATGTTCTGTAATGTTTTTTAGCAATGAAACAGCTATCAGTTATGTGTACTGATAGCATATAGTCAAAACACATTGGGTTCAATGGCGGATTGCTAAAGTCATTTTTCCAGGAATCATGCCTCCTTTCTGTGCTTTTTAAATTATTTTTATTTTTTGGCCACGTGCATAAAGCCAAAGGCAGGCAAGTTAAATGCACAGAAGTTGTGTGCTTATTGTATTTATATTCAGTTTGTAACACTGGCTATATATTTTTTTGCACTTCACATCATTGTGTGTTTAATGCACGTTGCACGTGCTATCTACAGTATTTGGAGAGCTGTTTTTCATAATTGTGACGTATATAGTGGCCCTGCACAGTTGTAATTGACGTCTCTCCCTTCTCTATTTTTTCCTTCCTATTTGTTTACAAGAGGCCAGTCCTTTGTGCTTTGTGTGTGTGCGCACATTGTTCCAGGATAAAAGTCAGAGGAAAACTATTCAATATATTGTTCACATTTAAAAAAACCTTACCTAATGTTAAATACAGTGGTACCTCGGGTTGAGTACTTAATTCGTTCCGGAGGTCCGTTCTTAACCTGAAACTGTTCTTAACCTGAAGCACCACTTTAGCTAATGTGGCCTCCTGCTGCTGCCGCGCCGCTGGAGCATGATTTCTGTTCTCATCCTGAAGCAAAGTTCTTAACCTGAGGTACTATTTCTGGGTTAGAGGAGTCTGTAACCTGAAGCGTATGTAACCTGAAGCGTATGTAACCCGAGGTACCACTGTAACCTGTTGATTTTTAAAAGTTGGTTTTATCATTTTACCGTGAGGCTATGATCCTAGGAGTTAGCCCCGCTTGCCATAGGAGGAGCAAAGTAGTTACTGTATCTGAATACAACACAGCCTGCTTCTGATGTCATATTCTAACAGTATTTACTATTAGAAACTTCAATGTAGCAGTGGCTTTCAGGTTAACTTCAATGCAGTGACCGTCTGGGTTAGGAGTGGCAGTACCACTTTGTAGTGGTCCCAGTCCTACTTGGATGGCATCTCCAGATGATGGTGTTGGGGGGGGGGCGTTTAGTCTTGTGGAGTGTGGGATGTCACAGAGCTCAATTTTATCCACCATGTTGTTAGGGTAGATACTGTTCAGCATTTGCATAAAACTACTGAGTGGGGTCACATGGAGCTTTGAAGCACATTGTCAGCCATGTGCTAGTGATAACAAAGCACTTGTATTTGCAGGTGCAGCTGTAATAATGGCTTAATAGTAATGCATGGTGAGCAATTTAAACTGAAGCTTAATTCATATAAGACTAATGGGCTGTTAGTGAATGGTTCCTTGGACTAGATGAGTGGGGTTTGGCTGCTCTGGATGAGGTTACAGTGCATCTGAAGTAGCACATCTTGGGGATCCATTATTGTCATTTAAGGCAAAAATGGCCTCGCTGGCATGACCTGCCTTCCAGCAGCTCCAGCCAGTTGCACAGCTGCACCCCTATCTGGGCAAGGATAAGATATTTTCTGTTGCTTACACTTTGCATTAATCTATCCTGATGGTTACCAATGTGTTATATGCGGGGCTGTCTTTGAAAATGGTTTGGAAACTGCAGCTGCTGTGCAATTCAGCATCCAGAACAACCTGCTGTGCAATTCAGCATCCAGGACCTGGGCATATAACATCAATCATGGCAGAGCAGCGCTGGCTAACAGTTAGTTTCTGGGCTCAATTCCAATGCTGGTTTTGACCTGTAAAGCCTGATGCGACTCAGGACCCCAGAACCTCAACGATCACCTCTCCCCACATGAACCAACCCAGACAGTGTTAATCATCTAAGACCCTTCCCCATATGCCCGCTTTGAGGGAGGTGTGGAGTGTGAAGACGCAAGACTAGATCTTTTCAGTGGTGGCTCCCTGGTTATAGAAAAACATTTTGTTACTTAATTGGGAGGGTTATGAATTATGTCTGTGGCCTTTTGTGAGTGTGTGTTTATCCTTTCAACTGGATGGGTAGGATTTGTTCCACTTATATATATATTTGGAGGAGAACTTTAGGTCTTAACTTATTTCTATTTTTATATTTGATTTGAATTTTTTTATTTCATGGTAAGTTGCTTTGAGACATGATTGTGTATAAATTAAATACAATAAATAATGATAAAGTTGTCAAAAAAATGAAAATGTGAATTATTAGAAGTATATTTCATTCAGCTTGGTCGTGGTTAATACCACTTAAATCTACTGGATAGCTCTTCTCCTCCCTATTACAACATCAGAACTATTAGACAAAATATCACAATATTGGATAATCATTCTAAAGTCTATAGTGTATATAAAGTTGTTTTTTTTATCTAAACAAGAAAGTGAATTTTGTGTGGGAGCTTTGATGTGAGTTGTAGTTGTTCCATTTTTCTGTGTTTAAATTTTTCAAACTTCACTGTTGGGAATCATGCAGCTAAAAAACCTACAATGCCTTTTCGCCACAAGAGTCCTTTCTCATCTGTCTTTCATGATTCTATCCTGGCAGAGCACTTTCTGCATTTAGCAGTAAAACAAAATTAGGATAGTGGAAGGGAAATGGGTAGTATGTTTTCTAGCCTCCAGTATTGCAATACAAAGAACAGCTGATAAAGAGAATGTGAAGTAGGTCAAGTTATTGTGCGAACTATTTTCTCCCATGCTACAATAAAATCTCCCTTGCCTTCTTGCTTTTATTTTCCTTCCAGGGGAGATGGTGTACCGACTTACTCTAGCAGAGACAATTCGGGCATAATTTAAATCTATGCTAGTTTATTTAAAGACCTATCGGAGCTTCTTTTAAAATGGGTCATTCAGGTGGTGTGCCAGTTAAGTTGCACGCTATTTGTCCGTTTTAGGAAAGGGACTGCAAGAACCCAGGAATTAAAATCCAACCGTGCAATCCTGCTCTCTTGAATGTAAGTTGTGCTGTGTTCAATGGGGCTTACTCCCTAGTAAGTTTATTCAGGATTTTAGACTATGGCTGCAGCCAATTACATAGTTTACCTGGAAGTAAGTGAGTGGATTGTACTATAAATCTACTTTACTGACTTGAATGAAATCACATTAGTAAATACAATGTGCCTTTGAATGGCACATTCAACGCAGTTTACAGCTGCGCTTTATGCAGTTAGGCAAATCCAAGCACCTTTATTTCAATGAACATGGTTGTACTTAATTTTGTACTGAAATGGCTATTAATTGGGACTATAATAGGCTATAATGTGTGTTCATATATTCGGTGAGCTTGAATACTTACACGAATGAGCACTAATAAGTAAGAAATATTCTTGTATAATCCATTGTAACTAGTGTGCAGTTCGAGTTGGAATACTGTGCATGCTACCTCAGAAAAGATCTTGTAGAAAATGGAAAAGGTTCAGAACACCAAAATGGTCAAAAGGCTAGAGCAACTCCCTTATGAGGAATAGTTACAATATTTGCAGTTTTTTACTATAGAAGAACCACGAGTAAAGGTGGGACATGATATAAAATTAAAATTGTGTGAAAGAAGAAGAGAAAAGTTTTCATCCCTTATAATACTAGAACAAGGGAATATCTAACAAAACTGAAGAAAACGACCAGTAGATGTGGGGTGCTTTGTGCCTTGGGATTCCTGCTGTTCCGTTTTATGTTACTGGGTTTTTTTTAGTCTTCAGCTTTTATACAAATTCTATAGATAGGGTGGTGTAGGATTTTGAATAATCTATATGCTAATGAGCCTAGATCCAAAGAGCAGTTTAACTAGTTGTGCACACCCCTTTAAAAAAGCAGATAGATTTTATGTGAGAAAAGGCCACATTTGTTCCTAAAAGAAAGCACTTCCTCACCTATTTTGAGAATCAACTGGAAAGTCCTGCTAACGGTCATGCAGAGCATTGCTTGTCAGGGAGTTCTCTGCTAACACCTCATTCCCTTAATCTGGAGTTAAATATCCTTGGCAGACCACCAGAGCCAGAGTCTGATGACCTTCTGGGCACAAAGCAAGCAAGACACACTAATTTCATACTGACTCCTCTGTTCAGAGTTTCTTTTTTATCGTTAATAGAATATCTAAGGAGACTTAACAATATTGGGAGATCCACAGGTTAGCCACCCCTGATTTTTAAATGCTTTAGCATTGCTGCCCATGTCTTCAGCTGAAAATGGCTCTCACCATGATTTACAGATATTGGTGATAAGGGCTCACAGACTTCCAGTCTAAAAAGGCCCTTGCTGGCTGTATCTTTGAAGCTTTCCTGTTAAGGGAATAGGAAAACACCATAGCACTTTGGTTGAGATCCCACAAAATGAAGGAACGTAACTACCATATTTCTGCAAATGGACTTCTTGTACACTTCTCCCAAGTGTGCTTATGTGTCTCAGTTTTTGATACCATATTGCATTGGTCAAAATCGGTGCCACTAGAGTGGTCATGCATACACGTCTTTCCTTCTGCTTCAGATGTAGAGAATCAGTGTGTCCTGCCATCCACTCATCCACTATTCCCAATTTGTGCACGTTCTGTGTACAGGCCACCTTTTTATTATTATAAAGGATGCTAAAAGTGATCTTCTCTGAAATAACTGCCTCAGATTTATTTACTCATTTAAGAATGATGTTTGTAATATATATTTACTTTTAAAAAGTATCCCTGCCTTTCACTGAGAGGCAGAGAATCTTACACTTCTGTAAGAAGAAATGTACACAGACTTTGTGATGTAATCCAATAAATTCCACGTTATCTGCATCAACCAGAAGAGATTTAAGATAGTCTAATGGTTGCCACAAAAACACGTACTAAGGCTGCTAAATCTATTCCAATCAAAACACTGAAACCATGGTGGTGGCATCAGTAATGATAAAACCACTCTTTTCAGTAACTAGAAGACACTTGGAGAACATGAGGTTGGCCACATATTTCCTCCTTATTTTCACAGATTACTTTTTCAGATGAAAAACATCTTACTGCTCAGCCTAATTCATTCCAAATCTAATTAGCACACATAGAAGTCAGGCTAGCATGTCTATTAGATGCATAATGCATGTATTTATTTTAGCTGTGTGCTACCTTCCCTCCACAAACCTCAGAGCACTGATTTAGACTGCGATTCCATACACATTTACCTGGGAACAAATACCATTTAATTCGATGGGGTTTGCTTCTGAGCAGGCAGGTGTAAAATGACACAGGTAAGTATCACACCAGCTGTGTGAGGGAATTTAGACCGAGATGGTGACTCAGTGAGGTTCATGGTTTGAAGTGGGCGGCTGTGGCACATTCAAGACCAGCACTGACTGCAGCCACTACTGTTTGTGTCTATATCCTTTCTACCACTTTCGTACATTTCAGTACACAGTTCCTACCCTTTGTTTTGTACAGTTAATGTCAATATAAGAAATCAACAAAATCCTCAACAGAGTATGTTTTCTTCTTGTGCCCATGGCCAGGCTATGCAGAGTTCTGCTTGGTTACTCATTATTAGGGAGTGGAGAGGAGAGTCACTTGTTAAAAACTATACGCAGGTGAGGATATGCAGTTCTGCAGTGTTGACCAAGTTGCCAGCAGTGTTGGAATTTTACAACTGCAGTAGGCAATGGTCCTGAAAAGCTTCAAAAGTAGCAAAATAATAAACAGAGTAACAAAAGAAGAATAGTACACAGTGGAACCTTGGTTCTTAATCCGTTCCGGAAGTCCATTTGACCCCCGAAACCGTTCGAAAACCAAGGTGCAGCTTCTGATTGGCTGCAAGAACTTCCTACACTCAAGCGGAAGCTGCGTCGGACATTCGGCTTCCGAAAAACGTTCCAAAACCAGAACACTTACTTCCGGGTTTTCAGCGTTTGGGAGCCGATTTGTTCATCAATTAAGCCGTTCAAGAACCAAGGTACCACTGTATTGGTGGAGCAGCAATTTGTCCTAGTCCTAAATACCAACTTGCTAGTACAGTGGATTGTAGAATTGGACAGTTAGGCTGCAGTCCTAACGCCAGCTACCTGGAGGTAAAGGTAAAGGGACCCCTGACCGTTGGTCCAATTGCGGACGACTAGGGTTGCGGCGCTCATCTCACTTTACTGGCTGAGGGAGCCAGCATACAGCTTCTGGGTTATGTGGCCAGCATGACTAAGCTGCTTTCTGGTGAACCAGAGCAGCGCATGGAAACGCCGTTTACCTTACCGCCGGAGCGATACCTATTTATCTACTTGCACTTTGACATGCTTTCGAACTGCTAGGTTGGCAGGAGCTGGGTCCGGGAAGCAACGGGAGCTGACCCCATCAGCGGGGATTCGAACCGCCATCGGCAAGCCCTAGGGTCTGTGGTTTAACCCACAGCGCCACTCGCTGAATTCAGGAGGATTTACTTCTGGGTAGACATGGATAGAATTGCAGGCTTAGTTCTGATACTGACGGAAACCAACCTAGTTTCCAGGTTTGATGTGGACTCAAATATTTGTTTTCTTTAAGCTGAACATTTGTTACTAATTGATTTCATGTTTAATTGGACCTTTATTGAGCTTTTTATAACACCATCTATTTAACATAAATGAACATTTTTTTCACACTGAAATCTAGTTTCAGAAATATTATACTTCATTAGCTGAAAAAGAATATCAATATTTGACAAGGCTTCCTTCCTATTGCTTAATGCAGTTGTGTTATTTATCTTAAAAATAGACTGAGGAAAATATTCTTTTTAAAAAAACATTTATTTTGCTCTCAAAAGTTGAATGTAAATTATCTGCTTGAAACAATATTGTATAAAACATTGCCTTGTAACTTGTTGCTCAGTTTGGTGTATCCTTTGCCCTAAAGCCACAGCGGGTAGGAAAGATGCCTACTCCAATTAAATCCGAAACTCCTCTGTGCCTTGCACCTAATGATATCTTTCTTGCATTTTATTTGTTTTTAGGTTCCAGAATATCCCTGTCTCCTTGTCAGTATAACTCATCAGCAGAATATCGGTTTCATCAAGTTAAAACTTGTCTGGTTATTCTTTAAGAATGTATTTTATCTCTATAATGTGATGTCATATCTGCTTATTAGTTTTGCTTCTATTTGAACGGTTGTAGATCTTTGTTGGTGTTTTACAATTACTATGGATTCTTTTAATCGCTTGGTTGTGTATATGTTTTGCATATGAGTGTAGCAAGTAGGTCTGTGGTCTCTCTGTTAGGAATCATGAAAGGAAGGAACAACGCCCCCCACTGTTCATTTCTGTTGCAGCCCCTGATTTCTGGGCTTTGGAAGTGTTTCCATACTCTGTTGCATGCCTGCTCTTTTAATATTGTCTTTGGATGTTCCAATAGTGTGCTTTACCCTCCCCTTCTAGGCTGAATTGGTGTAGGAAACAGTGGCTGTTCTGCCTCTCAGCATAGTTTGTGTATAGGAGCACACTCTCAGTTACATGGCGCTATCGAAAGTTAAGAGTGCAATTTTCGTTCAGCTGGAAAGATATTGCATATGCACAAATCTATATAGTAACTTGTTTATTAAAACAAACCCCCTATGATTTGGTTGAAACGTATATTATAGTATTTTTCACATGTAGCAGGAAGAATAAAACACTGTTTTATATCTATATCTATGGCTATCTAGGGATTATTATGTGCTAAATAATTTCCCCAGATGAATAGTAAAATCTCATTGGTAATATTTTGTATCAGTTAAAACCAAACTCCGTACTCCTGAGAATGGTTTGTAGTGAAATTGTTTTCTGCTGTTACTCTTCTTCTCAGAAGTTCATGCAATTCTCTTTTCTAGTATTTCACTCCATAGAGTATAGTGTGTATGAACAGGGCCAGCAAAAACATTGATTCCTGGAATTTCTGCTATTTCTAGGCAAACATAATTACCTATCTAGAATAAGTTTAGCTCTTCTCCTTATGCCAAAAATAATGTGACAGCAAGTTTCTCCAAACTTGATAACTTCTCTCAAATCAGGCTTCTGCCATAAACAAAATCACTGCCCCCCCAAAAAAAAACTACTTGCAGAGAAAGAAGGATCATTTTCATTGCAGTATAAACCTTTTGTAAAAAAAGAAAATCAGTACAGTTATACAAAAACTGGATGTGACTCTCTTGAGATTTCAGTCAAGGGAATTTGCTGTAAATGAGGTTGTGACAGACATGCCAGAGGCCTAGTGGGAATGCTGAGAAGGCGAAGCCCGTCAAGAAGTGGCCATGGTCCACAACTCATGGACTCTCTGAGGCCTAGCTTCCATGTTTTGTGAAGGATGCTCTGGGGAGATTCTGAATAAATACTTGGTTTGCTTTTCATGGTCTTGAGCTTCCGACAGCAGCTGCTCCAAAACAGTGGCACCCTAGGATCGGTGAAACAAAAGACTGACACGAAACATCTTTAGCTGTAAAGCAGGGCTAGCCAATGTCACACCCTCCTAAAGGCTTGGGACTACAATTTCCATCTGTCCCAACCATGGATGATGGGAGTTGTAGTCCAAAACATCCGGAGGATAGATATCATGTGGGATACCTTGCAGTATATAATATATAAACACATACCGTTATAAACAGACACACACCTGTCCGATGTTATGGTCGCTTCTCTTTCTTTGAGAAGCAGAAGCAATAAAAAAAACAACCTCTCAGATCCTTCCCTGCATTTTGATGTTGCATCTGCAAAACCATCACTTTCAATATCCATTAAATATATACAAAGCATTAACCCCAGTTCTCCCTTTATATTAAAGCTGCTTGCCTAATCTGCATATGCAGTACAAGGAAGCTGTTAAATCCTGAGGTGGTAAGATGATGCAGGTGCAGAAAAGGGAGGGGGCAGCACAGTAGCCCAGTCCTGGGTAAGTGAAGATACCCAGTCTGAAATTGTAGAAAGACATACATTTAAAAGGGGCGGGGGGAATATCAGAAGAAGAAAAGTGGAAGTTCTTTAATTGCACACCCACCCTCTTTCTTAACAGTTTTTCTTCATAGGGAAGTTTCCCCATACCTCCAAGCTTTTTTTATTTATCACCTCTGAGTTGCATCTGTTTTTGCTCGGCTTAGATGTAATCACTACGGGTTTGTTTTTTAAAAAAACTCTCGCCATGTTACTGACACTGCACAATTTTTCCATCAGTTTGCTCAAGAGAACACAGCAGAAATAGGTCAGTAAATGTTCCAATGGGAAAACAGGATTCTTTTAGCTACTTGATAATGGCATTATACCATTTATACCATTCCATTACACTACTCGATGCAATTTAACACACTTTCATGCAAAAGTTGGGGGAGGGTTTTTTGGTGGTGTTGGTTCCCCACCCTCCAAAATATAAACAATAACTTTTAAACCAACTGAGGCAGGTATTCCAACTAATCTAGTTACAGACACTTAGTCACAGTAAGAGTTATCTGTTAAGAGTTACATTTAATCACTCTCCCAACAATTAAGATAAAAATAAAGCTAATGATACACATCACCCCACCAAAGAATTGCATCATTTTGCCTGACAAGTCCGTCAGATCTCTTTAGCAATGAAAACTTTACTTACGTTGTGCAAACTTACAAGACTTCTGCACGTGTACCTGTGCAGGATTCCAACCTGGCAGCCTGATAATCAGGGTTTGCCTTTGTTTCGTTGACATAAATACACCCTGAAGCCAGTTTTTTTGCTCTTGCCATTAAATTTCCATGAAAGCTGTCTATTCTAAAACATTCCTAGGCAGTCTGTTGTATCAGTGCAATTCAGGTAGGGCCTCTGAAATGGCACCCAAGATGCTACATAAAACACTGTTATTCAGCCTCATGGAGTCTGGCACTTCTTCATTCCAGTGCCAGAAAAAAGACAAAAGTAACATTTTGTATGTATTCAGTAAGACTATTAAATATTAAATGGATATAAATTTTGAACTATGATCTATAAGTTTGGTCTATAAATTCTTAAACATTTTGCTGCCTAATCAAGCAAAGTGACATTACCAGGCCTTTGTGTAAATTGCTTTCAAGGTACTGGTAACAGCAGTTAGACAGGTAGAGAACCACTGGTATGAAAGACCACCGAGGGCCTCTCATTAAGAAGATAACATATATATTTTCTCTCATTAAAAAAATAAAATCCCCCTAAGATAACAAACTAGAGCCAGGGCCTTTTCGGCTGTGGCCCTGGCCTGGTGGAATGCTCTCCCACAAGAGACCAGGGCCCTGTGGGATTTGACATCTTTCCGCAGGGCCTGCAAGATGGAGCTGTTCTGCCAGGCCTTTGGGCAGGGTGCAGTTTGACTTCCTTTGTATAAGACAAGCCCGAAGGAGGCCCTCAACCCGCTCACAGGTCCTTGTATGATCAGTGGAAACAGTTGGTCCTGGCAAGTATTAACCACTCTCAATTCCAACCTGATAATTGCCACCTGCCCAGATTTTAACTTGTCTGAATTAATTTTAATTAATTGGTGTCTGTTTTTATGCATATTGTGTTGTTTTTATGATGTTGGCCACTCTGAGCCCAGCCTCAGCCAGGGAGGGTGGGATACAAATAAAATTATAATAATAATAATAATAATAATTATTATTATTATCTCACCTGGAAAGGTTGCAAACTGGGTTTCAAGTGGTACACATGAAATGTATCCCAGAATGGTTCAGATAATCTGTACGTTAGCCAGAAAGGTGTTACCTCATAAAATTGTACCTCAGGGTGGCTTTGACTCTTAAGAGAAGCCAGCATTTCTGAACTAAGCAAGACAAGTCACACATGAGGTGGATTGTTGGCCTTTCAGAGTATAAAGTATGATCTCAAATTCACCCTTTTTTATTATGGAACCTGTGTTCCTAAGCACACATCTTTTACCCATTTGTAATTTTTGCTGAAATAAACATAGCAACATAGAAAAATATTTCAGTACCACACTGTAAATAGACAAGATTTCATTAACAGTATCGTACCCCTTGGCAGTTAAAAAAAAAAAGCTTGACCCACCCTAGAAATTAATAAATGGTAGGATTTTGATTATTTGGGATATGAAGAAAAAATACAAGCTGCAAGAGGAATTCCTAGGCTAGCCAAAGGGCCATTGGCAATGCAAGAGAACTGTCCTTCCCCGCTACACTGAGGTGTGAACAGAGACAGGGTATTTGAAAGGTTGTCAAGGTAACCGGGTGTGATGTCACAGGAAGAGTTTGGGGCCTTTGGCAGGATGCTTGGAATAGTTGAGAAAAGGGCAGAACTATCTTGGCAAGCCAGCGAAAGGCAGGCGGGGAGAGATGCCTTGGACTCCATTACTGCACTGTTGTGGAGAACAAAGCCCCTCTTGAGATGACCATGCTGTAAGATCTGGGCTCTCTCCATCTAAATTCAGGCATAATTATGTGAATAAATTATATTCCTTAAAGCTACAACAGCCTCTGTCATGTCTCCAAAGGAGCACAGACCCTGGTTGAGGGCCAAGACGCCTACAATCCCATGCATGGCTTACTCCCAATTAAATTTGTATAACAGGGATGGAGAACCTCAGGCCTAAGGGCCCCTCTAGGTCTCTCCATCTTGTTCTTAGGTCTCCCTGCTGTCAGGCTTTAGGAAAGTAGCTTCCTCCCTCCCTTTGGCCGTGGATAAGCAGAACAAAGCAAAAATAGTCTCTTACCTTTTAAAGAGATCTTAATGATCACAGCAAAAGAACAAAGAGTCCATCTTGGAATGAAGGTGCTCCCAATTAAGGTTCCCACGCCCTTCCCCTCAGTCACTCCCGTCACTTCCGCATCTTGGAACCTGCTCTCGCAACCACCATGCTTTTTGTGTAGCCACCTTATCTGCTCTATTTGACCTTAGACTGATAGGATGGACACTTTACAGTTAGAGAGAGAGAGAGAGAGAGAGTCTGTTAGCTCTCTCTCTTCCAGTTCCTCTTCACCTTGCTGTTCACCTCCCAGTTCTTCCCAACTTTTGTCTTCAGAACTATGCCCCTCTGCAAACCACTGTTCCAAATCTATACTGCTCCACTGCTCCTGGGCAGCTTCAGGATCTTGGTCAGGAGCAAGGAAAGAGGGAGGCTCCCACCATTCCTTATCAGAGCAGTAGTCCTCTGCCTGGTCTCTGACACCTGCCAGGCCACACCCCCTCCAGAGCACATCACTTTTATCCAGCCCACGCCCTCTTGCTGGTCTTCCTTGAGTGTTTTTGCCTGGCAGGAATTTGTCCTTGAACTCTGGTCGTTCTTTTTCCTTGCCTGTATGGAGGATGGAGAGGCGTATGCAAGTGTGTGTAGAAACCAGCCTGCTGTACAAAGGTGATGTTTACATTGGTTTCTCCATCCTCTTTTGCCTCTGGTCCTGCTCACCACTGTTACACGACTCCTGGAAGGTTTGCAGACCTTGGGTTGAAAAAGGTGCCCTCCCACTGGTGTATGGGATCTCAGCCTAAGTCTTCACTGAACTCTGTGGACTTACTTCTGAGTATGTAGGAACAGGATTGCACTGTAAGCTATAGTTCCACAAGGCAGCTATGCAGGAATTCTGGAACTTTTCCTCTTTGTGTCTGAACTTGTCTTTCCAGATACTGCGTAATTGATGGGTAGGTAAAAGTATGAGGCAATATCTGCAGGAGGATTCAACCTGTAATTATATACGATTTTGATTTATCACACATAGTTTTAAACTTACTTCATAAGAATATATGATGTCAGTATTTAGTATCTTATTTCCAGTGGTTGACTGCAAGAAAATTCTTTTTTTTTTTTTTTAGTTACCATATGTGTAATTTTTTTCATGGCAATTGCCCTTAACCCCCCCCCCCCAATTCTGTTATTAGCTCTGTGTGGGAATTGAGGGGTTCATTCTAATGACTCTCAGCATCCTTAAGAAACCACAGACCCCAGGATTGTTGAGGGGAAGCCACAGCAGTTTAAATTGGTATGATACTGCTTCAAATGTAAAGTGTAGATGGGGCCATATTCATATGTGAGTCACTGGTGATTACTATTAGTATTATTTATACATTTGACAGTTCTCTTGCTATGAACAGTGCATCTCACTGAATATTTATGATACAACACTAAAGTAGGTAATCATTACTCCCATTGAACACAAATGGAATTGGGTATTATAATGACAAATGACCTCCAGCTAAGCTGCATATGAACCTTGGTTTCATATATTTGAACCACATATTATTGCAAAACAAGAAGCCAACTGTGCTTTTGGTTTAATTTTTATTATATATTAGATATTATGATATATAAGATTCTATATTTTTTATATATATATTTCACATATATATATAAAGTTGATACATTTTAAATAAACCTAGTTTGCCTTGGTTTTACAATAAAACTGCTCCTACCTTTAGCTGAGGAGGCAAGTTCTGTTCAGCAGAGAAAAACAAGAAGTTTTCTTCAACTTTTCATTCAGATTATCAGCAACAAGAGTACAATTTATGAGGGGAAACAAACACATCTGTCAGCCCCTTTTTAGTTTACCGCTAATTGTTATTCAACACTTACATGCAGCTAGAGTCCAGGTATGAGATCTACCATATTTTACATTTTCCCATGCACTAAATGCCTCATAAAAACAGTATGACTCCATGCCACCTATCCTTTGGGTCATTTAATGCAGGAAATGGAGTAACCTGCTAAATTATTTATTTCTCATAGAGTGACAAGGCTATGAAAACCCACAAACCTTGAGCATTTTGGCGCTGGCATTGATATGGGGGTCTATAATTCTACCCTTTCAAGTACCAATGGCCACACTCCTTTTTTACTACAGAGAGCACTCCAGGAGATTATGCAAGAACATAATTTTTTGGGGGGGAGGGGGGACAGGGTAAACAAGCCTGCTAGATTTATTGATTATGCTACAGAGGGGATGTAGAGCTATAGGGTAATGAAGACAGAAACCACCGAAGTGTAGCCCTGAGTTGGTATTCAATGATTTATATCATATATCATTTATGGTTCACATCTTTTGCAAAAAGATTCACAATCCAAGATCAGCAAGCAAATTTGCCTCCTTGCAGAAGCGCAGATTTAAATTGCTCAAAAGTCTTTCGAGGCCTCTAACTGCACAGTTTCCAAGGCAGGTCAAAGCAAAAGGACTAAAGAATAAACCTCTTTGGTTTTATCAGTAGCAGGTGATGTTTTGCGTGGGGGGGGGGGGAGAGAACAGCATATGAAGTGAGCAAATCAGTTGTCTGCCCTATGTGATTTCTGACATTATTAGGGCATCATGGAATTGGCTTATGCGGAAGCAACTCTCCTCAACAGTCAGGCGTGACATGAATAGGGCCTTTACAACTGTATCCTTACGTGGGTTAAGACATATGGGTTTGTCTGGAAATTCTGAATCACCCAAAGCAACTACCATGAATATTCCAAAGCAGGGTAAAAGGTTCATTAAGAGAAAACAGAAGAGGAGATGCAATCAAACATATAATGTAACAAATTCAAAGATAGTGTGCTAATGACTACATTGACCTACTTGAGTTATTGAAGCTTACATGACTGATTTTTAGATTGTTTTGCAGAGTTTTTATTTCATTCCAGGCAGACATTTGTTTTTTCAGGTAGAGAAAAAAAGCCATTTAAAGTGTGTATACCTTGTGCCCATACCCCACCAGTCTTCCATGGTGGCACTACCTCAAAAGAAAGCCTTCATTTATAGGAGAATTCTCAGGTATGAAGAGCGACCTTTTGGCAGTCAGTTGGCACATAACAGTTACATTTAAGCTTAGTCATCATGCTGATATGAGACCCGAGTCATACTGGCTACCTAGGAAATGATGAACAGCTAACAGGAAGTATTTAAGGAAATCTTTCCATACCTGTTTGAAAGGGTTATTCAGTAAGTGGCACAATGGGCATTAAATCAATGTAAGGCATTGGTGTAAAGCCAGTGAATAGGCAATACAGAATTTTACTATCAATACAATACAAATAAAGCATAGTTCTGCATATAAAAACGCACTGTTCTGTGTGAAAAGTAAAATAAATAAAAAATCAGCCCTTCTATTTGCAGCTAGGGCAGCATCAAACTGAACAGTAATTACGTGTGCCATAGAGATTGCTCCAATTATGACAGAGTTGATGCCTTTGAAAACTGCCCAGTCGACTAATGAATTTAAAAGAGGAAGGCTTATGTTCCCTTTCCAGAACTCTTGTATAACCATTCCAAATTTCTAATCATTTATTGGCTGTAATTGTTGAAAGAAACAAACTTGACCACTGTCATAGAAGCTATGCACACTCTGTGCCCTTAGATCAGAAAATAGCCATTCAGTGCTGTCCAAATTCTTCCTTAGAGGATTTTAGTTAGAACAGTCTGTTTTCTATGCCAAACAGTGTCTCTGCTGCTGTTTGCTCTGGCATACAGTATTGTAAAAGTAGAGCGCTGAATTGTGGGCTGAATTCTCTGTGTTATAAGAGCAATTAAGAAAATGCAGCCTTTATTTTAAAGAAGAGTCAGTATGTGAGCTTGGCAAACTATGGTTTGTAAAGAAAAGAAAAATGATGCACATGTTGATTAAAAGGAATGCTAACTAAAGATGAAATGTGTATGAATGAATACTAAAGCTAATCACACGTGATATGGCCCAGCTGTGCACTAAGTCAGGCTTCTCTTTCATGTAAGATAAAGGAAGGCAGGTTTATGTAAACATGTAACAGAAATCTTGGCAGCTCCATGTGGAACCAATTGGATATCTAGGGTCAAAAATGAGGTAAGATGGTGGCAGATCCCATCAGCGATCTTTTCTAGATTGGTCCTCAGTGTTGTAAGTAAGTGTATTGACTTATGAAGATAGTAAGCAGAAAGTCAAGGGTGAGTTTATTTTTTAGGGCAGCAAGGAAAAAATAAAAAGAACATCACAGAAAGAATATTAAAGTGGCAAGGGAAATATAACTGGGAGAGGGGAAGATCAGAATTGTTTGGCAAGAAGGCTTCCAGAATGAGAAAGGGATGGAAAGATGATTGAATGGGAACAAACAGGAGGATGAACTAATTGCAGGGGCGTACCAAGGGGTTAGAGACGTGGGTGGCGCTGTGGGTTAAACCACAGAGCCTAGGACTTGCCGATCAGAAGGTCAGCGGTTCGAATCCCCGCAACAGGGTGAGCTCCCATTGCTCGGTCCCTGCTCCTGCCAACCTAGCAGTTCAAAAGCACGTCAAAGTGCAAGTAGATAAATAGGTACTGCTCCGGCGGGAAGGTAAACGGCGTTTCCATGCACGGCTTAGTCATGCTGGCCACATGACCCGGAAGCTGTACGCCGGCTCCCTCGGCCAATAAAGCAAGATGAGCACAGCAACCCCAGAGTCGGTCACGACTGGACCTAACGGTCAGTGGTCCCTTTACCTTTACCTACCTAGGGGTTAGCTAGTGTTATGTACTGAGTTGAATAGGATCCAAACTGCAGCAGCCTGATTGGTCCTAGAACAATAGGATCCAAAATGCAGCAGTCTGATTGGTCCTAGAACAATAGGATTCAGAATGCAGCAGTCTGATTGGTCCTAGAACAATGCAGCAGTATGATTGGTTGGCAGGAACCACCCAATCATGCTCCAGATAGAAGTGAATCCACAACCTGATTGGCTTACAGTAGAATTCCGGAGTTAGCCAATCATGTGCAGCCCATTGTGTAAATAATGTATATAAAGCAGATACTTTGAGGGGACATTCATTCATTCCGCCTCACCACTATGAGCTGAATAAAGAGCATGAAATCACTTTGCGACTCTGAGTATATTTCACTGGCGACGAGGATGGGATCCCGCTGAGCTGACTGCCACACACAGAGCATGAAATCACTTTGCGACTCTGAGTATATTTCAGCTAGGTTGGCCCCTGCCAACAATGCAGGGTAGCTCCTCACTCTTGCAAAATGTGTGCCTCCAGGCATGGGCTGTTGCAGCATTCCCATGGAGCCCCCTTCCCAGTCACTTGGCAGCACTGGTGGTTAGCACAACAGGGCTCCCTGTGAGGACACAACAGCTTGGCCCTCTGCCTAGTGCAGCCGCTGCTCCCTGCCCTCTGTTCCCCCTGCTTGCCACAAGGGAGTGCAGCCTTCCATCTGATGATTGAGAAGCATCAGGCAAGGCTCTTAGTTCAGCATAGCTGAGTTGCTTTGCCCTGGTTTCCTTCCTGCCTTGACCAATTTACAGTGTGAGTTCACCCCAAAGAGCAACAGCCATTGACTTAAGCAGGGCTTACATCCCAGTAAAGTGTGCAGAGGGGCACAACCTCCAAGTTAGTGCTTTTCTGCTGGTGCCTTGTCGGAAGTAACATAAAGGCAAGTGAGGTATTGTCAGAAGTTACTGCATCTGGATTTAGGCTTGCAGTCCTGTGTACCCACTTTCCTGTTAGTAAGCTCAATTGAACTTAGTGGGAATTACTTTTGAGTAAAGCAGAGACATCACCTTGTCAAACAGATTCCTCACTGGCCTTGCAGACAACTTCATTGTCCAGAAAGTGGGAGAAGCAACAAGAGGAACAGCCATTTTAGATCTGGTCCTAACCAATGTTGATGACCTGGTTAGTGGGGTAGAAGTGGAAGGATCATTAGGCGCGAGTGATCATGCTCTTCAGAAATTTACTATACAGCGGAAAGGAGCAGCCAAGCATACTAGGACTCAATTTCTTGACTTTAAGAAAGCCGACTTCATAAAACTTAGGGAAGTGCTGGGTGAGATCCCATGGACAGTAATACTAAAAGGAAAGGGAGTTCATGATGGCTGGGAGTTTGTTAAGAGGGAGATAGTAAAAGCACAACGTCAGGCAATACCAATGAGACGGAAACATGGAAGGTGCCTAAAGAAGCCAGGGTGGCTATCTAAAGAACTTTTAACTGAGTTAAGATTAAAAAGGATGTGTACAAAAAATGGAAAAGGGGAAACCACCAAAGAGGAATTCAAACAAATAGCCAGCACGTGTAGACACAAAGTCAGAAAAGCTAAAGCACAGAATGAACTCAGGCTTGCTAGAGAGGTTAAAAGCAACAAAAAAGGCTTTTATGGGTATGTTCGTAGCAAAAGGAAGAACAAAGAAACAGTGGGGTCACTCGGAGGAGAAGATGGTGAAATGCAAACAGGGGACACAGAAAGGGCTGAACTCCTCAATGCCTTCTTTGCCTCAGTCTTCTCCGATAAAGAAAACAATGCCCGACCTGAAGAATTTGGAGCAAATGATTCAGCAGAGGAAGCACAGCCCAGAATAACTAAGGAGATAGTACAAGAATACTTGGCTAGTTTAGATGTATTCAAGTCTCCAGGGCCAGATGAACTGCATCCAAGAGTATTAAAAGAACTGGCAGATGTGATCTCAGAACCACTGGCAGTCATCTTTGAGAATTCCTGGAGAACAGGCGAAGTCCCGGCAGACTGGAGGAGGGCAAATGTTGTCCCTATTTTCAAAAAGGGAAAAGAGAGGACCCAAATAATTACCGCCCAGTCAGTCTGACATCAATACCAGGGAAGATTCTGGAGCATATCATTAAGCAAACAGTCTGTGAGCACCTAGAAAGGAATGCTGTGATCACCAATAGTCAGCATGGATTTCTGAAAAATAAGTCATGTCAGACTAACCTGATCTCGTTTTTGACAGAATTACAAGCCTGGTAGATGAAGGGAACGCAGTGGATGTAGCCTACCTTGATTTCAGCAAGGCATTTGACAAGGTGCCCCATGATATTCTTGTAAAGAAGCTGGTAAAATGCAGTCTTGACTATGCTACCACTCAGTGGATTTGTAACTGGCTGACTGACCGAACCCAAAGGGTGCTCATCAATGGTTCCTCTTCATCCTGGAGAAGAGTGACTAGTGGGGTGCCACAGGGTTCTGTCTTGGGCCCGGTCTTATTCAACATCTTTATCAACGACTTGGATGATGGACTCAAGGGCATCCTGATCAAATTTGCAGATGACACCAAATTGGGAGGGGTGGCTAACACCCCAGAGGACAGGATCACACTTCAAAACGACCTTGACAGATTAGAGAACTGGGCCAAAACAAACAAGATGAATTTTAACAGGGAGAAATGTAAAGTATTGCACTTGGGCAAAAAAATGAGAGGCACAAATACAAGATGGGTGACACCTGGCTTGAGAGCAGTACATGTGAAAAGGATCTAGGAGTCTTGGTTGACCACAAACTTGACATGAGCCAACAGTGTGACGCGGCAGCTAAAAAAGCCAATGCAATTCTGGGCTGCATCAATAGGAGTATAGCATCTAGATCAAGGGAAGTAATAGTGCCACTGTATTCTGCTCTGGTCAGACCTCACCTGAGTACTGTGTCCAGTTCTGGGCACCACAGTTCATGAAGGACACTGACAAACTGGAACGTGTCCAGAGGAGGGCAACCAAAATGGTCAAAGGCCTGGAAACGATGCCTTATGAGGAACGGCTAAGGGAGCTGGGCATGTTTAGCCTGGAGAAGAGGAGGTTAAGGGGTGATATGATAGCCATGTTCAAATATATAAAAGGATGTCACATAGAGGAGGGAGAAAGGTTGTTTTCTGCTTCTCCAGAGAAGCGGACACGGAGCAATGGATCCAAACTACAAGAAAGAAGATTCCACCTAAACATTAGGAAGAACTTCCTGACAGTGAGAGCTGTTCGACAGTGGAATTTGCTGCCAAGGAGTGTGGTGGAGTCTCCTTCTTTGGAGGTCTTTAAGCAGAGGCTTGACAACCATATGTCAGGAGTGCTCTGATGGTGTTTCCTGCTTGGCAGGGGGTTGGACTCGATGGCCCTTGTGGTCTCTTCCAACTCTATGATTCTATGATTCTATGATTCTAAAGGTCCGTATAGTTAAAGCTATGGTTTTCCTGGTAGTGATGTATGGAAGTGAGAGCTGGACCATAAAGAAGGCTGATCGGCGAATAATTGATGCTTTTGAATTATGGTACTGGAGGAGACTCTTGAGAGCCCCATGGACTGCAAGAAGATCAAACCTCTCCATTCTGAAGGAAATCAGCCCTGAGTGCTCACTGGAAGGACAGATCCTGAAGCTGAGGCTCCAATACTTTGGCCACCTCATGAGAAGAGAAGACTCCCTGGAAAAGACCCTGATGTTGGGAAAGATTGAGGGCACAAGGAGAAAGGAACGACAGAGGACGAGATGGTTGGACAGTGTTCTCGAAGCTACCAGCATGAGTTTGACCAAACTGCGGGAGGCAGTAGAAGACAGGAGTGCCTGGCGTGCTCTGGTCCATGGGGTCGCGAAGAGTCGGACACAACTAAATGACTAAACAACAACAAAGACATTTTTATGATTGTGCTGTTAAATGCCTATTTTGAGTCATGCCTGTTCTTGATCTAATGATCATAAATTGTCATCTCTGATGAAGACCCCTGGCAATAAACTATCAAGAAAGATGAAGTTTGTCTACTTTGAGATCAGCAACTAGGCTGGGTGGTGGTGGTGGAATTGATCGTAACTGTATCAGCAGTTCTGGTTTGGTCTCAAAAGCTGCAGCTCCCTTCCCTGGCCTTCCAAGGAGTGGAAGGCAGCTCCCTGATTGCCATTCCCAAGTCTTTGATTGAAAACTGGCAGTACAGAATGTTTACAGAGTTAGGTGACCGCCCTTTCTTTATATGTGTGACTTGGAAGGTCATCTTGATGACAGTAACATTTGTATCATGGGCTGAATTTTTTAAAGAAACACTCTGATTAAGACTTACTTATTCACATGCAGAAGGTACTCAATTTAAGCGCTGAAATATAAGTGGGCCAGACTCCTGGTCTGCGTTTTGTTTTGTTTGATGTGTTGGCGTAGTGCTTATTTCTTTATTTCAGATTTTAGGGAGAAGGAATAAACCATACTGTAATTAGCAGCTGCATCTTAATTGGACTTTCCATTTTATTTAATTAAGAGCAACTAGACCTGGGGCAAACTTCCAATACACGCTCTTGCTCATTCACCACCTACTAGATGCCCTCATTTTTCCAATGTAGGACAGCACCATGCCCATCCTTACAGGAATTATATTCTGACAAATCTATCTTTCAGAATGCTCAACACCATTGCATTATTCCAGTTTAGTCAAGAGTGATGTATCCAACTCTAAAATAGCTATGCCACTAATTTAATGGGATTGTTTTCTTGCTAGCAGTGGCCTACATAAATAAAAGTAGATTTATCTACTTTTAGTGGAAGTTTCCTGATTCAAACCCTTTTATTATTCTTAAAAACATGACAAATGCATGATTTTTGAATGACAACTTTCTCTACCATTTTATTTTCCACAGTATCAACAGTATGTAATCTTTGGGCTGTGAGATGCACTTCTGCCATCTTTCACTGCATTGCTAAAACGATTCCTGGCATACATTTCTATTTCTGACAATTGGCCAATGAGATTATACAAAGTTTAAGGGAACATCCAGTGAGAACTATCAAAGGCTTAAATTATAGACTAGTCATCTCTATTCTGGAGTGCCACACAGGTCTATTCTGTCCTTCAAGCTTTTCAACATACATGGCATTTATTTATTTTTAAGTATCTGTATAAAACAGCCGGGAGATGTTGTCCAGAGTTTTGGAGTGGGTTGTCATCAGACCTTTCATCTCTGTTTTCTTCTTGCCATCTCTCCTTCATCTCTCCTGAAACAGTCTTGGCAGTTTTGTATTTGAATGATTACCTAAGTATGGTAATGGGAGTGAATAACCTGACATAATTAAGGCAAGACAGAGTTCCTCACGGTGGCTGGTCCTAGAACAACACGCAAAAGCAGAAATGCCAGTTCTGGATGGTTCACATTCCTCCTCCTGAAATAGCAGGACTGCAGTTTGTGGGCGCTCCTGGTTCTGGGTCTCCTGGATTTTCCAGCCGATTCTGTATCCCAAAGCATGTTTGGCAAGCTTTGGCTCAACACCAGCTGTGCTCCTTCTTACAACAACAATAACTTGGCCATGACTGTTGGCCTCTTTACTTTTTTAACTAGACTTCTGTAATGTGAAATATGTAGGACTGAAGACAACTTGGAAACTTCTGCTGGAGCTGAGTGCAGCAGGAGCATATAAGACAAGTACTGCTAGAGCTAGATGCTTCTCACCTCTTACCTTTACATCACTATGCAACCTGAGAGAGCAACTTCCTCCATGCTCCTTGCCATTCATTGATTTTGGTAATGAGATTTTGCTTTGGGTGCCGCCTCTGCTGCATATCAATATGTCTTCAGCAGCCAACAGAGCTGCTTCTTTTATTAGCGATGGTCCAGAGACATGACACATCAAAGTGAATGGGTCAATTCGGCATGCTTATTTCAGACAGGCTTTCATGGAATCATGAAGTTGGAAGGGACCACGAGGGTCTTCTAGTCCAACCCCCTGAAGTGCAGGAATCTTATGCCCAACTTGGGGCTCAAACCCACAACCCTGAGATTAAGAATCTCATGCTGTACAGAATGAAGGTGCCAGAATTGCAGTTCATGCCATTCATTTTTTGTTTATCTCTCATTAGGATTTATTTATTGTTTGCATTTTGTTTTACTAAACTCCACTTTTATGAGAATTTTAAAATTGAAAAAAATAGTTTTATTTTTTGATATAAATAAATAATGCGAACATACACAGTGCGACCCCACTATAAACACAAAAATAGTTTGAAATCACAGTGAGGTTGATCATTAGTTACATTTTTTTAAAGGTAAAATGGGGCATTTTTATATATTTTCTTTTTCAAAAACAGATTGAGTACATGACTAGAAGGATGTGATCATTAAGAACTATTGGCTACAACATTTAACTTGGCTTGATTTAATGAGATTGCTTAATTTAGTGGGCACAATGGCACTCGCTTCAATGTAAGCAGTACACAGAATAATGTATGTGAGAATGGATCTCAGCAATGGGTGTATTTTGTTTCAAACACATATGCCTGACCATTTTCTTCAGTGTTGGGCAGAAGGAGCTTCCCAGTTCAATATAGGCTATGGAGTAGCCCATTCCTGTCCAGGGTCCTAGCATGCAGAATACTTCCACAAAGAGCAATAATAGCTTTTGCACTCAGTGAAGGGGATGTAGATGAAAGAATGAATCTGCCGCCGTGTGGGGATACAGTCTTGCATTTCCATATTTGTGTGCTGATCTTTACAACAAGGGAAGAGCTGGACAACACTATATGATTTAGCTATATTCCAGTAAACTGTATCAGGGATATTATATATAGTACATTAAACTATTTGTGTTGAATACAATAGCAGATTTGGATATGTTATTTATTTTGCATTACAGGGTGTGTGTGGGGGCACTTCTTTTCCTCTTGTTTCTTCTTTCATTGTAATTTAAACACTGAGCTGTTGTACTGAACTTTGCACACGTACTTCAGTATTTAGCTGCTGCTTTCTTACCAGATGATTTAGGACCTTAATTCAGACGGTCCTTTAACCCTAAGATCAGAAGTGATAATACCTGAGATGGCCCTTGACAACTGCTTAGAGACTTCAGTTGGTACCCAATGTGTTGGTGCACATAGGGTGTGGTATAGAGGTTAGAATGTTGGACTAGTAGCAGAGAAGCCCAAGCTACAATCCACATTCAGCTGTGAAGGTCACAAGTCTAACCTACATCACAGGCTTGTTGTAAGGACGCAGTGAGGTCGAACAACATTCCCTGCCCTCAGCTCCTTGGAATGATGGGATTAAAATGTCATAGATAAATATATTTGTTATGCTTCCTGGCTTGCCTAGGTTATGTTCCACGTGCTCTAGCAGCATCAAGATATTAAAGGTCTCTGTCAACCCTTCCTTTTTAGTGTTTCCAGCTGAGTTACCGTACTTGTGGGGAAAGGGGGCAGCCTAAGGAAAAGGTGGGGTTGGTGGCACGGAGACCTCTACCTGGGTCATGTGCCTGCTGGTGACATCAGCAGCAGGAATACGACAGAAACCCAATTTTGAATAGGGCTTAGCCAAAAATAATCATTTTAAATTATCCAGTAGACATTCTCTCCTCCCCCATTTTTTTTTTTTTTTAAAGCAGCCCAATTCCAAATTGGAGGGCATTTCAAGCTGGTTCAAACATGCCTCTGTGTTCTAGGTCAGTGTTTCCTAAAGTTGGTTTTCCAGCTAATTTTGGACTACAACCCCCATCATCCCTAGCTAGCAATACCAGTAATCAGGGATGATGGGAATTGTAGTCCAAAAACAGCTGGAGGCTCAACTGTCTTCTTCCTACATGCACCATAGCTTTAGTTTGAACACCTTTTCAAGGTGCTCGAATGCCGTTTTTGTTTGGCAGTAATCTAAAGATTGTGGCTAAGGGTGATTTCGGTGATGCATTTGAAATAATGTTTCTTTAAAAATATTTTATTGTGTGTGTGTGTGTGTGTGTGTGTGTGTGTATACACACGCGTACACACACACCAACCCTGAAGGTGTAAGGCAGAGTAAGTTGTAACACTTAGACCCAGATTTTTTTGTATGGAGACCTACAAATTTATTTGGAATGCATTATAAGGTTATATAGCTGAGTAAACTCTCTCGGGTTTAAATATATGTTGCAGGTGGGGCTGGGAAGGGCATAGCAAGCCAAAACAAAACAAAACAAAACAACAAAGCATTTATTCAAGCAATGTATGCATCAATCAGAGAAGGAAATGTATCCAGCTCCCAGTTAATATCTGTGTTACTCAAAACTTAATTACTTCACAGCATGTAGTGACATCAAAAGGAATGCCGTGTGTTGGGAAATAGAGGGAGATCTCAACATCTTGCTTATGTTTTCTTTCACACAGCCACATGTGAAATACAGGAATGTAGGCAATGGCAGAGGGGAAGGCAGAGAAATGAAGGAGGAGACAGCTTGCATGGGAATATAAGGAAGCAGAAGCAAGAGCGAAATCACATCAAAGCCAGCATTACTTTCAATGGGATTAGATAGCCACAGAAAACATTTTCAGCTCTTAACTGAACATTATATTCTTACATTACTATAGCTTTATGTTCTGTCCCTCCCCCCCCTTTGCATCTTCAACATCTGCTTAGAAATAATAACAGGAACTGGTGATTGCATTTTCTCTTCCACCTGCCATTCCACATACCATGTTCTTTCCCACCTGTCCCTTCTCTTTCTTTCAAAGGGATACCAAACAAGACTGGGCCATTATTTTCTTCTACCCTTTTATCATCTCTAGTCATTCCAGCCAAACAGATTCTGCAGATTGTTTTGTAAACTTGCAAAACCTGCAGAGACCATAATGAAACAGAACAACAGCAAAATGAATGTGTGTGATTTGGACAGCAATGGTTCAGCCGTAACACCTCCAGAATGAAGCAGGGAGAGAATTTTCCCTCTTCCTTTTGCACCATTTCTTCCTTCCTCTGAGCTGTTCCAGGAAATCTGCAGGAGAGGACGGGGTGGGGGTGGGGGTGGGGGGAGCAACTGGAAAGCCAGATGGCAGCCTTGAGGAAGCTATATTCAGTCTGCAAGCTGCCAGTTACTGGCACCTATAATAGCACAGATAATATACTTTCTGATCTGCTGTGAGGTGAAACTGGCATTGGCACCCATCAGTGAGCTGTCTGCTGCACTAAAATCAACAGGAAAGTCCTTGTGGTTGGGGGAGCACTATATGTGCATTGAATCTTTCATTCCTGCAAGGGATTTATTGGATTGGACTGATAGGGGCTTAAGGAACAGAGAAGGCATCTTTGAGACCCTGCTACCACTCACCCAGCTTTCTGCACCATAAAAAGATAGTCATGTGTTCAGAGCCATCACAATCTCCTTCTCCACTAGAAACACCTGCACAACAGCCATAGCCAGCTGTGGCTTCCCTGCTCATCATCTGTGGTTAAAACTCTAGGGCACCTTAACATTCATCCAATTGACAATTAAAAAAAAAATCACACTCATGGTTTTTGGGGTGTATTCTATACTCTTAGGCAACTTTCCATTGTATGGCAGGGTAGAATGCACACTTCAGAAAATCTGTTTTTCTGCAATGTCAGAATACGCAAGCCCCCAGAGCCAGAAAACACTTGTTCAGAGGAGGTAGAATTTGTCTGTGCAGTAAATATTTGCAGTTTTCCCATTGAAACCAAAGGGTCCTGAGGAGCACATGGTTACTTGGGAATGACAAAGCCAATACAAGAGGTTGCAAGGCAGCTGTTGGGCAATTCAGCAGATTAGAAAGAGGAGACATGAAGTATATGACACATCGTGGACCTGATAGTGACTATGAATAGCTCACTGGTTTCCCAGGAAGTAGGATTGGGCCTGTCTGACACACATTTACTCATACATCTTTTGCAGATGCAATTTATATTGAGTCAACCATAATGATCTGATTATCCAATTAGGATGTCACTTTATTGTCCATCACATGCCTGTGCAATTTGACTTGAGAATTGAGTTCATATTGACTGACACTGAGTTCATATTGACTGACATCTGCAAACCTGTTCCTGTTGTGTTTCCACTTCAGTAGCTTTGTACTTAGATGCTTCAAGAGAACAGTATTTTGGGTGGGAACGCTGTGCTATGTGTGATACAGCTGAAAATCACAAGCCTGGAAGATCAGAGAATGCACCTTGTGTTGACTTACCTTGCTGGCTTCCTCTGTAATAATGTTTACATTGACTTCTGTTGGGAGACTTCAGAACAGTTGCTGTCTTTCATAATGGCTGTCCTTATGGTCACATACATGCAAAGTAGCAGAAAGCGGTACAGTTAACTGCAACTCAGTTCAAACAATTCCAGTTATGTGCCCCAAGATGTACCACAGAGAGGCAAAGCCAGACTTATTAAAAATGTGATTCTGGCCTTAGTCAAGAGCTCTATTTTCCTTTTCTCAGACACTCACACTACTCTAAATAATAATAGTCAATTTACGCCAGTGGTGGCCCATGCAGTTCTCTCCAAGTATTGTTGGAAATGGAATATAGATCTTACTATCTTTGACCCACTGGCCTTCACTGATCTGCACCATGTTTTTCACAATGCTGTCTTTCTAAGTTACAGTACCTGATATTTTCCCTTTGAAACAGAGCGTGCAAGTCAGGAAATAGTTTGCTCCAACCATGTTTTATTGTATTCTGTCTGGACGTTAACAGAGAAGCCCTTCTCCTTTGTGTACTTCGGGAGCTTTTTACAGTGAGGCCTTTCTAAAGCTCTTTGGTTTGTGCTGACTTATAATCTCTTGTAGCTTTTACTGAAAGTCTTCTAGGAATTAAAGCACTCTCCCTCTCCCGCGGCCCCTGCGCCAGACTATCATGAACTGATGATCCACTGGGTTTCTTGCCCTCTGTCCATCCACATAGACAGATCTACCTGTGTGGTTTTCTGTGCTTGAATATATATCCAAACTAGAGTGACTGGTTAGAGACTGATTAACCTGCCGGGTCACAATATATAACTAGGTAATCTGTATTCTTTGGCAAGATCCGTACTTAAGCAGTGAACCCTACATAAATGGCTTGCTTCTGTTTCAGCAAAATTCCTCTACTGCAGGACTGGGAGCTGAGAGACTGCCTCATTAGGAAGTCAGTGAGAAATGAGAAGTTCCTCCCCCCACCCATGGCAGCATTTGAACTTACCCTGATTAGTGGAATTGCCAAAGTATACATAATCTTTGCTGGGTCACCTCCAGGGTCTAACCTCATGTTTCTTTCCCATCAGCTACTCCCCTCCCTTCCTTTCCTGCCATGTAACTCACTCACTGGGCAGCATTGTTTAACTGAGGAATTCCAACTTATATCCACACCCCTCGCTCCTGCTCCCCCCCTTTTTATATCCCAGCTAAATTCCTCCCGCATGTCCCCTCGGGAACACGTAGGCCTTCTTAGTGCCCACCTCCACTTCTCATCCAGATTATTAAAACGGCACCAACCGTTGGTGTTTCTTCACACACACAGACGCCCTTGCAGGAAGACAGAGAGCACTGACTCTGGGACCCTCTCACCCTTAATTTGATGGGACCATAGGCAGAAAATTCAGCTGCTTAGGTGCCTAAGCACAAAAACCGGGTGGGGAAATGCAGCACAACCGGTAAGTGATGTACTGCATATCTAACTGAGGGGCGTCACTGATAGAGGAGGAAAGAACAATTAATTGCATTTAAAATAGGCTTTGCTGCCCTCTGTGTCTTCCTTTTTTCTTCTGACAGTTATATATGTAAGAACAAGTATCTGAGACAAATGCTAAGGCAACGTTTTGTTGTATTGTTGGGGGAAAAGACACAAACCTGAAATTTTGGAGCTTTGCTTGCCATCTGTGCTAGCAAAGATTTAAGTTGTGCTTTTATGCATTTTATATGCACGACTGTGAGATGAAAGTGGGTGACATTATTAGGCTGTGTATGTTCATGTTTAAGCTGTCTTTCTTTCCTTACAGGCAATACCAACTTTTCTGTTATTTGTGCTGTTTTCTTGGGTTTCTGGCATCCGCTACTGCTCAACAGCAGACAAGTAAGGGTCTGTTTTATTACATGTAGTAAAGATGTTGGCAGTGAAAATAGTTCTACCGTACTCAGAGCCTTCTCCTGCAATCCTATACCTATTTATACAAGAGCAAGTACCACTGAATTCAGTGGGAATTACTTTTGAGTAGACATGTATAGGATTGCGCTGTAACAAATTTAGGAACGGGGTTAGATTCTTATGTGTGTGTGATAAATGTGGGTATGTAAATGAGAAAGAAAGGCGGCTTGAATTTTTGGAAAACAGTGCCTTTTGATATCTGGCATTTAAACCTATCTCTTACATTTAGCATTTTAAAAAATGCAATGTAAAGGAAATAGAGTGAACATTATTATATTCTTAAAATTACACATTTCTAAATTAGCATGGTGGTGAATTTTATTGGATCCACATTTTCTGAATGTGAATTGGATTGCGTTGTACAGAACAACTTGAGGAAGAGTTCTGTATAGCCCAAAAGCAGGAGCACTCATACAATGCAAAGTCAATAAAAAATGCAACCTCAATAAAACAGGTACACTTAAGCCTGTTAATAATGACAAAGAATCTTGTGACTCCTCAAAGATTAACAAATTTTATTATGGCTAACAAACATTTCCCTTTGTAAATTTCATTCCTTGGGACCAACATATCTCCAGCTGTCCATTAAGAAGACATGTTGGACATGGACAATAAATACTAATTAGCAAAATGAAATCCCTAAAAGAATAGCAAGCTCAGCTTTTGGGGAAGAAGAGGCAACAGATTTTGCATGTTCCATTTTATAGGCTTGGAAAATGGAAATCTACATCTAAGTGTCAGTTCTTGAAATAGACCAGACGCCCTCTGTATTCTGGAAAGGTGTCTCTTTTCAAACTGTGTAAGCCTTTCTTCCAGCCTCCAGTGACATTTTCCATCTTGGCTGAAATATTGCATAGGTAGAATCCCTAAAGCTACCTTAAACCAATGTTTAAGTTTCCTTTTTGGTTCTTTAGGGAGGGGTTTAGGGTGTTGCATGAATGGGCTGGGATGTGTGCTCACAGAGAGGGGGTGTTTTAAACAGTGAAATGGCTACTTGTTCATGCAAGAGGCTTTTTTAAAAAGTTCTTCTTCAGAACTCCCTCCCAGCTCTTGCTCTCACCTTACAGGGCTTGTTGTGTGATCAAACATGGGAGAGGAAAGAGTGGGAACATCTGAAATATCAAAGAGGAAGGGAAGGAAGCCAAGAGCTTGGATTCCCAACTGCTGGTTTTGCTGGAGCAGAGTTGGCACTGGCTTTCTTTGAATTATATATAGGTGTTGACTTAGCTAACTAGCTAGCTACAACTTTTTCATGGTTGTCCAAACCACAAATAGCTCTGCACTGTAGAACTCTTTATATTACAAACCCATGTCAGAGAAGGCAGAGGCTCTTCAGAAATGGCAGGGAAGGGAAGGGGTGTCCTCTACTGCTCTCTGGTGTATACATTTCCCAAGAAATCTAACACAGTTATCTACCATAATCCGGCCATTGTGGATGTGATGGCAGTCTCAGACTGTCTCACCATTAGCTTCAATTGCTCCAGTTTGGCCCTTTTTTCCTCCTGTGACTTTTCATTAATTATGTTTCCTCTGGAGCCTTTTGCACCCCAACCCTAAATGAAACAAGTTTGGAAGTAAATACTATTAATTTCTATGAAGTTAAAATCCAAGGATATGACTCAATGTCCAAGGCTATTCAACAGCATGAAGGTTGGTTTTGGGTTTTGTAAGCTAATGGGTTTTAATTGTTGTTTTGGAATGTAACCTGCAGTGGGACCATCACAGGAAGGTTAGGCTGATAAACTGATAAATTAAATAATGGACATAGATGCCTGTGTCTGGTGTTTCTTGCAGGATTTCCACTTACATTCAATTCCAACACAAAGACTGACCTCTGCCCACCAACTAGGTTTCGCCAAGATGATCTACCAGGCAAGTATACACTAATGATGTCTTCCAAATAAATTGTTTCAGACCTTCTTTTTGAAAACTGCATCCTTGCAGACGTAGCTATCTGTCTATTATCTTGCTTCCTTGTGTCAATTGTTATGTCCAAGATTTCTCACCACATTATTAAAAACAAGCTACATAAAAACCAAACATTTTAATTTAATTTGAAACAGGTTTTTTTTAAAAAAATGAGTTAAAACAGCAGGGGAGTGCATATCAAAAGAGAGACCAAAGGGAAAACTCAGGCTAGGTTTTCAAGCTACATGATTGCTCAATGGAAGATTTTTTTAAATGTGCATATTTGTTCCTTTAGGATATGACCTGATTTCACAGTTCCAACTTGATAAAGCTGCTTCCAGAGGCATCATCCAGCGTGTGGTGGGCTCCACAGCTTTACAAGTGGCTTACAAGTTAAGCACAAATGTAGACTTCAGGATCCCAACTAGGTAATCTATACTGTTGCTTTCATTATTTGTTTTTAAATCTATGTTTAAATGCACAACTCTCCCTTTACTTAGCGGGGCAAAGTACCTTGCAAGATATAAATTGTGCCCTCCATCCCACAAATTAATTCCCTCTTTTGCTTCTGGGTGAAGCTACCCAAATTTATTGTGTACACCAGCTGTTTGCGTTGTGATGCATGCAAATAGCATCTGAATTCAGAATGAAGTGCTTGTGCAGCTACTCTACATGCTGCGTTCTTTCCCAGTTGAGCCTTTCTGTTGTTTCCAGAGATTACCGAGAGTTAGTTCATATATGAATATTCATCAACTGAAGCCCATGGTATCAAGTCCCAACTTCCATGTGTGAAATAGCCCTCGTGGCCAGACAGACAGGGTCATATCGCCCCATGCTGCCTCTAGCACAATAATTCCCAGTCAAGGAGCTTCACACATTCAGCTGCAAGTAACTGAGTGGTAATTCTCTGAGTGACGAGATGTTGAGTACAGTACCTTACTATTTCATAAGAAAGGTACTAACTTTTATGGGGAATATCTTACACTTTTTTTTGTACAGACATCCGACAGGGTCACCCAAGCAAGCATTGCCCTGCAGCTTCTCCACTGCTATTAAAACAGCAAAAGAAAAGAGACTACTGAATATGCATTTTCACTTACGCACTTAAACTAAATTCACTCCAGCCCCACCATTGATATTGCACAGATTTGCAACTGCTTCTCAAGTACCCAACACACGTGATTGTGTGAACCGGTCAGTTGAAATGGGCGATATTCACAAATTAACAAGAGACCCAACACTGTTTTGCACAGACTTCAGTAAGCCTGACGTTGGCAAACTCTCAACCGGCTACATTTGTCCTTGTTTTTCCAGCATTAAAAAAAATAAATTAAAAATTAAAGAGAAATGATATGTTAGCATATAAAACAATTTATTAGGGCAAGATATATTCCCACCTTACAATGTGGAACATGTTAGAATCTTAAAACATTTCTGCCACAATTAGAATCTTTTGTGAGCTAGGGAAAAGAATGTGGCATGGTGGCTTACCAAGGTGCATCACAGAAGATTATATTTACAGGCATCAATTCCAGGTTCCCAAATTAATAGTGGGTGTTTAATCTGTGAGCGAATTGCAGAGGCCACCTTAGATGAGGCTGTAGCATATTTTACGCAACTTGCCTAGCCTGACTGTGAGTAATACAGCCGTTCCAGAATCCTGCTAATAAAGCCGTTACACCTCAACGCCCTACACTATCGTTTATTCATATATGAAGCATGTAATTATTTTTAATATTAGTCTGGAGCACAACAGCAGCCAGCTATTATGCAGGAAATGGGCTAGCTTTCCTGTAATTTGTCTGGGTATGGTTGAAAGGACTCACTGTCTTTCCTCAAAGAATGCAGCAGTTTAAAGCAGGGATTGAATCGCGTGCCACCTGGTGGCTTCAAGCAGTTGCAGCGGTGCTGTTCACCAAAACCGGTGCTGAAAGAGCCACTCAGGGTTATTCTTCTGTTACAGATTTGCATATAGGATGAAGCACATTGGTTTTGCAGTGCATTCCTCTATATATGCTATCCATTCTTAGCTTTGTTGTTATGGGCAGGGGTCACAGTCCTTCAGTGCTGTTAGTCCTACCCACCCACTCCCCCCAAAAAGTTCAAACTCATTGTTGGTATTACATTGGGAATTGGATATCATGAACTAAAAGTCTAAGCTCAAGGGTGCCACAGAGCAAAGGAGGTGTGACAGCTTTGTCTCAAACATATCAGATGGAGTACTAGACTATTTACAAGTGTTTTGTCATAAAAGGATCACTTTAAGAAGCTATACCTACCTAAGAAGCTATGACATATTTTGTTTCTATAAGTACCTTCTATTTTACTGGTTGGCAACCCTGCATTAATACGTAAGTCCTTTTGTTTTATATCTGTGATGGGTGTATGGGATTTCCATCTACACCCCACCCCATTTTTTAGATTTGCCATAGTCTCTCAACAGGTAAAGCAGGATTGGAGGTGATCTGCTGAGTTAAAAGAGGACCGCGGGTGCTGTCAGTGCAGTGGAGGTCAGAGTGGTTGAACTATGCATCTATTCAAGCCCAGTGACATCATTTCCCCTTGACATCACTTCCTCTTCTTTTGCTAGGAGGAAGACCGAAGTGTGTGTGTGTGTGTGTGTGTGTGTGTGTGTGTGTATTTAATGAGTTCAGAGAAGCACATGTAGCTCAGCAGTAGCTGGGAGGACACCATGTTGTCAACCCTGGTGTTACTTTTCATTTATTGCTAAAATCAACACCAAATACTCATAACAAATTTGGGTGCTTTTCATCTTTTTTGAGTCAGTGGCTGAGATCCTTTCTTTGTAATCATGTTCACAATAAGGAACATTGCATTAGATACAAAGATAAAAAGCATTAAGGCTGAAATCCTATGCATACTTAACCTGGTAGTAAAGACTGAAATCACTGGGTGATGATTTGTAGGACTGGGCTGTGTAAGCATATAGTAATATATTCCCTGCTGTTCAATGAAGAGGCTGCATCTCTCAAACCCAGAGAGCCATATATAACAATACTATCTTGGTTTGGGTTTTATGCTATGAGTTTTTAAGTATAAAAGGAAAAGCTAAAGGAGCTCTGCTTATCCTCTGAATGTACAGACAGCAAGAGCAGAGTGATGTTGCTCAAATTATTTAGTACTTGAGGTCTTGGCTGTCGGTAGATATTTCCTCCCAGGGTGGAAAGGCAGTGCCAGATGTTGAATAGCTGATTGTGCAACAGCAATAGGGATGCATCCGCTGGTTCCTCTGTCAGCATGTCTTTTTGCTGCCTCATGGCATTATTGCAAGCAATTAACAATTTAAGAACACATAAGTTCAAGAAACACCTGTTTCCAGACTTCGGAAAACTACTGAGGCATCACTGGGTCTGGATTTTCAAGATGCATATTTAAAACTGTTGAAATGCCACCTCACTTCTCTACCACCTCTATAACAGATCCAGCAGCCTCTACCATATTAGGATTACTGAGCATGTTAGGTTCCCCCACCCCAAGTGCGACTTTAGTGGAGATGGATAAAAAACCAAAAATAAGACAAAAGGATTCAGTGTGTCAAAGTGGACCTTTTTTGGGGGGGGGTGTTGGTCTTTGTGTTGTTCGTAAAAGAAGATCATACCCCTCATGTGCCTCCATGGTTGATGAATTAAATATCCCCTCTTGTGTATATCATTTAGATGGAATATTAGAAATATTCTAGCAAATATTTTAAAAATGTGTCTGCGACTGCAGCACCAGCTAAGCTATTTCCTCCACCCCGAGCATGCAAATTCCATACTGTTTGGCAAGGCTCCTTTAAGGGATGAAGGAAATTTCAGTGGTTCCTATTTGCATATCTCCAAGGAAACCTTGGAAACTAATGTAAGAATAAAAACGAAAGGATTATCAGTTTTGTTTCAGCAATTTTTCCTCTTCTCAGTGAATGGCGCAAAGTGAATTCTTTATCACTGTTTCTCTTTTCCCCCAGCAATTCAATGTTCACTTTGAATTGCAATTATTTACCATCAATATTTTATTATTATTTATCCTATGTTTATTATTTATTTAACCCTCCCCTCCCCAAGGAGCGTAAGCTGATTGTCCTGTTTCATTGTTGGATTGCTTCATTTTGAGCACTGTGTTATAATAGCTACTGCTCAAGAGACCTCAGTTCATATCCTTCCTCTGTTGTTAAGTTCCCTATGTAGGTTTAGGCCAAACACTAAGCTACCTATATCACAGGATAATTGTGAGGAATAGAGTAGTGGGATAATGTGCACTACTCTTGCAAGTAAGATGGGTTGTAAATGTAAGTGTTTTACCAGAGTTTATCAGCTCACATTTGCCACACTACCACAATGCTAATTAAAGTGATCTGAGAGCCAGCATGGTACAGGTAGATTGAGGATTCAAATTTTTTGAGGCTTTAAAGCCATTGATAATGGTTCTGGAGACTTTATAGGCAGCAAACGTATACAATTTATGACAAGTCAGTCACATGATCCTTTCAGCATTGATGGCACTTGACCCAAGCACATTCAGATAACATTTCCACCATGTAATAAACTGGCCTTAATTGTTGCTTTGAAACTGGGGAATATTTATGGTGGATTTAATAGGTCTATCATCATGGTTGTAAATAAAAATAATTGCTGTTGTTTAGCATCACCATCATTTAGCTTATGTCCGTCCTTTGAGTAATAGTATAAACACATATAATTAAATTAAATTAAATTAAATTAATTAAAACAGGTAAGAAGGGAACAGGAAGTGGAAATGAACAGAAAAGGAACCAGTAGGGAAAGCTGTAAAAGCATCTGGAGGTTTTTTTTACTATTATTATTAATAATAATAATAATAATAATAGGCTTCAATCAGTTTTTAAAGGTGAGGAAGGAAGAACAATATGAGAAAACAGTCAGTTCTTCACTTGACAGCTCTGCCATAGGCTATGTATATTTAAAGCACATTCAGAATACACACACACCCCAAGAATCCTGGCAACTGTAATTTACCCCTCACAGCCCCACAGTTCCCAGCACCCTTAACAACATGCAATTCCCAGGATAGTTTGAGGTGGGGAAAACAACGCTTTAAATATATGCTGTTTATGCAACTATAGTATGCACCATTTGTTGCCTGCTGACATAACACATTATGGTCAAATATTCAAACAGCGAGTGGAGCCTGAGTGCAGATCCACCCAGCAAAGCTAAGACTGCAGGAGCAGGTCTCAAATATAGTCAGGCAGGAACACTTCTCGGTAGTGGCACCTGCCCTGTAGAACGCCCTCCCACCAGATGTCAAAGAGAAAAATAACTACCAAACTTTTAGAAGACATCTGAAGGCAGCCCTGTTTAGGGAAGCTTTTAATGTTTAATAGGTTATTGTATTTTAGTGTTTTGTTGGAACCCGCCCAGAGTGGCTGGGGAAACCCAGCCAGATGGGTGGGGTATAAATAAATTATTATTATTATTATTATTATTATTATTATTATTATTATGGCTTTAATCATGTGTCCATGAATTCAGTAATGTAACTTTACTGGCAGCAAATGCATAGAAAGTTTTAAATGTGGTCACCGTTGCCTAAATAGGCTTGCTGTTGATCTGGATTGATTTGGTTTAGGTCACCTCACTGTTACTGGCTAAAAGGTCGTAAGCATGATGCCTTGTCTTGAGTTGTTTGTGACATAGGAAGAGCTAATATTTTTGAGTCACAATTCCTTTGACCAGCAGTAAAGAGCCGATGACTCAGACTGGGACAAAACTACTAGTGGGAGGATGCTGCCCTGAGGTGGTCAACTCTTATAAAATCATAGAATTGTAGAGTTGGAAGGTACCATGAGGGTCATCTCATCCAACCCTTTGCAATGCAGGAATTTGTTGTCCAATGTGGGGCTCGAACCCTGAGATTACGGGTCTCATGCTCTACTGAATGAGTCATCTTTCCATTTTGACAGTTCATCCCAAGTGCTAAATCAGATGAGCAAATAAACAACAACAAGCCTGCTTTACTTTGATCCTATACAGGTCTTTGTATCCTAATGGATTACCTAATGAATATTCCATTCTAACGACTTTTCGAATGGCTGGAACTACTCTTCAGAAGTATTGGAGCGTTTGGCAGGTTCTAGACTCTTCTGGAAGAGAGCAAGTTGGATTGAAGTTTAATGGGCAAGCCAAGTCTCTTGAGTACTCATATAAAGGGATTGATGGAAGTCTCCAAACAGCAACGTTTCTGGATTTGCCGTATCTCTTTGATTCCCAGTGGCATAAGGTTATGGTTGGCATAGAAAGGAGTGCTGTCACTCTTTATGTTGACTGTACTCAGATCCAGACTTTAGCCATAAAACCAAGAGGGAAGATCAACGTTGATGGCTTTACCACACTGGGAAAACTGAAAGATAATCCTCAAATTTCAGTTCCGGTAAGTTTTAAACATTTACATTTACAAAGAAAGTACTTCCTTTAGCTTTCCTTTGACTTTTTCATGTGGCAGGGTGGGGGGATAGATGTAGGTTGGCATCACAATGTATATTTTTCAAATGGAGCAGGAAGATATGGCTCTGTGATTTTGATGATATAGGGAAGCATTATCTTTTAACAAGCTTTAAATTAGAAAACCTTATATATCTGGAAAGTTGCTTGTACTGATCCTTTAAGAACCCTGTAGATACTGGGGAAGGAGGGGGGGCAATTCTGAAAACAATAGATAATTTAATAAACCAGATTATAATGGATTGTGGATTTAATGTTCTGCCAAAGAATTAAGTACAAGACTTACCTCAGCTCATTACAAAACATAATTAAAAGCTACCAAACCTTTACACATTTGCAGTGAACGTGACCATCTTTAAACTTTATTATGATTAAGCAGCTTATAAGAATTAATTGTGTTCTCGGTGACATTAAAAGTTCAATTGATTATATATATTTGAGCTATAGTCCTGTTAATTTCAAAATCTCAGGATAGAAATGACATTATCTTGGCCTTCTTTCTGCAATGGTCACCACGGAACATGACCACCCACACACACACAATCTCACAAGATAACATTTCATGGAATAAAATCACTACTTGGTTTTGAAATCCTGTAACCGCAGTAGGGCCAGAGGTTCGGAATCTTCAGACGTAGTCAGACCTCCTTGCTTGTGACATCACAATGCAGAAGCAATAATTGCTTTGCATGAGAAAACTGTTACTAAATTATTCTGATCATAGTAATTTTTGAAGTCCTTTCTTCTTTGTTCCTCTGCCAAGAAAGTTGGTATTCAGGAACCTCAGCTGTGACACTGTTTAATGAGCATATTTATTTTCAGAGAGGAATTGCGATTGGTGTGAAGTATGTATGTAAGTGTGAAGTACCTACCGTCTATGACAGATAGAAAATAATTTGTACCATGAAGATGTGGAAATACTTCTTTTGGATAATGAGTCATGCTGCACTTTTATTTTTTAAAAAAGGTGTTTTGTTCCATAGAAAGCAAATAGAGGCATTAAAAGAATGCACACATGTAAGGCCTTTTTTATTTACTAATTCACCCCTATTTTACTAAATTTGGATTAATGATATTTTCTATCTTGTTTCTAGTACAGTGGTACCTCAGGTTACATACGCTTCAGGTTACATTTGCTTCAGGTTACAGACTCCGCTAACGCAGAAATAGTGCCTTGGGTTAAGAACTTTGCTTCAGGATGAGAACAGAAATCGTGCTCCGGCAGCGCGGCAGCAGCAGGAGGCCCCATTAGCTAAAGTGGTGCTTCAGGTTAAGAACAGTTTCAGGTTAAGAACGGACCTCCGGAACAAATTAAGTACGTAACCAGAGGTACCACTGTAATTGCAGTTGGGTCACATCCTATGTACAACAATGCCTTACTAGGAGCTAGGTGGATTCATCAGGGATCAACTGTGCATGAACATGCAATTGTGCAATTGGTCTTTCCCCTCTATCCCACTGTTGTTGCTGTTTTTAATGGGAAGCAAGAAGAGCAAACAGAGGAAAGACTGCTCAACTTCCTACCTTTGGTCTGATCACTTCCGTAGGTAGTCAACAAATAACTTGTGGTGGCACTACAAGTGGTAGTAATTTTCTGTTCCCTTGAAGGAGCAAAATAAAATCTTAAAATGGTCCACTGTGTTCATGTCTGAAAGGAAGTGGAAGTTGGCCCACATTTGAATAAATTGTTTAAGAACAAACAAATATCAATATCAAGTTTAATGCAGATGACTGTGGTTATGTTGATCAATGAATAGGCAAAGCAATGGTCCTTTATTTCACTAACGTCACGTTAATGAAACAACAGCCAGGCATTTTACTTCACTGGTCTCAATTGAATTCCACTTTAGATGCAACAGGGCTAATCTCTGTTTGATACTGTAGCTGAGGCAGAGCTGTTCACCAAGCAGAAGCAATCAGGTAATTTTTAGCTATCCAGTGGTACCTCTGGTTGCGAACTTAATTAGTTCCGGGGGGTCCGTTCTTAACCTGAAACTGTTCTTAACCTGAGGTACCACTTTAGCTAATGGGGCCTCCTGCTGCCGTCATGCCGCTGTTGCACAATTTCTGTTCTCATCCTGAGGTAAAGTTCTTAACCTGAGGTACTACTTCCGGGTTAGTGGAGTCTGTAACCCAAGGTGTTTGTAACCTGAGGTACCACTGTATGTGTTGAACTGCCTGTTTTGTGGTGTTTGCCCATGACTCAGCTAAACTGTGCTGAGAGGTGAGATTGGGGGCGGGGAGCACGAAGTGATCCAAAGAGCTTTCAGAGTGTCGTGTAAGAATGCTGAGGAGTACAGTATCTGCTGCTGAAGGCCTCTTTTAGCTGTTGAAAAATCACAAGGCAAAACAGAGCCACATGGTTCTGTCTCAATTGAATTCCATTTTAGATGTACTAGGGCACAGTTCTGCTGCTGTAGCTTACAGCACCCACTTAGAATTGGGCTGCCCATCCTGTCTAAACTTATTTGCTCCATTAATATTCTTATTACCTGTCTGCAGAATAAGGAAATTGCTCTTGTGTTATTGCATTTTGATTAGACTCCTACATGAATTGACCATAATGGGCCTAAACTGGCACGTAGCCGAGGACTGTGGCTTAAATGATTTGTTGGCTGCAGCAATTATTCTTCCCACATGCTTCCAAAGGCTTTGCTCACTGCTGGCTGACAGCCTTTTGTTATATCCCCTCTGCCTTTTTGGAAGCATTCGTCTCTGTATAGCTGTCCTTATTCATTCTTTGAGGTTTGTAACAAGGGGATATTCACTCCAGGATAAATAGGTTGAGAGCTGCAGACATCACATCCTGTTTCATGAAATGCACCGACTACTCCACTTGAAAACACTGACCTCCATTACACTGACCACAAGTCTTATTTTCATAAAGGAAACTATCAGGTGGCTGCATCTTTTGCTTATTGACAGTAGCGTAAGAACTGTGGACACCCTTGGATTCAGCCAAACCACCCACTAGATGGCAATATAACCAGTGATGCCTACAAGTTGATTACCTGCATAGGGAATTCAAATGATGGTTGAAAAAGTTTAATTTTCAGGTTCTAAGCATTAGGGATGGGGCGGGGGGGGAGGTGCAAATCAGTATTTCTGTAAATTGTGGTCTTTTCTGTAATGTATTTCAGTAATATATCTGCATTTATATACACACATTGCCATATCATGTGCATTTTTTAAATACACGTTACTTAGCTGATGAACTTCATATATCCTTCACCCAGTACCTGGGCTTGCTGGCATTAATTCCCACAATTCTATTAACTTCTGTTAAGATTTACATTGACACTTAGCTACGATTAATGCTAATCAAGACTTGCTGTTTCTAACTAGGTTAGAAACGTTGGTTTGCAGACGTTGGTTAAGGGTGTAAACCCTGGTTAGTGTTGTTGACATTGCTGAATCAAACAGAAGATTCATGCCTGAGAGGGGAGGGGCTGGGGAGAAGGAGCACACGGTTTCGCACCCTGTACTTGAACCTTCCACCATAGTTAAGAGATGGGTTGTATTCTTTATACACTGGCCCACCATATTATGCAAACCAGCTCATCAAAAGCATAGGTGTCAAGAGTAATTAAAAATAGTAGTTAAAGGTAGCTTGGTTTGCAGATGATTATAAAAATAATGGAATTAAGGAGATCCTAGGGATCATTAATAAATTCATGCTAAATTGCTTGTATCACATCGTTATAATCTTATAATACCAGCATGGAAAGTCAGGGCACACATTCCCTTGATTGTTTGCCTGTCTGGTGATTTCTGAGAACAAAGAGAGTTTCTTGGTAGATTTAATGATATAAAAGTAACAGCTAGATGTAAACTAAAACCCTGATCTGAAACACACTTGGAAGTTTCTGTTCACTTCAGTGGCAGGTCCAAGTAATTTGCAATCAGTTATGCATTTGAAATGTGCAGTAAGGATGTAAGAGAGATGATAACACTAGGAAAGCAAATGTACTCTAAATGCTGGAAACCTAGAAACTCCAGAAGAGGGAGAGAAAATGAAACCATAATCACTTATAATGATTATAAGAGGCAGGAGATAATTTGTGAAATGCCCCAGAGAAATGCAAAAGCATATTTGGGAATAAAGGTGATTTTGCATATTATCTTAGAGGAGTTCAGACTTAAAAGTCTCATTGATTGTATGAATAATGCAGAAATAAGTTTGTACTAGTTAGAGAATATGGCAAAATACTATGATTCTTAAATGGGTAAGCGCATTAGCTTAGCAACAGGCAGGTTTGAATATAGGAAATGAGATGACATGATGTACAGAAGAGGAAGTCAAGAAGTTATGGAAGGCTGTGCATAGAAAGATTTTAGGAACATAGATAATATCAACAAAATGATCTATATTGGAAAAACACGGGTCAAAACAAGGAAATCATGGGTGCTGCAGGCTTATACTTTGTCCCCAAAGCATTCAAGAAAAATAGGTCTGTGATTCTCAGCCTTTCCTAGTGTTGTGACCTAATCTAACACAATATTTTCAAAAGATCTTGTAGAATCAGAAAAAGGGTGATTTAGCAACAGAAAGGCCCTTTCCTTGAGTTTGCATTGGAATATTCTTCTGAGTAGATAGCACCATATAACTGATGTACCATGCAGAAAATTACATTAATAGGTGAACCTGTTAATAGGTGGAAATGACCCCTCTGGGCTTTGGTTCAGCAGTTGACTCTGGTTTTCATTCTGTAAATATTTTCCCCCACTAATATGCAAACATTCAAATGTACCATTTGTAAACCTCACAGAGAGAAGTGTTTGATATCTTGGCCATTTCATAGGAACATTGCAAAAAAATGTTTTAAGAGCATTGTAGTGTACACAGGAGTCAAGTCTACATGATTCTGTATTCCTTTGCAGTCTGTTCTTTTACCTCACTAGGACCACCCCCCTTAAATTCAAACTTTTGGAAGAAAAAGAACCAACATATGTTAATTTAAAAGCAAAACCAAATATTACCCTTTTCTTAATCTGAGCAGCACAACTGGAATTTGACTGAGAACCAATGAGGGTCTCTTTATAAAGATCTGAGTTCAAATCCTTTCTGTCCAAGAAAAGTAATGTAAAACATTTTGGAGGGGTCTATTCAGAATAGACATGTTGTTCCAGTCATCTGACACACACAAAAGCCTTTTACCTCTTGAACAGATGTAGAATGGTAAAGTTACAAATTTCCTTTCATAAAGGACTATACATTTCTGTTTTATCCCTTCATTAAACATACTAACGGACACAGATTAGTTAAATGATGCATTCCTTATAGAAAAGACTATATCTGTAATTTGTTCCTCTATTAAACATACTAAGAAACACAGGTATGAGAAAGCAATTTAAGGATTTAATTCATCAGAATTAGTTATATGAATGCAGTTCACACACAGCAGGGTTCTCTTGGGATGTCTTCACAGGATATAAATATACTTTGCTAGTACCCTTTTGCCCATCTGTTTATTCATATGCTAATACATCCAGTAAGAGTAACTTCTAGATGCAGTACTTTTTTGTTTGGCCATTTTGATCGGGTCCCTAAAGACGACTGCATAAATAAACCCTTGGTTTAATGCATTCTAGAGGCCATTCAGAAGTTTTGCACATTCCTGTGGCCATTTGGAAGGAATGCATTCTGGTCACATTTTGGCGTCATTCTTTTTTTAGCATGGTAATCCACGGCTCTAAACTGGTGTGATGCAGAGACTTTTTGCCTTCAAATATCTGGGGACAGTTTGCTTATCCATCAAGCTGTCTTTGAGTAATCGCTCTGCCAGCCTCCATTTCCACCCACAGAATGGAGGCAATTACTACCTACCTCACAAGTTTGAGAGGATCAAAGGGATGAGGCAATGCTGCTATCTGTATCCAGCCTTCAGGAAAGGGAAGGCTTGGAAATCAATGAAATAATCATCCAACACTTAAAAGGATGTTAAAGGTTAGTGAGTTAGAATGGTGCTGTTGCTAAACCACTATGAAAAGGTAAACCACCTTCCCTGTTTCTGTCCTAGTTTGAGATCCAGTGGATGATGATTCATTGTGACCCTCAACGACCCCAGAGAGAAACTTGCGGTGAACTTACAGCTCGGAGTTCGGTAAGATTGTAGTGTAAGGTCTGTGCTTGGGCTGTGTACACACCAGCATCTTAAAATGCAGCTAGGTCATTCTTTTTCTCAATTTGGATCAGAGCTGGTTTGGGGGGAAATGCATAAGAACACAGTGTTTCACAAGGCTAGATTATAGACTGTGTATTTCACGTGTACACTGCTTCCCAAACAAGTGGGTGTGCACTGATTGCAGAGTAAATGGGAGTTTGTACACAGCCTTAGTTTTAGAAGATTGGGGGATTCAAAGTGCCTTCATGCATTTCCTTTCTAGCGATATATTATAACAGGTGGGGGAAATAATGGCAATAATATTTGCCTTATCATTCTGCTCAAAGCATAGATCAAGCCAAAAGTTGCTGGAAGATGCAGGCTGCTGGCTGCAGGGCAAAGGGTTAAAAATCCAGTGTCATTCAATCCCTCCTTTCTAGCCATCAGGTTTCCTCCAATCTCTGTTACCCTCCTCCACAGCCATTCATTAGCAGAATAACTGTGCCTATTGCAGACTGTGCCTTTTTAGGTGTTCTGGAGGGGTCCTTCTGGGGGTGATTTTTTAACATCCTAAAATCCATCTGAGGCAATCAGAGACAAGTCCATGGCTCTCAGTGTTCCAGGCAAGAGGTTTTCCTGCCTCCTTGGGGTTTTCCTGCGAGTCATTTGCCTTTGCCTTTCTCAAGTAAGTTTTGCCTGACTTTTTCTTGTTCTTTTCAGATAAGCCAGACAGCCGTCAAGGTAAGTTTTAAAGGCAGGATGCTTGCCCAGTGCAGAGGATAAAGTGCTTCTATATGCTCCCTGTTCTGATCTATCAGCACTCTGCTTCACCCCCCCTTCCCTCTTTGGCAATCAAACGAACTGCTAATATGCATTTCTGTAATTATGCTATTATGTTGGAAAATATGCAGAAATTGTTGTGACCTGCTGGTGAACTTCCCTGCATCATTTATTTGGCTGGCCGCTTTTAAGAAACATGATGCTTGAATAGATGAAGGTTTGGTTCTACAAGGCAGTACTTATTTCCTTTACCCTAGATCAGACTGCTTTGCAGAGGTACCATTTAAGCAGAACACAATTTCTGTAAGTTCTGGCTTCAGTAGTACCTCTTTCTTTGGCCTGTGCAGTGATTGAACAGTCCACCACTCATTCCATGTTGAAATCTGGCACCTCTGCCTCTTGAATATAATTTTTAGCTCAGTCGAATAGTTTTAATTCAGTTCAGTGCAGTGGGTCAGATCAGGACTAAGGTATGTGAAAGGAGGTTCCATGGAAATCAGTGGAACAAGTTAGTCACCATTTAATCCCGTAGATTTCATTGTGACCCAAGTTCATCAAACTTGGTGTGGATCCAACTCAATAGGTGATTATGGATGCCCATGAGGAATTAATATGGATACGTTTCCCCTTCTTTAAGCAATCTTCTTTAAAACAAGTATCAGCATCATTAAAAGAGTGGCAAATGTAGGATCTTTTATCTGTGTTATATATATGAAGTAGGAATTCCAATCTGTGTCAGCCATTGTGAGTATGGAACCAAGCAGAGGTGGTAGTTATTTTGGATGATTCTACATAAAGTGGTACAACATTTTAATGATTATGGTTTTACAGATCTTAGCCATGTTTTATCTATTATTTATAAACACCTTTACAGAGAAAATGAAAAGGGTCATTGGTGCCCAAGAAACTCACTGGTTTAGCATAGCAAGGATAAGCTACTTTTCGGCAGTCTTTCTGAGGAAAAGCAGCCTTTTTTTAAAATGCCGTCTGAGAAGGCAGGAAACATAAGAATTATGTCTAGAACTGGCATTCTCACAGCCTGAAACTGCCTGGCAAATCGGTGCCCCTGCTTTTAGTGTCAGTAGTTCACCTTCTCTGCAAGAGGTGTGAGGGGAGCGAAAGGGGCCTGCTTAAAGGTTTGCTTCACAAAGCACCTATTGTGAAATTAACGTTGCCTGGCAGTTGGAATTTAGTCATAAAAAGGAAACCGTGGAGTATGTTGTAGAACCTGAGGGCCCTCCCCAAAACTATTTTGGGGGAATATGAGGCGCACACTGAAGTTTCACATAGAAAGCAGCATATCTGAAAGGGATTTAGGAAGGTTTTTTGTGTTTGTTTTTTTAAAAGTGGGGGAGGTAGGTTCTATTTTTAGAAGAAAACTCTTACAGAAGAAAACATGTTATACACAGGACCACGATGGGAGGTTTTTGAAACCTTCATTATACATGCCTTTTAGAATATGAATATGGATCTTTAGGAATAATGGTGATCTCTCTTGGTAAGATAAAGCATAGTGTATCCTGGGGGTTACTTGCAGAGATCAGTTTATTTCCTCTCAATTTTTTTTATATATTATTATTATTATTATTATTATTATTATTATTATTATTTACAAAGGAAGGAAATTGTTGGACATCTGATCCAAAGAGCACTGTTTTATTACATTTTATCACTGGTGTAGTCATGGTTGGGAAGTCAACTTTTCTCTTCAGAATGTATGGGGGAAAGAAAAGCAAAGTATGCTATTTGCACACATACCTCCTAGGGATCTCTGGAAAAAAACCCACACAAAACCACTAAACACAGTGATGGGCAGAATGATACATTTTAATCTCTAAGTCCCAGATTTACAGCATGTGACTGCATCCGTCTTGAATTGTAGATTAACATAGGAGAGTGTGGTCAAAGTGTTGGGATTTAAAGAGTCCTAATGAAAAACGGAACACAATTCAGTGGCACAGTTAAAGTTATCTGGGCACCGGGACAGGGAAGCTGAACTCTGGTCACGGATCCTGAGACTCCTGCATTGCAGGGGGTTGGACTAGATGACCCTCGGGGTCCCTTCCAACTCTACGATTCTATGAATCTGTGGTGGCCCTTAACTGCTGGATCTCAACTTCTACTCCTTCCCCCTATTTCTGGTATGATTTCTATGCCTCCCTGCTCCACTGTCTTAAGTGCTCTTTTATTTCTTTCCAGAGAGGCCCCCCAGGTCCACAAGGCCCCCCTGGCCCACCAGGCCCCCCAGGAGTTCCTGGCATCGACGGCATCGACGTAAGTTTATTTTGTGCATAAAGCTGGACTGTCATCCCTGCTCGAGGAATTCCTCCCTGTAGCTGTCCCTCTGAGTATACAGTGTTGAGCATGTGACACTTGAGTACGTCAACTCTCTGTAACCCACTGCTAGCCGGCGGAAGGAATTAGTTCCTGGGATTTTGTGCCAAGAATCTAAATGTGCATTCCAAGACTCATTTCACGAGGGGCGTGCTAGTGGCTTGAAGTAAATTGGCATATATAATGTGTTTCTTTTAAATTGCATTAGGGGCTGTGTTCGATTAGTATTTATAACAGCGATTCTGCAGTCCTAGCCATCAGGGATTTCTTCTAAGAATATCTGAATAAAGCTTTTGCATATGGAAATGTGACAGGTTTAAAAAGTATCCTTACTTTGCCGTTTTCCTCTTCTATTCCTCTAGGGGGACAGAGGTCCTAATGGGCCCGTGGGCCCTGCGGTAAGTGGCTGATAGCTCTTGCCATGCTTTTATCAAAGGATTCATAGGTACCTCCTCTCTTCTAATGCCTTAATTTTCCTCCATCTCCAATGCATTCCTGCAGGGCCCAGATGGTGAACCAGGTAGACCAGGTGTCCCTGGATTGCCAGGAATACCTGGGGCTGATGTGAGTAGATTTTCTTCTTCTTTGGGGCTAGGCAGAACCTCTCTCTGTGAAATGTTGCTACCAACCTGAAAGGCCTCTGGTTGTAATAGCAAGCCAGGGCATTTAGCCTGAGCGGGATATTTCCAAGTTGAGAGACGGTCCCTTCTGGAGCAGAGGCAGACAGGGGCTGGGCGTTTCTAGGGGAGTGGCAGGGGAATAGGCAAAGCAGCTGATGCACTAAGCTTCTGGGAGAGGATTCATTCCTCCCAGAATTCCTTTGAATTCAAACAGGAAAAGTACTACGTGCTGCAGCGGCCCTCCTTGCTTAGGGCAGGGCATAGCAGTAGGAAAGGGAATGCAAGGCAGGGATCCAGAGGTTGCTTGGGTTGAATCAGCACCTGGCTCTGATCCATCTTTCCCCTGCCCAATGACAGTTTTGCAACTTGTTAGGACAGATTTCTGAGAGGTGCTAGGACTATGGATAAATTAGGAGATGTATTGCACCTAACAAGGCCCCAAAGCCAGGTTTTGTATGTTCCTATACCTCATAATATTTTGTCTGAGAAAGCAAGATAATATTCCTGAGGTTTGTTCCCCACTTTACATTCCCACATTTCAAATGGGGTTTCTGATTTTTTTGGAAGGAACATTAGCAGATGAATAATTTCTTCCAAAACAATGGCAGAGATACAGGTCTGATTAATTAATTGTACACCTGGTTATTGTGAGCTCATGAGAGTGAGCTTTGAGCTTGTCATATGTGGTGCCCTCCCTCCCTCTACTGTGTAGAAACCTATGTGGCACAGGTCATATTCTACACATGATTTTTTTCTTTTAATGGCAATTTGTAGGACATGCTTGTGAACTATGCAGGGTCGTCTTTAGCAGATACGGCACCAGGGTGCAAATATCGGCCCAGCACCCCCAAATTACCACAGATAGTGTTGGGGTGGTCGTAGCTGCGCACTGCCAGCCATTGGGGGCGCAACTCTCCTCCATGTCGCTGCGGGAGAGTGATCCCCGCAGAGGCTTGGGAGGGAAGCTGCACGCCTGCCAGCCTTATGGTTGGCGGGGCGCAGCTGGCGGGCGTGCAGGGAAAGGGGAGGCCACCGGCAAAGCTGCGCAGCTCCCCCACTTGCTGGGGTGCCCCTGAGAAGCCGGCGCCCTGGCGTGACGCACCACTAAACCCTATGGGAAAGACGGCTCTGGAACTATGCCCGTATAAAGACTCCAAGTTACATGGGAGGATAGCTGAGTCGGAAGAGCATGAATGAGACTCTCTCAGGGTTGTGGTTTTGCGCCCCACTTTGGACAAAAGATCCTGCATTTCCAGGAGTTTGGACTAGATGACTCTTGTGGTCCCTTCCTACTCTGCATTTCTCTGATGTTCTGCATACAGCGCTTTGTAAGCATGCAGAAATGCGCTCAAGTGCATGCAAGGTTGTTCAGCAGAGGTCATTTCTTTTGGGCCACCATCTTCAAACCTCTTTCTCCAGAGTAATCAAAATGAAATATATAGGACTGCTGTAGTATAGGTGTTTGGCAAGATATCCAGAACCTTTTAAAGCCTTTTCATTAATTGTTGTTAATTCTAAATAATGACTGAGGAGGCTGCAGTACAACACAAGTTGGGTGTGCTTAAGTCCATTTGTTTCAGTGGGTTTCAGCATATTTTAGTTGTTGGGTTGTAGCCTAGTCTGTGGTGAAAAGACACAAACTGTATTTGGGCAGTTTGCCCAAATACAGACCTTGGGCAAACTGCCAAGTTCCCCGCAAGCACAATCCTGTATCTATTTACTAAGAAGTAAGTCCCACCATCTTCAATGGGGCTTCCTTCCTAGGTCAGTGTGTTTACAATTGCAGCCTCAGGCTCAGGCCAGTTTGAATCTGGATAGCATCATATTTTGGAACTTTTTCTGGGACTGTTTTCACACTGCTTTCTTTTGGGGTTGTTTCCAAAAAGCTTCCTTCCTCTGATGGGAAATGAATCCTACCACTACTAGAGGAAGGCAACTTTTGGATCCAGCTGCAACACTCACGTGCAGACACATGAATACATGTACACACATACATGTTATACTGAGCTGATTATCTTGTTTGGAACTTGGCACATTTTATAAACAGTTCCTTCTTGTGAACTGAAAGGTAATTGTTACTGTAATAAAAGTATATGCTTCGTTCCACAAGGGACTGACAGGCCCTGATGGATCCCCAGGCCGTGCTGGTCCAAAAGGACAAAAGGTAAGTTTAAAATCCATTATTAAGTTTTCTTTCAGTTTTTTGGCCTCAGGACTTTTTAACAGGACTTTTGTATTTTGATTTTGTTCTGTGAACTGCCCCGAGACCTCCTGGTATAGGGCGGTATATAAACAACAACAACTCAACAACACAGTCACAAATATCTAAAGATACTTACTAGCTGTTGATTAGTGATTTTAATATTATGGAATATTATGGAAAGTTCCCCACTATGTCCCCCTACCTCCAACATGAAAACTTATTATTCTGCTCACTATATAACTGGTTTTAAACCCTCCCAGATAATATACATTTTATTTTTTGCAGGGTGAACCCGGGTTGCCTGGAGGCCGTGGACTGCCTGTACGTAATAGATTTTTATATAGTATCTATTTTAAAAAATCAATACTATGAATTTCTTTTCAGCTTTAGAATAGTAAAACAAAGGCAAGAGGAAAGCAGAGTGGGGGAGGGGAGAACCAACCCTCTCATAATCCCTGAGGGAGTTTCCAGTCAGACTAAAATAACACAAGAGCATAGAAAGTAGAACTTCTATCTTGAAATCAGTAGAGAGCAGATTTAATTTCTTCGCCTCCTTAGCCTTTATATGCCAGCCTTCAGAAACTGGCCTTTAAAAACAACCTCTGTAGTATTTCATGGTCGAAATTGCTTGTGCTGACAAGATCAGGGGATTTTCTGCTGAGGATCTGAAGGACCTCGTCCAGAGTTCTGGGATGGGGCTTTTTAAAAGCCCCTTCCTACTTCTGCCCCTCAGACTATTAAAAAAGACCCTGATCATTGGAAGTTGGTATGGGCTCCCCCAGAAAAGAAGTATTATCAGCATGAAAAGCTGTGCTTGGAAAGGAAAACTGGCAGCCATTCTGCTCATAGAAACAGGAGCTATTAAGCTATTGTCAGGTCCTATTTACAGATTGGCCTTATCATGATGATGTTTTTTATTTTTATTATTTTATTTATACCATGCCCAACTGATAGGGTTGCCCCAGCCACTCTGGGCAGGATGTTATACTTCTGTCATAGTCTTCACCAAGGAGCTCAGTGTTAAACTCCTTCCTTCAATTCTGTATTCACCACAACCCTGTGAGGTAGGCAAGTCTGAGAGAATGTGGCAAGCCAAATATCACCCAGTGAACTAATGGCTGAGTGAGGAGTTGAACTAGGGCCTTCCATCTCCTAATCCAACTCCTTAACTGCGCCACATGGGTGTTCATGTGGGCTTTACCTTGCCTTTATATTTGAACTGTACACACACATATTAGAGAGACAGGAATCCAAACAGTTATTTGTGTGAGTGGAAAGTGTTTCTGTGCACAAGGAGAAAGGAGCCGAACAAAAATGGCCTTGGTGCAGAGTTAAAAAACAACTCACCCTTTATATTCCCCTGCCCCACCCATTTTCAAGTCATAGACCAGCATATTCAGGAGGGCTGGGAACGGGTAACAAAATATACAGAAACAAATTAAGTGTATATCAAGCACTAGTTTACAATATATGAAAACTAATAAAAGATCAATCAAAACATTTATAGGATGTGAACTCCTGTGTAAACAACACTTCTTAAACTGCAGAACTGAAGAGCCACCAATAAAAAGGCCTTCCTATATTGTGCAAACCAATGGGAGTGTTCCTCCCATTTCAAATATGTTCGTCTTTCTTTGGAATTGCGGCAAAGGAAAGGTTAAAGTCAACTTCCCTACGTGGGACAGTACTGATCCTGCTTGGGGTCCCATGCAGCAACTATTTGCATAACAATAGGTGCAGACACTGCATTAACAATAACACACTGAAACATCATGTTTATTTTGGCCTTCAGAAACTGCAAAAATTGAATCCAGAACCCTGTAACTTCTTATGACTTCTGTTTCTTTCCAGGGGTGGAGGAAGGGGGGTGCGGTGGCTGTGGGCCACCCCCGGTGTCACCTCTGAGGGGGGTGACAAAATGCCAGGCGGCACTCAAGGAGAGACATGGTGGTTTGGGCACGCGCAGGCTCCGCTCTGCCCACACGGTCCACCCCCTGCCTCCCCCCCAGCTGTAGGGTGACTACAGTGGAAGGAGGCAGGCAGACTCTGGAGGCCCTGCAGTGCGCCCCGCCCCTTCCTCCACCACTTTTTTTCCTGTTCTATTTAATACCATTTACATAACAGATTACTCCCTAATTAAAATATATATGCCTAAAAAAATCACTGTGGCTTCCAACAAATATTAAAACAATAGAATGAAACAAGGGAATTGTATGTATTTAAAGAAGGTAAAGGGACCGAAATAACCTTAGTGAGTGTTAGGAGAACATTCACTAAGAACACTTGCTCAAAAGTGTTCAGGGTGGCGTTGCTGCATTCCTTACAAGCCTTTGTTTGTTTGTTTGTTTGTTTTAAACAAAATAAATGATACATGGAGCTGTGGATAAATAGGAAAGCATGCTACTGCTGTGAGAGAAATGTTACCGACAGCAGTAACATGAGTGCAATACTGTTTGTTCATAATGAAAGCAAATTACTGTTGTTTGATAGAAGGCAAAATTAAAGGTGGCTGATGAGAAGGTTCCTACAGATGCCAGTTTCCTAGTGGAACGATTTAGCAGAGCATGTGGCGAATGATTGCACGGAATAGCTTGTGATAGCTGCTAATTTAAGCAGACTGAATAGAAGTCATCCTGCATTTCATTACTTGGGGAATCAGAATAACAAAAAGAGAAACCAATGGAAATGCAATATAACACCGAGACATTTTAGGAAAGATCTTTTCCTAAAGATCCCATTTTAGGGATCTTTGGGGGTGATGTTAGCATATCCTGCACTGCCACCAGGTAGGCCTCACCGTCAGTCACCCAAAGGAGAGATTTCTCATTTAAAATGTTCTGATGTACACTGGCACTCAGTTAGGGCCTGATGACTTCCACGGACACCAACTTAATTATCTCCAGTGCCTATGCAACCCAACACTATGTATCCTCCCCAGCATCAGGACAGGGCCCCGAGTCCCCAGAAGATAATGAAAGCAGTGACAATTGCAGCTGCCTCACCTAGTGCTTCTCTTCCTAGCTCCAGGCTGAATGAGTACTGGGTGACTGGAGCTGTGTTGTTTCCAGCACTGCCACCTCCCTACCATTGCCCGTCATGGCTGTTGTCCCGCTACCACCCGTCTTTGTGCTTTGAGGCGAGGCCAACCACAGGGCTCCTTTCCCCGGGCCACTTCCCTGCTGCCGGCAGAAAGGTGCTATAGGTTCCCTCACCCAGCTTCTTGAAACCATGCATGTCCGCAAACTTGAACAGAACATTACTTGCCCCTTTGAAAAACATGTGCACTTCTGTTTCCTAGCATCGTTATGGCAGCGGCATTGAGCTTTAGAAATGTTAAGTTGTACCTTTAAGCCTAGATTAATCTATAAAGAAAATGGCTTGAATTGCTCTTTTAATAAAAAAGGTTCTCTAAATAATGATTGACCTATTACAGCGAGCACCTACCACAAAAGTAGTAAGCTTAAAACTTCATGAAATTGCTATCCATCCCAAATACCCAGAGAGCTAAAAATAATGCTTTCATTATTCAACAGTTTTTTTTTGGGGGGGGGGGGAATCCATCTTGTTATTTGTTCTCTCATTTTATTGTTGGAGTGCTATGAAGTCTGAATATACTAAAAAACTAAAATGTGCTATATTTTTTTCCCTTTCAGGGTAAAGGTATTCCTGGATCTCTAGTAAGTAGATATTCACCAACTATCAGTAGCATAATAAAATAATACATTTTATCTTCAGTGCAGTAGGTCTATTGGTAATATTTTTTTAAAAATAACCTCTTAAGGTTGAGTTGGTACTTCTGTTTAGAAAGCCATTTATCCCTTAGATAAGGGTGGCTGTTTATAAAGAGTTTAATCAAATCAATCTTTTTTCAAATGTAGGGTCCTCCCGGTATTGCAGGACTTCCTGGTGAAGTGGGCAGAGTTGGGCCACCTGTGAGTATATATCACTGCATATTTTTTTAAAATCACTGGTCTAAATTTTCATGTTAACTAATTAAATTCCCCATACTAATTATGCATGTTTAGGAACGATGTTTCCCAACAATGTCTGGCACATGAAGGCTAACCACGTTTACCTTGAAATAAGGGCTGGATAGTATGGTGAAAAACATCCCAGATGGTGTATGCGACTGGGCATGCAAATGGATTTCCATGCAGAGGTTTAACTGCATGGTGGTTACTTTTCAAGATTCTGAGTGGTTTTGTATGTAATAGGGGCTTTAGTGATGGTGAATGGAGCATGAGGCATCTTTAGTTATTTAATAGCTGCTATCATCTCTGAGCACTTCAGTAATAGAAATTACCATCCCATATCTTTGCGATGTATTTCTTTTATGGACGAAACAAGGGATATAGATTACTGTAGCCTCTGTTCCTCCTGTCATGTAAAACTACTTTTATATTCTGTGCACCTACGAGTGTTCTAGAACTCTGAACTTAACAACAGTGTAAATGGTCTCCTCTGCGATTCTACAGCCTTATTTACAAATAAGGCCAGAACAAATATCAGTTATGCAGCTCACTGATATACACTTGTGCCACCTTCAAACTATTTAGGGTGATCCTGGAAAGAGAGGCCCTCCTGGAGTGCCAGGCCCCCCCGGCCCCATGGTAAGTTCGAGATACTCATTTTATTATAGATTTATTAAAATGTCTGTTTCCCCAACTCTTTCGAAGTGTAGAGGGATGATTCTGTGGGTTAGAAGTAGCATTACTTTGTTGTGACATTCCCTCCAGTGGCCACAGTTGACCTGGTACGGTACTGAATTTCAAAGCCTTCTGAGTAAAGGAGTACAAGAGACTTCTTTTCATATGTGTTTCTATTTATGCTGGTGGAAGCAGGTGGCGAGGTCTGGGATCATGCACTGTTTCTGGTACAGAAGATGCCCTGCTTCACCAGAGAATACACCCTTAGAGTTTGATGAGCCATTTCACAAGATTTTAGGGAGGTCTCAACATCCACCCGGCCCCCTTCTAAGTTGTGATTTGTTCTCTAGCAGTGTTGGAGGATATACAGATAACGGCCTATTTGTGCGGGGGTTATGTTCCTGATCTCCCCACCCCCACCCCGCACATCAGCGGAGCATGCATAAGCTCGTTCCGTCCCGCTCTGTCCCTTTTCCAGCCAATTCCAGGTCACTGTGATACATGGTTGCACATCAGTTGAACGTGCGTAAATCTGACGTTGCCTGTACTATGCTCTTTGTACAGGTAACAGGGTAGATTGACAGGTCTGCTTGCAATCTCAGTCAGGTAACAGTCCATATGAAATCCATTCCTTTTAATCAGTTCACCTTTATGTTTGGTTACCCATCTACACGGCAAGGCAAAGTAAATAGCTAAATAGATAGGTTGCATTCCAAGTGCATATTCTCCTTTGAGAAAGAGGTTGCAGAATGTCCCTTAACAAATGCACGAATTAAACACCCAGTGAGGACCCACCTTGCTGAAATGTGGTGCATTTTGGCATACAACCCATTGCTTTTAAAAAGAGAGATTGTGTATGAATGTGTACAAATGTCTGTCTACCTAGCCACCCACCCACCCATCTATTACTCTTCTTCACATCTTTAGCAGAAAATACAGATGGTTTTTGGGGGCGGGGAACAATGTGGATTGCTGAAATCAGAAAGTTGGGGACTGTGTTGAATCTGCCTTTTGTTCATTTTCCTGTTATGCTATGCCTTTAAAAACAAAAAACAAAAAAACAAAAACTGTTCTATTAAATCTCCTTCAGGGAACAGTTGGACTTCGTGATGGAGATCCACTGGTAAGATATTTATTTTACCTTTTTGGATGAAAAAAATGCTTTTCTGTAATAGTTTCTCATCCTTAACTCAGCTTTTGGGTTTTCTCTCCCCCACTCCCAGTGTCCCAATTCTTGTCCACCTGGCCGGTCAGGATATGCTGGGCTAATGGGCATGAAGGTAAGAGAATATGTTGTAATTGAATATGTTGTACTTGTGAATGCATATTGAATACATTGAGTTGCAGAAATGGAAGGCAGCACACAGAAGCCATCTTTCTTTCCCCCTCCTCTCATTCTGAAGCCCCCCATGTACCCCCTGAAAAGACCTTCAGAAGATTGGGGGGGACCTGCTGACCACCATAGGCTTTGCTATACATGGGGCTGTAGCGGGAAGAGGAAATCACCCAAAGTCAGGAGAAGGGATCTTGTGGGAGCCTGGTACATATCAGAATTTTAAAAGATAGTGATTGTTTAAACCTACTAATTAAATAGGGCTTTGCTCTTATGCTTTAGGGTCACAAAGGAGTAAAAGGAGAGGCTGGTGAACCAGGAAAACAAGGCCATAAGGTAAATGAAATAGAATACTAGGTTAAAATGATTTGGAAAGCCAATGGTTGAAAGAGGAATCATGTTTAATTTTGTTATGCTTTTAACAAACGAAAAGAACAGTAGCTTTCCTCTTAGATTTATTTACCCACTATTGCCACAGCACTTTTTTCTGTTTTAATCCCTAACAGCTTTGATGTCTTCTCCAATAAGGCAGTTTCTGCATGGACTTCCCTTCTGTGTAAAATATGTTTTGTGTACTGCACGTAGGCCATATGAGTTGCAAGAACACATTGATCAATAACGTTAATAAATAGTGCACACCCTCTCTTACAGGCTGAGGCCACAATCCTGACCTCATTTATATGGGAGTAAGCCCAATTGAATTCAGTTCGACTTACATCTGAGTACATGATTAGGTGTTAGAATGTTCTATAAACTAATTTGTTATTATTTGTACTTATTTAGGGTGAGGAAGGTGAACAAGGAGGAGTAGGTGATGTTGGCACTCAAGGCCCACCAGTAAAGTATTTCCTTTTAATTAGCTTTTTATTCGCATTCTGTTATCTCTAATGGCTATGTACAGGTGTGAGAAATTGTACTATTTATTCCTTTAATCCACCTGCAAAAGATTCATTTCCAGCTGTTCAAACCAGGTGTGAACTGACACACTGAGATGACGCAAATCACAGCTATGTTGTCCTTTTTTTAAAATTATCATATGTTTAGATCTTTCCCATCTGTTTTTGTTACGTAATGTTCAGTAGCTAGAGCTTTTTAATTCTTGATTTTATTAAAAGTAAACTATCTTTAAAATCTACGTGCCTAAAATGAGAAGCACTTCTTATAATCAAGATCTGAAAAGGTCTTTTAAAAAAAGAAGTAGTATATTATCCAAGGAAATATGGTATGAAAATTTGCATATGCAGGATAACTCAGCTGCGCAAAACTGCATACTTACAATAAATTTTGCATTTCAGGGACCTCAAGGGTTAAGAGGTATAACTGGCATAATGGGACCCAAAGGTGACAAGGTAAGTAATAGCAACGATAACTTTATCATTTTAAAGCACAGGGGTGCTACCCCACAACACTGTCTGCTACTGCCTGGTACTGTGGGAGAAGACTCCTGTCAACCCCCAGTAAACTAGGTGGACCAAGAATCTATCTTTAGAAATGGAAAGCAGAATAGCTTATTGTCCATATGTAGTGCTCCTCTTTAGCCTGTCAACTCTCTGGCACACGTGGATCTCATTTTCAGAAAACCATATTTACCTTTCTGATTTTCAGAGGTGTTCATCAAGGCTCACCTTGAATACTTTGAATCTTTTATTGACCAAGAATGAAACACTATTATTATAGCCAGCGTACTTATTTTATTGACTCACCAGAATTGCTATTTACTATTACCCTTCCCATTTACTCATGTTGCTACATCAGATTAAATGTGTATATAAAGGCTTTTTCCGAGGTACCGCTTCTTGATTACATTACATATTCTCTTCTACTATTGCTGTTTCTTTTTGCTTGCAATTGTCTCATCTGTAAAGCATTCTTGCAGCAGTTCCATAAAGGACAACCTATTTTGGTTCAATTCACTATAATTCTGTAGAATAGCACACTCATATGTTACGTGCAGGGCATTGAGAAATAGTTGAAGAGCGAAATGACCTGCAGTGGAATATATTCAGAGGAACGGATCAATTGCTGCCCAGCATGATCCAACAGAGGCACAAAGGTTCAGTGTGATTTTGATGCCGACTTTATTTTGCAGCATGATTACCACTTTTCCATGGTTAACTCCCAGGTTGCATTGGTAATCTCTGAATTTTGAAATCACATATGTTGCTAGATCTGATGGAGGTAGATCGCTGGCATCATAACAAGCTTTCATGCGATGGATCACAGCATGAAGGAAGACCCATATGTTGTGGAACCTCTTTATAAAGACCAGTGGAGTATAGTTCCACAGTAACAACTGCATAACAAATCCTTGGTGGTCATTCCAGCTCTTGACCTCAGGTGTAAAGAATTGAGGGTTGGAATGGAATAATGGCAAGTGTGAAGCTGCTGTCTGCCCCCTTAGCCTCAATAGAAAATACATGTGTGTGCAGAATATTTTAAAAGCTTTTATATCTTAATAATCCTTTGTTTGCTTGTTTTTACTGTAGGGTGCTCGGGGTCTTGATGGTGATCCTGGTCCCCGGGGTCTTCCTGGGCCCCCGGTAAGTTTCTTTGTCTTATCAGCAAGACCTCAAAGGAGGATTCACAATTAAGCACAGTAGGGCGGCTACTCTGGCATTCACATTTCAGGAGTGCCTATCTCAGTTTTCATTCTTTTAAAAAAAACCTACATACAGTAAATCTCAATCTCTTGTTCTCAGGCACATGAGTTTGGCCTGTGTGGGGGAATTGGCTGGCCTGTAATAATAAATATATTAAATAATGTAAAGATTGTCAGGATACCAAAGTATTACTCGCCCACAGATGTGGCTGCATACTCTGTCGCTGCACGATTCATTGCTTTTTTCTTTTCCTCTTTGTTACCAGCCTCTGCTGGGAATGAGCTGTTGTTGTGCTGACTGTTCAGTATAGCTAATTGGATCATTCAGTTATTCCTGATGGGAGGGATTGTGGCACATTGGTAGATCACATGCTTTGTATGCAGGGAGTTCCAGGTTCAAACCCTGGCATTTCCAGGTAGGGCTTGGGTCGACTCACTGCCTGAGTGATGAGGAGAGTTGCTCCTCATCACTGTCGCAGTGGTGAGCTGGATGGACCAATTGTCCGACTCAGTACAGTGGTACCTCATTTCCGAACGTCTCCTTTGACAGACATTTCGGGTTTTCAAATACCGTAAACCCAGAAGTAAATGCTTCGGTTTTTGAATGCGCCTCAGAAGTTGAAAATGCCTCATGGCTTCTGCTTAGTGCAAGATCCTGAGGCCTAGTTGTCGGCTTTTGGGTTTTCGGTTTTTGAATGTTCCAGAACTCAAAATGGTTTTCCGGAATGGATTGCATTCGAAAACAGAGGTACCACTGTATAAGGAAGCTGCCTACATTCCTGGGTTGATGCAGAGATAAAACAGAATTTCCCACTCCCAGAGGAGGATCGTCTGCTGTACCTCTGCATGTCATTATACTTGTCTCACCTCCTTCCATTCCAGAGGTACTCTCAGAATAGTGTCTCACACAGAAACAGAGTGGGAGAAGTGAGGTCAGCCAGAGCTCCTCGTGATCTTAAATTGGGGCCATCTTTTATAAAGTTAGTTATTCCCACATGGGATTTTCATACAGTCCATGTGGAAACATCAAATTCAATTTTCTCTGTTCTTCAAGAAGATAGCAAGAATGAGTTTTCAGTAGTATGAGACATTGGGAGTACCTTAAATGAGGTGTTTATGTTTGTGATGCATAAGTATAAAATGATGATGGATATTTTGTATAAAATAAGATAACATTGTCTTTTATGTCTTCACATGTAAACGTAACCATTTCATGACCGGCTTATTGTTTCAGTTGTGTTTTAAATTATGAGCCCTATTTCACCTAGGAAATCCTTACTGAGGGTGCAGTAAAACTCCTGAAGCAATTGACACATAGCTAAAGAAGACCAGAATTCCAAAGCCCTACTTTCTGTCTGTCTGAATGATTTCTAGGCTGTCTTTCAGTGTAAAACTCCCACGGCGGTATGCAATCAATAATTTAAAAAGTAACAGTAAAATAGTGTACAAAACAAATATATAAGCACAGAAACTACAGCCATAAAAACTAATAAAATCTAGTAGAGTGCCATAAAACCAGAAACAGTTATCAAACATGCTGAAATAGCTACTCAAATAAAAAGGAAAACATATTTGTTTGGCTCCCAAAGAACAAAAGGTTAGTGGCTGGCAAGTTTCCCTGAGGAAGTCTTTTATATATATAGATGTGCTTCCCCCGTATGCATTTATAAGCTTTTGGGATTTACAGTAAGCTAAAGATTGGCTTGGCTTTGATATTTCCCCGTCATCCAAGAATGAGGGACAATGACACACAATCAATTCACCCTTGTCTAAGAAATGGCCCTTCTTGACCTGTTATCTTGAGGCTTACATCATAATATGCAGTTACAGTAACTCTTTAGAAACATGGGAATTTACCTGGCCTTTAGCCATCATCGTTCACATAACTTTTATTTAATTATGACAAGGAATTGCCAGTTAATGTGCTTAACATTTCTTTGCAGGGCGATCAAGGACAAAGAGGTTCATTGGGAGAGGCAGGCCCCAAAGGCGAAAGAGTGAGTTCTTATTGAGTTCCAGTGGATGACTAAGTAATAATGTACCATTGATACCACAAAACTACCAGGCCCTCTGCCTGGTTCCCTGTAACCTCACTTCTCGCAGTGAGGGAACTGCCAGAAGGCCATCAGAGCTGGACCTCAGTGTCCAGGCTGAAGGATGGGGGTGGAGATGCTCCTTCAGATATACTGGGCTGAGGCTTTTTAGGGATGTAAAGGTCAGCACCAACACTTTGAATTGTGCTCGGAAACATACTGTGAGACAATGTAGATTTTTCAGGACCTGTGTTATATGGTCTTGGCAGCCACTCCCAGTCACCAGTCTTAGCTGCCGCATTCTGGATTAATTGCAGTTTCCGGGTCACCTTCAAAGGTAGCCCCACATAGAGTGCATTGCAGTAGTCCAAGCGGGTGATGACTAGATAACTAAGGGCCTTGTTTCCATACAATGCGAGCCTGATCTTGGGCCTTTGGATCGAACACTTCCCATTCTCCCCTCCTCCCATGCCACTGGAAAGAGGTATAAACTGCGATTCAATTTCACTTTCTATGATTTCTGGCTTGTTAGATGTGAAGCAGAAATGAACTCGGTTGCAAAACAACTCAGCTTCAAGCCATGGGTTAAGAAATGAGTTTGTTTTAATAAAGTAGAATTTATTTTCAACCACAGTTTCTGTTTTATATGTAGCAACAAGCTTGGAATCATGGAAAGGGAACAATAAAATTGTAGAGTTGGAAGGGACCAGAAGGATCATCTGTTCCAGTTGCCTGCAATGCTGGAATCATTTGCCCAATGTTGGGCTTGAACCCATGACTCTGGGATAAAGACTCTTGTGCTCTACTGACTGAGCTATCTCCAAGCACAAATGTATTCCTCTTCCAAGTGGAGAGAGGAAAGGGTGCCCTTGACCACGTAGCATTACATGTGAATTGCCCCATTGTGTGCACGAACATCAAAATAAAATGGGAATAAGGTAGTTTAATACTAATACACTTGACTTAAGTTATTCGAGATGAGGCATTCATTCAAGTGTGTGCTTCATTCAAGTGTGTGTCCCTTAATATGACTATAATGTTCAATATGCTTTAATTTTCTTCCTTTTTCTTAGGGTCCTGAAGGTGTTAGAGGAATTAGTGGTCTTCCTGGGCCTAAAGGAGAAAGTGTACGTATAGTGTGATTATTATTAATTGTAGCGTTTGTAATTTACATTACTATCATGTATTATGAAACAAGTGTGATTTACATAATGGCAACGTGTTACAGAAGATGTTACTTCTTTCTCAAGGGCTTACCGGGAGTTGATGGCCGTGAAGGGATCCCTGCCATGCCAGGTGCAAAGGTACTTAATTCATCGTGCTGTTTAATTTATATTTTTGAAACGAACTGCTCACTTCCATATTGTGTGGATTAGGAGTGAAAATCACAGAGAATCAGTGCAGATTAGCTGAACTGATAGAGAACAGAACTATTAGTTATGATTAGCGTTATTATCTCTATGGATCCTGCATATTCAGAGGCAATAACGGTGACTGGTGTCTCCAAAGAATAAGAGTCTGCCCCATCAAGTTGCTCCTAATATGGTGTCTCTTGATCCCGCCCACAACTCCTCCCACCTTCCCTATACCAGCTCTGCCAATGGAAGCCCCTCCTCCCATGCCAGTGGGCGCCATGATGATAGCTAAGTGGAACTTCTGTGAGAGGTGTGGCGAACCTTTGGCCCTACCATTGTTGGTGAACGGCTAACTCCCATCAGACCTAGCAGACATAGCCATTGGCCAGGGAAGATGAGAGCTGTACTGCAGACTGTGCTCAGCTAGGACCACCAAGTTTAAGGGAGTGTCCTTTGTTCTGGCACTTTGGTCTAACCAGCAGCTACCTCCTTATGTTCTAATGGAGCAGTCAAATGCCAAATTACCATTTGTGCCACACATTCATGAAAGGAATCCTTCACATATATGCCTCCACCAATTAACCCCCCCCCCATTTATTTCCCATTTAATTAAGGTAATTCATTGCTAACATTCATTTCCCTTCATATTGAAATGCCCAATTTTCTCCCCTTGATTGGACATGGCAGCTCTCCAGTCTTTGGGGTTTGCACGCAGGGCTGCCTCATGGGGAGCCATGTCCTTAGTGAGCCCCAGATGTTGATGCTGTGCAAGATGCCAAACCAGTCAGATCTCCACTTAAAGAGGTGGGACATGCAGAAAGCAGAAGTGTACTAGTTAAATGATATGAATGAGCCACTTTTGTCAATGGTGAGCCAGTCTGCTTCTGCTCCTACTGCATCTTCATGAAGAACACGACATTCACTCAAGTTGCACATAGCATTATCTGTGGGTGTAAGCAGAGAGCAAACCTTATTTGCCTCTTTTGTGCACCCATACTGGCAGGCTGAGTCTTTTGGTTAACTCCCAAGTACTATCAAGTTGTGAACAACAGTGATATTACATTCCCATAAGTTAGCAGTTTGGAAAAGGATGCCACAGTATTTTTTTAAAAAAAGATACTAACTTGTTCGTTTGGGCTTTTTTCTGAATAGCAAACAAGCAGACAGTTTGTACTACAACGGTTTTCATTTGATTGATGCAAACATTTCCTTCCAGGGTGAACCAGGAAAACCAGGCCCTCCAGGTGATATAGGAGTTCAGGGACTGCCAGTAAGTATTCTGTGCACTTTAAATGTAAAACATAGTTAAATTTCCAAGCCAGACTGAAGCTTATTAAGCCTTCATTTTCTGTAATGACAGGAATAGTGAGAGTCTGGGGGAAACCATGAGGAGTGGAGCCTTTAAAAATTAGGGTGATTCAATTTTACTGGGATGATCCTGTTTGTGTTACTTGCATATGGAAAGTGTAAGTTCCAGAATTGTCGTGGAAGCTTTAGAGGGCACCCAAGCTAGGAAGCTAGATAAAAATGTTGATGTCTCTCTTTAAGAGAATAGAACACGCCCACTTCCTCACCATTTCACCAAGGTGCAGCCCCGCCATGCTGTCTCCCACTGCTCCACCCAGAGACAACTAATTCTAGTGCATCTCTGCAACATGATGACATCATTCCTGTAAGCATATTATGGCTGTGCTGAAGTGTATGTCAAAGACTGTTTGGCTCCTGAAGTTTTCCTACATCTTTTGTAATGTATAGCATAGATTAGTTGCATGTACTACTATCAAAATTTATTATTTTCCTTATTCAGAAGACCACTTTACCACAATCTCTCGCTCTCATTCCAATTCCTTGTGCCTCACTATATTCCTAAGGTGGGATGAAACCATAAGAAAACCAATAGATCAATCAAATCAGATAGTCGCTGTTGCTGAAAACTGGGCTCTGGTATGAAAATCAATGTGTTTTCATAGCATGCTTTTAGGAACCAACTTAAGCATGTGCTTAAAGAGTATTCCATGTCCTTTGGAGGGAGAAGGTTAATTATGTTGGCACTAGTTTGGGGTGTTTTTTTAAATGGATTTTGGCTCTGTTGAGACATGCTTGTAAAAAGTCCAATATAATTCACTTGGTGACATAGCTTGGCAAAAAGAAACAGTTCCCAACACTACGGGAGACACTCCTCCAATACAGACTATAATTGCCCGAGGGAGCAAGGAATAGTTGCACCTTTTAAGTACATAGAACATTACAAACATTTTAAGGCAATGTGTTTTCTTTGTTTTGTTTTAGGGTTTACCAGGGTCTCCCGGAGCAAAAGGTGTTGCTGGACCACAGGTAAAGTATTCTAGACAATCTGGGAAAGACTCCAGGTGTATTTTTAATTATTATTCCACTCTTTCTCCAAGATAGTGGCACCTATTGTGACGTGGCTAATTCTCCTTGTCTCCCAACAGGGTAATGCAGGTCCTCCCGGGATACCTGGCTTGATGGGGAATTCGGGTAAACCTGTAAGCTCCTTTCTTTCTCCAGTTTCATTTTATTTTTTACTAACACTTGCGCATTTTGTGCAGAATCAGTTTTAAAGCATGTTCTATTCTTGTGTTCAACAGGGAGAACAGGGGCCACAGGGAGAAAAGGGGCCCATCGGACCCAGAGGCCCATCGGTAAGTACTTGTTCTGCTCTATCTTCAGGTTCTGAGATTTCAGTTATAGGCCAATGATGCAGGAGACAAGGTCTGCACAAAAGCTGCTTGTGTTATTTGCCTGTGACGTAAACTCTTTTAGCTTTCACATCAATTTCTTCCAGTCCCAAATTAGTTGTGCACATTTGCCTCACATTTGCCGAGTCATAATACAAATAAACTCAGCTCGATATTCCTTAGTGAGTTAAACACTCCAGCCAAAACCATGAAACATGTAAGTAGAATTATATATGATAAGCTGAACACTCGTCTACAGATCCACGTCATGCAGAGCTTTCATGGTCCCTAGAGGGACTGAAGACCCTTGCACACTATGCCACAAGTTGTGGGCTTCTTTTTGGTTCTTCTGTTGTGAACTGAGGATGAATTTCAGCTGCACTGCATGAGGTCTTAGCCATTGTTTATGACATAATGGAAGCCTGACATTTCTTGGAACCCTCTCAAGAACCTGTCCCTGGGTCAACCTAAGGGTCAACTAAGAGTCAACCTCTCAGCTACACCACTGTGTCCAGACTTCATTCAAAATGTTTGGTGCTGCCACCCACTGTGTTAGACAGAGAAGTAGGGTGCCCCTTTTATATTTTATTACCTCATGGAATAATAATATAGACATTATCCTATATATTGGACATAATAAATATATGTTTAATTATACATTAATCGTTTACCCCATGAATATCCTTGAATATACTAGTACCTATAATTTTACATAATACATAACTGTTTATTGTACATAATATTATATACCATACGACTATTAAATATGCATTATTAGCTCATTTATCTAATTTAAGAACGTTATGTCTATCTCATGCATTATTGTAAACACTCATGAATATCCATTAATCAATACCATCCATAATCTTACATTCAGACATTACCTGAAATATCTCTCATCAACGTGGAAGTGCATTTTACACCTGGTTATTTATCAATCTAGCATATCACATGAGAATCATCAGCCCCTGTATATAAGGCCCTCCCCCTCTAGTATCACGTCCATACTTGTGGGCCATGGCTTGATCCAAGGTAGGTCAAAACAGGAGCACCTCTACCATGCAAATGTATGGTACAAGATTAAGAAATGGGTCCTCAAATGCATGTTTGGGTTAAAAGTGGGTTCTGGGCCTGAAAAGGTTGAAGATACTTGATCTACACTAAACACAAAGGGTGAGATACATTTCTTTGGAATCCACATAGACCAATACACAGGCACATTTTCAAACCTAGTATGCAAGTGTTGTTCTAATGAAACCCACTTTCTGGAATACGTGCTAGTAACATCACAGGTTCACTAAATGGTGTTATATAATCCTCCCTGCCGGGATTGTTAATACAGGCTTGCAGCAGGGATTCTTCTTACCCAAATGAAGAAAGGCGATGGGGGATCAAAAGTGAAGTATACTTAAGGAGACAGTGCAGTATTCCTGAACACAGAACACTGAAAATGTGGCAATGGATTTGGGGAATACTGCTTGCCATCTTTCTGAAAACCGTTGTGCTCCATGCAAAACTGAGTTGCATAGAGTAATAACTACCAAAGTCAAGGGATTATTCCTTTGCTTTATCTTTCAGCTCTGGCTAGTGACACAATAACTTCATATCCCCCCCCCCCCCGAAAAACACTTTATTTGCAAAAATTGCAAACTCTTGGTGACTTTGAGCAGAACTTGTTTAGATATTTTTCGCTCTATAACACGCACCTGACCATAACACGCACGTAGTTTTTAGAGGAGGAAAACAAGAAAAAAATATTCTAAACGAAACAGTGGATGTATGATTTTTGTGGTTCATGCTGTGGCCACAGACGTGATCTGACGGTGAGTTTGGGGTAGCCCAATGCAAAATCCTGAGGATCCATGTGGATCCATGCTTTGTAACCACGTTTTGCGCCATTGCAGCCCCATGAAACAGTGGGTGCGTGTGTGTTTTTTGGTGCAGGCTGTAGCCATGGATATGCTATGTGATCTGATGGTGAACTTGGGGTGACCCAGTGCAAAGATCCTGAGGATCCATGTGGATCCGTGCTTAGTAACCACTTTTTAAGTGGGGAGGGAAGGAAAAGCATTCAAGGGACAAGGAGCACGCGTGGGGTGTGTGGAGAAGGATGCTGCTAATAATGCAGAAGAGGGGTTTAAGGGAAGAAGGAACACGCGTGGGGTGTGTGGAGAAGGATGCTGCTAATAATGCAGGCGAGGGGTTTAAGGGGAGAAGGAACACGCATGGGCTGTGTAGAGAAGGATGCTGCTAATAATGCAGAAGAGGGGTTTAAGGGGAGAAGGAACACACGTGGTGTGTGTGGAGAAGGATGCTGCTAATAATGCAGGTGAGGGGTTTAAGGAACACACATGGGCTGTGTAGAGAAGGATGCTGCTAATAATGCAAAAGAGGGGTTTAAGGGGAGAAGGAACACGCGTGGGGTGTGTGGAGAAGGATGCGGCTAATAATGCAGGCAAGGGGTCTATGGGGAGAAGGAACATGCATGGGGTGTGTGGAGAAGGATGCTGCTAATGATGCAGGAGAGGTGTTTAAGGGGAGAAGGAGCTCACGTGGGGTGTGTGGAAAAGGAGCTTTTCGGTGAGCTGAGCGGGGAGGGGGGAGGGAAAGAGCACTGTTGCTTTAAAGGAGCCAACCGGACAGCAGCCACTTACAGCAGTGTAAGCAGCTCCTTTCCTCTCCCGCTTTGCTCCTTCTCTCCCTCTTTGCTGCTTTACGCAGCTAATGGCGAATTCCCTGCAACCCAAGTCCTGCTCAGCGGATCAGCTGAGATGCTGGGAGAATCGTAATTTCCCCCTCTCCCTCATCCCGTGCCCTCCTGTCCCCAGCAACCTTTTTATAAACTTTTTTACTGGTTTTCACTGCGCTCGTGGCTCAGAGCCCTCCTGTGCCCTGCCGTCCCTCTGCAGCCTCATTGCTCCATTAAGAGAGCGCACGGACCTTTGCTAGCAGAGGCTGCAGCAGCTGTTGCTGGCTACGCGGCGCTTTTCCCGGCTCGCTATGGCTCCCGTCTGTCCCTCCTTCCGTGTAAGCGGTTGCTGCCCGCTTTGCTGCCATGGCTCTCCTTCCCTCCCTCCTCCCCGGCTCCTCCCCCTCCTCCTGGCTGTAAAGCAAGCAAAGCTAGAGCCACGCAAAGCGGGACAGAAGCCCTGCAAGCGGCTCCCGCTTTGCTTGACTGACGGCAGCCATGGCTCCGGTCGAGTGCATTCGCTCCGTAACACGCACAGGCATTTTCCCTTTCTAGGAGCAAAAAAGTGCATGTTTTGGAGCGAAAATTACGGTACTTGGCTATTTCCCAAATTCCTTTCTCTAAACTGATGCCGGTCTGAATGTTTTTGGACAGCTCTTGGTTAATAAAGAACAGGGTAGTTCCTTAACCGGATAATGCAAGATAATCTTCTAAACTATGTTTTTAATCCTGTAAAATGCAACTAAGGGTTTATAAAATCAGCAGTGCGTAGAAACCGGAGCTATCATACTGTGTTAATTATTAACCATCCCCACTGCAAGCTCTGGAAGCAGTTCAGATTAGACTCTGAAAGTTCTAGTTCTAGTGACCAGCATGACATCTGCTAGATTTCTGTAAACTAATAATGGTTTGCATAAGCTGATAGATGTGCAAAACATTCTATAAATCATGCTTTCAATGAGAAACGTGGGGGAAACACTGCTTTACACATTAGTTTACACCGATTGTTTCGTTATATCTATAAATTTACAAATCATTCTTAACCATACAGTGCTACCTCAGGTTACAGATGCTTCAGGTTACAGACTCCCCTAACCCAGAAATAGTACCTCAGGTTAAGGACTTTGCTTCAGGATGAGAACAGAAATCATGCTCCAGTGGCATGGCGGCAGTGGGAGGCCCCATTAGCTGAAGTGGTACCTCAGGTTAAGAACAGTTTCAGGTTAAGAACGGACCTCCGGAACGAATTAAGTTCTTAACCCAAGGTACCACTGTATTTACTTGGAAGCTAGACTTCATTTCAATGAGGCCCACTCACAAGTAACTAAACTACTATAAGTTTACAGCCATTCAGCCTAGTATGGTTAACTTAGAAGCAAGTCCCATTATGGTCAATGGAGCTTCTTACTCCCAGAGAAGAGCGCCTAGGATTGCAGCCTTAGGGTCAAACTGCACATCATGCTTAATGCATGACAGGCTGTTATTTCTCTTGCTTTTCTTAAATTAATTGCAGCTGCAAACCCCCCCCCCAGTAGTTCTCAAAAGTGTAGCATGCAGGGAAGGTAGGTGTTTCTTTTCCCAGCATCCCCAAACTCAGTGTAGTTACAAAGTTTAGTAAAAAGTTCACATTCTATGTTAAAAAGTCGTCCTTCTTGATTTCTTATTCTTCCAGTAAGTTTCACCATTTCTGCCTTTTTCATTAATTTTAGTTGCCAATCTTCTTTAGTTGGAATTGCTGCTTCTTTCCATCCCATCCCTGGGCATATACAGTGGTACCTCTGGTTATGAACTTAATTCGTTCCAGAGGTCCATTCTTAACTTGAAACCATTCTTAACCTGAGGTACCACTTTAGCTAATGGGGGCCTTCCGCTGCTGCCGCACCGCCACCGTGCAATTTCTGTTCTCATCCTGAGGTAAAGTTCTTAACCCGAGGTACTATTTCCGGGTTAGTGGAGTCTGTAACCCGAGGTGTTTGTAGCCCAAGGTACCACTGTATCATTCTAGCTGCTGTGGTAGCATACAAAAATAATTTCCTTTGTTCTCTTGGTACCTCTGAACCCAAAATTCCTATAAAAAGTGCAGTTTGACTCCTAGTCTGCGTGCATCTCCTCAACAACCTGATCAACAGAACAATCAACTTTTACCAAGTACTTGATTGGTACCTGGTTCATGGTAACATGATTGGCCAACCGCTTGAACCGCTATACTTTCACTTAATTTGATATAGCTTCCTTCGGAGCATTAGAACTATCTTCCCAATTGTTATGATCTGCTGCACAAGGGGAAAAGAACACGGATAAGATCAAGCCTTTGAATCACTGTAATGGCACAAATCAGGGTACTGCAATCTTAGAGCCAAACTTCCTTTTATCTTAATGCTATAGATCAAAACGTATTAATAAAACATGTATTTCATTGTTCCTTTTACCAGTTGACTTGAAGCTTTGCTTCGCACACACATTATGGAAATTGGTCTATATGATTATCACACTTCATTTCTGGTTAAAATCTTTGAAAGCTTTCCTTTTATGCTAAATTGCTCCAGAGTATCAGTTTTTAAACTTCAAAGTGTCAGACATAATCAGTGATAATGCTTTAAAAAAAAGAAAAAAAAGAATCAGCAGCAGTAGTGGTATAAGCAGATTATTTGTGCTCAGTTTGGCACAATGGCCCATTCTTGGCCTCACTCTGCTAGTCTTTGCCAGTTCTTTTCCTCCATTGTTTCCACTCTGTTATTTAGCAGAGATGCTATATATGGATCAGATGTGCACCTTCCCCCAAAAGCAAGATGGCTATGCTGTTAAAATGGAGATATTTTACAGTTCTTATGGACAATGATGTTGTTGTTTAGTCGTCTTAGTCGTGTTCAACTCTCCGTGACCCCATGAAACAGAGCATGAAAAAACTTCTCCTTTTTTATGTCCATGGAGTTTTCTTGGCAAAATACTGGAGTTGTTTGCCAGTTCCTTCTCCAGGTGGATCACATTTAGTCTAAACTCTCGGTTATGACCTGTCCATCTTGGGTGGCCCTGCACGGCATAGCTCATAGCTTCTTGGAGTTATTCAAGCCCCTTCACCACGACAAGGCGATGAAGGGGCTTTTGGACAATACAGTACTTCAGTTTGGACTTTGATGAGGCTTCACAGGAACGGGGCATCACCATAGTGGGACAGCTACCAAGAGCACCTCTCTGAGTACCCTCTCACAGTTGGAAGGTACCACAGTGATGGACTGAGTGCTCTTGCTTCAATTTAAAAAATGTATTTAAAAAACAAAAGGCACATCAAATTGTGCCCAGAAAATGGGGGCTGAGGAGAGGGAGATAAACATATATAGCCCATGATATGCCAGGGACAAATGTGGCAAGAAGCTGCTACTTTGCAGTCAAGAGTCCAATGGCCTAAAAGTTATGCTCAGTATTCCTTTCCCACCTGTAAACAATAACTGGAAAGACTACATGTGGTGTAGTGGTTAAGAGCGGTGGACTCGTAATCTGGGGAACCGGGTTCGCCTCTCTGCTCCTCCACATGCAGCTGCTGGGTGACCTTGGGCCAGTCACACTTCTTTGAAGTCTCTCAGCCCCACTCACCTCACAGAGTGTTTGTTGTGGGGGAGGAAGGGAAAGGAGAATGTCAGCCACTTTGAGACTCCTGAAGGGGAGTGAAAGGCAGGATATCAAATCCAAACTCTTCTACATGCATGCTTGCTATCCTGCATGTTCATCCTTCCTGGGATGTTCTCAGAGCACCTTCCCTCTAAACTGAAAAGCTCCAAATGTTGTAACCATTCCTGAAGTGAGGTGATCAGAATTAGGGTTGCACCATAGATGTGTACAATGCCATTACGAAAACGGCAGTTTTGTTTTCAAACCTTTCCCTAAAGATCCCAAGACAAGCATTGTGATGCAGATGCATATCTAGATGTGCATTACCTCCTTATTGGCTGTGCAAGAAAAAGAACCTGGCGCTCTTCAGTAGGGCAGCTAGGTGTAGACTTTTGACACCTGAAGAACAGATGTTCAGATTTGATGCCACAACATGGTTTGGTGCTATGCGAATGAACATGGAACACACTCATATGATCTCTCCTCATCTTGAGCACGGTGATCTCTCTGGTTTGTATTAAATTGAAGGAGAGAGCATAGAAGCCCAAGGCTTCTAGTAGCCAACTGTACTTAGACCCTCACACCACGGGTTCACATTCATGTGAATTGTCAACCTGAAACAAGTTCACACGATGTGCAGCATTACAAAATGAGATTTTCCTAACTGAAACACGAAAAGATGTGAGCATATAATAGATTTTTTTAAAAAGCACATTAAACTGTAACTGCTAGCCTGAGCACCCTAATTTTCCCTACCAAAAATATTAGTTTTTTCAATTGCATATCTTATGGTGATAAACAGAAGAAGTAGTTTTCAGTTTGTTCTAATTTTAATTATGTTCACGTGAATCTGCATCTAGAGGCATGTTCAATAATCATGTTACAAAAGTAACTAAATGGAGCTAAATTTGTGGAGAAGATTAATTAACTTTCTGGGTCACCTGAAGGTTTTTTCCAAGCCTTTCTAAAAGCTTCTCATGTTAATGCCATAAGAATTTTATAGAAGCAGTGACTGGAAACTTACCCAGTTCTGAGTTCTTTTGATCCCTCCAGGATACTTAATTATTTTCCAGCAAGTTTCCCTGCTTTGCTTTGCTTGAAAAGCCATTTCATGCAATTTTGAGATGTGGCATAACATGTATTTCATATGTAGCTTCATCTTTTAATTGCTCCGCAACCTGTTGTGTTACAGTTTCCTTACCAGAATATTAACATGAAAGCTAGAATTACACCTACCCACAGTGTTTCATGTTAAGTCAGTTCCGATGATGTATCACTGTTGTCAGATTATGCACACACTCATCTAACTGGTTGATAAACTTATCTTTAAAAGTGATACAGTAAGAAAGTAATAAGAGCCTGCTGGATCAAGTCAGTGGGCCATCTCGTCCAGCATCCTGTTCTCACAGTGGCCAAGGCGATTCCTCAAGGAAACTTGCAAGCAGAACATGGGCAGAAAAGCACTCTTACCACCCACAGTTTCCAGCAACTGGTATTTAACCATGGGAACTGAGTATCCTCTATGAAGAGATATTAGGCTGCTCATACCTGAAGAATCACACATGAGCATATGAGTGTGTGCTTGTCCTTCCAGAGGAGATACATGTGTGTTTATGATGCAGAATGAAATGGTAGTATTAGAAGCTACCTTCTTCTAAGTCGATATTTTGCTTTTTAGCTGACTATAAATATATATATATATTAAGTAAGCATTAATGAAACGATTCTTCATTTTGCTGCCAGAAAATGCTTTAACAATGCCTCCTTGTTTTCTCAAAGGGTAGCAGAGGTGAGCTGGGTCCTGCTGGCCCTCCAGGTCCGCCAGGTAAAATGGTAAGCAGCCAGTGTCTACTCCCATCAAATTCATTTTTATTTTTCCAAGAGCTTATGGTTTCCCTTTAGGATCCGTAGCAACCTAGCAGTTTATGCAAGAAGCTGAAGATGAAACATGAATACAATCATTGTTGCTTTCCCTCTTCCCAGCTTGTGACTCTACTAAGACCCACATTTTCTTATTTGAATTCTGTAAAATTCTACTGGGAACACATCATTTTTAATGCAGTACTGTGAGGAAGAAAAGTGGATATCTCTCTTTGTGTATTGCCTTAAGATGGTGAAGTTAGCTGTCGCTTGTGTTATTAATTTAAAAAGGAGCAGGAATAATGAAAGGCCAGTTTTTTCTTTTTCCTTTCCTGCTAGCAGCTATCTGGCATTAATGACTACTGAGCGTGAATGCCTTCTTTGAAATGACTCAATCTTCATTTGCATGGTTTCTGCTCGAAGGGCAGCCTGGCTATTTGGGAACTGAAAGAGCTCCCTGTTAGAGAGGAAGGGTTGAGGAATTACAGCATCCTCCTCCATAAAGGCACAAATATTTTAGCAGATGTATTAAAAGTCTAGGAACTGATGTTTTCTGGCTGCAGTAGATTATAGCAAACTGTCAGCAACAATTTAGCAGAGTCTATGGTTCAGAAAGAAAGCACACAGCCGGCTGTTCTTATTACTCTCCATAGGGAAAGTGTAATGTGCTTCTCAGAGGCTGGGTCTCTTTATCAATGGGTCTTTTGTTTAGTCTAAAAATTAACCTAAGAATCTGCCATCTTTGTTTCCACAGGGTGGCGAAGGTGACATAGGCCTCCCAGGTTTACCTGGGCCTCCAGGATTGCCTGGTGCTAAAGGTGACAGGGTAAGCATACGATTTGCCATAAGGAATTGCTGCAGCTACTCTTGGTCTAATTATTTTCTGAAGCCACTTAAAGAGGGGAGGAATTAAGAACTACCAATATTGCAGGGGTGGGGAATCTGGGAGCCTTCTCGACGTTGTTGGACTCTTAACTCAAACCCATCCAACATGGCTCACGGTCAGGGATGACAGGTTGTTGTCCAAAATCTAGAGGGCCAAAGGTATCCCTGCCCTGAATTGTTATGTATAGGTTTCTGCCCTCAGGCCTGTGAAAACTGTTGTGGTGTGTAGCCAACAAGTTCCTCACCACTACCAGCACACACACCTTGGTGTGTTTTTTTTACCCTTCACCCCACCTTTGCTGATGTCCACTAAAAATTCCTCCTGATATTACTGCAACTATCTTAATTGAAATCCTTACTTTAATTAAGGCCCCCACTTCCAGTCACGCTATGACCGACGTAAAATTGAGCCTAAGAAGGGAAACTGTTCACCTTATTAGAACCCCAGTTCCACCCTATGCTGCTGCTGCTTCATAGGTGCCAGTTCTATAGGGCTGAGGTGTCTTCAGCCTGCCCCGTCCCCCAAGTCTGCTGGGACAGGACTGAGCCCCCTCCCCAACCTTGCAGCACTGGTCCTCGCTTGGGTAGTGGCAGGTCTTGCTGGGCCTTGCTTGGGTGGCAGTGGTCCTCGCTGGTCCTCTCGGGCAGCGGCAGGCCTCACTAGGCCTCCTCCTGAAGTGCAGCGCTCGATGCACAAGATGGCCACTGCAATTTTGGGTGGAACTCGGTGCCTCTGTACCCCTTTGATTGTTTCTAAGGGTTTTCCAGATTATTTCTGAGGTTGTGTTTTTCTTCTGCTCATTAGAGGTCTCTCCCCTGCCCTTTCCCACTCAAGCCTCCAGTCTTTTCCTTTTGCACCCCTGGGTAATTTTAGCTTTCACATTCAAAGTCGCTGGTTGCTTAGTTAGCAAATTAAGGAAAAATCTTAGCTCTGACTTGATTGTGAAGAAGATCATTCTCTCTCTCTCTGTGGGAAAAGGCTTCTTAACTTCAGCTGCTGCTTTCTTGAAATTCTTTGCCTTGCCTGTGCTAGGGGATATTTGATGTTCTGTCAATGAGCATTCATCATTATGGCATTAGCTTAGTTGGCAGAGTGCTATAGAATTCCAGAGCCATCAGTTCCGAGGAATTAACTCGGAAAGGGTTTATTCTCAAGGGAAGTCTTAATTATAGGTAGTCTTTACCAGTTGCTACTGATGCCTAGAGCTCTTCATTGTAGCTGTGCCTTCCCCAGACCTCATGTGATCTTCTCTATATTTAAAATGGAATATATATATATATATATATATATATATAATTTTTGCTCCAGTCCTTGAAGTGTCTACTGGTGGATTATTTGGTGGTCCAAAACACTAATAGCTACCATTAACAAAAACCATTCCTGCTGCATTCTAGAACTCAACATCAGCCTTAGAGTTTTTCCGAGTATCCCTTAGCTGCAGTGCTTATTGCACTGAATGAAAATATGTTCCTGGATAAAATGAAGGACACAATCCCTTTCACTCACAGAGAGCACCACACCTCAGGCCATTGGAGTAAATACTGTTCCAAGGCCATCATCACCCCATGCACTTTACCTTGGGGAGTCCAATAGCCTGCTCTTTTCTAAGCCCTCAGGACATTGGTTACTTCCAGTCCTATTAGTAGTGGTAGTCTGTACACTAGCGGGTGGAAGAAGAATGTGGCACCTTAGGTCCTCCATACATTGTGAATGGTTGAGTGTATTTCTGCAGCGTGCCCAAGGTCATTCACCATGGTAGTGGCATGCATGCCCAGAGGTGGCTTAGTGGGGAGGGTGAAGTTCTAATAGACACCTTTGGGGCATCCTGCAGGTGTCTGTCTCCATGACAGGTGAATATAGTGTCCTTTCCCCACCAAGGTCTGTTTCAAACATGCCTTCTCAACCTTCCAACTTTCCCTCGGTTGTACAGTTGCTGCCCTGTCCATGTGACCCAAGGATCCATGCATGCTGCTGTGGGGATTTCTGAATCTACTTCCCACTTGGATCCAAGAGGAATTCCAGAGTGGGTGCTTGTTGTGTGGTCTGCCAGAACCACCTAGGAAGGGGATACAAACACTCATGCATGGATTAGTGACCACAAGGAAGCAGTGTTTGATGGTACTGTCGGAATCCATCCTTTAAACACACAAGTAGGCACAGGTACTCACGTTCTCACATGAAGATGGCCAAAAATGCAGATGTTTGACGTGAGGCTTATACCTTGTCATCAACTCAGATGGCTCCATCTGTCATGGTAATATATTCAGTTATTCATGAAAACGGGTCCAAACTATTAGGGCAGACAGAAGTGAAACTTGAAGGAATACAAGAAGCGGTGTTATACTAAGCTAGGGCAACGTTCCATCTAGTTCAAATTTTTTTATTTTTGCTTTTGTTGTAGAATGATATTTTCTATGAGGGGGCATGGAGGTGGTAAGTTGGCACAATTCAAACCCAGTAGCAGAAGAGCCAGATTGGCTCTGCCAGTGTATTTGCACTGCACTGAGCTGGCTGCTGCCACCTCTGTTCTGGTATACAGCAACAATTCGGAGTGAGGGAGGTCAGGTGATTGGCACTGCTGTAAATGTGTGGGGTGGGTGTAACTACATGCAATAGGAAACATACTGGATGTAACTGATAGAATATTAGTTACACAGAGGGTAGATGGTAGCAGTGGCATAGCGGGGTGGTGGCACAGGGGAGGTTTCCTCAGGCGCAGAATTGTTAGGGGTGCAAAATTTCAATGTCTGGTGCTGCCTCAATACACTTGCATGCTTCTTTTGCTGGGCTCCATTGAAAATGGCTTCTCCATACAAACCAGGAAGTGACCTCTCCAAACAAAGAAATGACTCTTATTTCCACAATCTCCTGGGTGACTCAGACACTGAATGTGCATGTGTACTCTGTCTATTTCTCTCTCTCCCTCCCCCCTCCTCTGTGCGGCCCCGGATACTGGCAACCCATGCTACACCACTGAATGGTAGCCATATCTGGGGGGTGTATTTCTGCTGCATCCTGAAATGGGCAAAAACAGGCACAACACACTGTTTCCCTCCTAGCACTGCAGGATGTTGTGATATCCCGGCATGCAGAGCTGGGAACAGTGCCTGGCCAGGTATTCTGACTTGGAAGTCTCAGGGTAGCCTACTGTTGCAATGGTACTCATGTCCACATTCTTGCCACATACTTATTCTTTTGGTTATGCACAGCGGTGTTGTATAAAAGCACTGCCACTATTACTTTATTCTTAAATTGCAATAATACAAATGTACCTTGTATACATTCTGTAGGAGGGAGTGCTGAATATTTGTACAGTGGTGCCTTGCAAGACGAAATTAATCCGTTCCGCGAGTCTCTTCGTCTAGCGTTTTTTTCGTCTTGCGAAGCAACCCTATTAGCGGCTTAGCGGATTAGTGCTATTAGCGGTTTAGCGGCTATTAAAGGCTTATTGGCTTAGCAGCTTAGCTGCTAAAAGGCTATTAGCGGCTTAGCGGCTTAGAAAAGGGGGGGGGAGCGAAAAAAAATCTCAAGACTCGCAAGACATTTTCGTCTTGCGAAGCAAGCCCATAGGGAAATTCGTCCTGCGAAGCAACTCAAAAACGGAAAACCCTTTCGTCTAGCGGGTTTTCCGTCTTGCGAGGCATTCGTCTTGCGGGACACCACTGTATCTAGTTTGCTTCTGTTCTTCTTTTCCTCTCATCTTTGTGCCTTCATGCTGCTCAGCAGGCATGATGCAATGTATGAAAGCCAAGAGAAATAAGAAGTGTAGATGAAAGAGTATTGTGTGTGTGTTCCATATAAATATCTCAAAAATCTTTGGTGAATTCAAACACACACCCCACATACTCGGCAGCAGTAGTACCAGATTGTGAGGGGGCAAACTCTGTCTCATATATTAAGCCTTCCCATAAAGAAACATCTCTATGTTTCAAAGGAGCAAAGGATTTGCAAAACATTTATTCGGAATTAAGTTATGCTGTTTCCATCATATTTACAATCTTGGATGAAAGTCTGCTTAGAAGAGCAGTCTCAATTAAAATTCTAATTTAATATTCTATCTATTGATGGGTTTAATGGAAGTCCCTAGGTGTTTTTAAAATGAAAGCTGTTTTTCTAAAAAAAATAAGAAATCAAGAACATCCTGATCTGTCTTCCGGAAATAGGTATTGTGCAGGTAGAAAGGCTTGGCAGAAATTCAACAAGAGAAGCTTGTCCCACAGTAAAGATGGAGCAGTGGAAATCTTCACCAGCTGAATTTATTATTATTATTATTATTATTAATTAATTTATTTATTTATACCCCGCCCATCTGGCTGGGCTTCCCCAGCCACTCTGGGCAGCTTCCAAAAAATATATTAAAATACTGTCCACTGTGCAGCTATTTAATGTACTGGGGCCCCTAGAAGAAGAAAGGTGGCAATCAACAATACCAAGTTTCATTAGCGATAGCTTGAGAAGTGGTTTGTTAAGTAAATAAGTCAATGAACATGTCTCCTGGCAAGGAATTCTGAATATGAGAGGAAGAGGGAGGGAAGGAGAGGCAGCCTTGATGTGCAAATGAAAAATGTAAAAGATGGAATTGAGAGTGAGAGTTAAAATTTGCATTGAAAGGGCAGGAAAACTCATCAGTACACAAGATCATATCATTCAATGTGGAATAATTAACTGCCCCGACAGTGATGCAACCTCTCAGTTAGGTTTTTCAAAGGTCTAAATACCCCCAAATGCCTTGGAGTTAGGGGTTTCCAACTTCCTAAAACTGGGGAAACCACCCCTTGCAGGGGAAAAAGAGGAAATGACTCTTTATTATTATTTCAGGTCAAACACGGTTTGGCATTAGCCTTGTTTGGTGCCATGTTTTGTAAAGCAATTTCCATCAAGTGCATGAACCATGATATACCAAGTAGATGACCAGCCAAGGGTGTGAACCTGTTGCCCAGACCCCATTTAGCACAATTTTCCTGAGCCCTGAATTCTCAGGCGCAAGCCATGTGGTTCACTTGTCAACTACGGGAGAAGAAGGAATGGCCACAAGAGATTTCTGAGAGCATTAATCACCCACCTTGGCTGTCCCCATAACGCCACTTAGGCCCACACTTAAATTGAACTCTGTTTGTCATGCTGACAGCAAAGAGGAAGAGTTGAAATTGTCTGGTTATTAATTAGTGTTATCAGAAAAAAAGGAAAGCAGGAATAGTGTTATTTAAAGTCTGTCTCACTACCAGCCCTGACCGAAACACTGGATTTCCTCAAGCCTCAGACATTGCTCCATTGCTGTAATTTTTATTGCTGTTTTGGTTTTCTTTCCTTCATGTTAAAAAAATTGTTTTTTTAGAATATTTTGGAAAATATTCATGGAATAAACTGTTATACATATATGGAGTAAACCACTTGCAGTGCAGTCATATTGCAGCTAGCTCAAAGAACACATGAATCAAATAGATTATGATGTTGCCATTATGTACAGCGGTACTTCAGTTGTCGAACGTAATCCGTCCCGGAAGACTGTTTGACTTCTGAAACGTTCGACAACCAAGGTGCAATGGGCGGCTGGCAAATTCCATTGAGAAAATGGAGAAATGTGCCTCAAAAGCTGTTTGAATTTCGAGGCGCGTTTGAAAATGGAAGCATTCATTTGCGGGTTTTTGGCATTCGGGTTCCAAAACATTCGGCTTCCGAGACGCTTGAAAACCGAGCTTCCACTGTACTTAATTTAATAATTTAGATACTATTTAATACTGTAGTTTCTATGTGGTGTACAATAAGGATATATCGTACATCATAAAACCAGTTAAAGTTAACCATAAGATCAGAAAAAACACACACTTAAAATGGCTGCTGAAAAGTTCCTCCCCTAAGCTTTGGAAGTTCAGCAAGATGCAGGAGTTCCAAAATGCATCTTACCTTTCTGCCCCTATCATAAAGGCTTCCCATTTCACTTCAGTAGAGAGGATAGCTCCAGATGCATAAAGAGACCCATATTGCCTCATCCATTTAATCAAATGGGGAATTTCCTTCCAAAGGGAGCTCTTTATGTGCAGCAGAACATAGACATATGAATCCCTGGATCTAGGCAAGGGAATTTTAAACTTACTTATTCCCATGAGTACATTTATATATATATTTTTTATAAAATAAAATTATCAAATCATGGACAGCTTGTTTGTTAAACGCAAATCAATGCCTCACTCTTTAGGGCATTTTTAAACTGTGTCTACAGTAGCTAATTTTAAGTTTGCTTTTTAAAATCATGTTATTTTTATTTTGCGTATAGGGTTTGGTTGGTGAGCCAGGACCTAAAGGAGATCAAGTGAGTACACAAATTCACATTGTCTCGTATGCTTCCAGCAAGGTTGAAATTATGGAAAATGCCTTATCCTTATTTATAAATAATATGCTTCTTGTTATAATATAGGGAGCTGCTGGTGGAGAAGGGGAGCCTGGACAAAGAGGCGATCTTGTAAGATCTTTTCACCTCATTCATTCCACACACTCAGCTTTAAAACTGGCAGGTGTTGTTTCATATATAACACAGACAAATGGGTCATGCAACTTGCTGTTGAAGAAGCTGCACATTCCACATGAACGAAAAAAGATAGCTCTATAGACATTTGGGTAATATTATTGCATTCCTATATACACTCTCTAGGAAATTAAGTTCCGCTGAACTCAACAGGGCTTATTCCTGAGTAGAAACTCATAGGATTGCACATTAGAGGAATACAAAATGTGATCTGATTGCTTTGCCTATTGTTCAACATTGGACATTCACAAAGCAAATGCCGCCACATCTGACTACTTTGGATCAGTCTAGTGAGGCAGATAAGCCTCTGAGAACATTACCCACTTGTGTTCTCAGCTCTTCCTACCCCCATGCAACTTGACATTGTTGTGCCATATCAGAGGCAGGGCACAGCCATTAGCGATGTAGTTACAGTTCAGAGGCAGTTTTAGAGTAGCACAATGTGTGGCCCTGCAGATGTTGCTGGACTCCAGCTCCTAGCAGACCCAGCCAGGATGGCCTTTAGTCAGGGATGATGGGAGTTGTGATCCAACAACATTTGGAGGGTAACAGGTTCACCATCTCCACTCCAGAACATACTGAATCTTGAATGAGGCATCAAAATGTTCAACTACAGATAGTACCACTTTCATGAACAAAACCCCTCATTTTTTAAAAGAAGCCTTTTAAAAAAACATCAAAAAACCCTTTTCAGCCTTTTACACTGCTTCTGTAAGTCTACGTTTTAAGTACACCATGAGGTTTCCATTCCCTTTTAGAGTGATATCATTTCTTAAAATATTTAGAAAATAGTACCATATTCATTTTATTTAAAACGGCTTGCGCGTATGCCATCCTGACACAATTCATCTTGTTTTGTTAGGGCGACATGGGTTTGCCAGGCCCTAAAGGATCTGTAAGTATGATGAACTGCATTGTTACAGAAAATCAAAACCTTAATAAATCAGCAGAATATTTCAAACAAGGGGGTGGTTATTTAGCTTCGCAAATGGAGCTTCAATATTTAGTTCCCCAAGCAAGGAAGTTAAGGCAAATGTGATCCATCACTCATCGTTTTTATTCTAATGCTGTGGATTACTAGAGGGTTTCTTAGAGTGACAAATTTCACCTCTCAGTGTGTGGAGATGGAGGAGTTTGTGTGTTTCTGCGAAGAGGGGCAAATGAATGAGTCAGTGTGGAACTTCCCAGTGGTTGAGTAGAGCAATCCTTGTGAACTTAAATTTTTATACAGGTCATAATCCAGAGTTGAATATCTTCTATGCATCTCACACAGAAAAAAGACATTCAGTCTGGATGTAGAATTTGGCTGCTTAGTATCTAAATCCCCCCTCCTTTTACCAGAAGTAATTCCATAGCTTTCGTCCATGCTGAGACAAAGATTGGCAGAGGCCATGTTCGAACAATCCTATCTTGATTTCCTAAGCCATGCCACAAAGGTGAACCCTGTGCACTTAATGTAGCCACTTTGCTTCTCCTTCCACATAAGCTGCAAAACAAGGAAGTCTTCAGTTAACCATAGTGTTACATCTGAACTGAGAAATCCTATTTAATGTCTTCCAGACAAGCCAGGGATATCTTAATGATGTCCCAATAACCTGCCTTGTTTGGAAGCCATTTTCTGGTTCAGACTTAAATCGTAAACAGTACTGAACTGGAGACATCCTGACTTGCTTACCTACCCAAAGGGAGGAGTGAAGCACCTGGGTGATGTCAGTTAACGATGCACCTATGGTCACAGGGCAGCTTGCCCAGAATCTCTGTTGCTATCTGAAAAGATGCAGCTTTGGCTATTGGTGGGCTGTGTGGACCTTGGACATGAACATAAACGTGCTTACGGGCTTAGGTTTTATTTCAAAATGATTGCGTGATTATCCCACTGTCTCAGTGATTCCTCAATGAAGTAATACAGAATACTATAAAAAGGAGTCTGCCAGCCCACACTATGCTAATGGGGGTCTTATGTAAAGTTTGGAATGCATTGATTGGAGAATATATAGGGTGCACTGAAATCTTGCAAATTAAAGTTCACCCCCAACTTCTTCAGTTTCCATATCCACCCAATAGATCATTGCAAGATCCTTACCACTTTTGTTATCATCCCAGGGATAAAAAGTTCTGCAACTAGTAACATTGGCGCCATAGTTTTCTGTTTGTCTGAGAAGAGAAGTAGTTGCGATTAGTTTTCCCCTGCAGTGGTTTAGAGGCAGCCGTTTGCAAACACTTGTGTTACCAATTTCTAGCTTATCTAATATTTATTTGCTCTGCAGTTATATTTATAGAATACAAAAATGGGGGGGAGGGGAGAGATCTTAAAAGCACTTGTAGTTTATGGCCTCCTTGGTAGTTAAGCTGTTTTTTAAATATTTAATATATTCATAGGATTTGTGCAAAGGCAAAAGTTTAGAATTGCTTCAGGGATTCATATTGCTTAAGTAATGTATCACAGTGGAGGTGCCTGTGGGGAAAAGAGAAAGCAAATGCCACTTGCTATGCAGCAGACTCTTCCCTATGTGTTTATTTACTGCACTGCATAAAAACGGTCCTCCTCTAAAAGAGATCAGGCTCTGCCACCAAAAATAAAGGCAAACTCAAAACCACGGTCCCACATAAGGCTTGTCAAGTCTTTCCTCTTCAGTTGAAATTGCCAAATCTAGCAGGGGACCTTGTTCAGAATGTCAGGGGGCCATGGCAGCCATGTTAAAAAACAAAAGAAAAGAAAGATATATAACCATCTTCATTTTACTGAGCAGCCTTCCCAAGCACTGTGCCATCATTCCACAAAGTACAAATCTGCAAACGTCAACTCCTACTTTTCCACTATGAATGTTGTGGGAGCCTGAGGAAGTACATGCAGCAGTTTACTGCTGTATTGAGATACCTGGAACAATGTGGAAGAGTAGCTCACTCTGCAAAAAAAGAAAGAAAGAAATCTGTTCACTTCCTGCCATCTTTAGGTTGGGAATCCTGGTGAACCTGGGTCACGTGGGCCTGAAGGAAGCCGCGGTTTGCCCGGGATTGAAGGATTACGTGGGCCCCCCGGACCTCGTGGTTTGCAAGGCCAACAAGGTGCAACAGGCCTGCCTGGCAGCCAGGGCCCAGCTGTAAGTAAGATATCCTTTTGCATGGCTATTTCTGTCACTGCAAGAATTATGAATGGGCTTGCAATCAAAATTGCAGGTGGCAATCTATTGCAGATCCCTGCAATCTGTTGGGACCATCTAAATTTTTTGCTGGACGCAATTCTGCCCACTGTTTACAGAATGCTTATTTGTTTCAGGGCAGAGAGCCAACTGATGCACACATTAAGCAGGTTTGCATGAGAGTTCTGCAAGGTAAATAAACCACGTTTCTGTTTGTGAACTCTGAATATGAGTTTTTCCAAGAGCTTGCATTTACTGTGTGTGTCGCCTGCTTTTCTCCTAGCAGCACATTCTTTGGTGGCTGGCTGGCTGGAACCTCTGCTGATTTGGGGTGGAAAACAACTGACATTGGAAGTTTTTGGGTGGCGGGTTGTCTAGTGTGGTGGTGGTGGTGGTTTTTGTTCTTCTTGAAGATTCCCATTCATAAAGAACAGTGTTCCAAGTCAATGGATCGGCGCCAACTTTTTATAGGGAATAAACGTTTAGATGTAGCTGTTGGCATTATTCTGGGCAGCAGGACAGGAAGGCACAGCACCCAGTCAAAAAGAGGGCAAGGGGGGGAGAAGCTCCTGCATTCTCCACGACAATTTTCTCCTTTAACACGAAGGCTCTTTCGGCCACAAGCAAAGCCATCAAAGGCAGCCTTTGCCAACCCAAAGCCCTCCAGATGATAACTCCTACCAGCCCCTGCTACTACAGCTGCCATTTCAGTGCTATTGCTATAATTAACATGGATCATCAGCGGTTTAAGCAAGATCATATGGTTGCACTTTGTGGTGCTCAAGAAGTTGCTTTTGTAAAGCCTTAAAATAAGGTTGTAAGTGTCCGAAGTATGATGTGTCAAATAGACTGCGGTAGAACTCAGCTCCCGAATTGCAAACTATGTCATAGGATAAAACATGCTAAAGTATGGGCAGCTAATGAGAACTGTGTTCTGTCAGTCATCTGTGCGTGTAAACATTGCAATAGCATTGATTTTATTCTTGTTTTATAATTTGCTATATTTGTAGCTTTGAATTTATTGCATCTGTGTCGGGGCGGAGGAAATCTGTGCCCTGCCGACAGTGGCTGCTGCCGAGGTCCTCTGGGATGTTGCACTGCTGTATTTCAGCAGTTTAAGAGGCATTATTGCACTCTGTGATTTAATTTGAGGCCTTCTCAGCACAACTGCTATTTTTTAAAACTGCCCAACAGGGTATATTATTAGTTTCCACTTCAGATTTAGCTTCGCTATGAAGATAAATGTTCCCATCTCCTTTTATCAAGTTTAGAATGTCCCTATAGGGAAGGGCTGCAGCTCAGTGGTAGAACACATGTCTTGCATGAAGAAGATTCAATCCCTGGCATTTCCAGTAGGGCTGGAAAGATTTGAGCAGCTGTCGGTCAGTGTAGTGTAGACAATGCTAAGCTAGGCGGAATAATGCTCTGACTTGGTATAGGCAGCTTTCCCTGTTCTGTGAACATTAGGTTATGTGAGGCCAATTGTGGTGGATTTGAATGGCACCAGCAGTTGAAGTGTTGCATTTGCAGCAAAAGGGGGGAACTACTGGAAACATCATGCCATATCCCAAGCAAAAAATAAATTAAAAAATTCATCTTTCACAGTGTCAGTGTGTGGCCGATACGTTATCACAGAACTTTTCAGATGGGGAATTAAAACAAATTATCATGCAAGGGATTCAGTTTCCTTTCTGCTCACCACTCATAACCTTTCTACCTGCATATTTGTGGCAGATGCATGGTAAATGCCCCCCCTTCCATCTCCTTGTCATGGAAATCTTCTGCTCCCAGTTTTTAGGAAGTATTTAAACCAAGGAATTGCCACATCTAATATAAAACCTAATACAGTGGTACCTCAGGTTACAGACGCTTCAGGTTACAGACTCTGCTAACCCGGAAGTAGTACCTCAGGTTAAGAACTTTGCTTCAGGATGAGAACAGAAATCGCACGGTGGTGGCAGCGGGAGGCCCATTAACTAAAGTGGTACCTCAGGTTAAGAACAGTTTCAGGTTAAGAATGGACCTCCAGAACAAATTAAGTTCTTAACCCGAGGTACTACTGTACCAGAAACTTATTTGAAGTCTATTGGATCTCATCAGAATTGTAAGAACCAACTCTTTATTTATTCATAAAAAAGCCAATAGGCATCTAGTCCTCATGGTTGCATGGGTTTGAAAATGTTGCTTTTTATTAAAAGGGTGATGAGTAAAAAAATAAAAATCAACCACCAAGAAATCCAGATTAATATCTTTGCAGTTGAATACTACAAATGATTAGATTAAACTTAGTTTGTAATTTATCTTCATTTCTCCCCCACTTAACAGAGCAACTGGCTCAACTGGCTGCCAGTCTTCGGAGGCCGGAGTTTGGTGCTCCAGGCCTCCCAGGCCGCCCTGGGCCACCGGGTTCCCCTGGACCACCTGGAGACAATGGCTTCCCAGGGCAGCTTGGGCTTCGGGGACTGCCTGGCCTTAAGGGTCCTCCTGGAGACATTGGGCTGAAAGGCCCCAAAGGTAAGAGACCAATGCATGCTTACCTGGGAGCATCACTCCTTGAAGTCAACAGGACTCAGCCACAAGGAAACATGTATAAGAGAGGGCTGCTCAGTGCTAGGATTTCATATAAAACACACCGAAGCTATTTGCTGTGGCGTGATCATTACTGCATGCAGTTTAATGGAAGTTTGTCTACCATAATGGATCCGTCACATACAACTGATACATATCGGTTCAGCTTTGTTCATGTTCTTGGCTTTGATGCCAGAAATTGTTGTTCCTTTCTCATTTTGTTCCAGGAAAGAGTACAAGCAAATTTCTTCTTCTCTTTCCCATTATTGACCTCAGTATGTAACACAGCAAGCACCCCTAACACACTGTGTTCTTAATTTCTGTGTTTCCCCTGTGACTTTTGTCTGCACACTCTCCTTCTTGAGATTTCATTTTCTGCTCTTCTTTTTCTTGGTCAGTCCAATTCTACCAGATGCCCTTGTACTACTTACTATCTCTTATGAACCAGTTGAGAGTCCCATGAGTAACTGAAATAGGCAGAAGGTATTGCCTCTATCTATGCCAGAGTCCTGCTGCAGAAGGGTACCTGGGCCTGCTGGAGCATCATGCAAGAGAGGCGAAGTTGGATATTGTGTGAGGCAGGTGGAAGTTGTGGCAGATTTCTGCTGGAACCAGATCAGGGCAATCGTTGCCTCGGGTCTTGCGACACACGATGCTCGCTTACATCAATTCCCATTAAAATAAATGGGCCGTACAGTTGTGTAACTAGCTGCAGCCATGATCGTTTTAGCTTCCTGTTTCTGAGATGAATAACCTGACTAGGGAGATATATATTTACTACTTTTTTTTCCACAGTGGCAAAGAAAGAACTGAGATCACATAGGCTATATGCACCATAATCCTCTGCACATTCACCTGGAAGAGAGCAGTGCTGAGTTCATTGGCATTTATTCCATTAAGTGTGCACAGGCTTTGCAGCCTTGGCGATAGAAACAGATCTCCCCCTCACCTTTAATTGTTGCATTCAGAACACTCTCCAGTCCCTTTATGCAGAATTTTATTTCGCTTCTCTTCCCAGGCCCGGCTGTTTGTGCTCGTTTCCCATTAAAAACATAGAGCACATTCATCCTTTGAATGTAAAGTTTCTCATCTGAAACTTCTTGCTAAGCCTCAATATGACATCAGGCTAGACAGGGTTGGGATTACACCAGTGTGGCATTTTAGCAAGGTTTGCATGCATTCTCTGGCCCACTGCTAACTTGACACTTAAGCATATTGTTACCATGGATCTAAGGTGTCTGGGAACATCACCTACTCTAGTGATGCCATTAGCCCTAGGGCTTTTGTCACTAAAGGGCACATTTGCAAACCTCTGAATAGAGCAAAAGGTGTTGGGAGAGCTCTTTTAAAAATGTGTTTTGAGAAGCCCTTTGGCTTAGTTCCCTATATTGAACTTCGCTCAGAATCACAAATTGCAGAGGGACCACTATGGAAGAAAACCACACTTTTCAATACTGTAGTTAAACTGGAGATCTGCTAATTTAATGTTTCATCTTTGTTCTTCTTTGACTGAAAGCATCTTGTCTTGAAAGCAGCCCCCCCACCCTCAACTGCTTTTTGCGTGCTTTTATCCAGTTATAGACAGTAAACTGCTCCATAGGCAAACCTGGCTACTGTAGTTTTGTGAGGTAGGCTAGGGGTTTTGAACAGAGCAACTCACCTTTGCAGGAAAGACATGACAAATAAACCGCTACAGAACCAGTTTTAGGTGTGCAGCAGTGCCTTTGTAGAATGATGAGCCATAGTTTATTGAGTGCTGATAAGACTGTGCTCATGGGTAGCCAACGGTCTAGAACTAGCACCGAGTTCAATTTGGCCTGCCACTGTGAACTTTTCTGAAGTGATTAGAGCACTGGAATGCCAGATTGTGGATAACTGGACCTGGAAATAACAATTCAGGCTGCTGGCTCAACAGGAACAAAGATCTGTTTGAGCACAGTAACCGTGTGCCTTGGTCTTTGCATTCCAAGAGCAGAGGTGGCTGAAAGAGGACAAAGGAAGTGAAATTAACAAAGCTTAGATGAAAATAACTTGATCTCTGGCAACCTAATAATTACTTTGGGACACAGTAATCAGCACCTGGAAGAACCCACATACATCTAAATGTGGTGGAACAGGGGATGACTCTGCAGAATGAATAAGAACGGAATGCTAAAAGCTGCTAATTATGCTGCATAAAAGGGGGAGAAGGCAAAGCTTCCCAGCAATCTGGTTTCCAGAGCCAGCACACATTAGGATGCAGCAAGTTGTGATGCCTATAACAAAATATGATACAATGGTGTCCCATCAACATTACTGCCAATAGCTATTACAAAATGCTAAACTCTGGGCAGTTCCCCAGAATCGGGCCATGAAAAGGGGAAAACCTGAGGTAGAAATAAATTGTGATGACCTCAGAGAAGGTGCACAGCAAAGAGGCCTCCACTTTATTTGCCACCAAGGTGAACACGCCAGACAGAAAACTCCCTAGGGTGGCAAACTGGTCTCTGGTTGCCAGCATTGCATAGTGCAGGTGATCTTTCAAGTTAGTCATTTCAGAAGAAGCCTACTGTTTACAGTGTAACTATTCCTGTTTGTTTTTTTAAATGCTTAACAACCCAAATTTTACATCCAGCCATGTGATCCACTCTCGTGTAGTGATGTGATGCAGAAAGGGAAGAAGGGGGTGGGGGTGGGGCAATATTAGTGGGAATGAAAAAACAGCTATAGAAAGGCAAAGTCCCTGCTTGGAAATTGGATCTGTAATGTGTGATTATAGAGATAGCAGTCAGTTCTAACTGTGGGGGGGATTTAGTAGTGGGAAGCTACCCTTAAGGACATACGTATTTAGTTTAACTGAATCTGCTCTGCTCTAAATCTCTGTTATTGCTTGAGCTGCGGATCATTTGTCCTGTCCACTGATTTTAAGTGTCTGTGTGTGTGCAGAACGTTTCTTCATGCAGATTGCACATAATGTTCCATTAATACGTTTTAGGTGAAACAGGTGAAAAGGGGGAGAGAGGATTCCCAGGTCGAGGACCCAAAGGCTTACCAGGCACAACAGGACTCCCAGGTAAATACTGAATTTTGCTTCTAGGATAGGGGTGGGGAACCAACAGCCCCCCCTCCCCAGATACTGTTGGACTCCATCTCCTGTCAGCCCCAGCCAGTGGTCAAGTATGAGGGGAGTTGGAGCCCAGTGACACCCAGCAGCTACAGATTCCCCACCCCCACCTGTGCTCTAGGAAATTCAAGAAGTGTTTGTGCAGCTGTGCATGAAATGCTATATTTAACAACCCTGGAAATGTGGGTGTCTGTCTGCAAGGGAGTGAATGCTTAATTACTAGGATATGCATACAACTGCCCCCCCCATGTCTCAATTCCTTTCACCCTTCTTTTTTGGTAATGCTGTGATCTCCATGATCAAGGCAGGCAGTGCATCCCCTTGAAACTAGCAGCTCAGCTTCCAAATTATGGCTGGTAGCTCTTCTCAAATGGTCTTTTGTGCCACTGTTTGTTACATCTTCAAAACTGTATGGGAAGCTCTCAATTGACTCATTAATAAAAGCCGGCCTGCAACTCAGAAAGCCACAGAATAAAATTTTAGAATCAAGTTCCATAGACCTAATACTGCCAACATTGCAGGGTGTGGTAAAATAGTACAAGGTCGGGATCAAGAACACAATGATTAAGTTAAAAATAGCAAGTTGGCTTCCAGAATATATGGCATGCTTAAGGATTTGCAAATCCTTTCGATCTGATTTTGGTTGCAGGACTCTTTAAAATGTAGCTTGCTGTATTACTGTACCAATATGAAGCACTGCAGAATGAGAAACCCTTGCTTATAAATGCAACACAAGTGCCCTCTAGTGGTAACTAGAGGTAACTATGACACAAATAATTTGCCATACTTCTATAAATACATTCAAACTATTTCTATTCGTGATACGCAAAACTTTTCAAGTTCCCTTGATTTCTTAACAATCTCATCCCTCTTCCACAATATTACGTTTTCCATGAACAAGATTTCTTTCCAATAATACTATGCAGTCTCAAAAGCAGGCAGCTCGAGGGAAATTCGGCCTTAATGCTCTGCCAAGGAAGGGCAAGACCCTGTGATTTTTGCAAACGCAATCTCTACCCATCAGATTGAACATGGTTGAAGTAGATGACCTAGTTTACTTGAAGGCAATTTTGGAAACAATTTTTTTATTCAGGGGCCATAGCCCCCCCCCCCCCTTGAACATGCCTTGAACACATAAGTTCCCCATTCAAATCCCCAGCATTACTAGAACTAGGAAAAATCTCTTCCCCAGAAAAAAGTCACTGTCAGCATAAAGCAGTTCCTTATGTTTGTTCAGACAAACTTACCCCAGATATCTAATGCCAATGTGTTTTCAGTATATTGCTGGTTTATTTTTATTTTTTAACGTTTCTAATAGTTGTTTCGTTTGCTTTTAATGAATAATTCTATTGTTTTATCCTTTTGTGAACCAAAGAAGGGGAAACTTGAATGCCAGATTAGGGTCTTCTCCTTTGGATGAGGAGTTTCTGTTTTGTACTGTATTGGAAGCCAATGTTCCATGAGACACGTGGTTCAGGCTGGTGAATATAGACATGCACGCTGAACTCTCCTGATCCACGTGCTGCATCTCCCTCCGCAGGAGAACCAGGCAAACCCAGCTATGGAACCGATGGGCGAGATGGCGACAGAGGCCCACCTGGAGCAGGTGGCCTACCGGGCATACCTGGGCCTCCGGGGCCCCCTGGTCCTCCTGGTTACTGTGAGCCATCAGCCTGCACTGTGCAAGCAGGACTACGAGCGGACAATGTGAAAGGGCCGTGAAAAGTGCAAAAGTTTGCAACGTGAGTGTTTGGCAACAATGTACTATACTTGACAACAGAGAGAAAACAGCAGAAGAGATGCATACAGTAAAAACGTAAGAGAATTCCTCTATCCAAGGCGTGACAAGACTTTGCATGCACTGGTTGTCCCCTCTTCAACCTGTACAAACAGGTACATGGCAACTATTTTTTTAAAGTGATACCTGATGGCTTTTCTTTTTTATCATGGTGAAAGGCCGCTGTGTCTTTTTTAAGACACCTTCCCCAAATAGTATTATTATTTCTTTCTCCTCTTTGTATTGTACTGTATTACAGCGTCAGAGAGAATGATGTAATTCAGTTGACTTTATCCAAGGCAACTGTAAAATTGTGGTTGTTTGCATTCACCTTTTCCCATGTAGCTTCCTCTAACTTCAAATACACAGACAGGGCCGCCATGCAAAAACATGTGAAATGCTTTTGCACACTGAGAAGCTTCTGTAAGGGGGTGAATGCCACGTTACCCATAATATATCATGTGAAGAAACTGCTACATATAGAAATTTTAATTTTCTGTTCCAACATGTATTGAATTCTGTTCAAAGCAACACTGTTGCCAACTCCAGCACGTGTCTGAAATTAAACAAAGAGGCCAAAAAGTCACTGGTAAAGGAATCTAAATCTTTGGAAACAGCGAAGATTCATAGCCAAATTTATTTATTTTAAATGATCTGAAGTCACATCTCTGGTTGTATAAAAGTTGAAATAAATAATGTTTTTTAACCCCTTTGCATTTTTTTTTTTGTATGAATGGTAAACACAAATAAAAGGTAAGCTTTCTTAGAAAAGTCCCATTATATGTTTGGATAACATTTCATTTCTCAAGGAAACAAAGTGCATTGTATGAATCAGTCTACTGTGTAAATTCGTTTTACAATTTATATTCTTTGATCTGTCATCTTGAAAGACAAAAATAAAAGTGCCCTTATTTTAATCTTCATTACTTCCCCTTCTCTATTTTGCACTTAGAATTTTTCAGAAAAGGAGAACTTCTTTTCAGGGAACCAGGTTTAATGCAGTTGCCGCCAGAAACATACTGTTCTTCCAATCCCATTTTTAATCCATTTCTCCTTAGGAAATGGTGGCTATATCCACACTAGGACATTAATGTCCATGTGGGTCACTATTTCCATGTGCGCATTTATGTTTTCACTGTGTTTTCCATCCGCACTAGTGGGCAGTGTTTGGTGGGATGTATTCCCACTGTGTGGTGTTGTCACCTCCCTTCAGTTAGTACTTCCCTTCAGTTAGTACTTTCCTACCCACAAGTAGTACCAGAAACCTGAGGACCGTTGTAGCTGTGCACGCAGGCACAGTATTTGTTTATTACTGCATGTGTGCAGCTTTTCAAGTTAAAATTGCAACACAAGTTAAAATTACAATTTTCGATCTACCAGATTTGCACAAAAGAGCACTTTAAAAAAAGGAAAAAGATGAAGTGTTGCTTCAAGACAGACAATGATTTGAAAGCTGTTCACATGAAAGACTGTTGCTTCCTTTCATCATCAAGTTGCTACTTACATGTAAAGAAGCATAAATTAAATTTGGCAGCAATAGTCCATGGGAGAGAATGCTTAGACTGTATTCCTATGCATTGTTACTTCCAAGTGCTATTCAGACCAATTTACTTTATTTCCATTTTGATGGCATGTCAGGTTCAAGATGAAAATAGGAAGAAAAGCAACCCTAACGTCATGCTTAGATCAATTAAGTTTTATTTTAACCATAGCAATAGCGCAGAAATAAACAATGAAATTATCTGACAAGAGAAATAAAACTGTTTTTACAAATCCAGTAACATAAAACAAATTTACAAGGAGGAAAATGCAAAGTCCATCAAAAATGCATAAAACAGAATTTGGTTAAAATTCTGGGAGGAGGAAATCCACACGTTTATAATGTGGCTTTAAATAAAAACGTAACTACCTGTTTACAATTATAGATACACAAGAAACATACCTGATAGTATCAGGCTCACTTCAATTCAAAATTCATTTAAGACTAAAGGGACCAAGTAGATAAAATAATCTGCTTAGCATGTGCAAACAGCTGTACTTTCCATTTGTGGGCAAGATGCCAACAGAACCTTATAGACAAGTTTTGAAGACTAGTGCTTAGTTATTCAGAAATGAACAATAAAACATAAACTTCCACAATTGAAAAAAAGTATTGACAAAGAAAAATTCAGAAAACCATTTAAATGCATTTGCTTTTCATTAGATAAATCTGACAACGAACAGAGCTTACATTCTACGACAGAAGTGGGCTTACGCCCACTAAAATATTTTTTTGAGTATACTTAAGTCTGTTAGAATGTGGCGTTCATGTTCGTTCTCCTAGATTGTGTACATGGATTTGGTCTATTTATATATAACATCTTTCCTTGCAATTCAAGATTACACTTGAAGGCTTTTCAGCTAATCTGGAAATCTGCACCATTATCATAATGACTTGAAGTTCTGTTAATGGCGATCAGATGTGCTGAAAACTAGCTTTGACTATCTAGAAAACATTTGCATACCTTAAATAAAAGGAAGATTTAGGACAAAGGGAGAAGGGAATAAAATGTCCTCTTATTAATCCCTGAAACCAAATACACTTTTTATACAAAAATACTGATATTAAAATGTTAATATCAAAGATAAATAGGCTACACCTTCCACATAATTTACAAAGCATGTTTATTTCTGCAAAAAGGAAAGAGACTTACTTCTTCCCTAATGACATGTGACACAGTGTGGGAGGGAAGAAGAGCAGTTCAGCACGATCCCTGCGTGGATCCCCTCCAGCTTGCACCAAGTTGTGGGCCTGATATGGGCTACCTGTGGTTTCATTACCTACAAGCTACATTATAAACAAGTTGAATCATAAATTGTGATTATGTCACAGTCTTTGGTGGAAGAAGAAGCAATGCAACTGAGAATTATCCAGCCAAAGTTAAGCACAGTCAAGCCCCATGAATTCCAATGCTGAAAAACAGTGGGACTTCAAAGTGGTGGTGGTGGTGGGTGGGGAAACTTTGCCTGAATTGTTCCCTGTATTCATCAAATAAAATAAAATATATTTTTTAAGACCAATAAAGAAAAAGAAATCTATTAAACTTAAGGACACAAAAATGGAAACTTAGTGCACTATATAGAAATAAACTTTTCACCATTTCCTGCCTTATATACATTTGTAGAATTCAATCCTTATTTAAGTGAAATGCACAAAGAAAAATGTACTTCATGCCACCAAGTGGACTTTAGAGGTATAGCACAGACCCTGAAGAACTCTGCAAAATTTTAACATTAACTAACCTACAGTAGCTTTACAAACCCAAATACTTCTAAACACAGCATTTGTTAAAGAGAATTTGGAAGCAATCCTAATTAATTTTGCGTCAGTGGAACATTTAAAATAATCTGATGCGAGGAATAAAAACACATCTCATTGTATTCTACATATTACTTATACCACTAAACCAAAATACTTTATTGTAGCTTCTCTAACATTCCTACCATTTTGAGAGCTTTTTCTAGAGACAAGACCGTGTAACTGTTCAGAAAAATTGTGCAAGGCTATGCACTAAGCTATGCCACCAAACCTGGGTCATGACCAACAGTTTAACGTAAAGCAGGAACAAAGATACAGGTGGGAGGCAAATCATTATGGGCTTTGCGCAAAATGTTTTGGCCACGTTCATCAATGGGCTCAGAAGAAAGGCAAAATATTATGGAACGCCTAGAACCCTCATCCCCAGGTAATCCATTTTAAATCACTAGATTGCAACTATACACCTGATCCAATAAGACACAATTGGGTTGACTCAATTGTTGCTTGCTTACTTGCTTGCTTGCTTCTCCTTCATTGGACAGTGAACTGGATCAAAGTCTGAAATGTTGCACACTGTATGACTGGTAGCCAGAAAGAAGTTTTGCATGAGCAAAGGATCTTCTCTTACAGATAGATAATAGGCTTGTGCAAGGCACCATGATGGGAACACGCACCATTGAAATAATACATGCAGTAGCCTTCAGGTCTGCACATAGTATTCCTTCTCCAGAGATATTCTTGTGTAAATAGTAAACAGATGATTAGATGTTAGAGGTGGGGGAAGAAAAGGGGACACTGAATGCAGTCTCCCGCTCTACAGTACAACGTCTGACAGTGCTGTGATGTTCAGCTCCATCAGAGTGGATGACCAGGCTGATTTTTATTTGCTAGTGTTTGCATGGAGTGGGAGTACTGTGCAAAGTGTTTCTCAGTTTTAAAAACCACTTTCATAACCAATAGGGAAGGACTTGCAAGCATAAACTTGTTGCTGAACATGGATTCCATTTGCGGGATTTGGCTGACAGTGTTCCATTCTCTTTTGGTTACTCATTGTATTCAATAGTTCCAGGAGCAAGATAATTTTCTTACTGTGTTATTTGATTGGTTTGTTTGTGTGTTTGTATGCTGTATCTGCTGTTTAAGTTTGCTGATATTCATATATAAAATTGTTAGAGAAAATATTAGAACAGGAATACGGAAATAAGAGTTTAACTTAAAATGACAAACAGAAGTTGCAAATGTTTGGTTTCTGGCACACACAAGATAAAACAGGAGAAAACCACGGAGTGCTCATTTCAAGACACCATGCGGCCTCGATTAAAACAGAACAGCTACAGAGTTATTCCTGATTTGTTGCATTTAGCTATAAATACAGAATATGCTCCACATCTTAAAAACTGAGTGAAGACACTAGAAGAACAAAATACACTATTTCATATACCCAAAAAAGTTTTGTTAATGCTTTTCAAAAAAGGAAAGCATTAAAGAAAAGAAAAATGATTCAAAGTGATCTGAATGATCCAAATTAACTATTAAAATCATTAACATGTTGGAAAGCTTTTTCCAAGTACTTAGACACAAACAAAACTATAAACAATGTGAATTTACAATATTTTCCCCCAAAATATATAAATGTTCCTGACAAATTCAAGTAAAGTAACCTTTAAATAATACTGCCAGGTACCTTATCAAAATTTTAGTTCAACTAGCTAAAACCCAAAATATACACACAGCACCAAACAATATATCAACTGAGCTGCTCTGATTATTTTTCCAAATCGGAACCTTCCTACTTAATCTAATTAAATACAACTCGATATTTTCGTTATTTTTTTAAAGCAAAGTCTAAAAGAAATTCTAAATTTAAAATACTGCGACTTTTTCAGCAAAGTTTGGAATCGCTGGAGAAGTTCATAGAAGACAGGAGTGACAACCCGAATATGAAAAATGCCCCTGCCAAACAATCTGTCTGTCCTGCAGTACATGCAACCATACTGAAAACAAACGGGATAAACCCAGTTCCCCCCATCAAAATAGTGTTGATGTGACTGCATTCTTTTAAAGCAGGCTTGCTGAAGCTCAGTTTAGACCAAATTTTAATTCCAGGGAATTTAATAATTTTGAGCACATCTTCCACACTTCAGCTGTCTTAATCTCTATTTTTTTAAATAAAAGGGGGGGCAGAAAATATATATGTAAAAACTTGGGAGCCAATCCATCTTTCCATCGCACACCATTTTTCTTCAGGGTCATGTGAGAGGAGTAGATTGCATTTACAGCCCTGGAAGGCAGCAAGCTGACTGGATCTACACAAGAGAGTGGCCCATATGGGTGGCCTTCAATGGCAGGTACTGGGTGGACCCATTGTCCAGTGCTTGTATCCAGCCAATGGCAGGACATTGGTGG